AGCAATCTCAGCATCAACCTGTAGCTCACAACCAGTTGCTGCTGGGGCGAACTCTTCCGGTAAGTCAAATTGGTTACTAGCTTCTCCCACCATTCCCACTGTCATCCAGGCTAGTTGTCATTGCCGTCATCGTTGACTCGTTTCCTGAGCCTGTCCACATAATGATGAATTCCTATGTCCCATTCTATTAGCTGTAGGAGTACTCAAATTTCAGACAGCTAACTGTTTCGACCTTCTTAGGTCTCGTCAACAGAGCTCCAACTCTAAGTGCCTGGCTGAACCGATCACAATGAAGTACATTTGTATAGCAAAGCATTTTGGAATTGGTTCAAAGCATCAACGTCCCAATGCTCTAACTGCAAGTCGTGTAGCTGGCTGCTCGAAGCCAGCTAGCTTTGACACAAACCAGAAGCAATGTTCAACAAAGACGAGCACGTACAGTGTGTGTGTATGTGTGTGTGTTTCCAGTATCAGCAAAGCACTACAAGCAGTCATGTCCATACCTTGCACGACTCATTTCTAATGAGCGTGTCACCTCCCCTGGTCACTTTCAAGACGTACGCCTTGTTCGACTGGACGTATCTACTGCTGATCCTGCACAAGTACGGTATGTAGTCTCTGTCTGTCTGTCTCTCTCTCTCTCTCTCTCTCTCTCTCTCTCTCTCTCTCTCTCTCTCTCTCTCTCTCTCTCTCTCTCTCTCTCTCTCTCCCCCCCCCCCCCCTCTCTCTCTCTCTCTCTCTCTCTCTCTCGGTACATCTCTATATCTTTGTTCCCTGCTCAAGTGAGTGATGACCCAAGACATTGATTTTACATGCATAGCACATGTGCCGGTAATTGAAATGAAGACCAGACTAATTCTACACCTCTCAACGAAGGACACCAGGACACCTCTCAACAAAGGACACCAGGACATCTCTCAACAAAGGACACCTTCACATTCAGGACTCATTTTCTGATCACATACTGTATTCAGTACATCTGCCCTTAGGCCGACTTCACACTACCTACTAAAACATAATGTAAACGTGCTGTTCATTGGGTGCTGGAATTGCACTTTTGCCGTTTCTGGCCTGAAGTACGTCTTTTCTATGGGGGATCTGTACAAGAATGTCACGTTAACGTGGATTTATACGTAGTGTGCAGCCAGCCTGATGGACCACTGGCATGTCGTCCAGACCATGTCCTACGTCCTGGCAGCTTTTCGGTACATATACATGATTTGGTCTAGATTGTGCACAACGTAGATCAAATCCCATGATGAAAAGCTGCTGGGAAGGTGTCAGGATTGCATTGTGAATGGTCCGTAACAATGTCCCTGAAGTATCTGTTGTAGAGTGGCTCCACTGACCACTACCAGTGCGCATGGTCAATAGTCAGTTTTTCAAAAGGCAACGGGGATTCTCCCCCCAAAAAAGTACAATATACAAGCATGTACCAGGGATATGCATGGGTAGTCAACACTTTGCAGATTCTGTTTGGTGGGCATAGCAATAGTTTGTGTAGATGCACATGATTGTATAGCCGATGATGTTGTGAGGATGCAGTCTTCCAACATGTACATTGTATTCCATGTTCATTGTTGTGATGTGTACATGTTACCATGTAGCTACTGACTATCAATCTGGTTATGTAGTGATGATGCAGTTATCACTTGGTGATGTACGTGTACATGTATTTCATGTTGTGATGTGTAGCTATCAACCTGGTGATGTAGTGATGATGCAGCCTTCCAATGATCAGTCGCAAGCACAGCGCTTCCTCAAAGTTGTTTGTCAGCACTCGCAGGCATTATCGTCCTCTATGATTGATCTGCGGTGTGCAGCGGATGAAGGTAACGTTACTGAAGCTTGTATCTGATGTGTGTGCATGTCACGTGTGTGTGTATGTGTGTGTGTACGTGTGTGTGCGTGTGTGTGCATGCGTGCGCTTTTGATATAAAGCAGAGTGCTGTCTATACTGGTTACCTCAACAAGTATAGGGTGTGCATAGGTAACTGGTTTGGCCATCCTATTCCGATGTGCTCTGTGTGGTGTAGACCAGGAGTGCATCTTGTTCTGCCATCCACAAGCATTCTCTTATGTTGTTGTGTGTTCCTGTGCTTGATCAAGATCTTGTTCTACCATCCACAAGCATTCTCCCAAGACCATGCTCGCTGGAGACCGCGGCGCTCAAGTATTTTGATTTTCAAGCCATACCATCTCGCTACTTCTTCAAGCTGCTGTCTTTCTTTGCAACTGTCCCGCTGGAACGAGAACGTTTAGAAGAGTTTGCATCAGCGGAAGGCCAGGTGAGTGGGTTTTGCGGGTGTATTGTGGCTCCTTTATATGTTGGTGTCTTTATTTTACTTAACTGGTTTAAGGGAAAGACACAAACGGGAAAAGTCTGAAGAATTTTTTTGGACTGTCACCACCAGGACTCGAACCAGGGACCCTCGCTTGTAGCCAGCGATGCTCTAACCACTGAGCTATGTTGTAGTCGTCATCCCAGCAGAGACTGCTCAGCATCTTCTTCAGACTTCGTAACTCACACTTCCTGTGAATCATTTTATTTTATTTTACTTCACCGAGTCAACGGGCCTACCTATGTGGTTCTCACTAGACCTAGTCTGGTTCCTTCTCTCAGTGATGAAGAAATGTTGTGAAGTTGCATGAATGATAGGCTTACATCTGACGAAATAGTACATATCACAACGTCTTTGAACCAATTAGTTTGAACCGTTACCCAGAAGGCTACAATTTTAAATCTTTCCAGCTAAAGATTTAGCTGGTACTTTCCTCTCGTGTTGCAATAATCCCTGTCCCATCCCTGGTTGTTATTGGAGTGAGGCACTTCCGGCATGTCTGGCACGTTTTAAAAACATACAAACATATTTGTGTTGCTGTGATATGGAAGTTACGGTAATTTTTAATACAGTGTACATACCCAGTATATGTACGTTGCAAATTGACAAATTGATGCGTTTCTATTGTGTTGTATTGTGTGCTGATTGCAGGAGGATCGCTACTCCTACTGTAACAGAGTACGCCGAACTATCCTGGAAGTAAGTGACAGTGTGCTGCATCACGTGTGTGTTGGGGGGGGGGGGGGGGGGTGCATGTATACGTGCATGCGTGTGTGCGCGCGTTTGTGTGCGTGTGTGTGTGCGCATGCATGCGTGTGCGTGCATGCAAGTTTGTGTGTGCATGCATGCGGGGGGGGGGGGGGGGGGTGTCTGTGTGTGTGTGTCTGTCTGTGTCTGTCTGTGTCTGTGTCTGTGTGTTGGGGAGAGGATGTGCTCAGGTGTGTATCACCGTGTTCAAGAAACAGTCTGTTTCTCCTTGCCTTCTATTTTGCAGGTTCTTGAAGATTTCCCTAGTGCTGCCGCCAACATTCCACTCTCTTACCTCTTTGACCTGGTGCCTGCTATCCAGCCTCGTGCTTTCAGCATTGCTTCTTACTACCAGGTACTGTATCTGTGATACATTTCAGATCTGACGTTGTCATCAACCGGTTGCATATCCTTACATAAAGTTCACCGTCTCTCTCTCTCTCTCTCTCTCTCTCTCTCTCTCTCTCTCTCTCTCTCTCTCTCTCTCTCTCTCTCTCTCTCTCAATCTCTGTCCTTTCCCCCGTCATTTCCCCAATACCAGTGTCATTCCCAACCTACATTGGTGTCCTTTTTGTTAATGCTGAGATATTGGGTTTTAGTAGCTCAACACATCTTACACTCTTGTACTGAGTCTACTGAGTGCGATAGTGCACCTGCTCCACCTCCTCCACTCGCTATACTAACAGTACCAGGTCTACTAACTGCAGTTCTCTCTCTCTGCTGCACAGTACTTGGTAGTCGTACTTGATTCGTAGCTGAGGGGACTTCAAGTAGCTCATCGATAGCAGCACAAGGCTGACTGTTGAAATCTGCGCCCATGGCTATTATATTAAAAGTACTGCTGGCGATTTGCCTCCTTGAATACAGCAGTGTTGAATACAGCAGTGTTGAATACAGCAGTGTTGAATACAGCAGTGTTGAATACAGCAGTGTTGAGCGTTGCACAGTGAACCTGTTTATTGAAGAAGTATAGCAAAAACCTCCAGAGTCCTGTATTGTTGACTGGGCTGTTCTGGCCTGCCTGAATGATATGTTTGTTCGTCCGGCAGGAATCAAGAAGAGAGTTAGAAATCCTTGTAGCTGTTGTACGCTACCAGACCAAGCTTCAGGAACCACGCGTTGTAAGTAAATAGTCTAACTGTTGTGCGCTAAGTGATCAGACCAAACTTCAGGGACCTCACATTTTGAGCCATGGTTGCTGAGGTGCTGCCCATTCAGTATTTACTCCTTCCCTTTCATTTACCTTCAGGGGATGCTAAGTGAATGTGAAGTATATCAATGTACTCCGTGTTGTACTATTTTTCGTAATTTTTACACCATACATTTTGTATATGCCGGACCACTACCACCGAGCGATAATCCGGGAGGGGGTTGGGGGGTAGCTCAAGGTACATTGGCTTTTCAAGTTTTTATTTCTGGTAGGGTTGCTGTTCATGCACTTCAAGGTAGGAGAGAGAAGTGCAGTGTAGGGATACATACACGCGTGCGGACTCCTAGCAGCTTGCTAGAATAAATTTGACTTGTGTCATTTCCTGCCATGCAGGGAGCAGTTTAGTCTTTTTTCTATACATCTGTGCAAAGTCAAACTTGAATTGCAACGCGAGAATGTTGTGTAGCAGTTGTTGATGCTCACTGCTTTGCGATGCATGTCCGATTTGTTGTGTTTGAGCTTGACTACATTGTCCTTCTGGAGGACGCTGCCGACAACTCCATTGACGAACGCAGGGTTAAAGTTTTGAATGCCCTTCAAGCCATCAGCGTGTTTCCAACAAAAAGAGCAAAAGATTGACGTAACTTTGCCTCCATTATCATCCCATGGAAACCACTTGCTTAAGCTATGTGCCTCCTTCACCCACGATTGTCAGATTCCCTGACATATTTCTGCCAACACAAACATGAGCAGTTGCCAAGAGAAGAAATAGCTTGCAAAGAAGAAGGGGAGAAATCTTGACGATTGAAAGCACATAAAGCGTCATCAAAAAAATGCTGCGATCTTGGACCTACGAAGCGCTGCGATACGTGATTATCTGTGTGCCCTGATGTAGAGTGCTAGTGTTGTTGAGTGCAACTGGGCACTCCACTGCTCTCCACTTCCAGTACTAGCAGTGCATGAGTGCAATGGGCAATGGGCAGTGGGCAGTGCCGAGTAGAGTGCATGAGTGCAGTGTGCAGTAGAGTGCACGCGGCACAGGCCGCAAGTGGATGGCTGTGATCCTGACCTGCATGGAATCTGCTGCGAGGATGAACAGCTCTGTCGCGTATCTAGTAGATCAGGCCTGAGCGACACGCCTGGCTTTCGCACTGTGTATCATCGGGTACAGTGAAAAATCAGCGTGCATCGCAGTTTTCTGCTGCATATTTGAATTTTCTAAAGTTCCTTTGCACCATAGAAGATAGGAGAAATGCATCGCAATCTTCAATGCGATACCGGTTACATGATTTCTGGTATGCTCGACAACATTGTATGTGTATTGATTTTGTGTTGGCAAGGGTCTCTGCTCCAACTGGCTTGCAAGGTTTGACTGTAAAGGCGCCCAACCAGGTAACAGCTACTTGTGTGTGTGCGTGCGTGTGTGCATGTGTAGCTTTTCTCTTCTTGTGATGGATGCTGCAAGTGATGATGCAAGTGATGATGCTATTTTTCCTGCAGCTCTCTGATTTTGTTTGTAGCCGTCTAATTGTATCGTGCCTGCATTTCATATTCTCATCTTCGTACTTCGTAGTTGTTCCTCCATACACACTGATGCCCCCCCCCCCCTTGCATGGTCCTGGACATGGCCCTTTGCATGGTCCTGGACATGGTACTTCCAAGTACATGTAGCATGTTGACTGACTGTTGAGCCAACAATGTTAGTGTCCCTGCAGCTCCGTGTTGGATGTACTAGTAGTAGGCATGCAGACTTACTTCTTCTTCTCAGTGTTCTTAGTCAGGAGAAAGCATAGGCTAAAGTGGGACTGGTGGTACGATGTACTGAGAAGAAAGTTCCCAAAAAATGATCTACATGTAGATCAAAGTCTGGAACATTCTAGGGCCTTGAGAGAAGGTTCTCCGCAATTTCACATCCTGGGTCAGATTGTTGTGGATTTGAAACACTCCATGGTGACCAAACTGCCACAATTACTCTCTCTCTCTCTCTCTCTCTCTCTCTCTCTCTCTCTCTCTCCCCCTGTTCGACATTTTTCTTCTTCTTTTTTCTTGTTTTGTGCAGTGCATGTCCCTATATGGTTGAAGAAGGGTACAATATGCCTGCCATCCAGACCTGAGACTCCGCTTATCATGCTGGGCCCAGGTTAGTATGTTCGGCCGCTGTATCCACTAGACTGTGTGTCTGGCTAGTGGTGTCTATCATGGCGTGTACTGCTTTATAACCTTGAACTGGATGTACAGGCACAAGTAGCTTAGTGTAATATCTCACAGGGAATAATTTACTTTCAATCTTTTGCATAGCAATTTTGCTACGGAAAATCAAACTTGAATAGCAATTCCAAAATGTCAATTTTCTTCAACACTCGACAACCGTCCTTCTGGAGAGCTGATCAGAGTACAAGCTCAGACCACAAGTACACTGTAACACCTTAGTTGCAAACCCAGCCGGGTGTCAGGATACATAGCTCAGCACTTTCGAAGTTACGTGCATCGCATCTATTTTATCCCTAAGGACACACCCGGCATGTACACTGTGCATCATAGGGTACAGTGAACAATCAATATGCATCACATTTTTCTGCGATATATTTCTGAAGTTGCTTCGCACCTCAGAAGAATTGCATAGCAAACTGCAATGCGATACCGATTAATTTATTCCCTGTCTCATTATTCCCTGTCTCATTATGCGCTTGCTGCAGCTACAGTGTACATGTGTAATAGAACTCCACTTTTTGTCCGGGCTGGTTAAGACCAGGCACTGCCCGTCACTAAGAATCGCTCGTAACTCACAATATACAACATGTCATGTACATACTTATTGCATGCAGGCAAACACTTCTTATGCCAAGCGATAGTTTTCGAGGACGTTTTTGTTGACAAACCAATTTTGTGATTCTATAGGGGTGAGAAAGGTGCGTAGTAGATGGTCATGCCCGGATTTGTTGATGTTCGGATTTGTTGATGTTCGGATTAGGAAAATGTTACTGTACTGTATGTTGAATGGCAACAGCATATCAAATCACCTTTGTTAGAGTAGAGAGCTGGTCCGTCCCGAGCCCCCTCCTCATACACAGTGTAGTGGGATGCCATATTGGAGTGTGGTGCAACTTCATCCAGCCGTCCGTTCGTCAGCCCCGCCGTATTGGAGTGTGAAGCACAGGAAGCATGGAACTTGTTTTGTGATTGGTGCAGGCAGACATTTTGATGTTTTGACATTGTGGACTCGGTGGTACATGTATTTTCATTTGGAGTAGGTACTGCGCTCTGAACACCCATCGCCTGCAATCGTCTGAATGGGCGTAGAGTAGGTGGTAATTACGCTTGTCTGTTTGCATGCATGTGCGCGTGTGTGTGTGTGCATGTGTGTGCATGTGTGTGCATGCATGTATGTATGCATGTGTGCGTAGGTACTGGCTGTGCTCCGTTTCGGTGTATATCACAGTTTCGAAGCATGAACAAACTAAACAGTAAGTCACTTTCCATTGTTGCTCTCCTTTTTTTTTTTTACAGCATGCCTGTGTGTGGGGGGGGGGGGACTTGCACATGTGAGCTTCACACTGTAATTGTCGCATCCCTAAAAAAATATCAGCCGATGGTTTGCGAACCCAGTGGACCAGCCCTGCTATAACACCCTGCTCATCTCTGTCACGTGCTGTTGTGTGCTGTTGTGTGCGTATGGTGTGTCTGTGTTTGTGTGGCCTTGTGTGTGTGTGTGTGCATGTGTGTGCATGTGCATATGTATGCGTACCGTTTAGTGTGCATGTAACAGTTATGTTGTATGCATGCGTGTTTGACACTGTTTGTGAATGTGTGTTTGTGCATGTGTGTTTGTACATGTGTACTGCTAGACTGTGTGGTGTTCTTTGGATGTCGTTCTCAACAGAGTGATTTCTTTTTCAAAGACGACTGGCACAGTCTACAGGAGAATGGCACCATTCAATTTATCCCGGCATTTTCCCGTGATCAGGTCAGTGGAGCTAAAATTTAATAATCATGTGGTGTCCGCAGCTATTTGTACTGGGAAGTTTTTCAGTTATTAAAATGGATCATCGATTGGCGTAACATGCCTAATTTTGACGTGAGATGCAGGTCTCGCGAGCCAAATAACGAGCGCGGAGCTTTCGCGTCACGAAAAAATAGCGTGCAGCTTAACCTCTCTACTATCGAATCACTCTACCACTCTCTCTGTTATAGTTTCTAGTGCAGGGGCATGAAGGTTTGGGAGCATGAAGGTTTGGGAGCATGAAGGTTTGGGAGCATGAAGGTTTGTGCCGGGCTGTGTTCCTCCTTCATGTGTACTTGTATGTACTTGTATGTACTTGTATGTACTTGTATGTACTTGAAGTACCCATCACATGCTATGTTGTGCTTTCGGATTAGTTTTGGTGTTTCCTTTCGCTTGTGTTGCAGCCATCAAAGGTATACGTGCAGCATCGTCTTCTGGAGAACGCACAACTTGTCTGGAAGCTACTGAGCCAAGATCAAGCCTATGTGTACATTGCAGGGTAATACATGCATGACTGTGTTCTTGTACTTGTGTGCTCTGTACTCTATACACTGGTCAGCCTGTCTGTCCGTCTGCATCTCTACTTCTTACTCTGTACTCTATACACTGGTCAGCCTATCAGCCTGTCCATCTGTATCTCTTCTTCTCTATACACTGGTCAGTGGTCAGCCTGTCTGTCTGTCCGTCTGCACCTCTTCTTCTTGCTTTCTCTGCACCCTTTCTGTGTGTGTGTGTGTGTGTGTGTGTTGTTGTTGTTGTTGTACGAGTGTTTGTCTGTCTTCGAGAAGCGCGCTACTTACTTGCCCGTACATGTATGCCGGGCCTGGATGCTCTGAAGCCTTGCCCCGTTCCGTAGTTGCGCAGTACAATTGTGACTACGGTCTTGAGCCAGTCTACACACTACATGTACATCAGTACACTATATTACCAGTGGTTCTCTAAGTACAGTCAGACCTCGCTTTTAACCGCACACATCCGTTTTCAACAAATTATCCGGATAGGCGAGGGAACTGGATAATCGAACACACATACTGTATGTATGCATGTCATATGCTGTAAATCGGTAATGACGATTTTCTTCCGGATGGCGAGGGATCCGGATGAAAGAGGACCGGGTAAGCGAGGTCTGCCTGTAGCACCGAAGTCCATAATAGACCTGCACTGCAGTGACAGTTTTTCTCTCGTCTCCTGAAGAGGATGGTGGCGATCAAGACTACGTAGTACGGGAGTATCCCTCGGAGTGTACAGGCTCTCGCCCATGTCCGATGTCCAATGTCCATCAACACTTACATGAATAGCTCATCAACTGTGGCATTGCTTTCCTGTCAGTGTGTAGCAATATAAGTATGATACACAAACTGTATGAGTGAAGTTTACCTTTGTGCCGCCCAGCAGTGAGTAGTAACACTATGTTTGTGGCTGAGGTGGTTAGACACCACTACTTAGGGAAATTCACGCTGTCATTCTTCATTTTCTGATGAGGCATCTCTTCTTGGAAGAGTGTTCGCACGGGCTCGTATGAAGCCTAGTTCCTCCTCTGACCTCTTCAGCCTCTTCTGGAGAGAGGCATAGCAGAGAATAGATACAGTCAAGTATTTGTCTACTCACGCACTGTGAGCAAGTTCACGTGGTGCCATGCGCATGCCTAATGCAACCGAAGACGAAGACATTTTTTTCATCTATAAGGGGCCGTCCGGGGTTACCGATTGTTTTTACAAAACGAAAAGTTTAGTATTTTTCAGCCCCCACCCACCCACCCACCTTTTCTGCAGGTAAAACGAATTCCAATAAAAATTTAATATTGATGTCAATTTTCGAAACCCAGAAGTAACTGGGTATTCTCCATCTGCATTCAATAATACCGTACTGGCAATATATATGGTCGCAGTGAGGCCATGACGCGTTACATTGGCACATGTTTACCGCACGCAGGGCGTTACATGCAAAGTCGCACAGGAGCCGTTACACAGGTTTCTATATTGCCGCAGTCCTTTTTTTGCTATTGCAGGACTTCCTGCTGCGTCCAGTTTTGAACTTTTCACCACGCGGTACACGTGCTTTCACAGTTTTCAGCCTTTTTTGCAATGAAAAGATCGCCGCACCCCGCCGGACGCGCGTTACGAACGCAACGAAAATTTGTCGCACTAGCCTGGTCGCGCGTTACGCCGCACCCCCCCCCCCCCCCCCTGCGTTACGCGGCAACATAATATTGCCAGTACGGTAATGATTATTATTTTCAAAACGAATCTCCATCAAACCCACCCACCCCCAAACGAAAACTTTTCGTTTTGAAAATATTATTGGTAACCTTGGACGGCCCCTAAAAACACAACACCGAAAAATACTAGTTTAGGGGAAATGCAGTCGCATTATTCCGGTGGATTGCCTTGCGTCCGCTTCACTCCTTCAAACTGAATCATGCTATAATTATGATAATATTATGTAGGGGGGGGGGGGGGGCAAGGAAGGTACTGTTGCTTGTTCATTGATGTGCTGCTGTTTACTGTGAAACATCTTGCTGTCATAGAAATTCAAAACAGATGCCAACGGATGTGCTGGACACCATCAAGAAGATCGCCAGTGATCATGGCAAGCTCACATCAAGCCAAGTTTCCGAATTCATGAAGGCACTGGAGAAGACGCGGCGACTGCAGATGGATACTTGGTCTTGATTTTTGCTGGCAATGCTTCAGAAGTCTGCTGTTGTTTATGGTGTTATTGGTAGGACCAACTGGTCACTTTATTTGCACACATAGGATTTTTGGTGATGTGCTCTCCCATCTTTAGGATTGCAGCGCGTGTTGCTTCATGACTGTCCTTATCAGTAGGCAGTGGAAGAACACTCGTGGTTATCAGTACATTGCTGCCAGGCTGGACCTGGCGCGTGCTGGCAGAATTTTTCTCATGCTATGCACGGCTAAATTATAATTTCATGGCGCGCTGCTCTGCTAGTAGGCTGTTCTCATTCGCATTGGAATTCTCATTATTTATCGTCGGCCAAACTTGGCTTAGGTTCAGAATGCCTGTTACGTGTAGTGCCGGTATATCACTGGCGTCGAGACATGTACAGCCCCATGACCATGCAACTTGACATACTTTTAAGGCATAGCTTAGAGCTGCAAGTAGGTGAACTGCAATGTTTGTAAACGCTGTATGCTGAGTACCTTGCGGATAATAGTGTCAAATGAAGGGTGAAAGACCTTTTTTTAGAAGAAGATACAATTATTATGAAAAACCGAAAGTGGATCAGTGGAGAGGAGTTTCGTGAAGAAAAGTAAAGGTACTTGACCAATATAAAAATAAACAGAAACGGAAACTTTGCAACAGTATCATTACAATGAGCAGGAGAAGCTCGACGTTTTCATTCGCTGCAAACTGCATGTGCAGTGGTCTACTCTACACTACATGTATGAAGTACACAACATTGCAGTATAGCCACGGACATGTATAGATGGCCAACTACATTTGGAATGCTATTCAACTACAAATATAGACTACATGAAGAATAGGAGTCGGAAGACGAGGAAAGTATAAAACGGCTAGATGCAAGGAAACCAGCCAGCATCGCTAATAAAAAACAACTAGGAACAACTCAGAAATTGGCACCTCTTAATTCTGCAGATTTCTGCAAGAAGAATTTGTGACTAGCATACATGGCCATGTCACTGTCAATGGCTTGCCATCGCACTGCCTTGGCATCATCACCGGCCTGTACATGTAAAGACACCACACACACACGCACACATCACCACCACACACGCACGCGCGCACACAATCATATGAGTGTGCATGCCATAAACAGATACGTTGTACAAGATACAGTACTGTAAAACTGGTAACTATTGCGACGTAAACATGTTTGCGAATTTTGCGAGAGGCCCCGAATCCGGGCGAATCGCAAACTTTGAACAACGCAAACTCGCGCCATGTAAAGTTCAGTGCAAGGACTGACTCGACTGTGTAGAATGACTGTAGAACGACTCGCAGCGCAAACCAGTCTCAATTTGTAAAACGCAAACATTTATTGTCGCAAACGTTACCCGTTTTTGCAGTATGCAAATTACAGAACACAACACCACAATTCACTTTCGTATAGTTCCTCTTCATGGACGCCTCAAACGAAAAGTGGAAGGCAAAAAGAAAACAATAACATCAACTATCAAGTACTTCCTGGAAGCTGTACACATGCTTGGAGATAAAGAGCAATACGCAGGTGACTGGCGTCTGAATTTGCAAAATTCTCACCAAAGTCCAAACTACTTCTGATGCACTTACTTGAAGTTGGAACTTTCCAAGCGTTTCTCCTGTGTCGTCATGGAAATTGACAGCTACGGTTTCCATCCAGGCATTGTCCGTGTTACGCGGATCATCAACATAACCACGGTACACCTATGAAATCATTAGAGAACACACACGCAGACACACACACATACACGCACACACAGACACACACATGCACACACACACATACACACACACACCATTTGTACCTGGAAGTGAAGACAGCAGGACCGCATGTACAGAACACTCACATGTAACGCCAAAGTACGTGTAGCGGCGCATCCTAACTCCATGTCCATGGCCAGTTCTAGCGGCATGCAAGCAACTCGCACTGTGTACACGAGCATGATTCACTAATTTCACGTACGGGTTCCTGCTTCCTGCATGCAACACCTGCAACAAGCTGCACCCCATGACACACAATTCACAAATACTTTGACTTCTGTGACGTCCATATGCAGGTGTATAGCACATGCAGCCAGCATGAATCTCCCTGGAAACTCTACTCCAGTGATGCGTGCCCCACGTGGCAAAGTGGAACTTTGGACACATTCTGCAACAGTGGCCTTGCCACAGCATACAGCAAGAATCTTGTCGCAAGCGCTGTATGTCGCATATCACAGGGCAGAAAATCATGTGAACCAAGCCCCGCCATACCTCTTCGCCACTGTGAAATATACCATCAAGTTTCTTCTCCATTTCTTTGCGCACACCTTCATCTGATTCAAGCGAGTTGAGCGCCTCTTCACCAAATTCTCGTTTCAATGTGGCCGAGACGTTCTCTCCAGGATCTACCATACCCTGCAAAGAAATCAAAAGCAGAATCAAAAGTGTGCTTTATCAAGAGGTTGTATTGATCATATAGCTAGCTGGAAGGAAGAGGACTAAGGGACGTTTTTTTGCAACAGGGTGCGCAATAGATGAGTGCAGTGCATGCAGCAATGAGAGCAGCAGCATGCACTGAAGACAGTCACGCATACAAACTGTACAAATAGTAGCAAGCAGCAGCAGCGTCGATGATAGCACTGCACTGACTTACACCAGGTATGGCCCATGCACCGGAGTCAGCACGTTGTATCGACACGAATTCCAGCACTCGTTGACCGTTCTTCTCTTCAACCTTTCCACCAGCATCTCTTCGCCACCTGGAGTACATGTACAAAGCACAATGGGCCAAGGTCCATGATAGTCGCGATGCATGCATCACATTGTGGTGCATGTGCAGTAAATATAGAGTATGCAGCTACAAAAAGACGCGTACATGTAATACCAACTCACATCATGGTAGTTGAACACTTATGAAGTTATGATCATGTCTTCAAGTTACTCCAACTGTGTAACAGTAGCAATTCACTGCATATGTATGCCCCCCCCCCCATATTCCATCCTTCATTCCCTTCTGAAACACATGCACATGTGCATACTGCATACAGTCTGTTACTTTTCGCCATGGCTGTTGAGAGTACACGTACCTGGTGACAATAGGATCGGCTGCATGATTTGGCCCCCAGCGTCCTAGCAAGCCACGGCCAGTCATGCCCGTTCGTCCAGCTGGATTTCTGCAACATCACAATTCACAGCATAGCACATCAATACAGCATTGATATGTCGTGGCCCGAAGTCGAACAAGGCACATTGGCAACCGTGGCAAGCCTGGCAGGTGATGAATCAGCGACAGTTGACAAGCAACCAGCAGCCTGACAAGTCACGTCAGCACCACAGCAGTGGGGAGTACGGTAACTCTGTTCAAACCAGGGAGTAGTATTTATAGTAGTATTTTACTACTCCCTGGTTCAAACTCATTATCTTATCACTCACCTCACTTGACTGCATAGTTTTTGCACATTTACACATTGCTTCATTGCTTAATTAATTAACGAACACATTACATGTATTGCTGTCCTTCACAACTGTCACAATCTGGTGCTATATTATGAAACTGAATAGGAATCTAGCTTCTGCCGTTTTACACCCCGTCTTATCCTATCCGGCCTTCTAATTCTGCATTCCTCCCTTTTGTATTCTGTGTCGTCATGGTTGCTCCTCGGGAATATAAGCCCTGTTTTGCTGGTGTTCGTCCTCAATCTCGCTCCAGTCCCTTCTCTCTTCCTCTATCTCTTTTTCTCTCTCTTTCTTGTACATTATGCAAGGCATGTCCTTGAAATTGAACTCTTGGTGGGCTGGTGATTGATGGCGTGCATACATTGTGCACTTGAAATCTGGGTCTCGCTCATACTTCGTGACGGTCCTATTTGGTGTTGTTCGCAACGCAGGCTTTGGACAGACCCTCGAGGTCGGGCCATGATAGATATAACCAAGAGTGTGCAACTCCTGCATACCCTGCCGTCCCGACAGAATTTCAAGTTGACGTCATTTTTATCAGTCAACGCTCCAGGCACCAGTGATTTACGTAGTTTGTACAGGATCAAAAGGGGCTTTGTCCACCACACGTTCAGGCTACGTCTGATAATACATGTATGTGTCCAGTGGGCACTGCGTCATAAAAATGACGTCAACTTGAAATTCAGTCGGGACAGCACCCATAGTCGAGTTGCACACTCTTGGGGGGTTATGTGCTCTTTAATAGAACTACTCACAGTTTCATGCTCTCTGGCAATCAATAGACAAGCAGTAGATCTACATGCACCAATCAAGATACTGTCTAGGCAAGTACGGGTACTGCAACTTACTGCGGAACGCCATCTACCACACTATACTCGCCATTGCGGCTACGTCTGTCAATCTTGCCGTCCAGTGTGTTGAATGCGATCTGCTGTGCACTGCCCGACCTATTGTCACACAGACAGACACACCATGTACACACACACACATGATGTACACACCCACACACATGATGTATACACACACATACACACACATGATGTACACACACACACACACACACACACATGATGTATACACACACATGATGTATACACACACATGATGTATACACACACACACACACACAAGCCCAATAGTAATACTGACCGGCTCCAACTCCAAACACTCCAGCTATCATTGTCCAGCATTACGGCAGTGCTCAGTACAAGCGTGCTATCACCTGACCACACATGCACTGGTGCAGCGGCAAGTAGATTCTTCATAGAGCGGAGTTCCACCAGCACTTCTAGAATATCACAATTTCAAGTGGAGAATCTTGTCAATGTTACTGGCTTGGGTTTTAACGTTTCATAGCAAACCGGTTATTTCATGGCTGGATTCACTCGTTAATTCATTCTATTCGTATGCATTTTATTATGTATTTCATCATGCATACAATGCATTTCCATGCCACACCCAATTGCCCACCTGATGTCTGTGTCGGCCCAGACAGGCTGCTTGAGAACAACTGGAGCAGTGTAATTAACCGGAGTGTATTCAGCACAGTTGCTGTCCCAGCTGACATGATCATCACTGATTTGGAATCGCTGTATATCATCCCCAGCTCCAGGATATTGAGCTTGCCTAGCCTTTGTGTGCAACATCATGGCTGCCACAAGTGTTGGTTTCAGGCTACAACCACTAGAAACATAAGCATTCACTCGCGACTCTGGCACGTTCTTGAAAGCAAGAGCAAAGCCACTGCGTAACGATGCAAGTAGGTTTACCATTAAGAAAGGGATGGTGGTAAAAATAAAAATGTCAAAAGTCATGTAATATGAGCCGTCAGATGCAAAAAGGTACCTTATGACGTTTTGCTCGCAGTTGAGAAAATCGCGTTCGAAAAAGTATTTTCTGTGAATATGTGATCGATAGTCCGGATAGTTTCCAGGGTAACTCGGTGATGAATTGAGATTTTTGGACCTGGTTTTTTGTACGACACTCTCCTGACCAGGTTGTAGAGAGGTTCTGCAAAACGAAAATGTGTACGAACTTTCGCTCTACGTCACGAAGTGAGAAACTTCGCACGAACTTTCGCAACTTTGGACGCGAAACTTGCAGGGAACGCGAAATGAACTTTCGTAGGAAGTTTCGTGAGATTGGGTCATGTCGTACGTGCACTTGGCGCGTGCAAACTACGAAAATGTGCAGAACACAAAGTTCGTGCGAAAATTCGTACACACTTTCGCAAGGCCTGTCGCGAAACTTCGTTCGAACTTTCGTTGTGCAGAACCTCTCTTGTATCTGAAACAATCGTTAACTCGATTTGGCCAAAAATGTCATAAGGTACCTTTTTGCATCTGACGGCTCATATTATACCCAACGTTAGATCTATGACTGAATCTTGCTTTGCCTTGTAAAACCCTTCTCATTCACCAGTACACTACGTCTGCCGGTGTGACTTTCATCAGCGTTGAGTCAGGCGTCCCCACCTCTCCGAACCTGTCACTTATTTTTCTCAGTTCTGTCGAAACATGTCGATCGACATGATGATAATAATAATGATCTGAGCTGAAAGCTGACAGAGCTAGAGCTAGAGCATGATCAAGATAAGAAGTAACGTAACTTTCAAAGCTTTTGCGTTTCTTTTCGATATGGCGCGAAGCATAATGACGAATTCAAAAATCGAATCTGGAAATAATCATCAACACACGTGATTTTTGTACATACACACAATTGTTTGTGGTGTTCCTAAACATACTTGTAGCGATAAGTTTGGAAGAGAAGAGCTGCAAAGACCCTGCGGAGAGCTACTATCTTTGTGTCAAGCCAGCCCGAGAACTTGATGGTGCACTAGAATCAATTCGAAAAGGTTACACTTGCAGTGAAGTTTTGTGTTCTGAACTTCGTGAGAAATCTCTCAACAAACTAACTAACTTATAGAACCTTGCCCATTGCTTTTCCTTGTCTGAGAGTGGACTGCTAAACATGACGTCCAGTGCTTCATACCCTGCGTATGATATCAAAGAGATTGCCTTCACAAACTTGATACTTCTGGGATTTCCCCAGGATGAGGCCGAAGCCAAACACAAAATCTCTTTCTCAAAGTGAGTCCACTTTCTAATGAATAGTTCTTTCAGTCAATTGTATCATTGTGCCACACAGTTACAGTACAACGAATCTAGACAATCGCAATACAGTGCTATTCTTCCGAAGTACATGTATCAGTACTCTATCAGTACTCTATAAAATTGCTTTCATTGACCTGAAACTGGGCTCTGGAATATACAAATAGCAAGTAATGTGTGTACTCTTCCATGCACCAGTGATTTGATTCATCCCTGTTGATGGTTTAGTAGCCCACGCCCCACGGGCTTGATGAAGCGCACCAGCATGTTCCCCAGACCATCACAACTGTGCAACTTGGAACTGTGCTCCTGGTTACTGGTATTTCCCTGTGCTGTTCAGCTGTACTAGTACTCAGTATATGGCAACATACTTGTCATGTGAAATACTTCGAAGTGCATGAGCAGTTATCATGCCTGTTCTCTTGTCCATTTGCCCAGGGATATGTTTGACTTGCCGAATCGAAAAGGAATGGAGGTCATCCTTCACTTTCTTTTCTTTCGCTTGGATTCTGCATTGGCGAAGCAAGAACTAAGGTGGGTGGGTGTATATGTGTGTTTGTGCGTGCCGCTGCATGCATCCGTACTTACGCGTGTGTATGTGCGTGTGCGTGCGTGTGTGTGGGGGGGGGGGGGGTACTCATATGCATGCGAGTAGGAGGTAACAAGAAAATGCATAAATGCATGTTGTGAGCTGTCGCATACAGTCGCAAGGTACTTGTAGCAGAAGTTGAAGAAAGTTCAACTTTTGCGACGTGCGACGTGCGACATACACAAATGGAGCATAGTTTCTGCCCTGGATGCACGTGCATAGTACATGTACTGCATAGGTATGTCGCAAAAACGTAGAACATTGTGAATCGTGTGTCGAGGTCGCAGCTTGTCGCAGGTGTCGCATGTCGCGTCGCAAAAAGTTGTATTGTAAATCGGCCTTAAGACTCCTTATGCATTGTGACCAGCAGCACTGAAAAGTGACAACGTGTGGATCTACACTAATGCCTAGAGTGGTAAGTCTGGGATGCACTGACTCTCACTCTCACTCTCACCTGTCCCAGGCGCATGTGGTCATACTTAGCGCCCAATCCTAAATCTCTCACAGTAGCTTCTCCAAAATGGTCTGCAGCCCTTCTTTTCTTTTATTTTGTACCGGTAGTGTTCGTGGAGATATGCAGTTGGTGCTCTTTGGCTGCATTACATGTCTTATAGTAATGATTAGTTGTTCCTGAAAGTAGACAGACGTTGTGTATGGACAGAAGATCTTCAGATCTACCATTTTTCATGTCTGCTCCCCTATAGGGATTGCTGGCCAATTTCGGACAAGAAGCAAGAGCAAGGATTTCGCAAAGCATGTACCAACTGGCTGACCAACCTAGCTAAGGTCAGCAGCTAAATATGTTGTGCCTGTGACCACATCTTCTTAGGGGATTGAATGTGTCTATCTACATCTATCTATATGTCCAAACTGTGAAGAGGTTGGCTGCTGCCAACATAGAGCTCACACTTCCCGCCATCCGGTGAGATGGAGAAAGAGAGAGGGAGAGAGAGAGAGAGAGAGAGAGAGAGAGAGAGAGAGAGAGAGAGAGAGAGAGAGTTGAAGTTGAGGTTGAGGTTGTAGTCACAGTTACCTGTCGACAAGCTTCATTGAGGGTGTTGCCCCGTATGTGTGTCTGTGTCTGTGTGTATTTGTGTGTTGTGTAGGAGGATCCATCTTCTAATCTAAGCAATGTCACGGCTTCAGCACTAATGTCACCTTCTGGTGAGAAGCTGTTATGTCTGTAGAGTAGCCATTCCTGAGAATTGGCCGTTGGTTTACTGTGGTGGTGCAGGCTTGTCCCCAGGCGTAAGGTAATCTATTCTTCTATGCCTGGGTTCTCTTCTTTCAGGAGAGCGGTTTTATCTCCTTCTCCTCTCTTTGACAACATACGGGCTGCGACGCTCCATAAGTCAAGATTTCCATTCAGCTGAAGCACGGCATGTTGCATCAACATCATCACAGTTACCCAACGCTCCTTTCAAAGCACTCTCGGCGACAGCACCGGATTCGAGTGACACACCGGAGCATTCCTTGGACATGTCTTATCAGAAAGTCCTTCAGGCCAGGTCTATGATGCACTGCCAGCAGTAAGTTATAGTCACCTACCATTTTCACTGCCCGGCCAGCTTACAAAGGTCTTTAATGTGTGTGCGTGTGTGTGTGTGTGTGTGCGTGCGTGTGTGTGCTTGTGTTTGTGTGTGTGTGGTGTCTCTCCGTCAAGCACTTTCCATTGCTGATTTGATGCTGTGACTTTCAGTTGTGCCCGATGTCGCCACTCGCGGAGGTCTGACAAACCCCGAGTGGATTTAGAATATCGCCCGATGAAATTTGAAATTTGTTACAGAGAAGAGAGGGAGAATGAGACAACCTCCGACGTCATCAGCGTGCTCCGTCTTCCTCTCTCATGCCCCTCGAGGGCCCACGTGACCCATGTGGCAGTGGCTCTACAGGACAGGTGTGTGTGGTGTGTGTGTGTGTGTGTGTGTATGTGTGTGTGTGTGTGTGTGTGTTGCAAGCTGTTGAATGGTGCAATCCCAGCACAAGTTGCTATGGTTTCTGCTGTAGCATCGCTATCATCGCCTCCGGCAATGGGCGTCCAATGGTGTGTGTGTGTGTGTGTGTGTGTGTGTGTGTGTGTGTGTGTGTGTGTGTGTGTGTGTGTGTGCTTGCTCCTCTTCCTTGTTGCAGGTTTCTGGAGAAGACGGCTGAACTGGCAATGTTACGGAAGGAATGGCACTCTTATGCCACGTAAGCAGTTCGCTGCTGCTGTTGGTGGATTAGAATTGCTTTTCGACGGGTCAGGTAGTGTGTTCTTGGGAGGGGTTGGACTCAACGTGATATTTTTGCACTGGGTCTGTCCAACTCAAGAATCCCAATTTGAAATAGGTATGGGCGTAACCTTTGCTTTCATGCTGGGTCCCTCTACTTCTAAAAACTTGCTTTTGCAAACGGCACTTGTTCAACATGTCACTAGCTGTGGTTGAGAATGACCAGTGATATCTGTAGTTGATCTTGTCGTGACATCAGTCTCCAACTTTGTGTTGCAGAGAACTGACGGACCGCCATCGTCAGCTCAGCAGGTCTCTTCGACAACTCGAGCAAAAAATACAGAAGGCCTCTGAGCAAGATCGATGTTGCCTGGCTGCAAAGTACGTCCGTCGTTCCATACTGTGTGTGTGTGTGTGTGTGTGTGTGTGTGTGCGCGCGTGCGTGCGCGTGTGTGTGTGTGTGTGTAATGTGTGTGTGTGTAAGCCAGTTGGTTGAAGGCACAGTCGACTCCACTTATAATCAACTCGCATATAGCGAATTTCGTGATAACTACCGTAGTTATAGCGAACCATTGTCCATGTCCCTGTTTGAACCCATACAAAACTGACCCTTTGTAGCGAGCCAGTTATGTTTATAACGAACCGTACCTTGTACGGCCGTGTGTAAACCAAGTGCACTAATACAGTCATGGGTCACATGCCTGTCATTACACTTTGCTTGTGTGGTGGAAGTGCATTTCTGTTGTGAAGACTTCGGCTTTAAAGAACTAATTCCCCTTTTTTCATTTACTTTCGACCGATTTCCTCAAAAATGTGACCAGGAGACAGTCATAACAGTTATTTTGTCTCTTTTTTTTGTCTAGTCGTCATGACCTGTCCGGGATAGCCAAGGAAACATTGAAAACCGCCGCAGGACAGTCTCATGGTAGACAGCAAATGGAAGCCCGTCAAGATGTTAGAAAGAACAACATCCGTCAGGTTAGCTACCCCTTTGCCACATAAGTTGTATGCGCAAGTCCAATTCCATGACTGACTACTGGTTAACAGAATGCAGGATCTACAGTGTAGTCGCTTCTGAAGTCTCTTGGTGTATCTCTACTTCAGTGAAGGTTTCAGTCATTCTCTCTATCTCTATCTATCTCTCTCTCTCTCTCTCTCTCTCTCTCTCTCTCTCTCTCTCTCTCTCTCCCCCTCTCTGTCTCTGTCTCTCTCTCTCCGCTAGACCATGTCTATTCTGGTGATGATATAAGGGACGCGAGGCGGTCCATAATTATCAATCTGCTACACGAAACGAAAAAGTTTTGTTTTGGTTGTGCGGGTCGAGGAGAGTTTCGTTTGGAAGTATTGACAGCTGAACCCTCCATGCATTCTAGCTGTCAAGTCGATATATTTTTCTTTCAGCAGGGTGGGAGGGGGAGGGTCGTAAGTTAACTTTTTCGTTCTGTGAGAATTATCGACAACGCCGGATGGCCCCCAAGAGATGCAATTTATTTTGTGAATTATCAGGCCTGCGTGGCGCGAGCTGTGCCAGGGTGTACGCAGTAACTAACGGATGGGACAGAGGCATTGTACAGATCCCGTGCATTTAGCACTTACCATCGACCATGAGTTACAAACCTATCGTCGTTGTCTGTTATTCTTGTTTTATTTTTTTGATCTTTCGAATAGATCCCGTGCATTGAGCACCTATCATCGAACATGAGTTATGTGCCTATCGCCTGCTGTCTTACATTTATTTTTTACTTTTGTTTATTTTTGTTTTCCTCCCTGCCCACTCTGCCTGTCTTCTGGCACATGCGAATACGTGGACTTACTGTTGACGTAAACGCGGACGTGCGTATAATAATAATAATCAATCAATCAGAATCACACAAGTATCCAACAGCAGTAATTTTTGTTTTGTCTCTTTGCCCTGTGTTTGCCTTGTATTGGTTTTGTAAGCTTCGAGAACACAGGTCACATCTGGAGACATTTCTTGGATCACAATCTCAGTCGGTAAGGGTTTCGGCACCGTACATGTTCAGAAGCTAAGACATGCTCGGATAGGCCCACATCACACTCACCGACGCACAAGACTTCAGTTGACATGATCAGTTATTGGCAAACATTACATTATAACATTCTAGAACACGGGAAAGAGAGTGAGCATAGTAAGTTACGGTTGCTTTTTCTTCTTCTTGGTATGAAATTACCCATCTCACAAGCAAGGTACTAGTAAATTGTTGAAGTTCTATAAGCAAATATATACAAGGGCGACAATTTTAATGAACTGGAGGAAGTAGTTCACATACCTTCTATTTCCTAACATACCTTGACGTCAAAATGACATGACAGACGAATTACTCTTTCTCAAGCTCGTAATTATATGGAGTTGCACATACCGTATGTACTGGTTTATACGCTCATAGCACCATTGTTGTGCAGGATCTGGTAGCATTCCTTTTTCCCTTGCGTCGTTCAGATTGATATCCTGGATGCCATCTTGCAACGTGATAGCAAGGAGAAGTGCTGCCTGACTGCAGAAACAACCAGTCTATCCGCCCTGGAAGCTCTGCGCAAGGATTCGTCAAGTCTTTACAAATTGGTGGGTGCCTGCAAGATTGTATTCTTGGCCACGGATACACTGCCATTGTCAATGTTTAGTGGTGGACTGGTGGTGATCAGGGGAGCGGAGGGGAGGGGGGGGGGGGTGGGGGAGGGGCACTGCTACTAGCCCAATGACTCGGCCTGTCACTATTGTGGTTGCTATGAGGCAGCACTCAGGCCGCCATTATTGCTGTTGCCCTGGTGGCGCTACTAGTATACTATACAATATGACTTTCTTCACCTAAACACCCAGAAATACAGTCTTGGCAAGACACACCTTGAGTTTGCAGCAAGGAGACCACTTGCTTTGATGATAATGTAGGTTCATCTACTTGTAGTCTGGTAACAATACAGTCATGTGAAGAGAGAACAGGTGAGAGTGAAGTGGACATGGAGGCTGAGAAGCAGAGAGATAGAGCTACTGTAAATTTCCTATGTTCTGCTTCTTGTGTTTTCTTCCTCGGCAGCAAGAAACTGTGAACTCCGACGAAGAAGTTAACCTTCAGAGGTGAGAGTCTTCATCTTGGTTTGTGTATGCTGCATGCTGTGTGTGTTCCACTGCGCGTTGTGTTTAGTAACTGTTTACTGTTAGTCTACAGTCAGACCTCGCTTATCCGGTCCTCTTTTATGCGGATCCCTCGCCATCCAGAAGAAAATCGTTGGTTACCGATTTACAGCATATGCCATGCATACATACAGTATGTGTGTTCGATTATCCGGTTCCGTCACCTATCCGGATATTTTTGTGGAAAACGGATGTGTGCGGTTATGTGAGGTCTCACTGTATTATGGAATTGACCTATCATGATCCTGACACTGTCTGGGAGATACTGCGAGCAACTTGCTCATCTCACAAGATGCGACAGACCGTATTGGCTGGCCACGTTCTACGGTAGCAGCGGCAGTAACATTTGAGTGCCCAGTATCCACCTGAAAAGGCCTGGAGACCTCCGAGTGGCATGATGTCATTCGACTGCAAGGCCTGGAAGTGGTATGATGTCATTCCACTGTACCTTGTGTACTACGAATATCTTTGTACAATCGCGACATTTCTCCATGTACCTAATACACCGATTTGGTCCGATATTGGTGGAAGTGGAATAAAATACACAGCCTTAGGTGCGGTTTAAACTCCCACCTGCCAACCAAACTAGTTAAAAATACATGATTGTTTATGCTCCCACATGAAGGGGGTGCGACTTAGGCCCTGGTGTGGCTAACGCTCTGGAGAGTACGGTATACATTGAGCTGCTGATCCGTGACAAAGTCCATTTCATTTCTCATCTGTTGATTCCGACATGGTGTTTTTCACCCCCACCCCCTACGAAAGTCTTCAGCTCGAGTGGCCAGGAACGCATGTGCACTAATAATGGAAAAACGAAATTCAGCCAGTGGTCACAACAAATCCGAAGCGTGGTACTCTCTACCTTCTGTATGTCCGTCGACTTGTGATTTTAGCTCCCCCCCCCCCAATGAACGATGTTCGTTTCAAGGACGACAACAAACTTTTGCGACGACCCCTTATGAGCTCTCTCTCTCTCTCTCTCGACAGAGGATTTCTCTCCGATAATACGGAGGATTAGCAAGACGAAATTCGTGTTCGCGTTCGCAAACATTTTTCAGGTCGCGAACTGGATTGCGAACTTTCGCAGTTTTCGTTCGGAAAAGTAGTCGGAACACGAATCGCGGATTCGTGTCAGAGCAGTCATAAATTTACCACGCTGTACCTGTATATCGTGTCAACGTCATGCATGTGCGAATTCTGTTTGCTAATCCTTCTCATAACGCGAATTCTGTCACCGAGTTCGACTTTCCTTGGAGTGCGAACGCGAACGCGAATTTCGTCTTGCTAATCCTCCGTAATATTAGTGGCGGTGATGCATGTTGTAGTTTTTGGCAGAGAGTTGAAAGTTCTTCTCTTTCTCTTCTGCGTTGCCAGTGCTGTCCAAGTGTGTCAGGCGGCTGCTACCTCTCTTCAAGACAACATTGAGAACTTCCAGAGAAATGGTAAGTCACAGTTATTGCGTGTCATATTCATTGTTTTGAGGGAAAGATGCAAACGGGAAAAGTCTGAAGAAAAAAAATTGACTGTCCCCACCAGGAGTCGAAGCAGGGACATTCACTTGAGGCCAGTGATGCTCTAATAGGGTATTCAGTATTCACACTACGATCAACCGTGGTCACTTTTCTATGACTCGAATGCGCCTGATCGGCGATTGCATCCTTGTCAGTTCACACTGCACAGGAGCAATCCAGGCTACGTTCACGTCTGAGGAGCATTTTTGACGTTTCCAAGGAGATCAGGATGCGCGGGCGCGAAGTTTGAGCAGAGATGCAGAGTTTTGAAAGTGGACCGACTAAGGAAAAGCGAAAACAAATGAACCCATTTCCATTGTGACTTTGTCGCTCAGAGGCAAAAGGCACAATGTTGCGGCTGCTTTTGGATGGCAATATTGAACACCTTTCAGCACCCCCACAACGTTGTTTTCGTAAAACCTAATCGTTCTGGCGATGACAGTGATGAGAAGGACTTCAATCAGTCCTGCAGTATTTTATTCAGGAATAGCCAGTCGTCACAACACAGATTGGTGAACATGGAGGAAATGGAGATCATGGGCACCTGGCGACGTCTTGGTCCCACGGAATTCACTTACATAGAAAATGTGTGGGACTTGTGTGCTGATAATTCGAAGTTTGCAAAGCATAATTAGAAGTTCACCTTATTTTCTGCAAATCAGTTTTGGTTTGCATGCACAGGCAGTTCAGTGTCCACTAAATCTGTGTCTAAAGGTGCATAGTGAAACTCTGCGTGTCAATGCGAGCATTTTGAGTCATTTTTGACATACATAATGTGTTGTGGGTACATGTTTGGATAGTTAGAATGTCCGGATAATTAGAAGTTTTTCCCTGGCATTTTAGGGTTCGAATTACTGTATCAGGATTCCACCTGTACTGGGAAGACTGCGCCACGCACGTATGGCTGTCGAATCTGTCGATCCACGTCCACACATGCCGGATTCTGATCGCGGCCACGTTTTCAGCAGTTCACGATTCCAATGTCGCGCCCAAAGAAAATCTCCATAGACACTCACGTTCAGACGTGACTTTGGCCGTAGTGTGAATCCCCTATAACCACTGAGCTATGGTGTAGCTGTCATTTCATGTCAGGTGACTGTTACTACAACTTGCAGGGTTAGGGCCAATCACAACAGTGTTTTATGTCGTATGTGTGATATCCTTTGTACATGGACTATAAGCTATTACAATGCGTGTGCATCTACCTTCCCTTCCCTTCCTATGGACAGGTCTTCTGGATGCCGGTGGGGCTGTTACCAACAGTCACCTCTCGTCTCAGCTGGATCTGCAAAGTCAACAGTTGACATCTCTCAAGTCTTTGAGGTAATCTTCAGCGAATCAGTGTGCCACGCCGACTGCTACAGTTTGGGGGGAAATGCAATTGCACCAGGTGAAATCTGACCCAAACTTCTAAGCTGGCACCCTGGACCAGTTCCGATGACATCACTGCATCTGCAGGGCCAGTGCCAATTCCAGCATTCAAGCAGTGTTCCATGTGTTGTTGATTATGTAGAAGTACTAGTAAGCTACCCTCGTACACCCTCACTACAGTCTCTCCGTCTCTTACTCATGAACTATTCTTCTAGTCCAGCGAGGACTGATGAGTACTGTGCTAGTTGTTTAGCTGTTGCTAGAGGAATGTGTAGCTGAAACAAACAGGTGTGATACACACACACACACACACACACACACACACACACACACACACACACACACACACACACACACACACACACACACACACAGAGCGAGAGATGCATCTTCCCATGGCCGTGAAATTGGGTGTGGGGAAATGATCGGCCCTGAGATCGTATCACTCCCCGGGAGCGAGCTCCGGGCCTGATTGTAGTATGCCCAGCAGCATTCGTACCATTTCCAGGGCGGATCGTGCACGCTGGGTCGGATGTTACATAGAACAACTGTACCATATACCTGAAGAAGTGTTAAGGCTTCTTTCATCTGTGTTTCATTTACCTGACAATGGCCGAGTGCCAAAATGTCTTTTAAAGTCAATGAAACTGGTTCGAACTTTCAGTGCCGTGGGAATCGGTGTGTTCTCCCAAGCATTTTCTCTGTACATGTCATTGGTTCTATGTTCAATGCGTGGCAAACGCTCATACTTTTAGGGTTGTTGTCGTTGGTAGCGTGTATGCGTAGTGGTCATTCCTGGTGGCTCCGGTGTTTTGGTTGTTATCTTGTGTGGATCCGTGCTGTGGTGCTGTTGAACACCTTGCTGTGGTGCTGTTGTTGTTTGTTTAATTTAGAGTCGAAGAACGAACAGGCGAATTTGCCTAATTACATGATATTGACTGTGCTGTTGTGTTTTATCTCAGACTCTACCTACAGGAACAGTACATACCTCGGCTGGAGTCTGACAGAGCTGCAGCAAAGCAACAGGTAGCACATCCAGCCAAAACGTCAGCCACACCAAGCCAAGCAAGATTCCCTGGCCAGGTAAATACGGTTACCAGGCAAGCACAAAGTGATTTGCACACATAAAGGATGAGGTGTGGGTTGTCAGAGGTCGGGCAGTCTCTTATACGCAGTAGTAGTGTTTTCAGGGAGGATAAAAAAAAACAAAGGGTTTCGTCAAAATACTGGTGTCAACGCAGATGCTTGGCTTTCAACGTGTTGACTTTTTATCGCCTTCAGAGTCTAAAATCTATAGGCTGTGCGAGTTTTCAAGGCAGTGTGACGCTATGCAATGAATTTCAACTATTACTTGACAAGGCTTGTAGTACGTGTACTGTGTGTACACGCGTACTTTGAAGTACATACAAATTATACCATGCTTGCTCTATCTTCTAGTCTCTCATCCCTCCCGTTTGTTCCCAATAAGTGCTTTTCTATCTCTAGAATGGCTGGTCAAAGTTAGCTAGTGAGATCAAAGTGATTGGAGCAAATGCTCTAAAAAAAAAGACTAAAAGTCACTACTGAAAATCAAGTTTTGATTTGCATTTGAGACTATGAGTACGTGTACACAATATGATCTTGAGGGGAAAGTAGATGTTTGAAGAGTGTCTTCCACAAGGATGTGAAAGTGTATATGCCAGTGTCAGCCGAGAAGCTGAAGATTTTCTACGCCTGTGGCCAACACCTCAATAGAACTGTCCTACCTGGTATTGTTGCTGGATGAATGTAGCCATGATCAGGAATAGATTCTGGGTGTGACTCTTCGTTTGGTATTGCATGCATGTAATAACACCTGCAGGCAGCTTGGGAGCTTGGCCTTCTTTCCTGCGACAAGCACAAAATGCTAGCCTACATGCAGTACATGTTGTACAGTGCAGTGATGATGCTCTGCCTTTGAACAGTTTTCTTCTGGTTGTGTGTGTTGTCGTTGACAGCAACTGGGACTTCTCTCGGCCTCACCCAGTCTTAGGATTGCTCCAGCACGCAGCAAAGGTACTGATGGTTTGCCCCATGCAGCAGTCATGAAGCATTCCTTTGCTGCAATCAGTCCGCTTGGCAGTGCTGCTGCTGCAACAGCAAACCGTACCAGCACCAGTAGAGGAAGAGACAGTAGCGGCGCTGCTTCTCTGAAACAAGGTCAGTGCAGGTTCTAAACATGCCTTGTTTGTTTCTGATGTATGCTGAGGGGTGCTTTTGTCTGCCTTTGTTGTGTACTTGCCACGAGCTGCCTCGATGTGGCTGCAAGCCTAGATGACCTGAAGGGGTGGGGTGGGGCTGCTGGATGGTCGGATAATGCACACTGGACTCTGCTAACATTTCGTTACACAAGATAGTGTTGGGCCTGAGCGAGCCGGTATGGGCGGCTACGACTGGGCCTGGCCGAGCTTGTGTGCATCTGGTGAGAGCAGGTACTTGTGCGGCCCGGAGTTGGGTCCAGTGTGGCCTTAACAACGACAGCGGTTGTGCTCTCCGAGTTGTAGAGAGGTTTGGGTTGATTAACAGTGATGCTAGTAGGTCTAGGGAAAGAGGCGAGCTATCCTCCCAAAGTTGCTCTGTGGATGGGTCATCATCATTGGATTGACCGAACGCTGTGAAAGCTGCCAGTTGGTGTTGGCAGAACGTGCACAGCAAGTTCACGTGGAAGGTGCAGAGTCGCTTGCAGTGATACGGAGGGGAGGGGGCGGGGAAGGAGAGAGAGGGAGAGAGAGAGAGTAAGTTACATTTATAAAGACAGGTAAGTCTAACAAATGAGGACTGAGACCTCTACAACAGGGTTTTTACACCTGAAAGCAGGTGCATGATTTAACAAGCAGGTTGTCAGTCTAGATTTTATGCGCAAATGGAGGAAAATGCGCAGAATTTTTTGTAATGAGGTGAAAAGCAGAAATAATAAGAAAAGATGAAATGTAAGCCTGCTCACAACCCCACCCAGCCTTGCAAACTGGGAATGGTGGATTTAGAACCCGGGTTCAACGCTAGAGAGAGAGAGAGAGAGAGAGAGAGAGAGAGAGAGAGAGAGAGAGAGAGAGAGAGAGAGAGAGAGAGAGAGAGAGAGAGAGAGAGAGAGAGAGAGAGAGAGAGAGAGAGAGAGAGAGAGAGAGAGAGAGAGAGAGAGAGAGACTGGCCAAACACCATCTCGCAGCAGGGCCAGCATCAGGCGCTCATCTATTTTGACATCGAGTCCATCCCAGAGGTGCGCAGGGCATGGCGCGAAGCACAAATGGTATGTCCGTATGCTTGACAAACCCTTTTGTAAATACTGCGGAGGCAGCCTGCAGCTGAGTGACAGCCATACTGTAGGACCAGATATTTTAACGTCTACTAAAGTTAACGATCTCCGGATTTTTGTGGGTTAGCGTGGTGAAATTCTAACGAATTCTGTCTCGAAACCGGCAAGTGACTGTACATGTAGATATCGTTTTGTACGTAACGACTTATTACTGGTCTTACAGTATGTGCCAATGCATGTAGGGCCTGCTTCTCCACTCCTTCACGTGGTAAGACATGTATGAGGAGGAGAAATCTTCACTTCCGATTACTCCACCCGGATGGTGGTTGCCATTGGTCTTGGGATTTACGTCAGAGACGGAAAACAGGCGCTTGGCATCTTCCACTTATCGTAGCTTGACAAGCAAGGCAGATTTTGCGGTGTGCGGAAAATACCCATACTGTAAATCTACCAAAATTCGGCACGGAGTTATACTGACGGGTGCAAAATCTCATATCCCCTGTTTCCTTGATATGAATCAATTTGATGGCAGGCAAGAATCACCAATATGGTCCAATTTCTGAAGGTATACATCATGTATCTACCTCAAGCATTGCATCAGGACATCAGTATATTACAAGTTTCTCTGATGTAAATTGCAGTACCAATTCACGGAAATACGTCTCTGTTTGTTCAACTCACCAACAGCGATCTCCAGGGAATTTGCAGGTCCCCATGTCGGGTGCTCCGAAAAACACTGGTGGTACGTGCGGACATTCGACCACAAGGCGTATGCCTCAGAAAGATCTACGCGTTGGGAGCTTGAAATATCGTCTATACATTTCCCGGCCTTTCACTTTGGCGGAATCGATCTTGTGATTGACTTGCTGGTCGGTGTACGTTTCTTTGCTTCCGATTTCAGTCATGTAGGTGTTGAGATTCCTTGTGACAATGCTGACTTTCTCTTTGCGGGACATCATCTTCTTGTCTGACGATTTCAGCATCTCACCCCACAAAACGAGGAACTTTTTCTCGGCGTGGTCAGAGAACACAGTCTTTCCCATCTTTAATAAAATCTACGGCAAGGCAAACACTACAAAACACTACAAGGCAAGGCAACACTGCAAAACTCGGAAACAACAAGGTGGAAAGAGAAAGGGCGGAGAGCCACTTGTTTTGACCTGTCGTGTGAATCTCTTTCAGTTTCGTTTGAATTTCGCGCACTTTCAGGTCTTGTTTCGCGCTTTTTTGTGTCAAAATTACTTGTGCACGCCAAGATAATCGTGGAAGTGGGCCCCCAGCTCGCTTGCACTTTTCAGCCACTTTCAGGCACTTTTCTCGTTCACAGGTGAAATACCATAGCAACGTTCCGGTGCACGTCGATTTGCCTGTCGTGCGAATCCCCTATTACGAAAGTTTGAAGTCGCCCGGTAAACTCTTCATACCGGGTTAACGAATATTCGCCATGAGAAATATTCGTTCGAATGTGCCAAACCGAACGAATATTGGGTATATCATGTCCTCTCAGTATGATGATAGTGACGGGACCCGGCCACCAGCAGGAACGGAATACCCGTATGTGCACGGTGGCTTGACTACTCAAACCTGGGCAAGTAGTTCTACATGAAAAATAAGGACAACTTGGGCTGTGACTCGGAACTCTGTTCTTGGGCACCAGGCAGTACTGTAACCGTTACATGCACTTCTAAAAGAAGTAGAAATATGAACGTCACGATGGTATTCATGAGTCTCGGCTTTATTTGAAGTGTTATACTAGTAGTATGTTGATCTTTCCCTACTACTAGTATTGCTACAATCTGTTATACTCTACGTCGACAAATTTTCGGCCCATTCAAATTTCGGCCTCCCAGGGCTAAAACACAATCATTCGGCTGCAACATATTTCCGGCCTGTACTGCTGCTGCCTGTATACATGTGCACTGTCGCACTGAACCTTGCAAAACAAAATTTCGGCTGCAACGAATTTCGGCCAAATATGATCAGGCCGAAAATAGCCAAAAATAAATATGCGCCGAATAGTTGTTAGCTTACAGCAGTCTTGTCAGTGCTTCTAAAGCTGCTGCTATTCTGTTGTGACAAAAGCGGCAAAACCTCAACTCAGTGCAGACAGGCATTACAGATAATCACTGAATCGTTCGGATAGTTGACGCTCTGATATGACGGCATTCTGCTGTGATACAGAAACACAATTCTGTGTTTTGTGCACTCTTTTGAACATTTCAGGTCATCTTGCTGATCGGATGCAAGTGTGGCGTGAACAGGACCAAGAACAACGACACAGCCACCCTAAGCTGCAGCAGCAACAACAGCAGCAGCAACGAGAACAACAGAGGCAGCTGCAACAACAGGAACAACATCGACAGCAGCAGCAGCAACAGCAGCAGCAACAACAGCAACAGCAGCAGCAACGACAGCAACAGCAGCTGCAGCAGCAACAGCAGCAGCAGCAGCAGCACCAGCAGCAGCACCAACAGCAGGAACAACAATTGTACCGTCACTATGAGCTGCAGGAGCAGCAGCAACAGTTCGCTTCCTGCGATGCACCACTGCAAGCTACCAATGATGAAGATGGATCTTGGTTGCTTGGTGGAAATGCTTCTTCGTTCTTGCTGGATGATTCATTGGTACGAGATGACCCAGCTGAATAGTGTTGAACCGGGTACTTCTGCTTCTGTCCGTTCGTTACCTTCAGACAGTGTACAGCACAGTGCACGCAGCCGCCGGGTTTGCAACCACGTGACTTCTGTTGCCGTCCGTCCGTCCGTTCATGGTGGATACTGGGCACTTAAACATCCTTTTGTTTGCACTGTAAATAAGGCTCCGTCTCATGTCACAGTGACACATGACTGTACACAAAGGTTGGCTATGTGTTGTTCACAAGTCCCACTAGCACTACTGCCAAACAGATGTTCTACTGCTTTTAGCCCCTTCAGGTGGATAATCCTGCATTCAACTAGTACCCTGGTGTATGTGTGTGCATGTTGTATATGTAGTGATATCTAGTGTAGACCTTTGACCTCACTTTTACTTTATATGTATTTTAATTTTTCAATTTTAGCTATTACTGCGTGCATAAAGTGCACTGTTGATATTTTTTGGGATTTGGGTTTTCTCACGCTGTAAATCGCATGTACATCTTTTCTTGAGTTGAGTTTTGCGGATTTTTTGTTTGTTTCCTTTTGCTCTTGCTGAGAGAGACACGTTGCTGCATGGAAAGCCTTCAGTTCCCGCCAGCGCCTCCGTACTGAGGAACATTACTTGCTGTACCCCAGACAGAAAATCCGCAAAACAAAGTGATAACCTACCCGTGAACCCCGGGGCCAGACCAGCAAGTGTACAGTATTCAACTCCTGTAGATCTACCAGGCTATTAGATAAACCTTGTTTGTTCAAACATGTTGTTGGTTGACAGCATGTAACAAGATGGAGGACACCGTGTTCGGAAAAATGTGACCTTTCTACAACCATCCACGGTTGGTAGAGCCCCGGTCCGTTGTGACCATCTGAACCGTATGGGTGTTAGACCCGGTTCTGACCCTCTCTATTCTAGGGGAGTTGTCTTAGACTTCTCGTACCGTCAGTCTTGTATTCTGTGTTCGCTCTGGATGTCTTCTTGATACTCATAGACTTTATAAATAGTAGCTACTGTAGTCAAGTTTGTTCTGAATTGTTCTTCTTTCCTCTTTTTACACTCTTTTTCAGTTTCCCTTTTCCAACTTCTGCCCATGGCCGTATGACGTCCCTCTCTCATGAGCTCAGCTCGTCAGCTGACTTAACAACAGTCAGACTCACTGTCAGTCACCACCATGTATGTACCATGTACCAGGGAGTCGTCAAAATACTGTATTCGACGACTCCCTGGTCACCACTGTTGTGAGAAGGTGCTCTCTCTCTATCTCTGCAGTCTGTATGCTGTATGTAGCCGAGGTTGGTCTACTCTTGCCAGGTCTAGACGTCAACCGGGACGATACTCACGAGATAGCGTCAGCTGCTCGCACATGGCGCGTGTACTAGTGGCACGTGGAAGTCACTTTGTGATGATGCGATTCGGATATTATTGCATAATGCTGATTGCCAGATTGGTGTGCGATCGATACACGCATCACGGCTGTTATGCATGCATAATCCAGCGACATTATGTACGGTACGACATTTTCCCGTCGCCCCAGTGATCCATGATGCTGTCGTACGCGACCTTGCTGCCTTTTTCAAATCTCTGGAAATATTCGGCAAGGTTTCGCCCATGTTTCTGTCGATTCCAGCCGTTTTCTACGTTGGATTCGCGAAGTCTAAGCGAATTCACCTTCCTGCCTTCAAGCTGCGCAAGCAGATATTTTGATCGTCAAAATGCGCAATGGGAAAGTGAAGTTACGATCTTTTTCGTTTCGTTCTTCCTCGTCGTGCCGGCCATTGGCGTTTATCAGAATTGGCTCACATTCGAGGCTTCCTCCTAAGGGGTGCAGAATTTTTGGCAGCCTTCACGCCAATTTTCATTGAAAGGTTTGTCCTTTTCCTACGTCGTAGTTATATTTTCATTGCCGCCCAGATTATCGTTTTCGTGCCCAAGTCGATTTGCGTGACGTACTTGGACGTCAATTGCAAGTGTTTGCTGATAATGCAGGATGAGTGGAAGTGTGTTCTCCTGCCTCAATGTCTAACGAAGACCCCGGTTTCGTCCGCCATAGGAGGGATCCGTGCATGCTTCGTTCTGGATGTTAGCAAGTACAAATCAGACATGCATCCAATGAACATTTTTTGAAATCCATGCTTTCGAAATGTATGTAGAAACAGGACATTGTGTAGAGATTTTAAATGTCAGAGATGCAAGATTCCCCATCTGTCTGAGGCCTTACGTGTAGACACATAGGCATGGGTTTTTTGTATTACTAGTGTTACTGCAGATTTAGGCCACGCACAATGTAGTCTTTCGACGATCCTGCTGAAAAGCACACACTTGCATGCGTAAAGACCATACTGAAATACTTCAAGTAATTGAACCACAACAAACGACAACCATGATGCAGCTTATATATCTTGCACTACATCAGCACTAAGCACAGCATGGCACTCAGGACAGGGCCGCTGGTGATGGCCGTACCCGGTTTTACCACTCTCGGCGTTCATGATAATTACATGTAACATGTTCAATATGCAAATGATTATGTAGAACACTAATAGGCTATCCTCGTACACTCCTCACTAGAGTCCCTCCTAAACTGCTTTCTACCTTAGTGAGGACTACTGTACAAGCTGCATTATGCAGAGTATCTGTTGCTACCGGAGTGTGTAGCCGAAACAACCAGGTTATTATTCTGATGCGAATAAGATACACAGCATCACGCATCTTCATGACCGTGCCATTCCTATGGAGCTGGCTCAGGGCTTGATGGCAATGCAGTTCACCTGCTGAATTGACAGATGTCCATGAATTCATTTTAAAATAACAAGTCGGTCAAGTGAGAATTCAAGTCGGCAGGAATAGCGCAAGCTCCTACGTAGGGAGCAACACACAATTCCCCAAGTATCGCCGAAGTCGCATCAACCTCTTCTTCACATTAATTACAATACGGCGAATTAAATCAAAGCTGTACTGAGAAGCTAAATAATTCTGTGACTTGAAACAAGCATTGATAGAAGAATAACACCTATAGCAGGTCCATGTGCTTTAAAAGTTGGAGACTGGAAGATATCCTCTATTTGTACACTAACAACACCAACATGGAAGCGTTGCGGGCAACCAACTCCGCCATGCTATGACACTTGATGATGTATTGTGGTACTTTGCTTATCACTGCAAGCCCACTGGTTGACTTGATCATCATCCATTGCTACTTTCATGACGAAGATCAGCAGTGCAACTGTGGCAATAAATATCACCGCCTCCAATGCCGCACTTATTGGAGGAGCACATTCTACTGGAAATGAAACACTTCAATGTTCAGTTGGTGCTGATCTGGAATAGTATGGAGAGTAGGGTGGTGAAGGGTTACACGCAAATTCAACATCCTTGCCGATGAGCACTGTGGAGCATGTGCAATGCAGAAACTGCTGTCCAATAGTATACAGAATCTGATTTCCAGCAATCCTAATATCCTCACATTGATCCCAAAGTGAAGAGCACACGCATGAAGAGACGTACATGTAGCTGCTATGTCATCAACTTTGCGTTGAGAGAGTAGCAGACGATCGAATTCTATCCTTCTCCAAGATGAATTGCAATCAGTCTAACGATTTATTTGTGCTCTTTTCTTATGCACGGAAATCTGGCTGTAAGCTGTCCTCAGGGGAGAACATGTTCTAGAATAAGAGCAGTGGGGTTCCATCTGTTCACGTCATGATGGTAGTGAGTCAAGCAAACGTGCCCTCTTCTTGTTCCGAAGTTTCAAACACACCTAATTCCATGATGCACTACATTTAAATACTAGAATTTATTACACTGCATAGTCTTGAAAACAATTCCTGTATTGACTCCAGGACATACTAACTTCAGTACTTCGCCGAAGGGAGTCTTCCAGGTCTTGGTGGTAGACTTATTCTCCTCCAGCATGGCCTCATACGACCTCTCCAAGGCACGAATCCATCGCCCCAAAAACAAAAACTCTCTTCGATAAATTTGAAAAATGTGCAGAAAGACTGCACGCGTCGGCACGCTGTGCGTACGCGAGCTGTTGCGATGCTGGTTGCTACGGTACGCCGCCATATTGATAAATGTCGCACTCAGAACAGCCGTGGCATGCTGCTTTTCGAGCGCTTGCTTGCTGACGTGTTTTATTACCACTGCCTGGCAGTGTTGTTATTGTGACTTGTGTCTGATCCGACGTGTACATCTCAGCTGAGTGTTGTGTCGTTGCAAGAAGAAAGTTCTCTCCAACTACTTCGCCATAAATTACTTTGTGATAAAGCAGTTGTGCTGTCTGAACCCGGAAAGTGCCGGTGTTTACTGAGATCACAGGCTTGTGAAGTTGTGGAGGTTCTCAACACACAGATAATATTATTATAAGGTAAGCTTCGCAAGTATCTGACATGGAAAACTGCTTTTTGTTTGAAGTTGGATTATCTTTCATCGTAGCTATGCATATCATAGGAGATTGAGCACTTCATTGATTGCCATACCGTACCTGGGCAATTACTTTGCTGTAATTGTGTAGCGGTAGGCTATTTCTTGGTTTATTGTCGCTTGGCCAAGTTGATGCTTTCAAACTTTGCACATGAAGTGTAAGGCCGCAACCACACTACGTAAAAATCACAGTACAAATTTTCATGCATATCTCAGTACAAGTCGGTACTCAACCACACTACACTTTTCGGTCTGCATAGATGACGTTTTCACGCGACCAGCACGTGACGTTGCCGTACCAAAGCGTGTGCCATGCGCTGGAAAAGACCGGGAAATTCAAAAACAATGCTGATGCTGATGCTATGTACGATGACCCGGTACAAAAGCAAAGTTGTAGACAGCAGAAGGAGCGCGAAAACGACAAACGTGGCTTCCTACAGGGGTGCGCCAGTTGCTGAAAACCTACAAAGCGCATTTTGCATTTCGCACGCGTCGGCATGACGATTTCTACTGTAATGCCGTTTGTACGTGATTTTGTACCTAGTGTGGTTGCAGCCTAAGTTAGTTGGCAGTGACACTCAGCGTCATAGTATTACGTAGTGGTTCAATACACAATAGTACTCAGTAATAGTACTATTAGTAGTGAATATGCATGTTCAGTTCAACAAATAGTCGGCGCACATTTATTTTCGGCCTGAGGCTTCGATGTCCACCATAATGAATGAGTTGTGGCTGAACATTTTGTTTGCCTGATATGACCCTGACACTGCACATAATGTGACATTACAGTCAGTATAGAGGTTATGCAATTACATTATCAGTTGAAATGCTTTGTATGGAGTGGCAAAGCTATGGAACAGCGATGCACTAGCTCAAGCAAAGCCGCTGACTCCCACTTGGCACCCATAAGCTCGCGACCATGACATCATTTTCCATAAGGGGTCGTCCACAAATATCAATATTTTTTAGAGAAGATATTGATTCGTTTGGGGGAGGGGGTTGTCTCTGTCTCGTTTTTGTTTAAAAAAATATCGATCACTAAAATGTGGACGGGCACTGTGCAAACAAGTCGTTGATGACCTACAAAAAGTGAAAGTCAGCCTCGTGAATATAGCCACATCAAGGTTTTGCGACCGTCGCAATGAAAACTTATGTGTACCGTGAATTTGGAGTTGCGGTTGATCACGTTTCATGAGAAGTTGCACTTCATTGAAAAATATCAATCCCCTGCATAAACATGTGTATGTTCGTTTTGAGGGGGCAGGGGGTCTAGACGTCTGGGGAGAAATGAAAAAAATATCGTCTTGGAAAAATATCGGTACAATCAGACCTCGCTTGACCGCACACATCCGTTTTCCACAGAAATATCCGGATAATCGAACACACTGTGCTGTATGTATGCATGGCGTATGCTATGAATCGATAACCAAAGATTTTCTTCCGGATGACGAGGGATCCGGATAAAAGAGGACCGGATAAGCGAGGTCTGACTGTATTTACGGATGTCCCCTAACCTCTATACTATTGGCTGTACAGAATGTTGTAAAGATTTAACTCGGATACTGAGCCAGTAATAAATGCAAAGTCACTAAAGTAGAAGAAAACACAAGGGAATGAGTTATGAAGCAACTATCCACGACTGTAACAAGATGTTAAGCAATCAGAAAGTGCGATACCAGGGCACAAAACTGACAGGCTTCTGAGACATTCAAAGACCTGAGACCTAGCGCTAACACATCTCCAGTGCGTAAACCAACGGCCTTCCAATTGGAAGGTTCATGGTTAGGTAGGACCGAAGAGGAGAAGGTGAACGCGGCGAAAATGTGCACAAACTAAGTCCCACTGCACCAAGAATGCCGACTGTTACAGGACGATGACGAGACCAGTTACATGCAATAACATGACAATGCGGTCTAACTACAATTCGAAGCAGCAAAGCAACACACCACCCAACTTGGGTGGGTCAGCAATATCAGAGATAAAGGAAAGGGGAAGCTTTGCGAAAACGAATTGTACAAAACCGGACGCCAATATCTAACTGTACTCCTCATGCATGACACTATTGTGGACGAGTTGACTACAATAACAAGTAGTTTCACACGACGTACGTTTCGCCATAATGTTCGTGACGGCTCATCAGGTGTGCAAAATATAACTCTGATACTGAGCCAGTAATTCCACAATAGTGTCATGCATGAGGAGTACCGTTAGATATTGGCGTCCGGTTTTGTACAATTAGTACATACTTTGTGTAGCATGACATGTCGATTTTCCTTTTGCAGAGCTATATCTTGGGTGCTACCGGTAGGACGGCATGCAAGCTTCACTGCTGTGGATCTTTTTTATTGACTTCCTTTGTTTTCTTGTTTTGTTGATATTGCGCAATCAGACATCAACCATGCGCAGTGTAACAGCAATTGCATTTGCAGCCACTTTGATGCTGTTGGTCTGTGTCCATGTCGCACCATCACGGGCTGAGAAGGAGATGGACTTGTACTGTGCAGGTATTGTTATGACTGCTTTCAACGACATACGGTTTTGGAAACATTCCTTTGCCGAAGCTCTAAATTTGTGTCTTAACATTGTCACATACATGTACTTGGGAGCTACAGGGAATGAAACCATCTACCGTGTGTGTGTGGGGGGGGGGGGTGCATGTAGATGTGTGAGTGGGGGGGGGGGGGGGGATTGGGCATGCGCATTGATGTGGGTGTGCGCGCAGGTGTGGGTGTTTGTGTAGGCGTGTTAACTGGCCATTGAAGACCACTTCAAAAGCTGTATAGCTAAATAGGGGCAATTATGTCTTCAGCCTTGCTAATCCCAGCACAAGTCACTATGGCTTCTGCTGCACCATCGCTTCTGGTGGTGGGCTTATAAGATCTTAGGTGTGTGGGTGCATGCATGCATGCTTAACTCTCAGGACTCTTTTGTAGTATGGGTTCAATTGCAATGTCTTGATTGTCATGAGAAACAGAAGAAAGCTACATGTATAAGCAAGGTCCTGGCAAATGGGAATACATTCTGGTCAACTGATGTGGAATACTAGTGTGTTTTGAGTTTCTCCTTGTGTATTAATAGTGTCTTGAGTTTGATGTGTTTCATTTTGTCTGATTTCTGTTTCTATCTTCAAAGCATGCCACATGCTCGTGGATGAGCTGTTCTTTGCCAGGAAAGTCCACAATCCCAAAAAGAAAATTGAGGTATGTACAATGCTAAGATTTGTACTTTCCGTATCAACAATAGGCCTTATGCACGTTGTACAGATGCACGAAATCCCGTAGAATCCCGTAGACCCGGTTGGGTGTTGAATGTGCAGGACCATATTGTGTTTATTGCTATTTCCACAGCGAAATGGGCCCTGAAGGCATTTCATACGAACACTTTTTCGACAGTGATCTAGCGAGTCGTTAGTTCAATCCCAAAGTGAAGAAGCTGGAAAAGTGATTGTTCGCCGCGAATTATGAGGCTAAATGGGTCAAACACGCATGTATAGCACACAATGAACACCCAACCGGATATATACACACCTACGGCCCTATAACTAGTACAGAACTTCGTACATCTGTACAATGTGCATAAGGACTATTGACAAATCGTCCAATAACAAGTAGAATCTCGCTTGGTGTCTTTTCTGACCGGCAATTGCCAATGATTGATATCGGAATAATTAGTACTGTGCTGTGCTGTACTGTTGAAGTGTGTTTGATTTGACAGAGTACAAGCTATAATGTATCGTCCACATACATGGAGGATGTAGTCTGTAGCATTATGGTACTCTCGATCTCTGAGACTCTTCTTACTCCCATGACCCTAGTACCACTGTTGTTAGGACCGCACAGCAAGCTAGCACAGGAACTGAATTGCTCTAGCAAGAGTACACCGCCAAGCGTGTGCGACCGCACGATCATTTGCCCCCATAACGGAACATTTTTATGGCATAAGCATTGCGCAGCCCTACTGATGCCATCATCTGTAGTCATAAGTCATCGGCACCATGAATTGATACAGTGCTGTTCACTGAAATGCGATTACCGGTATGCGACTGATGCGAGTTGTTGTGCACCCCCACACCTGTAAACGCTGGACTGTGCACTGGTCCAGGGTGTAAACCTGACTCATGTGGTCGAATTTCATTGGGCAACACAGTACATCACGTCTATGGCAGTTACCCGTATTATTATTATTATTATTATTACTTCAAAGTACATGTTGAGTCACCTCCACCATTAAACTGCGCTCTTTAGCCGACTAGACCCTCCTGCACACAACCATCACCATTGCGAGGACACTTCCGTAGACGATATTGATAAACTCCTTCAGACAGCTGTTTCGCTAATACATAGCTCATCAGTGAAGGTAGATGTTGAATGATTAAAAATATAGACCAAACTGCTATTATATAGGGGGTTTCCACATACAAAACTGGCATAGCTGAGGTGATAACGCGGGGAAAAGTGTGAAGTACTGTTGACGCGCATGGGACATGCATGCAGTGTCGGAAATTCGGCGCGGAAAATCAATCACTATTCAATGCAGAAATAACTGCAATACTAGTACACAGACTCTCACTAGCTACATAGTACTCTGATTCTGGCACGTTATTTCTGCATTGAATAGTGATTGATTTTCCGCGCCGAATTTCCGACGCTGCATGCATGTCCCATGCGCGTCCACAGTACTTCACACTTTTCTTTTCCCCGCGTTATCACCTCAGCTATGCCAGTTTTGTATGTGGAAACCCCCTATATAATAGCAGTTTGGTCTATATTTTTAATCATTCAGCATCTACCTTCACTGATGAGCTATGTATTAGCGAAACAGCTGTCTGAAGGAGTTTATCAATATCGTCTACGGAAGTGTCCTCGCAATGGTGATGGTTGTGTGCAGGGGGTCTAGTCGGCTAAAGAGCACAGTTTAATGGTGGAGGTGACTCAATATTTTCTTCAATGGCCGAGAGCTCTGTCGCACCCTGTAATAATATCAAAGTACATGTAGTAGTAGTATTACACGCAATCATGTGGCGTTAGCCAACGTACGTATGATGTGGGCGATTATAACCAGCCATGGCGTAGCAGTTGAAGTAGAACAGCAGATTGAAGATACATTTATACAGAGCATGATGAACTTGCAGTCTTGCACCGTGTCACACATGACAAAAGCGGAAGGGTCTATCTACGCTTGATTACACTTCCATTCGAAATGGACACACAAATGTTTTGTCTTGGCCGAGTGTACTGTAGAACTCCTCTTATCCTGGCAGATTGGGACCAGGCACTGCCCGTAACTAGCAATGGCCCGTAGCTCAGTACATACTGTTGTGGACATGGAAATCCGGTCGCACGTCTAGCAGCCCCAGGGCGCTGGCCATGCAGCCGTGGATAAGCGGTACACACATGCATGTTGATGCGCTGCAGCGCGCTGGGTCGCATCGGATCAACATGTGCACTGCACGCAGCGGTCTGTATGCGCTGAGGGCGCCGGCCCCGGTCAATCGACTGGATTTCTATGTCTGGTACAGTACATACTTATTGTGTATACAATTATTAAAACGTTTTCATGCCAGTCAATAGTTTTGGGTCTGTTTTTCGTTGAGATGCCGATTTTTGTGTGACTCTGAAAAGGTGCTCAGTAGACATGCGTGCCCGGATGAGGTGCGTCCGGATAAGGGCAGTTTTACTGTATAACAGCTCAAGGCAGGGGGAGTTGCACCCTCTTTTATTTGTTTTAGCCATCCATCAGATCAGAGTGCCTCGCCCAAGTCCAGCTGCATTATGCTGTTGCGGTGGCTGTATACTTGTCTGTGTTGTGCAGGTTGGGAGCTTTCGGCTAGATCCAAGTGGAAAAACGCACACGAAAAGCATTGACTTCCTGACGAGTGAAGCTTATCTGACTGAACTGTTGGAAGATATCTGCGGAGAGGCCGAGAACTACATTCAGAACACCAATCCAGATGGCTCCCGTATCTTCAGGCGTATGCAATCTCGTGATGGCACTCCTCTTGGGTTGAACAACATCACCTACAATCCTGATGCACTGAGAGCACTGAGACACTATGTAAGTTGCTACATTTAACCCTTTGTGAAGTCAATAATAATAATAATTATTATTATTATGTACATGTAGGACTCACGGAGTACAAGTATGTGTGCATGCATGACTTACATGTGTGTGTGTGTGTGTGTGTACATGGTGTGTGTGTGTGTGTGTGTGTTAGCTGTACAAATATTACACTGCCCATCCACCACAGCGTCACCCTTTATCATGTTCTCTACTGGCCTAGGGAGGTGCACAGCATGACTGAAACGGCACAGCTTATAATATGTCAGAGGGTGGCTTCGCTATCACAGTTGCATGCATTTGTGCTAATGTGCTGTTGATAGTACAAATAACTTTTAGTTGGTGCACATGTTGAGAGATTGCGAACTTCTTGCTCTTGTATTCCCACCCATACATGCATACATGTACTAATGCTCGGCTGGTCTGGATCTATTTGTTCCTGATGTCTGCAGTGTGATAACACAGTGGAAGTGTACGAAGAGCAGCTTCTGGAGCTTTTCCGCAATAATCACCCAGATATCAAGAACCATTTTTGCATGGATGTGACGAGTAAGTTTATTATAATATTAGTCTGCCTGGGAATTAAATTTCATGCACTCTTTCTTTTGTTTCTAGTTTTGCAGCGTTGGTCATGCTACTGTTCTAGGTTGTGGTCATATACTCGTACGCGTTGTCGGTGGTGATTCTGTTGGTGGTTCTGCTGTTGCTGTTGCTGCTGCTATAAAGGTCAATTCACAAGACGACTTTTTGCGACGCAACACGCAATTTGCGACAGTTGCGACAAGGAAATGCCTTCCGCGAGCTGTCGCGTACAGTCGCAAGGCACTTGCCGCAAGTCGAAGAAAGTTCAACTTTGCGATGTGCGGCATACACAAATGGAGAACAGTTTCTACTCTGGATGCACGTGCATAGTACATGCACTGCACAGGGACGTCGCAAAAACGTAACCCATTGTGAATCGTATGTCGCAGCTCGTCGCAAGTCACATATCGCGTCGCAAAAAGTTGTATTGTGAATCGGCCTTTATTATTGGTGCTACCGAGAGTACATCAACCAGAGTGTTCAGCTCAGTGTCCGTGCAGCAAACAGCATACCCACAGCAAAGTTTGTTGTTTGGTCATCATGAGTAATTAATTTGAAATCCTGTCACGCCATAGGTTTGTTGAGAAATTGCCGTTTCACATTACAGGGTGATAGTGGGAAATGCATGTGTCCCCTTTCTTGCAACAAGCAGCAATGAGCAATAGAAAGTACCTCCATGGTAAGGTTAAACACCTGAAAATAGCCATGTGAAAAGTGTGGCATGCCATGAGGCATGATGCAACACAGCCGAGCAGTCACCAAGACCTACACAAGCATACGATTTTACTAAGGGCTCTTTCTGCAGGACTTGTGCACTCTGGTTAATGATGTGCTCTTGGTGCTGCTAATGCTCTTCTGGCATGTTGTTCTGTCTTTGCCTTTGCAGCACCAAGTCATTGAGGTATATTTTTGAAGTGTTGATGACTTGACTTGCTACTCTTTGCTGCTGCTGCCGTTGTCTCTTGTGTCCTTTGTCTACTCTATATCACTGCTGTCCTAGAATACTGCGACAAAACGGCAGAACATCCGTTCGCTGCCGTTGACAGAAAGAAGGAGAAAGACGAGGAAAAAGCAAGGAAGAGAGAAGAGAGGAAGCGAAAGAAGTTGGAGAAGGAAAAAGCGAAGAAAGCCACCAAAGCTTCGATTACGACAGACGTTCCATTGAAAAAGGAAGAGCTATAGTGGTGCAGACAGACTCTGCTTGCCTATCTTTTCTTCTTCGCTGTTCCTCCTCAACTTTGCTATTCTTGCTGAGACAACTTTGTTGTTTGCTTGCGCTAGTATTTATCAATATAAACTGTTTGCTGGTGAGAAAAACAGATGAAAAAATGAACGTGCCCGAAAGTTATCTTCTGCTATCACAAGTCCATGGCCTGTTCAAATGGCATCTTCAACACTGTACATTAATTAAGCTTGACACAACTCTGTACCTTGAGAATCATTACCTTTGCGTGCTTTTGAGCAGTGGCAGGTGTGCATATGCGTGCGTGTTTGTGGTGGCCGTATTGGCGTATACTAGTAGTCACACTGTTGACATTGCTCAAGCTTTGCAGCAGGAGGTTGCCATGCAGAACAAGAAACCGTGTACTCAAATCTCCGCACAGAACAAGAAGTGCATGTGGTGTTTCAAGTGCACTAGAGGGCATGATTGTGTACTCTTGCTGATATGTGTAGGGCTCATTGCCATGACTGGCCACTCTCTGCAGTACACATGGTACATGTCTATTACAGAATTGTCTCGTAACAGACACATCCTGGCAGAAAGCATGATTCAAAAATTGTAATATCTTCGCACTGTGCTTAATTGAATACATGTACCAGGTTTCATTATGTCCCCATTACTTGGCCGACACGCTCTTATTTTTTTACATGCAGTATCCATCCTACTTTCACTGCTTTTAACTGCTGTTTTTTTTAACAAATGTGCATGTGTTGGTATTGCAAGTACAAGGTGATTTGGCTTTTTTTTAACAAATGTGTAAAATTTGTTTTGTTCTGGCTGTTTCTCTGCTCTGGAGGGCTGTATTGAAACATAGGTCGTGGCATATGAGAGCCAGTTTATCGTAGATCAACAGTATCCAGGAAGTTTGGTGTAGTATATTATTTTCCTTTTTTTTGTCCGTGACTGGGCACTGCCCATAACTGGGAAATATCCGTCACTCTGAATCACGTCTGTTTTGATGGGGAAGCGCCAGAGCTAGAGATCTGGCATATAACGTCACTATTTCCACAAAACCGGCAAAACAAGCACTAAAAATTCTACTAAAATTCACCCACAGTGTGCCTGAAACTTTGAGGTCCGGATATTAAAGAGAGATATAACTTTATAAGTGTATAAGCAAGAGTACATGTACTCCTGGTATAAGCTATTGTGCTGTGGGATGTGACGCCAATGACTCAAGAAGACAAGTGAGACTACGGGTACTTGAAGGGACTATGCACGCGCCAACTACAGTACTGCTCAATGAAATCCAGTCGTCGAGTCATTCAAGTACGCGCCGGGCACTGGGCTGCGATGGTGCAGGACACAAACTTGAGTAACGCGACTGGATTTCATTGAGCAGCATTGTACATGTACAGTGAAACCCGTCTTAGCCGACCGCTCAAGCCAACAGACCTACAAAACGTGGTCCCCGTGTGCAGGCGGTCTCCTTATCCAGGGTCATTGGACTAGAAATAACACCCCTCGGTCCTAGTTGCCGTGGTCCTCTAGGACAGGTGGTCGCCTTGACAGGTTTTACTGTATATAAAGCACTAGCAATGCTCTGTTGCGACCATGCAGCATTGTCCATTGTGTGATCGAACCATCGTGTACATGATGATATACCGGCACCAGTACTGTCCTTTAATAGTGAAGTCCTAGCCTGTTCGTCTTTCGGGGCTCGATAGCACTGTATAGAACTCAAAAAGCAAATGGTATTCATTAAGATACGAACTATAACTTCAAACCAAAGGGTGAGAAGTACAAAGGATTTCGTCTACAACATAAACAAAAAGAGTGAGAGGAACGACAATGTCATGCTGACTTTTAACAAGACGGTATAATGTTGTGCGCACTGTATTATTTTATGCCAACATGAAGCGAACATGAAAGATATGAAGCGAACACACTATAAAACAAGACTCTCCACCACTAGTCAATTAACCAGCCAATAACTGCTGATGGCAGATCTTCGAAGCGAGTACCCTATGTTTAAAACTGATCTCAAGAATTTTTTGATGTCTGGTCAGAGCAATTCTGTCCAGAAGGAAATATATAATTATGTGCAAATGTTTTCTTCTTCTTCTTCTTCTTTTCAGCATGACAGGAGAGCTGTGCTGGCCTCAATAACGATATTTAGTTGAGTAGTCCTTTGGTGATACGACCAGACCGCGTCCTTTCCGTGCACCTCGGTAGACGGTTTCTACGATATCTATCATCTCCTGGCTGTCCTTGATTGCCCAGTTGATCTTATTGTTATTTCCTGTCCCCAGATCAATCATGATATGCTTGTTTCGATAGAAGAACATCAACGTACATGGATCATACAACTCGTACATCTTGTTGAAATCTGGAACCTCCGTTATGTCCACTAAGTAGATGGCAGCATAATTCTTTACCTTCTCTGCAACTCTGTACAACGTCTCGTCCATGGCCATGCATGTAGGGTCCCAGTCATGGCCAAACCGGATAACAACGACACGATCCTCCTCCGTCACAATACCTTGATCCACTTGATATCCATTGTGAAGATGCTGGAGCATGTACGACATGGTTGACGGTCGATGTTCCAACTAATCCCACTAGAATAGAACTAATGTTCGTCAACAACACAGATTGCTTTTGCCTCCGCTTTTGAAGCTTTTGAAGTAATAAACACGAACAATGAAAATATAAAACACGTTTCTCTTTCAAACTTTTTCAATCTTTTTGTAGACGTGTGTACTGTACGTACTACAAAAAAATGCATGTCTGTCACAGTGGGAAAGTCCCCTTGTCTGAAGAAACCCGTACATCTCGGCAGTACAGTGGTCATCAGCGCTGCAGCGTACATCACAACCCAGAAACCAGCATGAGAAACACTGTCTGTTTGAACATTCAATAATATTAATTATTATTAATATTATGTTCATGTTCAGGCTTTGTACAATTGTAGTTAGACTTGGGTGAAGTGGAAAGACTCTCTCTGTTCCTTGACTTATCCCCCGCCTTATCAAGTACCGAATTTTTGCCTTTCAAGATGAAGGTAAGTCCACGCACAAAATTTATTTTGATTTTTCACGGAAGTTTACTTTGGGTTTTCGGTGATTTGAATTTTTCAAAAGTAAACGTTGCGTCGAAATGGAGATGCCTCCCAAGCCGAAACAAGCCGAAACAAGGTTTTTTGTTTTTGTTTTGGCTTATTACAGTCGTAACACAGTGTATACGTTTATTGAGAAATCCTTGCAGTGTGTTCTTTACACTTGAAAACTGAATGCTACATCCTATTGGCCTAACCAATGCACCACACAGGCTCGTGTCGTAGCCACACTGAATAAATAGTAATTAAATACCAATATTTGGCAGTGCGCAAGTGTAGTTAGTACAGTGTACTAGCATGCTACAGTCCATTTCAAAAATATGGACGCATGGTGTTTTTGAAATATTTCAAATCTGGCTGGAGCTTCTGGAGATTTTTCCGGAATATTACTCAGGTCCTTCCCACTCTCATATCGATTTTTAAAGGGGAAGTTAAGGCAAAAATCAAAATTTCACCAGTTGTAGTCTTCGGGGTGCTGAGTCGAATGGTCTTGGTCCGAGAAAGCTGAGACGCTCCCTTCCTACTTGAATCCCAATCGAACTCGCGCACTTCCACCGAAACTGGGTGACTGCGCCCTACTAGATGGGGATTTGTATGCAAAATGTCACTAAAAGCGCCATTTCGTTCTTATAAAAGCACGGATGACCGCGATTGGCCCATATGTTGTAGTCTTTTGGACGCTGAGTCGACTGGTTTTGGTCCGAAAAGGCTGCGATGCAGCGTTCGCCCCTAATTCCCAATCGAACATGGTTGAACAAGCGGTCACGTGCTCCTGCGTACACCAGTCACCTGGTCACCGTGCCTGCAGGGTACAACTTACTAGCCTGTTTTGACCTTTTTTGGGTGCAGTCCTGTCACTCGAGTTGAACCTTGGTGTGAAAGTTGTCGCCTGCTGGCGTGGTGACCAGGTGATTTTGGCACCCAGGAGCACGTGACCACTTCTTCAACCATGTTCGATTGGGAATTAGGGGCGAACGCTGCATCGCAGCCTTTTCGGACCAAAACCAGTCGACTCAGCGTCCAAAAGACTACAACATATGGGCCAATCGCGGTCATCCGTGCTTTTACAAGAACGAAATGGCGCTTTTAGTGACATTTTGCATACAAATCCCCATCTAGTAGGGCGCAGTCACCCAGTTTCGGTGGAAGTGCGCGAGTTCGATTGGGATTCAAGTAGGAAGGGAGCGTCTCAGCTTTCTCGGACCAAGACCATTCGACTCAGCACCCCGAAGACTACAACTGGTGAAATTTTGATTTTTGCCTTAACTTCCCCTTTAAGCGATCAGATAACAAACGCCCAATTTCGAAATTTTTGTGCACAAAGGGATCACAGATTTTATGTGGTATAGATGCTGGCCTAACAGTTTTTTGAAATCACGCGTCTGTATATATTTTTGAAACGCACTGTAACATACTACTATCTCTCACATTCACGATACCTGTGGGCCTGTGTGCATGTCTGCTGTGATGTTTGTTGTGTAGGTTGCCATTGAAGGCTGTTGCCATGGTGAGCTGGATCAAATCTATGCCACGCTGCGCCAGGCAGAAGAGAAGGAAAACGTCAAAGTCGATTTGCTCCTGATCTGTGGAGATTTCCAGGTAAACCCCCGAAAAAGGATTACATGTCATCCGAGTCAACAATAGTTGTGTACTGTACCTTCGTGGCACGTGTCACATGATTTCAACAGCTTTTGTTTTCACGGTGTCTGTATAGGCTGTCCGAAATGAGTTTGATTTGGAGAGCATGGCTGTTCCGGTGAAGTACAGACAGATGCAAACATTTCACAAGGTGAGATTAAATTTGGTTTAAGAGTGGTGCTGAATTTATTAATTTATTATTCTGTTATTCCATGATGGCTTGACGCCAGTAAGGAAAATGCCCGCTTGCCCGCTATTCAGAGCCTCTATGCACAGACCCGGTCACGACACAATGAGGTTTGATAGCCGTATAGTATACGGGTAGCCATGATGCTGAACTAGTAGGTAACATGTAATCAATATCCGGATAGCTAGTATTTCAACCTTTTTAGGTCTCATTAGCAGAGCTGAAGTGACTGGCCAAACTGATCACAATGAAGACAACAAAGCATGTTTAGACTGTCTCAACGCATCAACGTCAGAGTGTTCTAACTGCAAGAAACACAGTGAACTCTGCACAAGGACAAGTAACTTTGACGCCAACCAGAAAGAGTGCTCGACCACGCCGAGGCGAAGAAGCATAATAGTCAATTTCCAGACCGCTAGTCATTTCATGTCAACCTTGTTTGTTCTCATTGACGGAGCACAGAGTGACCTGGGGGGGGGGGGGGGGGGAGGGGGGATATTGTACTATCATGTAGGTGTGCGGAGCACAGAGTGACCTGGGGGAGGGGGGGGGGGGGGGGTATTGTACTATCATGTAGGTGTGCGGAGCACAGAGTGACCTGGGGGGATATTGTACTATCATGTAGTTGTGCAGAGCACAGAGTGACTGGGGGGATATTGTACTATCCTGCAGCAGTGCAAAGTTCAGAGTGACTAGCGGGGTGATACTGTACTATCCTGCAGCTGTAGCTGGTCTACATGTAGTGTTGCTTCATGTAATAAGCTTCCTCCATGTAGTTGAAGTTGTGTTGTTCGTTTGAGGAAAGTAGGACCAGCTGCTGGAACAATGCTCAATGTGCTGGGCTTAAAGTCTTGAACAGTGGTCAGTGCACTGGACACAGAGACTTTACACACACAGAGACTTTACACACACAGATCAGTGGTCAATGCACTGAGCACAGAGCATTCTATGGTCATGAACACTCTGAATAGCAACTAATATGGCTGGGTGTTTTCTTTCTCTCTTCCATGTGTGTTGTTTATTTGAAATTGTTTCAGTACTACAGCGGTGAAGCTGTTGCTCCTGTTTTGACTGTCTTCATTGGAGGCAACCATGAAGCCGCCAATCATCTCTGGGAACTGTGAGATGTGATTTGGTTGATTCCCTGACCTTTTTGAGCATGGTGTTGGCACTGATTTAGCTCTGCATTTGGCAGTGACCGCCGTGGGCTGAACTTTAGCCCAGTCTTTGTCATGATAATATTGTTTTCTTCAGTTCTCTCGAGTTTTGCAGTACACGTACCTCCGAGATGGCTACGAAACGGCTGCTCGTGTTCACGTTCAGGTTTTGATGTTTGTATGTGTGCAAGCATGCGTGTAGGCATGCACGTGTGGGTGGGTCGGCATTTGCGTGCGTTTGTATGCGTTTGTGTGGATTTGTGTGTGGGTGTGCCAGCTACATGTAGTTAGGTAGGTGGTGCACTTATGCCAATTACTGTTCCGACCTGATGCCATTGGGTTCGGCTTCTTGAAGATGTATTGTCATTGTTGTACCTACCACCAAGACTATATCCCACTGTAGAGTGTGCAATTCTGCGTATTGACGGCGAAAACTCAAATCACATGTTCCAAGGCCGTTCGTATTGCATGTATGTACATGAACAACGAAGGCCAGCCTGCGCAAAGACCGAATAACTGCCATGTTCATGATGATACCTCGTATTAGTTGAGTAGAGGGGATTCTGTCAGGGAGCGCTTTTTGCCACTCCAATGCTGGCTAAAGACAGGCAGCTGGGGCTGGGAACGTACAGTATAAAGACACGTGATGTGAGTCTCTCTCCCCTCACCTGGGAAGACCCACGTGACCACTTATTGGTAGTGAGCAAGTACAAGGGTGTTCTGTTTTTTGTTTTTTGTTTTGTTTTTGTTTTTTTCTTGCTTATTGTGTGTGTGTGTGTGTGCTGCTGTCGCTGTTTTTGCTTCAAATCTTTATTCTCATGATGACCTGTGGCTGATAGGAGGTTGTTGTTGTTGTTGTTGTTGACGTTGTTGTTGTTGTTGTTTAGACCCTATGGCGGATGGGTTGCTCCAAACATTTACTACATGGGCTTTGCATCGGTACTGACGTATGGCGGCCTTCGGTTTGGAGGGCTAAGTGGAATCTTCAAGCAACAAGATTTTCTGAAAGGTAGTTTGTCTCCAACATCCACCTTTTCACATTATTTTGATAATGATGATCACAAGTATTTTGATAATGATGATCTCAAGTATTTTGATCATGATGATCACAAGTATTTTGAATTTTTGATCATGATGATCACAAGTATTTTCACGAGGCCCAATTCTTGTTCTCTCGTCTCTAGGGTGCAGTTGTACTGCTTTCCATCCTACACAATTCACTTCCTGCTCATCTCTGTTCTTTCTGTTGCAAGGCCATTTTGAGAAGCCACCATTTGATCAAGGCACGGTGCGCAGTTTCTACCACATCCGTGAAGTTGATACCTTTAGACTACACCAAGTAAGGCGTGGCTGAGATTTGATCCTTATCCTCTTTGCAGCCACTCCTGTGATTTACGATGCTCTTGGACTGCATGGAGGGAAGTGTTGGCCAGTTTTTGTCTTCAGTTACTTTGTGTCCATGCTCAGGGATAAGGAGAAAAAAGAGCCAATGAAGTGAAGGCATGTATTTGCCATGATAGGGGGCTGTATGAGACGACAACAGGCTGGTCTCTAACTGTAGAAATAACCATGCTCTGGCAATTGTTGTAGTTGTTGTGCTCAGTGGCAGGGCTGTGTCGCAGTCATCCCTGGCAGCACTACACTACTATTAGTCTGTGTTGGCTACAGGTAGTTGAATTTCATCGAGCATTACCATATTGTGAAGACTTGAAGTGCAATGTACACTTGCAAGGACCACTTTAGAAAGGCTTTGCGATCTGCATACCGGTATCCGTCATCACATCAGAGTCCTGCTTGCCGGTCCGCTGTCGCCAATCACTGTTCTTTTAAAGAGTAATAGAGATACATGTACCGGTATGTCTGCTCATTCTGTGTTCTCCACACAGCTTGCACAGCCCATGGATATTTTCCTGTCGCATGACTGGCCCAATGGAGTAGCTCACCATGGTAACATTGACCAGCTCTTGTCGAAGAAGCCGTTCTTTCGCGAAGACATCGAAAAGCATGCTCTGGGGAGTCTTCCTGCCATGGAGTTGCTGAGGAAGATGCGACCACTGTACTGGTTTTCAGCTCACTTGCATGTCAGATTTTCAGCCGTTGTAAGTGTTACTAGTGTTACTTACTTCTCTTTCTCGTATTACCAACTTGCGACTTGCAATGGCTAGATCTCTAACACGGAATACATGCATGTACATGTAAGTGGGTTCATTCTTCATACGTGTAGTCTGAAGTACTAAGTCTTATGGTGTGACATCTACATGTAAGAGTTAGACATATCAGAAACAGGAGAACAAGAGCAGGGGAAGTGGTGAACAAGAGGGTGCAGGAGTGGCATAGGGGTGGGTCTCTGATGGGTGCACATACTTTGGTCAAGCAAACATAAGTCCATTGAATTCTTAGAAAGAGTTTTCGGCAACTCCATGGCGACCTGATCAGGGAGTTTTTTTTATCCTCATTGGCTTCCTGCCAGTTTTTCGTGAACATCTTGACAAACCGCGTTGTTTTGATTTTCTCCGCCTGCTCGATTATTGTAACAATGACGACACTCGGCGGGGCATCAGGAAAGTGTCCTTATTCGCGAAGTGTCGTTATACCCGAAGTCTCATTATATGTGTTACAGTTGGAGGGGACTTTGCTCTGGGCATGGAAATTCTGTCGTTATTCGCGAATTGTCGTTATATCCGCAGTCGTTATTAGCGAAGTTGACTGTAGGTCATTACAGGGTTTGAAGTGGGTTCTGAGAAGAGGTGACTTTTTAATAGATGAGGGTGTCAGCTGGTCTACTTGCCACGCTGCGCTGCACGAATCCAAGAAATACTACTGCCGTGGACATGGAAATCTGGTCGAATGACGTGGGGCCGGCTCCCTCAGTGCGTACAGAACATTGCATGCAGTGCACGTGTTAATCAGATGCATACTCACGGCTGCATGGCCAGCGCCCTGGGCCGCTTGACCTACGACCGGATTTCCATGTCCACGACAGTAGCTACTCCGATATACGCAGGTGGTCAAGGAGTATAACAGCGCTGCATGCTGCACCTTTTAGATGAGTGACACAGTTGAGACCGGTTAACCGATAAGGCGGCGATCTTGCCCGTCGGCCTATCAGCACTGAACTATGGAATTCACAAGCATTGACTCAGCAGCAAGGTGATGCCTTTTGAATAGACATGGTTAGCATTTTACCGTTTACGCTAAATCCAACGGTACTCGTGCCCAGCACCCAACATACCGTTGGTTTGGTATCGTTTCAACGATAGAAGGCTCTGTTTACCGGGAGAAGGAAAGTTACGAAACAGTGCGATTCCAACTAGTGTGACGTCACAAACCGATTGTTGTGTCAGAAACCGAAATGCTGGCCATATCTTGAAAACACACAAAAACGGTACAGGCCAACGGTGGAAGTTAGCGTGAACAGTAAGATGCTAACCATGTATAATGTTACTAGCAGCACCCCAGGCCAGCGTTGCCTGGCCGAATGTGGCATGCGGGTGAAGCAAGTACATGAACAGCACACTTGCTCAGCACGTGGTGGTGGCCAGACCGCTGAAGTCCTGGTGAGGAAGGTTCTTCATGGTTGGAAGGAGAAGGAGGGACGTCTGTTACGCCTTCGGGAGGCTGGTCAGGGTTGTCCATCACCTGATGGCGGATGAAGCGGCTCAACAAATTCATAAACTTACGAACAAAAGTGCGATGCGCTCTTCACTGCAGATCAGATGCAGAGTGCAGTCAGTGCAGATCTTTTGTATCCTTTTGTTGCAGATGTTTCTATTTGCAGAGAACGGTTCACGTGGTCCGCAGCACTTGTGCGGCTGCTAGTGCTACCTATGGCCTAGGCTAGGTGGCTACATGATTCGCACGCTTCGCGTGCTCAGTGCTTCTGCGCGCGGCTGCTACTGCTACTCGTACTGATCGTGGCTGCTACCACCTACACTGCACTGTTCGCACGCTTCGCGTGCTCAGCACGTGGTGGTGGCTACACGATTCGCACGCTTCGCGTGCTCAGTGCTTCTGTGGCTGCTTCCGCTAGCTACACGATTCGCACGCTTCGCGTGCTCAGTGCTTCTGCGGCCGCTAGCTAGCTACACTGTGCTACACTGTACGCACGCTTCGCGTGCTCAGGGCAGCGCTGCTCCGCAGCGCTTCAGCGTGACACAAAAACACACGTCACAGGTGCCTCTTCTTTATAAGGAGCGTGACACACACACACACACACAGACACACGTCACAGGTGCCTCTCTTTTATAAGTAAAGATGTACAGTCATATTACATAACCATCACGGCTTATGGCTCATTCTTGAACAGTGTGCAGAGGAGGAGAGTGTGTAGGATAGCAGTTGTGTATGATATCCTGCCATAAATGTCGGGTTTTGAAAGCTGTGTCAGAACCCCCCCGTGGCCGTGGGTCGCTACAACTACGTCCCTGGATGCGGGGTTTTCCGCTGCTTGCACTTTCTTTACTACTGTGTTCTACAAGTAATTCACTTTGTTCCCGATTTTTGTTCCAGTTTTTTTATTCATTTTGCATGACTGTCTGATTCACACGCAACTGTGTATGTGTGCTGGTGTGTGTGCGTGTGTGGTGTGTGCGTGTGTGTGTGTGTGTGTGTGTGTGGTGTGTGTGCGTGTGTGTGTGTGTGTGTGGTGTGTGTGGTGTGTGTGGTGTGTGTGTGTGCGCGCGTGTGTGTTTCTTGCTGTGGCCATTGCGGTAATTGTCTTTGCAGGTGCACCATGACAAGTCAACTGCTGAAGATGACCAACCTACTGTGACCAAATTCCTTGCACTGGACAAGTGCTTACCGCGGAGAAATTTCTTGCAGGTAGGAAGCAACTTGTGCGAGTAAAAGTGATTGAATGAGTCTGTCCGTGCATAGTAAACCCATAATATGATGTACAATTGCAGTCAGTTGCACTGTAGTTTACGAGTTTACTTGGTCCGTTTCATCGCAATTGTCGCTTACCTATCGCAACTAAGAACAAGAGTTATTTTATCGCTCTGTAAAATTTCCAATACGCATAGTGAAGAAGCATGATACAGGATACCTGTACGCCAGAATAAAAATAATTCAGCGATGGAATCTGATGAAGCAAGGTTACAAAAATGTACAAAAGAAACCAGCGACGGAGAGCGTTCTTGCACTCACGCTTCAGTTTATCCGACTCTGGCTCTGTATCACTCGAGCTGATGTCACTTGAGCTGACATTCGCTGGTGTGTATAGCTGCTGGCGCCATGGCGTAGAGTATCTCTTGCTTTCTCCGCTTGGCGTATGGCAGCGATGGGAAAGGAACAATCGTGGCTGTCACTTTGGCACTTGGAGGATCGTGGGCAGCGTGACCCGTGTGTCACCACTGTGTGTTTCAACAATGTTTTTGAATCAGGCACACATCCCTCTCCAGACAGCTGTCATACGCTCTGCTGGATACGCTGACCACGACTCTTGTACTGCTGCTGCCAGGTCGGACAATGTCTTACCATTTCGCCATCAGTTTGCAGGCTTGCAAAGAATGCCAGGTCGTCGCACTTGCAGTTCAAAAGTGGCGACTGAGCTGGCTGGCCTGGCCGTGACTGTCACGCTCTCGAGGTCAGGATGTCGATTTCCCCTGCTACAGTTCCGGTCTTTGAGCTGCGCTTGGCTTTTCGCTGCAGTGAATGTGTGCATTCACTGCAGTGCATTCACTGCAGCGAAAAGTTCCCCACTTTCCCATCACAATCGTACGAATCGCGATGCCACTGCGATGGTTTTTTCTTTCTGGTCTCCTTTGATCTTGCCTTCACAACCTCCCAAACAAATGTGAGTTAGATATCGAGATCGGACTGGGTTTTACCTGTCAAAAGGTGCGTGGGAGATAAGCGACAATTGCGATGAAACGGACCAAGTACTTGTAAACACATTATGCATGTACCGTAAAATACCGTTGATCCGCCCCCCACTCCATGTCGCTTCCCAGCTGGGTTTTCGGCAGGGGGCAGGAATTAGATCAAGGCTGTCAAGTGCAGTACGATGCACGACAATGTCAAGGATCAGACTCGATGTGCTGAATTGTGCACATTTTCATCCTGGATTGGCACGTATTGTGTACAACAGTGCATGCGTCGGTTCAACATCGTATTTCGTTGTATACGCCGAAGTCGCTTCACAAGTAGAAAATCGACAGGGGGCAGGAATTAGAGAGGGGGCGGATCAACGGTACTTTACGGTAGTAATATAATATACCCCCATTGTGGAGAATATCTGGACCATGGTTTTTTTTTGCTTACTCTGCACACCATGTCCACTGCTAGATTGTTGACTTTCCGGAAGCAAGCGGTGAGAGAAAGTTGGAACATGATGCTGAGTGGCTGTGTGTCCTAAAGAAGACTTGTTCGCTTGACCAGGGTTCACCTCGCTACCAGTGTATGCCCTCTACTGACTTGTAAGATCACACACACAAGCTGCAGAGACAATAGGGCTCTATCAGTGTATATTATGTAATTACTAATTACACATACCAGTACTTACCAAAGTTACCATACCAGTACACATACTCTGTATCTTTACATACACAGGGTTCTAGCCAAAGTGGGATAGATGGTACTGTGTGTGTGTGGGGGGGGGGGCACTCCACTACTCTGATACCTCTCTCTCTCTCTCTCTCTCTCTCTCTCTCTCTCTCTCTCTCTCTCTCTCTCTCTCTCTCTCTCTCTCTCTCTCTCTCTCTCTCCCTCTCTCTCTCCCTCTCCCTCTCTCTCTCTATCTCTCTATCTATTTATCTATCTATCTCTTGGAGAGCTTTCCAGATTGTCCAAGATTTGTGGAAATCAGGGAATTAGAACTAAAGTCATGTCTGGGATAGGGTACATAATATCGCAGGCTTCTGTGTACATGGACCTGCCACCCAGGACAGAGGGTTCAAACTCACTTGTAATAACTGTGGGAACCTGATTTCGAATACAGAGAAAGCTTCCTTAGCCAAAGTCTTTGTCCATGTTGTGAATGTACAATCATGTGCTACACTACACTAGTACCGTGTACCCTTTCCCAGTACTGGCAGTAGGCTGCCGGCAGTACATGGACATGCACATGGAATGCTGCCGGCCGTATCCTCCTATTTTTTCAGAACGCAGTCCAAAAATTCATCCTTTATCTGAAAATCAATGTGTAGAGAGCCCCCCCCCCCCCCCCCCCCCGACTTCAACAGAAAACCCGGAGGTTGTACTGCTTGTCCTTGAAAGTACATGTAACAGTATTACGCACGGCTGTTTGAATAAATCCATGTTGCCCTACCATGCGATAAATCCATGTTGCCCTACCACGCGATAAATCCATGTTGCCCTACCATGCGAGGACAAATTGACGTCAGGGATAGGTGTCCAGTTTTGGGTGAAAAGGATTTCTGCCATCACCATGACTGGTTTGTATCTGGGTAGACTTTGTTGTGACTGTACTGTACATGTCCAGGTGGCGGTATCAACCTATGCCCAATGAAATTGCCAGTTTGCGGGACTCCATTGATCTGACGGTAAGACCAGTCTTTCCTGTTCAACTAAGTTATTTCACAACGCATGCATGTGCACATCTCACCCTGCCCTGGCTATTGTCACAACGCATGCATGTGCACATCTCACCCTCCCCTGGCTATTGTCACAACGCATGCATGTGCACATCTCACCCTCCCCTGGCTATTGTCACAACGCATGCATGTGCACATCTCACCCTCCCCTGGCTATTGTCACAACGCATGCATGTGCACATCTCACCCTCCCCTGGCTATTGTCACAACACATGCATGTGCACATCTCACCCTCCCCTGGCTATTGTCACAACGCATGCATGTGCACATCTCACCCTCCCCTGGCTATTGTCACAACGCATGCATGTGCACATCTCACCCTCCCCTGGCTATTGTCACAACGCATGCATGTGCACATCTCACCCTGCCCTGGCTATTGTCACAACGCATGCATGTGCACATCTCACCCTCCCCTGGCTATTGTCACAACGCATGCATGTGCACATCTCACCCTCCCCTGGCTATTGTCACAACACATGCATGTGCACATCTCACCCTCCCCTGGCTATTGTCACAACGCATGCATGTGCACATCTCACCCTCCCCTGGCTATTGTCACAACGCATGCATGTGCACATCTCACCCTCCCCTGGCTATTGTCACAACGCATGCATGTGCACATCTCACCCTCCCCTGGCTATTGTCTGCTACATATGCTTGCTTCTGATCTCTGCTTTGTATCTTGTAGGTTCCGGAAAATTTCTGCCGCACATGTCCCGTGTATGAAGCTAACCAACGGAGACACCCACCTCCTGCACAGAGTACGTAACTTATAATTATTGCTATGCACTGCAAATGCATGCATCGTTGGAAAGTTACTGCCGTGCCGGCACGACTATAAGATTGGGGTTCAACCGGGTACAGATGCACCTGACACCACCTTCTACGGTGGGTCACTGGTGGGTCACTGGTGTTGGTGAATAAGCACTCACGAGTCCTGGTCTCACACAGACCAAAAAAAACGCCTCAGCTGGGCCAGTGTGTACTTGACGGATTTCTTTAAACCAGGACACTGAAAGTGCTGACGTGACTTTGGAACATGTACTTTCAACTACATGTACCAGTACAGTATGCGTACAGTCGATATCGGCTATCTCTTAATTTGCTGGCCGAAAATCCTATATATAGGATTTGAAAATGTGTACCTTTTATGCCGTTGATATTGGTCATCACGACCAATAATAACGACATAATGGTTTTCATGGAAGTTGTAAATATGTTTGAGGCATGAATTTTAGATTCATAGGGTGATAATATTTCTGATGAATACCCATTTTCAGCAATAATTGGAAATTTGAGCATAATTGTTCAGCTGCTGTCATGGAAAGGACTGAAGCAGTGAATGTGCAGAAGAACATTGCAGGTGTGGCACGGGGTGGTTTCATGACGACATATCGCACATGCCGTCATGAAACTACCAGTTTTAAGGATAAAACAAGGTCCAATAAAATCTCAAATCCTATATATAGGATTCGAAAAATAGGGCACAGGCCTTAGTAATATTGGGCAAGGAGATGAGCCTGAGATGTTAGTGTTTGAAAAAATTATCTTATTCAACTCTCGATATCTACTAAGACCTAGCAAGGAAAAATTGGTCACATACTTCTTGCTATTCTCATGCCACACCCATTTTGAGTTGAAAAATATGACCAAAATCCTATATATAGGATTTAGCAAATTAAGAGATAAAGTCATTGGACATAGTGATAATCCGGCTGCAAACGGAAATCTTTTTTTTGTTCCACTGGAATTTCGTTTGTACTGAAGGTCTGCACGCCGTGTATAGAGCACTCTGACCAGTAGTCACGGTCCATTTGTGATAAACCGGCTGTATTGATACGAAATCAAATATCTCAATAGCAGAACCAGAAATGCCAGTCGAATTATCGTTTGCAACTTTCCCTCGAACTAATGAACAAATTATTATTTAATATGACCAATGTATTGGGTATAGCAATAAATCGGCTATAGGGATACAGAATCGTTATTCAATTCACCTCTTTCTACAGAAAAACAGATCTGCTACAGTCTGTATAATAAATGATAGCGACACACGAGCGGGAGACATTGATGTCTCAGCTTGTAGCGTCCGTGTTTTCCTAGTGTCGCCACAACTTGCCAATTCTGGTCTGCTGCTTCCTGGATGATGCTTTTGGAGGACAAGAAGTTCTCCACTCTGGAGAAGCGCCCGCAGTTGTGGAAATTTGGAAAATAAAATAAATTTCTTCTGTGTGGTCCAAGTGCACGTACAGTAGCAGAGGAGTACAAGTTGGAGTGTAGTTAGCGGTTCTGGAAAAGTAGTATGTTTGATCCATGATAGTGCACTATCCTACAAGGTGAAGAGAAAATAGGTCGCATCTAGCTTCGAGTGCGACGGAGAGAGTGATAATTCCAGAGAAAGCAGACGCATCCAGGATCGGGCTCATCCCTAGTTGGAAGCTTACACTTCATGGTTCATCTTCAATGTCAACTGTGATGGCTGCTTCTGCTTCATTTCATGCCTTGGGTGATCGTCGAGAGCTTCTTCGCCAGGCACGCTTCATAAAAGCTCTCCAGACCTTTCTCTAAAAGGACGCAGTTACTCGATCGATTCTTCCGGACTCCTTTCAGACAGGACGATGCAACCTCCATGATCGCCGACTTGCTTTTCAGGATGGTGGAGATGGACGACTGCCCTATTCCGAACTGCCGTCCAGTATTGCCTTGCATCGCTCGAGGATTCTTCTCTGCATAGTTGAGAATTCCCACCTTCTTCTCAACGGTCAAACAAACTCTACTAGCCTCCATCATGCAACTCACGAAATTCAGGAACAAGAAAGAAAGGCAATTGAAACCCTCCTCGACAACGACCTTGAAGCGGCGGAGGTCTACAAAGAAAAGGCCGGCCATGGGCTGCACTGCATGCACCAAGTGTAGCTTACGTAGTTTTGTAGACATTGTGCACACTATCTACACTGTACACCTACTACACTGTACACTAGGTGCAGCATGCATCCTGTATTCATGGTAGTAGTACGCTACACTAGCGCCACCGAGTACCCACATGTATATAGAGTGTATGTACACTAGTGCCACCGAGTACCCACATGTATATAGAGTGTATGTACACTAGCGCCACCGAGTACCCACATGTATATAGAGTGTATGTACACTAGCGCCACCGAGTACCCACATGTATATAGAGTGTATGTACACTAGCGCCACCGAGTACCCACATGTATATGAGCCGTCAGATGCATAAAGGGACCATTTGCAGGTCCACTTGAAACGGAGAAAAACGTGTTCAAAGTCAAGTGGTTCGTTTTCAACATTTTGAACTGTCAAAACGATGCGTTCGCGATTTACGTTGAATTGTGTCTCCCCAGGAACTGAGCCGGCATTGGGACCGCCGTAGTCTGGAAGCTGGTGTCATGACGATAATTCTGGTCGTTCAACTGTCCAAATCGGCTGAGTTGGGGCTGAGAACGGCCAAATTCCGCGACAGTGTTCCCATCACGCAAATGCAAACAAATCTTTCTCGCCGATCGCTTTTTGGTTTGCATAATTTTCCAACGAAGCGATATTTTTTAAAACGGTTTTTTGCATGTGAATCTACAACCCTTCTAGATTCTTGTACATATCATAACTCAATTTGCTCAAAAATTGTCAAATGGTCCCTTTATGCATCTGACGGCTCATATACTATAGAGTGTATGTACGACGCCCGCAGATGAAAAATTGCCTGTACTGCTGTAGTGATACACCAGTTTGTGTAGTGATAGGTTAAGTTCACTGATAATTGTTCATATGAAAAAGCAGAAGGGTACGGTCGTTACAACTGATATCTACTGTATTTTATTGTGTAACCATGGCAAAGCGAACAAGCTTCGTTCCACTGCACACCGCTCTCTTTGTAAGATTGAATGTGGATGTTCCATTGTTAGCTCAAGTCTTCTTGCATGTCATGATTGTGTTCAATCTTGTGTCTTGTGTACAGCTGGCGTCAATCCGCAGACTCAGCTCTTCTGCAGTAAATTGGGCATAGCACCGGCAACAGGTTAGCCCTTTCTTGCTGTTTTGAATGATGCAACTGATGACCTTGTGACACATAGCTTTGCATAAGTAGACCTTTGGCAGTTTGGGTAATACTCGTGCTTAGCAGAAGAAGCACAGTTCATTAAATTAGGCGGCAACTGTCTACGTCTTTAATTTTTTTAGGCTGCTGATAACAATGGTCAACTTCGTGTTCTTCTGTGGGGACTGCAAGTCCGTCAAAACTCCCAGCAAATCTATCTGAAATTGCCCCAGAGTACAGTGTGATGTCACACTCGACTTGCCCTTCCAAGTAAACTTATAAAAAAAATTGTGGACAGTTTTTCTTTCAACCTATCGTAACTCGGTTGATTTTTTCGGTGTTTGGGAGAGATTGAATTGTATAGGTCGGCGAGAAAACTCTCAGCTGTTGTCTTGAATAATTGCCAAAACGATAGGATACGTGAGGTCTTGAGTTACGACGCTTTTAACATTCGTCACACAGATTTGCGCTCGGGGTGTGATGCACGACTTAAAGGGGAACTGTCACCAAAAAATTCTTTGTCTTATCTTGTAGTTCTTTGGCTAGCTCCTGATCACGATGGTGTTATTCGTTTTTCTCTGCGATGACTGGAAGTGGGTGAAAACTTGAAAAGAAGGTGCCCAAAATTGTCCCGAAGTACCGAGTGACGTCACGCCGGACTTGACCTCCACGTGTACATTCGTCGTCAAAAACGAAGTCCAGCCCGTGTGCTGGTCGATCGAGCCAACTGTTCGATGTACGGTGCACGCTTGCCTTCTGAACTCGGACACTCGATGTGTAGACCCGGGTGCTCGAATGAGACACAGGGTACCAAAACAGAAACAGCCTGAAATTGTACCTAAACTTGTTCCGATTTCGTTTAGTTTTCACAAATACCATCAACATACGGTATGCTAACGGTATGCCAAATTTCAGAGCTGCCCGGTAAACGGTTTTTGAAATACTCGCGACCCACTTTTTGCTGGGTCCTTGATTCGAGGATGTGGGTCTCCTGTACGGTGCTGCCAAAGACCTGCTGAATCTGCGGCTCCACTGACCATTTTGCTCTCAAAAACGAAGTAGTAAGTTACTACTACCTGCCCTCAACTGCCACACCAAGCGTAGACGATGGTAGACCCGTGTGCTTGAATCGGAGACGATCTGACGAGTTTGCTGTTTCTGATTCGAGCACCCAATTTTCAAATAAAAAATCCGAAGGAAATACGACCATTTTACTGCGTACTGTAGCTTGTGTTGTAGCGCACCCAGGTTCTGAATTCCTGCTGGGTGGGTCAAGCCAGACTCCCTTCCCTGTTCCATCGCCTCTCCAAAAGTATATTCTGACATTGTTGAGATTTACAGATGAGAAACTTCACACCTGTCAAATCGTTTCTGATTCGAGCACCCGGGTCGACGTTGTACACAAAGAGAACGCCAAAAAGGGACAAAATAGACAAAAGTCGACAGCAGTTTGTCGCACTGCACTGGTACTTCCTCCACGAAGCTCCAACTCTTTGTTTTATTCGTGATTACGAAGGAGTGGAAGAATGTTTGTTTGCTGTTAGTATGACACACATACCTCGTACATGTACTTGAAAATTATGTCGTTGTATCGAAGGTGGCGGTGTTGCCCACCCGGCTCTGAAATGAAAGACGTTGGAGTTCGTCATCTGCATCTTCAGCAACATCGCCAGATGAATCGCCTTCACGTAACTACATTGCGTTCCTTTGGGGCTCGGGTTGGTGGTGTTATCGCCGGCCGGAGGAGTACTGTTTTCTGCATACGCACTCAACATCGTGTTGTTCCTCACACGAAAAGTTCAAAACAACGACGTACTTCCGTGCTCACAAAATAAAACTTAGATCCTCGCGGAAGAAGTCAAAAAGGTGAAAGCTCAGCTTCTTTTTATTTTGATTTGGCTCTGCCTCTTTGGCATTCTCCTTCGGTACGACGTAGACCCGGGTGCTCGAATGAGACACAGGGTACCAAAACAGAAACACCCTGAAATTGTACCTAAACGTGTTCCGATTTCGTTTAGTTTTCACAAATACCATCAACATACGGCCCGCTAACGGTATTCCAAATTTCAGCGCTGCCCGGTAAACGCTTTTTGAAATACTCGCGACCCACTTTTTGCTGGGTCCTTGATTCGAGGATATGGGTCTCCTGTACGGTGCTGCCAAAGACCTGCTGAATCTGCGGCTCCACTGACCATCTTGCTCTCAAAAATGAAGTAGTAAGTTACTACTCCCTGCCCTCAACTGCCACACCAAGCGTAGACGATGGTAGACCCGTGTGCTTGAATCGGAGACGATCTGACGAGTTCGCTGTTTCTGATTCGAGCACCCAATTTTCAAATATAAAATCCGAAGGAAATACGACCATTTTACTGCGTACTGTAGCTTGTGTTGTAGCGCACCCAGGTTCTGAATTCCTGCTGGGTGGGTCAAGCCAGACTCTCTTCCCTGTTCCATCGCCTCTCCAAAAGTATATTCTGACATTATTGAGATTTACAGATGAGAAATTTCACACCTGTCAAATCGTTTCTGATTCGAGCACCCGGGTCTACCCATCTGTGTTACAGTTCAAAAGGCACACGTGCACCGTACATTGGAACAGCTAGCTCGATCGACGAGCACACGGGCTGGACTTCGTTTTTGACGACGAATGTACGCGTGGAGGTCAAGTCCGGCGTGACGTCACTCGGTACTTCGGGACAATTTTGGGCACCTTCTTTTCAAGTTTTCACCCACTTCCAGCCATCGCAGAGAAAAACGGATAACGCCATCGTGATCAGGAGCCAAAGAACTACAAGATAAGACAAAGAATTTTTTTGGTGACAGTTCCCCTTTAACGGTCGGGATATTCCCTCATTGCGTCAGCTTTTGGCAAGGATACGCTCATTCAAATTCCAACGAAGACTCCCACGGGTGTCTACGAAAACATTTGAGCTTCATGCGGGCAAGGAAAGTGGAATAGAGGATGGAGATTGATCGCGAGTGCAAGCCGAACGCTGAAATTTGCTCACTTTGTCGCGCCCATGAGATCTCAAATATCTGTGGGGACAGATATGTGTCACATGTTCTGTTTATACCACATACACATTCCTTAGCTGAGGCTGCACTGCGTTTTTCCTCCAAGGGAGTTCCACTGACATTGTATTCGGTGGCCGACGGTCTGCTTTTGTGAGCTAGCCCTTTCTACAATGTTTGCGTGCTTATGCCTACAAAGTAAAGGTTGTGTGATAGAAACTCGGATGTTGAGCCATAAATAAATGTAAAAAGAGAAAAGGACATATGGATACGAGTTTAGAGTAACTCTCCATCACTGTAACATGATACTATATACAGTCAGAAAGTGCAATAACTAGGCACAAAACTGACAGAGTACTGAGACATTCGACGTCCTGACACCTAACTTTAACACATCTCCGTAGCGCTAACCGACAGCCTTCCAACTTGGAAGGTTCAAGGTTATGGAAAGACCAAAGAGGGGAAGGCAAGCGCAACGAAAACGAGCAAAAGCTACAGTCCCAACGGAACAAAGAATGTCGATTGTTACTGGACGATGACGAGACCAGTACGATATTTGACAAAGCGGTCTAACTACAATTCGAAGCAGCAAAGCAGCACACCACCCAACTTGGGTGGGTCATAAATATCAAAGATAAGTAAAGAAAGGGAAGCTTTGCGAAAACGAATTGTACAAGCCTTCCCCTCTTTGGTCTTTCCATAACCTTGAACCTTCCAAGTTGGAAGGCTGTCGGTTAGCGCTACGGAGATGTGTTAAAGTTAGGTGTCAGGACGTCGAATGTCTCAGTACTCTGTCAGTTTTGTGCCTAGTTATTGCACTTTCTGACTGTATATAGTATCATGTTACAGTGATGGAGAGTTACTCTAAACTCGTATCCATATGTCCTTTTCTCTTTTTACATTTATTTATGGCTCAACATCCGAGTTTCAAATTGCACACCTGATGAGCCGTCACGAACCATACGGCGAAACGTACGTCGTGTGAAACAACTTGTTTTGTAGTCAACTAGTCCATCACAATGTCATGCATGAGGAGTATTGTAGGAGTTTGGCTTTCGGCTTGTACAATTCGTTTTCGCAAAGCTTCCCTTTCTTTACTTATCTTTGATATTTATGACCCACCCAAGTTGGGTGGTGTGCTGCTTTGCTGCTTCGAATTGTAGTTAGACCGCTTTGTCAAATATCGTACTGGTCTCGTCATCGTCCAGTAACAATCGACATTCTTTGTTCCGTTGGGACTGTAGCTTTTGCTCGTTTTCGTTGCGCTTGCCTTCCCCTCTTTGGTCTTTCCATAACCTTGAACCTTCCAAGTTGGAAGGCTGTCGGTTAGCGCTACGGAGATGTGTTAAAGTTAGGTGTCAGGACGTCGAATGTCTCAGTACTCTGTCAGTTTTGTGCCTAGTTATTGCACTTTCTGACTGTATATAGTATCATGTTACAGTGATGGAGAGTTACTCTAAACTCGTATCCATATGTCCTTTTCTCTTTTTGTGTGATAGATTTATTCATTCTTGTGCGGATCTCAAGATTCTGCTGATTACTGCAAAAAAAGTCTTGTATTGTTCGGTTTGCTTTGGTTGCAGGTTCTGTGGATTCGGCGTTATCTGTTGCCTCTAGCAACATCGGCACTAGGGCAGGCAGCTCTGCAAGTGACCGCGCGTATTCAGCAGCTACCGGTGCTGCAAACACGGATGAGATCAACTTGGATGATGAGGAGGAGGAGGAGGACGGTGATGGCAGTGGTACATCTGGGCAGTGCACTGCTGCTTCTGCTGCTTTTCCAACACGCCAACAGAAAGACTTTGCTGGAAATTCAGATGAAATTGCATTGGATGATGGTGGTGATGATAGTGATGATGATGATGATCAACATGTGTCTTTGTTTCGGAATAGGCAAGCCCAACAACAGATGTCAACCAGTCACGCCATGATAGGTCCTCAGCCGAGATCTCCAGGAAACACATCCACTGTACCATTGAACGGACAGCAAGCACCCAGTAGCTATTCACCAGGACACCCAGCGTCTTCGTCACCGCCACAGCGTTCTGCATCAGCTCTCTCCATGCCCAGTGCAGACAGTAAGCCAGACATGGCAGCAAGCAAGCAGGAAACGTCACCGGTTGCTATGAGCAGTGCTGCTCCACGTCGCACGGCCATGTTTCTCCCACCTCCATCGAGTGGCGGTGTGACTGCCAGTACGACGGCGGCTAACACCACTGCAGCCATTGCCACTGCTACCAGTTCATCAGCCACTGAGACGGGTATTGGTCAACAGACGGATGTTCATGACAGAATGCCAGATGCATTTAAAGCTGATGAACAGCCCACGCCCATTGGAGCAACGAGCGTGAGTGGTACGTGGAGACTATTCATCTCACACTGCAGCTGTGACTTCACGCTGTACATTCCTGGTGCAAATTTGGCGAGTGAAATCCAGACCAATGTTCACTTACAGTACTGGTAGCCGCCTGGCCTCATTGTCCTGGCTTCCCTCTCTCTCTCTCTCTCTCTCTCTCTCTCTCTCTCTCTCTCTCTCTCTCTCTCTCTCTCTCTCTCTCTCTCTCTCTCTCTCTCTCTCTCTCTCTCTCTCTCTCTCTCTCTCTCTCTCTCTCGTGCTGAAAGTGTACCTTGGTCCATATGTCACTTGTCACAGCTTTGTAACATTATGAAGACATTGTATGTACTGGGGAAGTGTTTGCTCCCTTACACTGGATCTTGCGCTTTTCCGCCGACTTTACTTGACACTTGGCTGACTCACAACTGCCATCCAGCAAACACGAGCAGTCCCTCGAGCCTTCGACTCAGCAAACCTGCAAGAAATCACCACTCTCTGCTCAGTACACTGTTTGGGGGGAATTCACCCCTCCTCAATTGAGCTTCAGTAGGCTACCACTATGTTGTAGTACATGTACTGCCATTATTTCTTCTTGTACAAGCTGCCAGAACGGCGGATATGTCACTTCTATGAAGCCCAGGGGACATCTCCCTTCACTGTAGCTGTTGCACAAGCTGTTGACAGGTTTGTTTGAGTCTTGCACTCATTCTCCTTTGTGACAGTTAATGCGTTTTGCATGTGCGGCTTTGTATATGCTTTCGGTGTGCTCTTCAGAAGGCCAACGTGCAGTAGACGTACAGGCGGGTGTGAAGTCAGAGGACAAGGTTCACCCAGCGCTGAAAGTGGAGCCGCGTGTTTTGAAGCGCCGCAACTACGCACTCTATGCTCCTGAAAGTGATGGCGATGAAGATCAGGTAGCAGACTGTGAGTTCTGCGACACTGCTTATCCATCTACTGAGATGCGGAGAAAGAAAGCAAAGGAATAGTTGTTGGAATTTATCGAAAAGGAATATAGAGTGTGCACATACACAGTTGATGCACTCACTAAACATGCTCACCTGACACTCATGCCTGCTTTACGCATGTGTCCACGTGTGTGTGTCCACGTGTGTGTGGGTGTGGGTGTGGGTGTCCATGGTGTGTCCACGTGTGTGTCCACGTGTGTGTGTGTGTGCGTGCTTGCGTGTGTTTTAGTCGAACGACATGTTTTTGCTTTCACAGGGAATGTTCTCTGCTGATGTACTTCCGAAGTACAGTATGTCTCTCATTGTGTCGTATGTGTCTCTATATCTGTATCAGACTTTGTAAGTGTATCTGTAAGTGTTATTGTTGGAATATCTGTATATCTGTAAGTGTTATTTTGGATTTTAGAAAGCTGCTGCTAGGCTTGTGGTGTCTCTTACTGGAATGTACACAGAGCACTCCACCCTCCCCTATTTGAAAAATAAAACAATTTTACTCTTCTGATTCTCTCTGTAGTATGTATTCTTGGTATAGCAGGGCAGGGGTCGTCGTCCAGGGCTAACCGTTGTTTGTTTTGTTTTTAAAGTTTTTTTCATCCCCCGCCCGCTTTCTGCCGATATCGATAATACACTCGGACGTCTCTTATCCGGGCACCTTGGGACCGGGCACTGCCCGCATCTCAGATTTGCCCGTATCTCAGGATAACACATCTACCGCGTATCATCATTTTTGAAGAAGTTTATTTGGCACATATTGCACATGTTCAGGATACAAAAAGAATCCACTGATAAAAACATGTGTGGATTACACAGCTTGGCAGTGACAAATAAGCACTTGTGCATACCGAAAAAGTTCAAACCTCCCAAATTCGGAGCATTTTTGCCCTAGGAACTCAAGCAGAAGGTGCCCGGTACGCGGTAGAGAGACGTGCTCGTATCTGAGGCGTCCAGATAAGAGACGTTTGAGTGTACAATAATCCTATGTTTTCTGCAGATAAAACGAAGTTCAAGAAAATACTGGGCGTCAGGGGATTGTACCCAAACGTAGCGTGGCCCCGTGGGTACTTCTTTGTCTCGTTCAAGTGGAGAACACTGAATTGCCAGACGTGTGGCGTAATGCCACATGTAGAGTATCAATTTTCCCCTAGTGTTAGGTTTTGCGGGGCAAGTCCACTACAACCGTACACACCTTCATACCAACTCTGCATAAAAGGTCATGAACTTTGTGAGGTCATACTCATAAATGTCTACTAGAACGGGTTGTACCTGCCAAGTATGGGGAAACTTGCCCCGCACAAAGGTGATGGCCATCTTAGGCTGTGTTTACATGAGAAATTTCAACCCGGGTCTAGTTCAGCCCGGATTGAAAGTCTGTACGACAGACAAAAGAGGTGAGCGTTTACATGAAGACAGTTGACCCGGGTCAAATACTGATATGCCGCCAAAAGTCCACTTCTACAGTCCTGTATGGTCACGTGAATCCGTTCGCGCGAAATTTGCATCTGCAGTGCTGTTCAAACCTGGCGCGAGATACGCACAGAAGTACGTTTGTACGATTTTCTTGACCCGGGTTGATTTCAACCCTCGGGGAGGGTTGAAATCAACCCGGGGCGAAATTTCAACCCGGGTCAAGCGCAATGCGTTATGTAAACGCGCCATTCATTTTGTGCACATGGCGGGTTGAAATCTGACCCAGGTCGAACTCAACCCGGGTTGAGTTCGACCCGGGTCAAGTTTCAACCCGCCATGAACACAGATTGACTGTCGCGTTTACATGACGCATTGCGAGAAATCGTACTAGCGTACTTCTGTGCGTATCTCGCGCCAGGTTTGAATGGCACTGCACATGCAAATTTCGCGTGAAAGAATTCACGTGACCATACAGGACTCTAGAAGTGTACGTTTGGCCGCATATCAGTATTTGACCCAGGTCAACTGTCTTCATGTAAACGCTCACCTATTTTGTCTATCGTACAGACTTTCAACCCGGATTGAGAATTCTCATGTAAACACAGCCTAAGATGCATACCTCCCATCGCTGTGAGCTGCTCATTATTTGCGTCATTCCTGCTTCTATCAGAACGAAGTGGCGCTTTCAGTGACATTTTCTACATAAATCACTATCTACACTATCTACTGTCTATATCAGTTGTATAAAGTCTATATAGACCCCCACCTAGACAGTTGTCTAAAGTCCCTAGGCTGCTTACAGTGCTCAATGTCCACTGGACAGAGCAAGTAATACAAATATTACACAGCAATGAATCAAAAAAGTCTCATTCCGCTGTAACTCCGAGTTTCGTGTCAGAACACTTCATCAGACAGCATATGACCAAGACTAACAATCACTAGAATATATATACGGAGAAGGGGAGAAGGGGGCAAAAGTGATGGAGGTACATTTCAGTAGCGCGAGGAAAAGGGATGACAAAATCAGCGTGATTATAAGAGGAAAAAGATGTTGAGAGTATAGAGCATAGCCAGGGTAGAGAAACAGCGCGACTTTCTGGGAACACATCAATACAGATTTGTGCTGCATTGTTCAGAGACCCCCACCTATATGTAACTCCCTGGTCACGCTGTGCAAGTGTGTCAGCTATTGAGATCTGGCATGAGACAATCATGGTTTAAGTCAGGATTGACCAGTTCAGTGCAGTGGTGCCCCCCCCCCCCCACACACACACACGTAACCCAATGCCAATATTGATGATGTAATCGCATTATAACCTCTATTGTCATTGTACCTCCCTGGTTAGTACAACTTTCGGGCAGGGTAAGGATTCCCGGTCTTGCGACCACATGATCCGGGGTAGGCCATTGCCATAATTACACCAAGTGCCATAACCATCGAACAGTGCATGTGGCAGTGCAGGTCACAGTACTAGTGCTCCCCCGCCCCCCCCCCCCCCCCCACACACACACAGTGACATGCACATGTACAACACAGATTTGGCCTTGGCCCGGCAGAGATCTTACCCAAACCACGTCGAGTCTACTCCCTGGCCCTGCTGGCCTGGGCTATGGGCAAGAGTTCATAGCCCCTAAGAGGTTATGAACTCTTGCTATGGGCCATATCATACCGGTAACAATTATCAAGGTCACAGTGAAGAGTAAATAAGCTCCTTGTGGCCAAAGGGAGCTTATTTATTTACACATCAAATACCCAGCTCCGTGCATAAACCAAACTCACAGGCTGGGTCAGCTGCATCATAGCCTAGCTGCATGCGGACCAGGCATAGCCACACATGTATAGTCATGAGCATTTATATCTTATAATAAGCACCCACACTTGGGTGCTCATGTTATGTTATATTTATAGGAAGAGTACATAACCCCCCCCCGGGGGGTTATGTACTCTTGCTTATACCAAATGCTTATAGCAAGAGTAAAAATAATAAGCTCCCAGGATTATACCAAGAGTACAATACTGTAATTTCACAAATTTTCGGTGTACTTTTATTTTCGGTATTTTCGGTGCATCTGTTTCATACCTAAAATTTCAATACACCAAACAAACACTAACACACATAATCCAATAGGGAGCTGCTTCTCTGTACCGAAAATTTCTGTTCACCTAACCTGGCCTTTTCGGCCCTCACACCGAAAATATTGAGCACCGAAAATTTCTGAAATTAGATATAGAGTACTCTTGATTATACCGTATATAGTCGACTAGTCTTGGCCAGGGAGTCGGTATTTGACGACTCCTTGCCTCGCCCAGTTGCGTGATGCACTTTAACCAATGCCATATCTGTACTCTGTGCTGCACGCAAAAGCGAAGAGGCGCGAGCGCTAGTGTGTATGTCCGGTAGACCTACGAGGTACAGGTTCTCGATCTCCTACGGTACGACTAGGACGCGTCGACGGTCACCGGTCAGGACGGCTTCTTCGGCCATGTACCAGTGTATACCAACGCATGCATGCAGTCAACCTGGTCTACGCGAGATCAACGGGATGTACGGTCTTTTGTAAAAGCCACGGAAAAAAGTCTCCTTCGAACGACAAACGTTGCAACAAGCAGTTGAAATTTGACAGAGAAGCACCACAGCGAGGATTTACCCCGTCAGGTGTATTTTGAACTTGTTTCTACTGAGTGTTGAGGTACTAGGTATAGTTACTTTACTAAGCGCATGTAGGCATTGAGTGGGCGAGATACACAGAGGTAGAGTTGACTCTTCGGCTTCGTTTCACCTAACCGACGTTGTGGAGGTTGGATAATAATTTCGGAGGTGTCCCAGAACTCGGGACGTTCACCCTCCGGCAATGAGGCCGTCGAATAACACGGAGGGCGTCCGTCGGAGTTGGTTCTCTAGATTTCTACTTCCCAGGAAGAAGCCACCACCTGTAAGAGCCTTAGAGAATGGAATGGGATTACTTCTTTCTCGGGTTGCTCTAGATTTTTGTTCCATGCTTGGCGAAAAGTAGGCGCGTGTAACAGGAAAGTCCTACACATGCGTACGACTATTGTATTATCATAATAATTATGTGACGGAATACAGTATAGTCTATGTTCAGCTGTTCTATGGCTATGTTGGAGCTGAGACCACGGTGAAAAGTGCAACGAAAGTTTCGTTAGCTTTTGCTACACACTGTACAACACACAAGAGTAAATCCTTACGTCAGTTATCTGTCAACCATCACCACAGTCATGCTGGAGTAAACAATAATGTAGACACAGTAGTATGCTGGAGGTTGCCATGGCCTGGTAAAGGTACTATGACTATTGCTGGAGAGGGTGTTGATAGAAAGAGGAACTCTCGTGATAAGTGAGACTTCAGGCCCCCGTAGATTATACACGGCTGTTCACGTGCAGGCACTTATCAATATGGCGTCGTTCAGTGCGATTTATGTAACATTGTGCGAATAGTACAAATACGCGATGAGTTTGCGTTTTTGCAAGAAACTCATGTTGATCCTCGCGTGGTTCCACGATTTGGGACGCGAAACCAAGAGAAAAGTTTTGAAAGCGCTCGAGCGAGATACTCGACTTTTCGGCAATTTGAGAGAGAAAGAGGGTGGAAAGGCGTCCTGGCCTGCCCAGTTAGCTATCTTTCCGCTTCAAACTTGCTCGAAGTACTCCTGGCAGTCTGGAGATTGATCTCGCCAGTGATTGTCAGCCTCTGCTTGGCGTGCTCGCGTGTACAACATTCAAGTTAGACATTTCGTAATCGTTCAACGCACAATAGGGTAGATATCACAATTTCAAGCTCACTTGGCCGGCTGCTGTCTTCTTCTACAATATCCCACATGCCGACTAAGCTATTTACAGCAGGAAGCAGCATTCTACACTCAACAGCAACTAAAGGGCCACACCATTTTGTCTTCCAAATCAAGAGAAAACAGGCTCCTGACTCGTCGCGCGTATTTAGAAGTTCACGCGCGTATTCTAATGACACTTGGGGAAGACAACCAGAGGATAGTCCTCTACCTGGGAAAAAATCGATCTAAGCTGGGAAAAAATCGGGAAGGGCTTCTCGGAGCCGAGTTTGTCAGCGACGACACAAGGAGTATTCCAGAACGAAGCCAAAGTCGCACGACACAGAACAAATGTTTCTTGAAGGAAAGGCAGTCATGTGAGGTACGAGCGGAAAGCTTGAAACAAGACGCAGATGATCGGCGTGTTCCCCGGGCTGTCCGGGCTGACTAGTCTCCAAAATCCAGGGGAAACCATGGCCTACTCGTGTTCTGACGATTTGAAAATTCAAATTTTCTTGCCATTGAAGCCCAATCGAGACTTTCGGCGGCCATATTGTTAAGTGGCGTGAAATCGCACAAAAAAACAGCCGTGTATAGGGCACTGACTGTGAGTTCAATGGTCTTGGCCCTAAGAGGCTACCCTGTATCAATTGTCAGATATTCCCAATCGAGCCTGCATCAGTGCACGCACATAGTGCTGCTTTCTGAGGATGATGATGTCACGCCAGGCCACCGAGTAGTCGCACGGTTCTCTTTAAAAAGTGAAAAATGGCCTATTTCGGAGCCAAGTTAAGTGTGCGTGTCCAGGTGGTGGTGTGCACCATATAGTCACTTGAGGCTTGGCCATTGTGCCCACCGGACTATGTGCTATGAAAGTTTAGGAGGACTGCAGCACATACCATTCACAAACTTTTCCAAAAAATTGCTGTATAACAAAAAGGGACCACACTGCTCGGTGAGCTAATGACGTGTGCATGGGCATAGAGTATGTGAAAAGCCCGGGCCTGAATTGCGGAATAAAAAAAAGTCGCCTTAAATAGTCTTCCAATCCCATTTAGAGAGGCCAAGCTTGCGATTGGGCAACACAATCCGCACACAATGGTGAGCTCTTCCTGCTTCAGTTGTTCATAAGTCTCCGGTGTGACAGTACCAATGGCTTTGTCATCACTGTCTCTTATGGCGATGGTGCCATCGTGAGAATAAAGAATTCAAACAAATAATACTTTCCTGACGCCTGTTTAATCTCCAGCCGAGCTGCCTAGTTGCTGTTTCTTTTCTGTGCATTGATTGAAGACTCTTACAAGGGATGTGGCTGCTTACAGTAAAGCCTCACCTAACCGGACATCCATGGTGCAGCGGAAACGACCCTGACATGGCAGGATTCCGCTTGATCCAGGGATGCATGTTTGATCCACAGCACTTTGGTGCATGAAAATGTGTCCCGTCAAGACAAGGATTGCGTTTGACACAGGGTCAGGGTCCGGCAAACGCACGTTTTACTGTAGTGTGCCCTTGTCATGTCTTCGAACTATTTCTGTGTATTTGTGTTGCAGCGCCGAAAGATCGATCGCTCCATGATTGGAAACCCAGCAAACTTTCAGGTTAGTTCAGTTGGTGTTATTGGAGCTCGTTGTGGCGTAAAGATGTCTCCTGCCCCTGTACTGACTGATCCATGGGTCTTGTAGGTCACTGTGCGTTGTGGGAGAGTGTACCTATCAAGCACTGTACTTCGATATCATACTGCTATTACCAGGAGTACACAGCCTCCCAAGAGTGTGTAGCTCCAGCAGCTGGACTTCTAGTGTTAGCAGTGCTGCCAACTAACTGGGTCTGTTTTGCGTACTGTGACTTTTTGATTTTCCGTATTTTGCAGTGTTTTTCCCTGCCATGTGCATTGCTTGTGTTGTGCTTTTTTTGGCACACACAGGCTTGTCGGTGGCTGAATTTCCTAGTGCCAAACATGTGTGACTTGTACCACAACATGATATTTTGTATTACATGTAGTCGAAGCATGGCACGCACTCGCTTTGGCACAGGGATACTCATCTCTCAGCTTGCGCTTGCCATGCTTCTACATACAAATCTGTAGCTGATCGATCCTCTTCAATTTTCCATACCATTTTTTCTCAAATTCTGTACTGCGGACGAAGGAGTGATTTTCCGTACAAATACGGAAAAATACGGAAGGTTGGCAGCACTGTGTTAGGCGACAGTGAAATCTCACATCCGATGATCACATGATGTAGTGTTGTCACAGTGCGATTGCTTCATGTCGTGCTGTTGTGTAAACTGGGCTGATATCGTGAAGTGCATCAATCAGTGGCTTATAGGCCATTCACAGGACGTGCAAACTCACTTTTATCGTACTGTCTCCAAGGATATTTACACGGATACGATAAACTTGGACTCATGCGTGCAACTGATTTTTTATCTTGGCCGAGGCCCTTTTGCTCGCGATTATCTTTGCACGCCAGGAAAAGTGTCGGTTGTTGAAAGTGCGTACCGCAAATGCAGTGCTTGAACAAAGGAAAATTCAAAATTTAACATTTCCCAGCATTTTCAGGGGGTCACTATGGATACATTGACGGTTGCAAAGTTTGCCCAGCACCGTGTGAACTGGGTCACGGTTTGCCAGTGTTATCTTGATCACACGCGTGCAAATGTTTGCACGTCGTGTGAATGGCCTATTATGTCTTTCTTTTCTCTCTGGCTTACCCGCTCACTCTGTATAGAATACAAATGCATTAGAACACACCTTATCTGGGTAGGTTGGGAGCGGGTCTGCCCTCAACTAGGAATTGCTCCTACCTCTGAACGTACCTTCGTATTGCATGCAAGTAAACACTTTTTATGCCAACCAATTGGTCTTGAGCTGTTTTTCATTGAAGACTCGATTTTTGCAACAGTAGAGTCCGACAGGTGCCCGGATCTGGGGAGTCTGGATCAGGGCAGTTTACTGTACACCATTCCTAACTGCTTGCGATTTTTGATGTTCTTGGTTTGTTTGTCCAGCATAATAGTCATATTGGATCAACAGATGTTGGATCTACAGTAAGTTGAAACTCTTGCATGAGTTGTTGAAAGTGATGTCAGTATCCTATAATTAAATAGGATTTTTTGAAATTTTTCAAATAAGCATGACCATGCTTCCGCCCGGGATAAGTTGTGTGCCTAAATTGTATTGTAAGGTGTTAGGGCAGTATCAGTAGGTTCTCTTCAGAAGTTTTCAAGAGTGCCAGTATTATCGCTTGACTTATAGGGCCGTTTTAGAGAGGACATGTCAGTTTTTTGTCGAATCCTATATACATGTATAGGATTTGAGTGTTCCACATTAGGGAGGTTTCGCTCTACGTAATTACGTATGAAAATCCGTATGTCGTACGCGCCGGGGAGCGAGGGCAACTTTCACACGTAAATCTCTCTACGGATTTCCGTAGGAAAGCTCTTTCCAACGTTGGGTCCTCCGTAGGACTTTTTGAAATATTTTTCGCATTTTCCGGATTTATCTAGGGTAAAGTTCAAGCCGCGCGAAACACAAGGTGCACACACCGTACACCACGTGCAAAATAAGATGGAAAACGCGGTTTCGGTTCGTAGTGCATGCGGTGGGCGCATGCAGCCAACGCGTCTCCAAGCAACAAGGCATGTTTAGCAGTCGTGGAGAAATCACGTAGAGCGAAACCCAACAGCTCTGATTTTTACGTATGAAAATTACGTGCAGTTCCTATGTTATTTTCATACGTAATTCCGTAGAGCGAAACCTCCCTATTATCCAGAGTGTTGTAATGGATGCAGATGATGATAGAATGCTTAGTATGCTGAATAAGTACATAGATACCATGCATACACAAAAGGCAGAAGAGAATAGAGACAGCCGGCTAGGTCATTGTTGTAACGCTGCGTTTCTTGCACATAGCAAAGCTAAGGCAATCCTCAGACAACTGATAACCTGTACATCATCTGGGTCCAAATTTATACCCAGGCAGGTAGCTAAAACAGCTATGCATAGAAATCTGGAGAGCACTGCTACAGGTTGGCATATCTAGTGCTTTTAGTTTTAACTGTACTACAGCGGAAGCTTCACCCCGAAAATTGGCTGATCGGCTTGAAATTTGGCTTATTCCTACTGAAGTGTATAGAAAACAGTTCCAAACACCTCATGAAACCCGTTTCATCAATTTTGCATAGGTTGTTTAGCGAAATCCTTTAGCCAAAAACCACATCCTATACTGTAAAGCGTGAAATTTTCGCGGCGTTTCTAGTTCGCGTTTTCAAAATCCGGACAGGTTTGCGAGGTTTTAATTTTGCGATTGCAGAATGGCATTCTTGCTAAACCTATGGCACTCTTGCTAAACCTTTCATGGATCTCCTTTTCGCGCTGTCTAAATTTCGCGATTTCCACGCGGTCGCGAATTTCGCAGAAATTAGACCATCGCAATATTTTCACGGTTTACAGTATATCGGATTTGCTGGTGACAGTTTAAGGCCGTGATCTTTTGGTCGGATCCAGATCCAGATCCGTTGGATCCACTGGATCTGCAATGATCGATTGGTCGAATCCGGATCCAGATCCTCCGGATTTGGATCCGAGCAACCCTGCCCCGGGAGCAGGGTTGACTGGATCCATCGAATCCAAATGTGACCTTTGTGCGTATATGGCAGGTAAAAATCATTTTTCTACTCATTGTCGTACGTCTAGTGGACTTTTGTTGACTTTTCGTACGACGCGCGCGATCAGTACGACTTTTGCCTTTTTTGGGTGACCTGTCAGCGCCATTTTTTACTTCGTCAACATGGCAACAGCCAAGGTCCGCAAAAAAAGTGTTCGGTTGATTCTGAAGGATCCGACGGATCTGAGATTTGGATCTGGATCTGGATCCGACCAAACGATCATAGCCTGAGAGATAGGTTTCTAGTTTTACTTCCTCCCATGCTCATCATGGCTTTGCGAATGAAAGCTAGACAGAACCGATCAGCACTACAGTATACACGCTCGTCCGTTTGCCATCTTTTATGCCAAGTTCTATTTGTTAGGGAGCATCTCGTATATTCATAAGTTAAGGAATGGAAAAGGGAAAAGTCTGTAGAAAAAATTGACGGTCACCACCAGGAATCAAACCAGGGAAGTTCGCTTGAGGCCAGCTCTGACCACTGAGCTATGGTGTAGCTGTCATCCCAGTAGAGACCGTTCAACATTTTCTTCAGACTTCGAAAATCTCATAAGTTCACATTATGTTTGTGAACGTAACGCATTTCAAAACGGGGGTAGGAACATTTTCGAATAGAAAATGACAGTTCGCACTTTTCCCTGGATGTGTACGGGCACCATGGCTGGTGTACAGGTCAGTTGTGTGACAAGGCTAGCTAGTTTGTGGGTAAACGGACTCTCACCCAGTGTGTGTGTGTGTGTGTGTGTGTGAGTGGGTGGGTGTGAGTGGGTGTTTGATACAGCTGTACTCAGGAGATGTACACAGTCATGCACACTACATGACTGCATACATCGACACATACATACTATGTACATGATGTACATGTGGGGTCTAGTACCATTCACAGAATATGTGCGATACGCTTTCGAGTAGGGGGGGGGGGGGTAGAGTCTATTTGAAATGCGTTCCGTTTACAAAAGAATGCGAGCTTATGAGATGCTCCCTCAGGAAGAAAAAGGGTGGCCTCATCCACCTTCGGCATCAGTGCCTGTTCGCTTGATGAAATAAAGAATACCACACCATACCGTATACCATCATGTATCATGTATTTAGGACAGTTGCTTATTTAGACCTGATGATAACACGAAACCAGTATGAACAGTTCACCAGCAGCACACCACAATTACAAGTTGTAATTAGGGAGGTTTCGCTCTACGTAATTACCTATGAAAATCCGTATGTCGTACGCGCCGGGGACCGAAGGCGACTTTCATACGTAAATCTCTCTACGGATTTCCATAGGAAAGCTCTTTCCTACATTGGGTCCTCCGTAGGACTTTTTGAAATATTTTTCGCATTTTCTGGATTTATCAAGCCGCACGAAACACAAGGTGCACACACTGAACACCAAGTGGAAAGTATAATGGAAAATGCGATTTTGGTTCGTGGTGCATGCAGTGGGCGCATGCAGCCAACGCATCTCCGAAGCAACACGGCATGTTAAGCAGTCTTGGAAAATCACGTAGAGCGAAACCCAACAGCGCTGATTTTTACGTATGAAAATTACTTGGAGTTCCTACGTTATTTTCATACGTACCGAATTTTCCCCAATAAATGTACAGCACTTTTATTTTTTCAAAGGGGGTCAGACCTGTACTAGTATTGGAGACGTGTACTTGTATAGTTTCTGGAAAGATTGATTGCCGGAGTTGGGTGGCAAGCAACTCGTGATAATGATACTGTAAGGCTGTAAATTGGGGGTGAAACGAGTATCTATTTTGACCAATCGATCACTCATTCATAATATTCGATCGAGTATCCGATTATTTCGAGTATTTTATCGAAATTCAAAAGCGCTAGATTTGTGAGTTCTCGACCAATTCAGAAGAAATTATCTGTGAGCGTAGCACAAAAGTCGCCAACGTCTTGTACAGAGTGTAAAGTAACGATTTTCACCAGTACTTTCGCAACCACTACTTCGTACTTTCATTAGGGAGGTTCCGGAGTACGATTTTTCGTGCCAAAATCCGTGGAGGCTCTACGGATTTTTTATACGTCGTTTTCGAGCAGTGAAAAGTTCCGGGGTACCGAACTTATGTGTTTGCCGTCATTGCCTAGGTTACGATCGCAAACACGTCACATTCCCGCGCTATGCCTTTTTATTTTGAAAATTTGTACCGAGATCAAAACTTCCCGCGAAAAATCGATGTTTCTCGTACCAAATTTGTACGCGAAAAATCTTTCTGCACACGATGACGCAAAATCTCCATACGAAGCATGGTTCGTATGAAAGCCAGTCCACACGGATTCTCGTGCCGAAAAATCGTATGGAGCACGCCTGGAAAAAATCCGTAGCGCCCATACGGATTTTGGCACGGAAAATCGTACCCCGGAACCTCTCTATTATCTCAAAACAATATAACCTTACTTGCCGTGGTGATCGCATCGTCCAAGTCATAAAATACTGACTCAAAGGCACGAATAATGCATGCACACCATGTACCAGTCGATGAACAGTACAACAGAAGTGTTTGAAAAATAGAATGCCAGTACTAAAAAAAAAAAAAAAAAAAAAAAAAACGATCGAGTGCAAAATTTCGAATACTGGCTCGTTTGAGATTTTCGAACGAATACTCGAATATTCGAACTAATCGTTTCACCCCTACTGTAAATACATCCAACCATGGAAAGAAACAGTGTAGAAAGACACAAAGATGATCAACGGGTAAGAAAAACGAAGTAAGGTGAACCCTGGTACCTGTACCCCAGTAATGCCCATCACATCATTCCGGCATGTACTATTATTAGAGACGTGTCCTTTCATATTTTTGATCCACTCTCACCTTGTACTACAAATGGAGACATGTACGTCCAATGGGGAAAATACGGTAATTCCATAGAGCGAAACCTCCCTATTAGCAAGGTGTACTCGACCTAACAAGCTGTTGTGAATAGCCAAATATGCTTACTTTGGCCTCCCGTTGGGCTTATTTGAAGTATGTTTTGTTGTCTGTCATTGAAGGGAAGGCTTGCTAATGGTATACCTACTGTTCTCTTTCTTTCCTGTGCAGCAAATAGATGTTCAGTCACAGATGCAGGGGAAAGGCGGTTATATTTCAATAGCTCAACCAGCTGCCAATTGGTAATTTCCAGTTCTGTGTGTGAGTGTGCGTGAGTGCGTGCGTGCTCGCATGTGTATGTGCATGGCACGACGTGCCATGATGTGTGCAGATTGTCATTGGTCTTACCGTGGCATGGTGACCATTGGGCACATTCAATTACACAACTTTTGTCGTCAGAATTCACAGAATCCAATTCCACCCATTCCGAAGTAAATGTGGAATTTTTTTATTCCACCGCCAGAATTAACCCATTGGTGCACGCTTTCTTAGCACCACACGTGTCTGCTGCAAGCCTATTACTGATTTCTACAGAGTACTGTACGTGATCTCTTTCCAAGGTTTTGCCGAGTGCATCAGGACTCGGGAGTAAAGACATTCCAGTTTGTTTACATAGTCGTAATTCGCTCTTTCTAGTCACTCGAAAAATTCGAATCTGGGTCCAGAATGTGTAATCAAATGCGTCAATTTTAACAATCTCCACAGAAGAGACTGGAAGAGAGAATGAGTTTCTGGATCTCTTAGGGCCCCTAAAGTCGCGGTCACACATGACAAGTTTGCACCACTTTTGGAGAGGCGAAGAGCGTAATTACCGCAGCAGCTTTTGCGGAACACACGATGCATCGGTCATGCATACTGTGTTCCTCAACGCTTCGCTTTGGCGGAGGGAATGGAAATGAACGTACATGTCCTTTGAAATTTTAGATGTTTTGTCCGAGTTGAAACGACCTTCTCTTGTAGAGCTATCGTGGATCGCTGACAAGCTGCTGAATGTCTCCTGTCAAGCACTCTCATATATTTGGGGCACATTCACTGCGAACCAGTATGAACATAGCTTAGACTACATCGATATCAAATTCAAGCGGTTGTATATCAGGGTGTCGTTGCCTTCTCCATGATCCATCATCGACCCCAGCGTGGATGCCTGTAGTTTCAGTGAGGGAGTGGCAGAGTACTCTACTACTCCCTGGTTGCAGTCTTGTGGACATATTGCTTGGAGAGAGAAACGCCCCTTCTCGTCCGCAATCGGGGCCAAGGTGTTGCGGGACTGATTTCCTCACCAGCTACCCACTCAAAACGATGCAGTATCGTTTGCGAAATCTCCAGAACGTACGGTACAATGGCAAAGAAGAACAATGTGAAAAACCCCAAATGGCAACTAAACAACACCAGTAGTAGCACACCAAAGCCATCACCATTCAGGTTCCTCCAAAGCGGATCTGCGAAAGAGGAGGTCCGCTCGCTTTTTTGGCGTAGCGAAATCCAAACATTCCGTCAAAGCGTAACTTACGCCTCCTCCGTTGCCTCAGAAACGGATGTCGAGATGTAGGGATACGAAACGTGTTTTGCATAAAAAAAACCCGGCTGAAGTCAAGGTGCGTGTGGTCGGGCGGATAATTTTAACCACTCGGGCACCCAGACGAGGAAAAAACTGGCCCTCGTTGTGTCTGCACTAGCAGAGTTTGCTGTAGCCTGCGCACCAATCGGTCCAACTGCTGGTCATTGAACTTCTCAACCGATGCTCGTTTATTTGGCAGCATTGCATAGACATATTCTGTGATATAAACAAGAGAGCTGCAGGCTGCAGGCCTTGCTATGATTGTTATTTTATCTAGGTAATTATATGAGCAACTCAAACTGATAGAACCGTCATTGCAATACCTGCAGATAGCCGGTGCTTTAGTACACATTGTTGGCGTATTGCGAAGACGTTTCTAGCCGTTTGAAGAGCTTGTATGGTGACCAAGGTAAAGAGCAAGCATACTGAAGGTCCTGAACTGCAGCTCTCCCGTTTCGCTCGACCTGATGTGAAAAACTGAAAACTGAATTTTTTGTTTGGAAATTTAGTTTGCTTTGTTTGGCGATAATCTGAACCGTCCACCTCTCCACGCTGCGCTCTTGGCCCGCATTCGCAACACCATAATCCATCGTTCTTGGATAGATGTTTCATGTCCTCCAGACAGCTGTTTCGCTCGTTAAGAGCTCCTCATTGGAGGTAGATAACAAATGAATAGCAGATAAAGGAATTAGTATATTTATAGGGTAAAGTGGCGCAATTGCGCACTTTCTACATAGAAAAGTGGCATTTGTTTGGCATTCTGAATAAACGAAAATGAGTTCTGAATGAATTGGGCTCCGAAGTGATGTTGTCGCACATTCTGTAAATAAACTCTTTTTCATGATCCACAGATGCCACCAGTGCAAGATTGGGACGGCTGGTTGAACCCAGTTGCTACATTGTCATTAGCGACCTGTCGTTACACTGGAACCCTACACAGCTGTGCATACCTGACGAGGCGGGTTTTATGAAACTCTCACCTAGGGCCCTAAGCTTATCGTATGTATGCCCAGGGCTAACTTTCTTTTGTTACGCCCTGGGAGTCGTAAATCTGCTAGTAGTGCTTCTGGCTTATTGGATATCTGACGTGCGTGGAACCGACGACCGGACAAATTCGAATGCGCTGGGTATAGTGATCTAATAGACGTGTTTTTATGGTCTGTGTATGTGTGTGTGCAGAAACCTGTCACTAGCTCTTGAGCCGTGCCTGGACAAGCTGGACTGGAAATAATCACCATATCCATTGGACATTGCCGCTAGTTGTACATGTACATGTACGTCTGTTGTACCCCGCGCAAATTGTTATAATAGTATTCCCATCTCTTCATGATCTCTCCTCTCTGCCTACATGCATGTGTTACTTAGTAGCTAATTCACTTCTCGTTTTGTGTTTTTAAAAATATACTGACATCTATTTACCCATTACCACCTCTCTCAGCCTTGAAAGGCATGTATGAATTAGGCTGTGGGTTCTTATGACTATGTCTTAAGTTGGGTTGCATCCCTTATTAGCTGTGCGCTCTCTTGCTCGTTTTCTCTCTCTCTCTCTCTTTCTCGCTTTTTTCTCTTTGTCGGTGTTGGCGGAGATAGCATGATTTATTCTTCTTAGTTTGTCCTATTTTGTTTACCGCATTCTGTGTTTTACTGCTCGGCACCACTAGTAACAACATTCTAGTTCATTTCTTGTGTTTGAAATATCTGTACTCTTGATGTAACATTCAGGATGTTCATTGTCTTAGTGTTCTCAATGTTCTTCTGTTGCTGTCAAAGTAATACCACATTCCGTGACTTCGTTTTTACACGAAGCCTGTACATGTGCTTTTTGTGTGTGTGGCACTCTATCAAAGTGTAAGGCCGGGTATCTTTCACAACTACTGTAGTTCTCCTTTCGACTGCTGCATGTCAAGCGGACAGTTTGTTTGCGTCTCCCGTACATGTACTGATATAATGTAAATTGTGCCAAGCTTGAGAGCGGTCTGCATGCCACTTCCGTTTGTGCAATGCACAAACGGAAGTGGCATGCAGCATGATTATAATTATACAGTAGTGTACTGGTATTGTACGAGTATAAGCCTGCTTTGCCTGAATGTTCAGGGTGGTCCTTTTTGCTTTGGTGCATGCCATAAGCCTGGTTTTTCAAAAGCGGTTTTGCAGAAATGCCAGGTCTGAATAATAATACCGGTACGCGGTGCCCTCGCATGGGTTTCTACCAGGGATTCATCAAATACCGGCATGTGATGAATCCCTGGTTTCCACGCTGGAAATCCAGGAATACACCCGGCTTCTATGCTCGGCAGACAGCCCGTAAAAATTGAAAAAATACGAAGTTTAGATATCAGTGAGATGTGGTATCACCTGATCTGAAAGCATTATTATGAATTGAAGTTTCTTTTTACAAGCATCTTTACAGTAACCGTATACATATGCATTGCATGTAATTATTGTGTTTAAAAAAAATATGTGTGTACTGAGTCTGAAATCAATTTAAAAATAATCGTCTTCGAGGTTTTCGAGGCTTTTTGGTCTCTCCAGTGAACAAGATGCAACGACTTGTGCTCCAAGTTGAACTACTGAGTATTACCGTAAATAATAAATTCTACTACTACTACTACTACCGTACTTGTAGTTGTGCATGCTGTAATAAGCATGATCAAGAGTACATATACTCTTATTATTATTATTTATTATTATTATTATTATTATTATTATTATTATCAAATTTTTGATAGGGCAATCCCCACTCTTGGTGATGTGGTAATGATTTTTCCTTTTTAGCCTAATTAGGATATCGACAATAATAATAATTATTATAATTATCCATGATACCAAAGGCAAAGACTTGGCATGGCGTCTACTGTATCTAGTTGTGGACTCTTGATGATAGCTCATATAGATCATACAGTCCAGACAAGAAATGAAGAGCTGAGTAGATCTGATCGATCAAACCACACACTGCACAACACTCAACACAGACAACAGTGCACCATGACAAGTACTACAATACTCAATAGACTAGTACTAGATCTATGACTACTTTTTACAGTATTAAACTGTTATACAATTATGTAGTATGAGTCGTAGATCTACAAAGAGTAGATAAACAGCAATTGGTCGTACCAAGAGTGCACTTATGGACGCTTGCCAGTCTTGGTCGTACTCGTAGACCTACATGCAAGTCATTTTAGTGATGCTGGATATGTACGCAAATCGAGACACAGACGTCATTACACTGATTATTGCAGAAATTTTCTGGTTGACATGACATGGTAGATCACGTAGGTGAAAGATCGGAGTGTAGCAGGTGCAAAGCAAACATCCTGGGGGGAAAATAGTGTCCTGTATTTCTGATCTGATGATCACTAGTCCTTCGTTTGGGTGTCATTTATGAACTAATCTTCTCGTCAGTAGAAGGAAGGAGCTGTTTAGTGTGCAATCATGGAAGAATTCCTACGAGACGCCAAACACTCCCTTGAAAATCTGGTAGGAATCACACCTCACGTTACTCTGGCATTGCTGTGGAAAGCCTAACCTGATATCTGGTTGATTGGGTTGCTTTAGGGTGATGACAAATCTGTTCATGCAGTCCTCGGAAACGAGTCTTGCGATCTGGACTCCGTTGCTTGCTCGATTGCATACGCTTATTACCTGAAGCAGGTTTGTAGTGTTTGAAATAATTTTTACATGTACATGATTGTCCTGAAGTACTAGTATTGTCTGATACATGTACAACCAAGTATTATTACTGTTGCATAATATTCATCCGCGATCATAATAACAATGCATTGAGCACTTTCACTTGGCAATTACGACAATACATGTACATTGGAGAGGTACATGTAACGACCAGGGAGTCGTGGCATCTACAGTGTGGGGAGATGGCACAGTATGGTGGGGCAGGAAGCTGCGTGGGTGTCGCTCGCAGACTGCCTGTTTCAGTCGTCCTTCTTGCAGGGCCAATTTACACTCACTCGTGTGTGCCATCGCTGGCCTGGGCCGTGTTTGGAGTCAGCAGGTCGCGGTTGCGTGTTACATAGGCCACAGATCGGACAAACTGTCTGAAGTCCTTGCTGCAAATAGTGCTCAATACCCTAACAAGGGCAGAGCGTACTACACAAGGCAGAACAACAGAGACCAAAGAGCTTTCTCTAACTCCGAGTGTCGTCTGATGAGTGTTTTTGAAACACGAAACTTGGAGTTACGATAAAGCTTTATGGTCTCTGTTGTTCTGCCTTGTGTAGGCCACAGATCACGTAGAACTGCGCAATCCAGGGGCAACATGTGCATATCATGCTCACTGTTAGTGTAAGAAACAGTGAGTGTGCATCGAAACACATTGAAGAGTGTGTAACTCCAGTCTATGGGGTCTGCGACAGCAGGACTTCACATCACGTGACACACCCGTGCACATTATTTGCGTCCTGTGCATGATGGATACAGGGTTGTATGCAACCCCGCTTTGGGTTCAACTGTCCGATGGTCGCACTTTGCACTGTTTGCCAGTGTAATCTATTGATTTGATGAACCATGCATGGTACCTGATGTGAAGTTCTGCCGTCTCAGCACTGGATAGAGGTTGTAGCGGCAGTTGCACACTCTTGGGGGTTGTGTACTCTTGCCTTCCATGATACAGTAGAGTCGCGCGCCCAAGAACGTTGTTCCCAAGGGGTTAGCCTGGGGCGTTCTTATTTTTCAGCAATCTGTTTGCTTTCTTATACAGTAGAGTCGCGCGCCGAAGAACGTGGAGCCCAAGAACGTCCAGCCTGAAATGTTAAGAACGCCACAGCCTAAAGCTGGGAACGGCGGGGTTGGTTTTCTGGCAGCTTGTGGGATACATATGATCCGGTACGGATTGTTTCTTAGAACGTGCAATAAGAACGCAGCCAGATTGCTGAAAAATAAGAACGTCCCATGCTAACCCCTTGGAAACAACGTTCTTTGACGCGCAACTCTGCTGTAGCACGTTCTTAGAAACAATCCGTACTGGATCATATGTATCCCACAAGGTGCCAGAAAACCAACACCGCCGTTCTTAGCTTTAGGCTGTGGCGTTCTTAACATTTCAGGCTGGACGTTCTTGGGCTCCACGTTCTTCAGCGCACGACTCTGCTGTGGGGGGGGGGGGGGGGGGGGGGCGTACTCGCAATTCCTTCATGACTTCAGTCAGACATACCCCTGATCTCTTTCTCCTTTTAATAGCCATTTAAATTTCCTTGCTTGCCCAGCTCTGAATTTGTTGTACATGTACTGCCTCAGTAGGTAGCCCGCACGAGAATCTACACACATTTTCTATGACTGGCACTTGAGAACAAGAGGAATTTCTCGTTTCACAGGCGAAATAGTGCTCTGAGCGAGAAAAGTGCCGTGATGAAGCTTTTGAGTGTGGTATCTCAACAACTGGTGTAGCTATTGTGAAAGAGTACACCATTGGAAAGCTGAGGATTTTGGTTATAAACCTGCATACTTCATAATAGCACAACAATTGACCAAGTTCTTCTCAGTGATATGTTCACTTTGCTAGGCTATAGAGCTATTCATGCATCTCCAATGGTACTGGATGATGGCTCGTTGTGTCACCCTGACAAGAGCTTTCTGGAGAGCCCAATATTGTGAAAAACAGGCTACCGTAACGTAATTTATGACTGGACGTTGATGCAATTTGAACGAAATTGTTGTCTTGTGCTAAATACATGACAAAACAGTGTAGTTCCGGAGGGGGGGGGGGGGGGGAGCCAAAGGGTTTAGAGTATGGCTGTGATGGCCATCCCAACCTATGGTAGCAATGTTCTGGCAATGGCAGAGGAGAGCTATGATGTCTACTGTAGAAGTATGTCAACAGCTTGCCAAGCTACTAGTACATTGCATATGTTTTCTGAAATGCACAATTCATTGCCAGTCGGTCACTGTCACTCTGAGCTCTAGTGATATGAGTTTTGAGACCTAACATGGCCAAAACGCCAGCCGCTAGCTGTGCTGAGGTTGAGTATGAGGAGACTGGAGTAGTTGAGTAATCGTTTGCTCGGTGACTAGGTATTCAATAGAATATTCGCTCATGGATATTGTTTTTCCTTACTTCAGTACATGCATAATAAATACAAAGCTCTCCTGGAAGATATGTTGTATATAAGACGATCTATGGGACTGATCACTTCCTCAAAACTCAGGGTCAGCGGGGACAGATTCCTCTGTGCAGAATGTGACTTTTTCCCGCACCCGCATGCACTTGCAACTGCGCCATGAGTTGCTGATGTGTGCTTGCACGGAGTGTTGGAACTGATTGATTATAATGATAACACAGGCTACTACTAGTATACAAACTCATAAGTTAGACAGTATTTGGGGTTTAGCAGTACTTGAACTTGCAAAGAAAGATTTCTCTGACTGCAGATATTGCATTTTAGCAAGGCCCGATATCACGTATAGTACTGTCACTATATTGCGGCTGTTAACATCAAGAATTGTCTTCTCTAGGTTTCCTTGTATTCAAGCTTTTTCTTTTTTTCTTTTGAAATGTTATGTACATGCAGGTGAATCCATCTGGAACAGTCATTGCAGTGGTAGATTGTACCAGAGAGGAACTTGAGCTGCGTCGCGAAGTTATCTCTCTGTGCGAGCATCTTGGAATATCTGCTGACAGCTTTATCTACTACAATGATGTGGACATTACAAGCCTGAAAAGCAATGGGGCCTTGAAGATGACAATCGTGGATCACAACTCATTGTCTTCAAGATGGAAATTGCTTGAGGCAAATCTGGTGGAAATCATTGATCACCACAAGGTACGTGTGTAGTGCTGCTGGTCGCCAATTGGCATGATTCATTCTCTCAATAGTATTACATGTACGTGCATGTGTGTGCGTGTTTGTGCGTGGGCGTGCGTGCGTGCGTGTGTGTGCGTGCATGCGCGTGTGTGTGTGTGTGTGCTATGTTCATGTGTGCACTTTGCGCTTTGCAGGATTCTAAAGAAGCCGGTGAGAGTGTTTCCGTGTCCATTGAACCTGTCGGGTCATGCTCAACACTTGTGGCAGAGAAGATTCTGTCTGCAGACACTGGCATCATGGATGCCGCACTTGCCACACTCCTTCTCTCCACCATTCTGTTGGATACGGTTAACCTTGATTCGGAGGCAGGCCGTACCACGGACAAGGATCGGGAAATCGCTGACCTGCTGTCTCAGATTGCTGGACAAGATACCGGTAGGTCATCATGTACAGGTGCACTCAGCTTGCTCTAGATAGTACAGTTGCGCTCACTGAAATCCGATCCAAAGTGCTAAGCTGGCGCCCTGGACCAGTTCCGATTACATCATTGTATTTGTACATGTGTACGTCCAGCCGCATGCGTTCCACTTCCAGGACGTCAAGGGCCGTGGAAGTTGAGGGTGCCAGCTTTGCACTTTGGGTTGGATTTCAATGAGCGCAGCTGTACTATACATGTAGTTGTGGTGAATGTCAGTGTTATTTATTGCCATGTGGGGTTATTGTTGTTGTTTGTAATCTGTTATTCTCCCGTTTGTTGTTGTTGTTGTTGTTGTTGCTGCTGCTGCTGCTGCTGCTGCTGCTGTTGTTGTTGTTGTTGTTGTTGTTGTTGTTTATTGTGTGATCACAGGTGCACAGGTATTTGAGCGGCTACGCAAGGTCAAGTTTGATGTGTCCTCGCTCAGCTCCTATGAGCTGCTCGGCAAAGATTACAAGCCCGTGGGTCTTTGCAGTACCTCTGCTGCTCATGTGGGCATCTCCTCTGTAACGTGTGGATTGGAGCAGTTCCTGTCACGCACTACTGCTAAGGATGCCATGTGCGACTTTCTGCTCTCCAAGGAGATCAACTGCCTTGTTTTGATGTCTATCTACTTTCCAGAGGGAGAGGACAAGCCCCGTCGTCAGGTTAGTTCTGGTCTTCATGTACTTTTGCTGGCAATGTGCCAGGTGTGTTTGCACTCTGGCTCGTCTAAATGAGAAGAAGTACGTTGCTCTCTCTCTCTCTCTCTCTCTCTCTCTCTCTCTCTCTCTCTCTCTCTCTCTCTCTCTCTATCTCTCACTCTCACTCTCTCTCTCTCTCTCTCTCTCTCTCTCTCTCTCTCTCTCTCTCTCTCTCTCTCTCAAGGTTGCGTTAACGTGCGCGCATCTTGGAACTAGGGACGGGGGGGCGATGTCGGTACTCAGGTACCCACGCGCACTGTTGGCATTCTTGGATTCCGTCATCGGTCCACACAAACTGTTGTGTGTGCTGCGACAAACACTATACACTACACTAATGGTCCCACCACCCAGTTTACAAGTACATTTAGTAATGTTGTAGTCATGTTGTACTTTTGTGCTGTGTTTAGGATGAAACTAATGCTAGTATGATATCATCATGCTACCAGCCTGGAGTGACAATTGACAGTTCCTGTAGTACCATTTTGCAGTGCAGTAACAGGTAGATGCACGTGTTTCTGTCCGCTTTGGTTCAATCGGTTTGTGATGTAGACTTCGGATACCTGTGAATCGAGAGAAGATCCGGTACCCAAGCTTGACATCTAACGGCTTTTGGTGGTAATCTTTGTAGAAGAAGTTGACTGGTTGCCATAGTAAACAAGGGTAACCCAGCACCAGAGGGTCAGAGCGATTTTACTGGCAGCTATCAGTTGGCATGATGATGTCTGGAATTGCTGTCTCTGAAAGCATTTATTGACCGGCGGGGTGTGTGTGTGCGTGTGTGTGTGTGCGTGTGTGTGCATGTGTATGCATGTGTGTGCATGTGTGTGTGTGTGCGCGTGTTTATGTGCTTGTGTGTGTGTGTGCGTGTGTGTGTGTGTGTGTGTGTGTGTGTGTGTGTGTGTGTGTGTGTGTGTGTGTGTGTGTGTGTGTGTGTGTGTGTGTATGCTCATGCTTGCACTGATAGGTTGGGGTTTACTCCGATGATGAAGCTGTGCGTGATGAAGTTATCCTTGGCTTGCAGTCAGATGGTGTTCTTCAACTTGATGCATTTTCTCCCGATCAAGCTCTAAGTGGACTGGTGTGCTTCAATCAAGGCAATCGTGCTGCATCTCGCAAAATTCTGCTTCCTCTTCTTGCATGCTCCCTTAGCATTGGTTCAAGGTTAGTTGGAAATTGATAAGAAGTGAATTATACTAATAGTGCATAGTGTCTACTCTGTGGTTCCTTCTTGAAACCCCCAAGCGGGATGAAATTGTTGTACACGAGTGCAAGTCATGGAAATCTTCATCTTTTTCATAATGCCTGTTTGTGCGTGTGTTTATGTCCGTTGTTTATGTCCGTATTCTATGTTTCGGTTTACTTTGCTTACAGCAGTGCAGCACCAGTGAGTCCTGCGGTGACTCCCGTGGTGAGTCTACTTTCTCTCTCTCTCTCTCTCTCTCTCTCTCTCTCTCTCTCTCTCTCTCTCTCTCTCTCTCTCTCTCTCTCTCTCTCTCTCTCTCTCTCTCTCTCTCTCTCTCTCGATGTGCATGCACCCACATATGTACATCTATATACCTTGGACCTTAGACCTCACTAGAATCAGCCCACCCTAGACCTTAGACACCCATTGCCACAGGTAATGCCGGCGATGCCATGATGCTTCGAAGTATAAACCATGGTAACTTGTGCTTGGATTGCGCCATTTGACAGCTTGCAAGGCCGTCACTGTTTAGTCTGTCTACACCACACCGCTTTTGGAGTGATTCTCAGGCCAGTGATCCCCAACACACACCTGAATGCCCGTGCTGTTCTGTCCTATTCCAGTAGTCTGTATGGTAGTGGTACCCAGTGGGTGGTATTGCATGATTGATTGTGATTGCTTTGGCGTTGTGTGTCTAGGATGCCGTGGTGGCCATCCCCGGCGAAAGTGATCGTGCCGCCCTGTTGTCGGATACTAGCTTTCACTCTACACCGGCTGTTCTGCAGACCGAGACCAGTCTTCGGCCTTCCACTCCTATCCAGGTGTGTTTCAACGTATGGCTGCTGCTGCTGCAAAATGTAGTGGGAGTTTGGCCAGAGGCCCTGTCTCTGCAGACATTTGACTTGTGCATACTAACAATCGTGCAGTGCTGTGTAGGCGAATGCGCTGTGTTTGTTTTGCCTCTGCGTGGATCACTGTTGTTGAACTTGTTGTGATGGTGAATGTCATCATCCCCGCTCTGCCCGACATTGACCTGTCAAGTCTGATCCTCTGTACATGCAAGATAGGCCAGCACGCCGTGTTTTCCTGTCTCCTTTGCCTGTGTCCTGCACTGCACATTGTTGTGTTTTAGGAGTACACTGCGGATGAAGAAGCAGTGGAGGAGCGGACATACAAAGCAGTGGGTGTTGCTGGCGTTCCAGCCTCTGTCGATCTCAAAGCCATTGAGAAGTATCGCAATGTCGTTTCTCACGGAGGTGAGTGTAGAAGTAGTTGTTGACCTAAACAAGTATAATCCTGATAGCGTGTGCATCCTTCACAATCAGATCAGCAAGTCATGTCAATTCCCTTCATTGGTTGATTTTTGTTGCGATGCTGAGTATCCAGCACGAGTAGACTCAGCTGGTTTTTATTCCTAGACTGTTGTTCATGGGCTTGTCTCTAGTACCTGTACGAGTATGCAGTTGGTGAATGAGGTAAGTATCTATCACACCTGCGCATCTCTATTCTATCCACCTGTGAGATGTGGCTATCATCAACAACTAATTGGACAGGCTCCAGGTGTCTATCAATCTCTGTACATGTGTGTGCCTTGTGTGTGTGTGTGTGTGTGTGTACGTGTGTGTACATGTGTGTACGTGTGTCCTATCAGTCATCGCCCTCATCTGATACCATGTTTGTCCATGTATGTTGGTGTTTGTGTACACGAACTGCCCGTGTCATGCCTGTGCGTGTGTGTGCCTCATGCCTAATATTTACTTTAGGCTACCAGAACAAGTCCAAGGACGCCATTATTGTCCTCTCTGCGTGCCATTTGCCACCAAAGAACATCCCTAATTACAACCATGTGATGGAGCAACTCTTCTTGTAAGTTCTATTCTGTACTTTTGTAATCTACTGTAAGAGTTGAAAGTGAGACTAGTCTAAAGTTTAACAATTTGCAAATTGAGGATGGAAGGAATAACATACTTGTAACGTTTCTTGAGTGAACGATGGATTCTTCTCGTTAAAACGTTAGACTTTGTGTCCCTTTAGACATTCAACTCTTACAGTATGTTTGAAACCTTTAGCAACTGCTTGGACTTACCGGTATTATAATATTGTATACACTTGTATGTTGGCCGTTAGTGTAGCCATTCTTGTACTTGTATTACAGCCTTTACAAGTGTTGAAAATGCTTTCTGATCTTGGATTGTTTTTATATGACCCACTAGCAGACCCCCTACTCTCTTGATGCACATACTTCGAAGTACTCGTGTCAAGCAGCAGTGGGGGGGGGGGGGGAGGGGGGTGTGAATGCAGATGTCCATGTGGATGCAGTCATCTTACATACATGTACTGATGCTAACGCTGTTTTTGTGTCGCTGCTGCTGTGGTCTTGTCGTTGTTGCTGCTGGTGCTGGCGTTTCTGGGGGTTGTTGTTGTTGTTGTTGTTGTTGTTGTTGTTGTTGTTGTTGTTGTTGTTCTAGGTATGTTGTGTCTGTAGTACAACACCTTGCCGTTGACAACTACTGCATTGTCTTGTTTAACACTGATGCTAATCTGAACAACACACCCGGCATCACTTGGCTGCACAAGTACTACTCTGGAGTTGATAGACAGTAAGTACAAACCAGCGCCGTGATGTGATGTGATGTGATGCACCATCTTACATACCGAAGTATGTGAAGTTGCATGTCGCTTTTGATGTACAGTCAGTACTTCTCATCTGCTTCTCTGCCTCCTTTTCTTATAATTGTTTTGCCACTCTGCTTTGTAGTTTGCGAAAGAATCTGCAGAATCTGTACATCTTCAATCCAACCCTCCGCCTCAAGGTGTTGTTCCAGCTCGCGCGGCCCTTCATTAGGTAAGTGACCTTGCACCCATACCACACATACACATACACACACACTTGTACTTGTTGCTCACTGCCAAAACTGGTCACGTGTGTCTCCCCGGGGAGAGAGACTCCAAAGGAATCTTGGAAAGATGACTCAATTGGCTATTGAACCGCCCAACGGCTGACACCCCTGAAATCCCCAAAACTCTGGGTGGACTTGAAAATGATCCCACTCATGGGCTCACCACACCTCAGTAAGTGGGTGAGGACAAGGTGCAGAAAAAGGATTGACGGCATCACGGTATCCGTCCTGGGATCCAACTGCAGGTACCCCTGCCCCCAGTTGAGGTAATACTTGCTACTAGTGTGGGTGGCTAAATCAGAGTGGATCTGATATAAGCTTCACCAGCACCATTGATTACACAAGAGTTAATCTAGCCAGAAGCAGTTCATGGTTAACAGGTATTTATACTTCGAATAGAAAGTATATGAACCCTGGAATCAACAAAGGTGGCAGGTACAACATTACACCTTCAAGCAGCCGAGCCTATTGGCAACAGACCCAACACAATCAGGCATACGTGTACCCACCAACCGAACTAGCTGGCACACACACACACACACACACACACACACACACACACACACACACACACACACACACACACACACACACACATCCTTGGACCTTTGGAAGCCCATCACCAAAGGCAATGATAGCTGTTAGGCGATACAGTGATTCCTGTGTCGAGACAAGTCATTTGGACGACAGAAGTCGCGACCGTAGACACATACCACTGCACCTCCGAGATGCCACACGCAGATCCTAAGTTGTCACACCCCTCCGTCGACGCGTGCGTCCATGACGAGGTCGTGTGTTTGTGCCCTTTACAAACAGGACATATACATGCCTGCGCGCATGCACATACACACACACACACAGACACACACACTCTCTCTCTCTCTCTCTCTCTCTCTTTCTCTCCAACATTTCCTGCCTGTGGGGGGGGGGGGATATTTTCGTGGGCTTCCACCTTATCTCTCTTTTTGTACTTTTCCTCATGCTTATGTGCTTTTGCAGTGCAAAGTTCTGGCGGAAAGTGACATATGTTCGAAGTCTGGCTGAGTTGAAAGACTGCATTCCATTGGAGAACGTAGCCATTCCACGTGCAGTCCTGGAGTAAGTTGACTGTTGCTTCTATTGTTATTATCTGCGGAGGGTTTCAAAACATGTCACGTTGAAGTAGCGGATAAGAGATATTTTAAAACAATTGAGTTTAGTTGAATTTTTGTTAGTTCAAGTGCCAACCCCAGCTCTTTCCGGTTACTTGCCGCTGATGTGTATGTGCGTGCATTTGTCTGTACTTGTCTTTTTGGTTGTAAAAGCTGTGTGCAATGATGTGATGCATTGTGTGTTGTACAGTTCCGACACAAGTGGTGCTTTCCCCCGAACAGCCCATGAAGTATCCTGTTCCCTATCTTCTGAGAAGATCACCATGTCAACGTAAGCACTGCATGTACGTGTACGTGGTACTGACTAGCTGGCCATCAGATTGGATGGCTGACTACAACATCACATTCTACAGTACCGTCTTGGTCGTGTTAGTGCTTGCCTTAGCTGACACTTGTCTTCTCCTATCTCTATCTCCGTGGTGTGTGACACCGCTTGAGCTGCTGGACTTTGAAATACGTTTGCTTGCTTTCTGAAAGGCCATTGACCAGCAACGGTGCGCAGCTCTTTGTGTCACTCTTGAGCCACATTCTTTGTTCTTGCCGCACTATTCTGCGCTACTCTGCATGCATGCATGCGTGTGTTTGTGTGTGTGTGTGTGTGTGTGCGTGTGCATGCGTGCGTGCACGTGTGTGTGTATGTATGTGTGTGTGTGCATGCACGTGTGTGTGCACGTGTGTGTGTGTGTTTGTGTGTGTGTGTGTGCACATGCGCATGTGTGTGTGTGTGTGTGTGTGTGCGTGCGCGCATGCGCGTCACTTGCACTTTTCGTTTCATTCATTGGTACTTTTGAGATTGAATTCAGTATTTTATTTTTTTGACCTGCCAAGGATGATAGAACGTTCTGCGTTGAATTCAGCATTCGCTGTAGAGTATTTTGCTTTCTTTCTGTCTTTTGACCACTGTTCATTGTTCTGTGAAGCACTTCCTGTGAAGCCACACACTCGTAATAGTCTTTAATAACGGATTGTCATCATCTTTCATTTCCCCTTAGTCTAAAAGAACGCAGTTGTAATCGACTAGTATCCTCTTTGTTTTTCCTATTCAGACGTCTGTTATGTCTATATTTCTTGGCACCATGCCCTTTTCTTATTGCTTGCTTCACTGTGACATAATAATATACGTGTATACTGTTATGCACCAAAGTTGGTTGAAATCCAGCAGTATTTGAGTATTTTCCAAGCCAGCTATCCTGTCACCCTGGAGCTGATTAACCCTATCTGCTACTTGTTTCATTGCCAGCTATCCTGTCACCCTGGAGCTGATTAACCCTATCTGCTACTTGTTTCATTGCCTTTTGCAAAATTTTATAATTCTACAGTAGACTACAGTTATTGTGGCAAACTGCACAAATCTTATTCGTTGTGTATTTGTGTCAATGTGTGCGTGTGTGTGTGTGTGTGTGTGTGTGTGTGTGTGTGTGTGTGTGCGTATGCGTGCGTACATGCGTGTGTGCGTGTGTGTGTGTGTGTGTGTGTGTGTGTGTGTGTGTGTGTGTGTGTGTGTGTGTGTGTGTGTGTGTGTGTGTGTGTGTGTGTGTGTGTGTGTGTGTGTGTGTGCTTCTACCAAAGCAGCGTGCTGTCTACACTGGCTACCCCAGCAAGTGTAGGAGGTGCATAGGTAATTGACAGTTATCTGGCGCTAGTCTTGATCTGTCTCATTCAGATCTTGTCCGCTATCGTTGCTATAAGGGCGCGTTCAGGCTACCGATAAAAAGTGACGGAATGGAAAAGTTTCCAAGGTGATTTGATCACATGTTACTGGCACGTTACCGGCGGAAAAGTTTTACTGCCGTGGCTGCTGCGGCAGTAAAGTTTTCCCGGCAGTAAAAAAGTGCTCGGGCTGCATGCGCGCTGTGAAAAAGGGAAAATCCCTTCTCAGCGCCGCGGTGAGAGGTGCAAAACGTACGTACCGGTAACGTTAGTTTGTCGGTAGTGTGAATGTCCTTCACGGTTTATCGGCATTCACGGTTTGACGGGGTTCACGGTAGTCTGAACGCGCCCTAAGAGAAAATCTGTGGGTGCATATCCAATGCATTTGCAGATTTGTATGCTCCTCTTGCGACGGGTGTATACATGGTACATGGTGTGTGTGTGTGTGTGTGTGTGTGTGTGTGCGTGCGTGCGTGTGTGTCCTGCGTGTGGTGTAGACCAGGTATGCATTGGTGGTCGATTCACATGGCTTCACAGGTTGTGTGGATTGGACAGTTATTTGGCGATAGTCTTGATCTGTCTCATTCAGATCTTGTCCGCTATCGTTGCTTTTAGAGAAAATCTGTGGGTGCACATCCAGTGCATTTGCAGATTTGCGTGCTTCTCTTGCGATGGGCGTATACATGGTACATTATACATGGTGTGTGTGTGTGTGTGTGTGTGCGTGCGCGTGTGCATGCCGGTGTGTGTGTGTGTGTGTGTCTACATGTGGATGTGTGTGTGTGTGTGCTATGGCTTCTGCCGTAGCATCGCTATCATCGCCTCCGGCGATGGGCGTCCAGTGGTGTGTGTGTGTGTGTGTGTGTGTGTGTGTGTGTGTGTGTGTGTGTGTGTGTGTGCGTGTGCGTGTGCGCGTGTGTGGTGTGTGTGTGTGTGTGTGTGTGTGTGTGTGTGTGTGTGTGTGCTCGCGTGCATGTATGTGCGTGTGTGTATGTGTGTGAAAATGAAAAATGAGAAATAGGAATTCATTGGCCAGAAAAAGCCACTTCAATCAGCTGCTGCGCGGTGTAGATCAGGCTAAAATTAGTGGCGGTCAATATGTAATTCTTTACACGCCTCCTTACCCCAGCAGACTCATAATCATGAGACAGGAAAGGTTCTGGGCGTGGAGCCTGGAGGTGCTATCAAAACACAGCAGACCAGACAGAGATGATAGACAGATGTGGTTTGACGCAGAGAGTCGTATTTTACGACTCCCTGGTTTGACGTTTGTACCATGCATGGAGTAGTAAAATACGTCATTTTTACTACTCCATGGTTTGTGGTATCGCATGATCTGACTGCCATCAACAAAAATGTCAAGAGTTCATTATGAACTCTTGCTGACATGTCGACAGTGCTAGTGACCAGGTGACATGATCTCATATGACCGAGCAGTGATGAAGGGCAAAGGACAAAGCAGTAGATCTACGAACTCAGATACAGGATAGGCGAAGTTTCGGTGACAATTATTTTGTTTGTTTGAAAATCCGGATAGTATTTCATTCAAGTGGTAAATGTGCCATGTTTATTACACACATAATTTTCTTAGTAGAAGAACACTATTAGTCTTGTAGAAGTTAGTTAGACGGGGCATGTGCTGCAGTTTAGCATCGGTGCTCGTTTCCCTTTGCTGTAGTCTCGTCTGTGACCTAAATATACCAAAATAATTATCAGGAAAAATTCAATACGATCGTCTTGGATTTGCTGACTGCAGCTGGCACGTCGAAGACAGCAACTGCACTGTATGTGCTCAGTTATAGTTCTCCTATGTACTAGGATGTAACTACCTACTATCATTATCTTCTTGAGTGCCCTTTACCCCTTGGCCATTTTCAAGAACAGTCGACTAGTCCAGGTCATGGGTGACAGCAATAGTATTCCATTTGCTCCGCTGGCTAATGCTACACCGTCTCCTTTCATCGGAGCGTGGCCCGGGACGTTGGCACTGACCTGCAGCATATGCTCTGTGGTCGGATCACTACTGATTATCCTAACCTATCTAGCCTTCCATGACATTCGCAGCACGTCCAGGCAGATATTGGCCTACCTTTCTCTGGCAAACTTGTTGGCATCAGCGTCGATCGTGTGGGGAGTGTCAGGAAACTTATCCCAGGATTCGGATTCGCCAAGCTGTCAAGCTCAGTCTGTCCTACTGATCGCAACAGGCATTGCTGACTTTCTCTGGAATATAGGCCTAGCTGTTTATCTTTATGTGATCATAACGAAAGAAGGATCGCGGTGGGGCAGCAATGGTTGCCCGAAGGTTCTGTACGCCGCTTGCTGGACACCAGGAGTAGTTATAGCCCTGGTTACTTATCTACAGCACCACACTGGCGTGGACCCGGGCGCAATCAACACGGCTAAATGGTGCATTATCAAAGGCCCGAACAGTACGAATAAAGTCAGTACCAACGACTACGTCCTTTGGTCAATGATTGTGGGCGACGGCTGGAATATTCTGGCAATCTTTTCAACATTATGCCTGTACATCATCACCAAGTGTCATCTGTACAAGGAGGTAAATTCAATGATGCGTACATGTGCTTTTATACAGTTTATCATTAACCACACTCTTTATGATGTAGATCCCTACTCCCGATGGTCACTTTACTGGCACCTACCACGTAAACCCAACACGTATTGTGGCATATCGAGTTTAGCAGGATGGTAGCCAGGATCTTTGCCCAGCGTTGACCTAGCTGAAAACGTAGTAGTGTTCTACCTAGACAGAGTATTGGGTACTAATACCATGCGTGGGTTTAACACTTTCAAAGTTTTGCTACAGATCAGACCATTCCTAACCCCTACGGTGAATATCTCATCTGAAACATGTTCCGAGTTGCTTTTAGAACAAAGGAGCTAAACTATCATCTGTATGAATACATTTCTTCATGATGGATTCCTTCTTTCCACAGTATCACCATTGGGGTATCGCCACCACATTTCAACTCAAATTAAATCAGTATCTGCCTACAGAACATGATGTACACACACACACACACACAAGAGAGGCGAAAGGCTGTGTAGCTGTAACTTTACGTTTCACGCATTTCAGCGATCATCAGACCGCAGCATTTGCTGCTCTGCACATTTGTGCATTGAGCCCTCTACCTCAAACATGACAGGGGCGTAGGAGGGGTGTTGGAAGTGGTACGATCGAAGGTTGGTGCGGCCGAAGGCCTTGTTGGAGGGGGGGTCGGGGGAGCTCCCCCGGGAAAATTTTGTAAAAAAGACACAAAATCCTGCGTTCTGGGAACTTCTGGCGCAGTGTGCAGTCGAGTCGAGTACAGTACTCAGTAGATCTACGACTGCAGATATGCATAATAACAAGAGTAGATAAACAAGAGTGTGCAACTCCGGACCTCTCCTGCACAATCTCCAGATACCCCCGCCTATGGCGGAATTTTTTGTTGACGTCACCTTTTTTCAGAGAAACGCGCTTCTTGCCGCAGAGCAGTGTGAGAGCACGTGCTGGACACCGATATTGCAATGTAAGCCCGGCCAAGTGCACGAGGCAAAACTTCCCAAAAGACTAGCAGCGCGTGGGTGGTCGAAAAGATTACGTCAACAAAAAATTCCGCCGTGGGCCAACCCATCCGCGCGGATCCGCGAGTTACACACTCTTGTTTATCTACTCTTGATAATAACAGATCTACGATTACGAGTCTAGAAAATGTCAAAGTCTGATGCGCATATGCATCGATGGATCCTGATTTTTTTTATTACGGTTTTGCACGTTCCAGGCGGACCACACTTTTCGAAAAGTGGTACGGCCATGGTCGTACCAGTCGTAGCGGGTGCTACGCCCCTGCATGATGTATATATATATATACACTGTATTTGCTTCGCTTGGCCATGTCAGAGACTGAGAGAGTCACTTCTGCAACATCATTGTCGTACCAAAGTCTATCTCTCTGCTGAACAGTACTCTTTCTGCCGTTTCCAAAAGGCCCAAGGCGGACTCTCTGGACCGAAGTTGCACCATTTAAAATGATGAGCAAATACCAGAGTTTAAAATAGCTTGACCCTGAAAAGGTTGAACCAACTGGTTGTAATACGACTAATAAGTAATAACCCAAGGAAAGTTACAGTTTATTGGCTGGGGCTGTATTACATGTACAGTAACTACTTTCCTGTGTAGAGTCATACACGTAGTCAAATGTCTTGGCTTTCACCTTCTTCAGGCTCTTGGTCCGAGATGGAATGGCAAAGGTGACGGGTTTCAATGTGTCAAGCACTATGGTTCTGTGTAGATGCTGCAGGTGTTTGAGTCATACAACTATGCTTGTGTGTGTCTGTTTTGCAGACTCATCACCACCAGTCGACATTTTTAACCCGGGGTGCATTAAATGCTGCTCATCAAATTGATCGAAAGTTGACCTTCATCCCCATCACGTACTTCTTCCTGCACATTTGGAGCTTCATACGCACCGTTATGGCTGTGTCCAGATCGAATATTAACTCTGATATGGACAGTTGGTGGTATAAGATTCTTCTTGGTCTACAGGTAAGACTTATTCTATGTTGGTGTCTACAATTCATACAACTCACAGGTCTTTTGTCTGGATTTCCATTAGGGCTGAACAGAGAAAATACGATTTAAACACCAACATGTTAAGGTCCAAAGAGCCATTCTAGAAGTTCTTACCATAGGAGTGACGTTCTGCCCTACCCAGAACAGGCTTCTTCTAGCTTTCTTTTAGAAAATATGACATCCTGCCCTTGGCATTTGCATAGCATGCACACTAGTAATTCCAAGCTAGGCTGCAAGTGCATGCAGTCGCCTATTGAGCTAGTTGGGCACTTTGTAGCTCGCTGGGTTTGTTATTCATTGGCTAGACTTCTCCTCCACATGTTAATCTGTGGTAGACCCTGCACTCCACAGGCGGTACTTGCTGCAATGCTCGACTCCCAGCAGCACAATGGCTTATAAAAGTACACTGATAAGCTCAAACCTGGTTTGCAGCACAGATGAAATTTCTACAAGGGGCTCAGGCTAATCCTTCTGTGTATTTATGTTAAAATTCTTTTGCCTCCACCATGGTATGTCTTGTTCTTCTTGCAGACATTCGGCGACTGCAGCGAAGGCCTGGCAAACGCTATTATATTCTTGGTTTTCTCTCCCAAGCTACGGCAGCGGTTGAAAGCAGCTGTTCTTGCCAAGGTGTACTATATCTTCTACATGTGCAGTGTCAAGGTGTGTTGTGGACAGGCACAGCCTGAAGATGATGAGGCACTGCAGGTATGTCCACTTGACTACATGCATGTAATTGCTTGCTTTTTGTTTGTTTTTTTGCTCTCTCCGTGTGCTGTGTGAACTTGTCTGTTTTAAAAAGTGGAGTGCCTGTACGGTGCTGTTAATTAATGTGTGTTCAAACTAAAAGGGTGGAAGGCAATGCCCCCGCACCTTTATTAAATGATGTATGGGACACCAATGCCATCACAATTACTGCTACTTTGCATACATGTAAATGTATGGACAGTATAGTGTGTACATACATTGGATCATGACTGTTATAACTTGTAGGTTTCCATCCGGCTTTCCAGCTAACCATTCATGCTAGGCCTGGTCGGTGTGGTCTAAATTACTAGTAGTACAGTCAACTTTGCGTATAAGGACACTCGGCCGGGCATCAGAAACGTGTCGTTATTCGCGAAGTATCGTTATACCCGAAGTCTCATTATATATACTGTATAAGCAGAAATATTCGTCTGGAATTTAATTTCGTCTTTTTTGTCTAAGGAGCTTTTGGACTAAATTAAATGTAGGTCGAATATCGATTTGTCCAGCGTTTCTATACACTCTTATGATCCATGGACGAAATTTTCAACCGGACGAACTCCTTTTCTTTGGAGTTGGACGAAATTATTGACCGACGAAATTTTCTGCCTCTACAGTACAGGTAGAATGGACTTTGCTCTGGGCATGAAAAGTCTGTCGTTATTCGCGAATTGTCGTTATATCCGCAGTCGTTATTAGCGAAGTTGACTGTAGTTGTGGACGTCTTGTACGAGTACCTGTACTTCTGGGGTGAAATCATACAATTATGTGTATGATGTGTGTGTGTGTGTGTGTGTGTGTGTGTGTGTGTGTGTGTGTGTGTGTACATGTGTGTGTGTACATGTGTGTGTGTGTGCACATGTGTGTGTGTACGTGCATGTTTGTGTGTGTGTTTGTCTGTGTATGTTTGTGTGTGTGTGTGTGTGTGTCTATGTGCATACAGCGAGCTGCCGGTGGCCACTACGCTCAGGGTGTAGTCAATGACAGTGCTCATGCTCTCTTGCCACGGCCGAAGTTAAGTAGCTATCATTGGGGCAATAGTGGCAGTGCAAGTGGACGCTCCTCTCCATTTGGGCTTGGTAAGAGCACCGCTGATAGCACGAATTCTGAACGAAGTCAAGTGCTGCCTGCTGGCAACGCAGCCCACGTCTAGTTCTCATTTGCACACACTTGTTTATCTCTTTTTTTCTTTGAGCTTTGGGTTCACCCCGTGCGGTATGTTTTATTTCTTGCTCTGTTTATGTATAGGGATCGCATTCTTGTGTAGATCCGCTTTATTTTGGCTTGATCTTTAACACAAAATGTTGTCCACCACTGGAATTGACGCACCTATTGCACTTACTCTACTCGTTTTTTTGCATCCTCCAGCGAATGTTCACAGCTGCTTCTTGTATTTATCTCGAAAGAAAGTAACTCTCTAGCCTACGAAAAATTGATTGACTCCCTCTCAGCAAGTATTTAATTCTGCCGTATTGATTCTATCGAACACGTAACATTATGCCTACTCAAATGCATAGTTACCATTCTTGGTTCATGTATCACCTTTTTTTAAATTCACTATTGGGGCTGGTCTCCACTCTTCACTCTCTATGCTTATTTCTGCATCACCTACATGTACATACGTGTACATAACCTTGCTTGCAGTGCCGAGTATAATTGACATTTGTGTTGTTGCTTGAATATCTGTGTTTGATCATCTACGAAATCATGACTGAGATTGTGTTCTACGCAGTGCTTGATTTTCAAAACCAATGCGTCACTATTTGCCGTGAACTTTGCCTATGTTTCCTTCGTGTGTAAGCTTCCTGGCTCGGCTGTGCTTTGAAGTTTAGCATGCATCCCATCTTGCTTACTATGTGCTTTCTATTCAATCTGACTTGACTGAATTTTCGAGTGCTGTGAGTTCATTGACTTCACTCCACTTCAATTAGCGAGGATTGGTGATCGGACAGACGCATGGAGCACATGATGGATTTTTTTGTCCAATCAGTCAGGACAGAGACCAGTGAAGGATGAACAGGACAGGTGAACAACAGTGACCAAGGTGACTGTATACAACTACTGCCTACTGCGGTGTATTACTATTGCAGTATTGGTATAGCGTCGTAACCCACTACACTGATAAAAATGAGTTCCTGATCGAAATGACAATCATCCTGAGGGTCATGAGACTCATTACAATTACATGATTGTGTCACTGCAGTGAGTGAAATACCAGGGAGTCGTAAAATACCTACGACTCCCTGTGAAATACTAAAATTCGTACTTGCACGTTGACGACGTCAGAATGACGTAGTGGATCAATCACTTATTTATAAAGTCACATGATTTACCAACCGTGCATTTTTCATAGAAAACATGGAAAGGTTTGGGTATTCTTTTGAAGTCATGTTCATATTCGAAATGAAAGGAAATAGGATTGGTACAGTACTTTGTGATCTGAGACATGTAAGCGTTTGTTTACCGAAGCTTGTCAGCGTGGGCCTAACCACGTGAGTTTCTTGATGTTTCAGCCATTCAACGTGGACAACGCAGCCTAATTCAGTTCGTCCCTGCACATTAATTTGAAGTCCATTGACGCTTCAGGAAATGAGCATCTGCATTGAGTATTAGTATTGAGAATGGGATAGGTGATATTACTATTGGATAAGACAGATAGCAATGGCCGAGGAAGCCAAGTATTCTCACGATCCAAAGTTCCGGCAGTTTGTAACTTCTATTGACAAAGCCCTTCGGTCTTTCGAGTCAACTAGTGAGTGGGCCGACCTAATCAGTGCTCTTGGAAAACTTGCAAAGGTAATACTAATGCTATTTTAAATTTAGAATTATATTCAATGCTCTCATGCAACCACAGCCTTACAGTATGGCTAGGCATTTGGTAACAAGGTCAAGTTTCTAATCAGTGCCTGTACTGCTCTCATTGTGTTTACTGCTTGCAAACACACGCACGCTTGAACTCCCCTTACCCCGCTAATGTGGCACCGAATCCTGTCCATAGCTGGCAACCGTCCGTAGGTCAGAGCTACATTCAAGTTGTGTACATATACACTTGGTCAAAGGATGTTTTCAACCTGGCAACACCACAGACACCACAGTCAAACATGCTACCAGAATACTGTAAATCCAGGAACATTTGCCATCCGGAATCCGGCGCCGTTTTCGCGATGGGTGTGACATCGCCAAAGTAAGCAGGTGCGAAATGTAGAGCCGTAGTAAAGAAACTGACTCAAATTGCAAACATCTCCTGTTGCAAATGGGTCTGTGCTCACAAATCGCAGACTAAAACGAGCACAGACGCTTCCTGGTTTACAGTGGCCCATGGCCTACAAGTGTAGGAACAGGACAGTCTGGATAAGGGGAGTTTGAGTGTACATACTAGTATGGATAAGGGGAGTTTGAGTGTACATACTAGTATGCCAGTAGTGGACACCAGTGACAGTACAGTGTACACTGCGTAGCAAGCAAGATAAGCCGGAGATTCCCATGCATGTGGCTTGTCTCTTTCACAAGCCATTTTAAAAGTAGGTTTACGTTTTTGATCGCATCAGAGAGACAACGCAACATCATAGCACATGTACCCGAAACGGCATACGGTTTGACCCCGGATTTGGAAGTTTTATCCATAGCCTTGTGTGTATCATTTTATAAACATACTATGTGTGTGTATGTGTGTGTGTGTGTGTGTGTGTGTGTGTGTGTGTGTGTGTGTGTGTGTGTGCATGTGCATGTGCGTGTGTGTGTGTGTGTGTGTGTGTGTGTGTGTGTGTGTGTGTGCGTGTGTGTGTGCGTGTGTGTGTGCGTGTGTGTGTGCATGTGCGCGCGTGTGTGTGTGTGTACATTATCTAGGCATTGCAATCTCACACCCAGTTTCCCATCATACCGAAGAAGTACACAATTGGCAAGCGTCTCTCACAATGTACTCACCCGGCTTTACCCAGCGGATGCCATCTGAAGGCTCTCGAAGTCTATCACCTCATCTTTCAGCGCATCGGTAGCAGTGGTTTGGCACATGACATCTTTGTGTATGCCACCGGCTTGTTTCCCCTCCTTGGCAATTCGGCCATGTCAGTGCGACCTTACCTTCTCAGCATCTATGAGAAGCACTTCTTGCCACTTGGTCATCATCTGTCGCCGGCTTTACAAGGACTTGTTCTGGCACTGCTGCCCGGACTAGAAGAGGGCTCTGAACACACTGACAGGTGTGTCTCGGCTGTGTGTGTGTGTGTGTGTGTGTGTATCTGTGTGTGTGTGTGTGTGTGTGTGTGTGTGTGTGCGTGCGTGCGTGTGTGTGTGTGTAATTATGATGCTTCAAAGTTTTGTTGATTTTCCACTGGAAAATCCAACTTGTGAATGCTGTGCTATGTATTGATTGTAAGTCCTGAATCTGCTATGCATGTATGTTCTTGTAATAATTTTATCTGCTTTGATTATGTGTGTATCTTGTGACACTGCTCTGCTGGCAGAATCCATGATTTGCTGATATCAATATGCAACTGTACTGACAAGTGGTTGTTTCACAATGCGCTGTGGAGCTGCGTGCTGAACGTACCGCTGTCGCGATTGCCTGCTCTCACTCTTCTCCTCTCCGAAGTCAACAAGGATGCAACTGCAGAGGATCAGCAGTACCTGTTTGGGGACGATCTGGTGACGATGGTGAGTGCTGATTGCTGTTTTCATTATCCTACCCTGTATGCAGTACTGTGTCCATGGGCCGAATGCACACACATGTACGTGGGAGATGAACTTCCATGATTCCACTTAAGCAGAGAAAATTGGCTATGCGGTGAGTCCAGCATGGTTGGAGGTACATGTACTTGTTCTGACACTGCTCTAACGTTATCAACAGCTGACAAAGCACACTACTTGGCAGAAGCAACAAGCTAGCGATGCTTGTATATAGCACACTAGTCCTACAGACTACAGTACATGTATTCTGTATTGCACTTGTGTACACATGTGGCACCGGTTTTTGTTCCTCTTTCCTGAGCGTTGGATATATTGTGCTGGTTTCTATTTCCTGTGAAGGTGAAAGGCCTGAGTGCCGCGTTAACGGACAGCGTGGTACTGGTTCAGCGCTCGGCGCTGGATATTCTTGTAGCCTTGCTACCGTTGCATCAAGAGTTCTTCCAGCGTGCAGACACTGTTTTGTTGCTGAGGTCTGCGCTGCTGACACTGCTCCGGCGTGACATGTCGCTGTCGAGACGCCTGTACACCTGGCTGCTGGGTCATTCGGGCAAGAGCAGCGAGAGTCAGGCCAGGAAGCATGACTATTTCATTCGCTACTCCAGGTCCTTTGTTATCAGTGCACTGAGGTCCATGATACTTGATACGGCGCTGGAAGAGGAACAACGCAAGCCTGCTGCTACTGCTGCTGAGGACAGGTGAGTGAGAAGCACTGTAGACTGCTAACACTTTCCACCCTTGTCTTGCTCAGTTTTCACAGTTCTAGAACTTGTATTTTGAAGTATTGCTGGTCAGGTGTGTATGCATGTACCATGCCATTAGGTGCCCTTTTCTATACTGAAGTACCACTGTTCACACTCAAACCCACACCATACTCATTCTACCTTTTTGCGCTGACAGAGCTCCTGAAATGGTCATTGGGACTAGATAGTGTCTTGAGGGGTTGTCATAGCAACACTTTGTTGAACTCGTAACTTATGCTGTGGGTCATTTTGTTGTCAGTGCTGTCGCAGTCTCCACTTTGGCTACTTGAACCAAGTATTGGTGACAATGGCATTTTTATTTTGCTTACGTTTGACTTGTTTCTTTTGTACTGGAGATACAGTATATAACTACTGCTGGGATTTCTTTCCTGTCTTGTTGTTGTTGTTGTTGTTGTTGTTGTTGTTGTTGTCGTCGTCGTCGTCGTCGTCGTCGTCGTCGTCGTCGTCGTCGTCGTCGTCGTCGTCGTCGTCGTCGTCGTCGTCGTCGTCGTCGTCGTCGTTGTTGTCGTTGTTGTTGTCGTTGTTGTTGTCGTTGTTGTTGTCGTTGTTGTTGTCGTTGTTGTTGTCATTGTTGTCGTCGTCGTTTGTTGTTGTGGTTGTGGTTGTGATTGTCGTCGTTGTTGTGTATATTTTCTCCAGTTCGGAGCCACAGAACAGTAAACTACGGTTCGCCCAGCCGATACGCATTATGGTTGCCCTGCTGGATAAAGAAGATTTGGGGTATTTGTGCATGGATGATTTGATCCTGGACGTTATCCAAGCCCTGCACAAGATCTGTGTGCCCTCGTCCAGAACTTCAGAGAGATTGCCAATCGGACGCACTGCCTCTCGTAGTGCATTTGAAGGCCACACCAACACTCGCAGCAGCGCAGGTCTCATCAGCAGCAAAACCCTGGATGAGCTTAGACTTCAAATGCAGAGCTTCTTTGACTTGATCACTCCAGCTTTCATCTGGAAGCACCTAGCCCTTTGCTTTCATGAACTGGAGCGGCTGGCTGATGATGATGTGGTTGCCATGTCAAGGACAGTGGCAGACACCAGCGGCAATGCCAATGGCTGTAGCAATGCTAGCAACTCTTCAGATCTTCAATCGCCGCGCCGCACTTCAGTCTGGTCGCTAGCCTCTCATGGTGCTGCCGGTGCTGGTGCCGGTGCTGGTGCTAATTCTGCTGTTCACGGTGAAGCTCTCAATCCGACAGCTTACAGCATGGATGAGCTGGTGGAGTTGGCATCCTTTCTGCTCTCATTCATGCCTTTGGTATGTTGCTTGTTGTTGTTGAATGCTTTTACGTATACCCCGGGGAATCGTAGCATCTACAATGTTGTAGGGAGATAACACTGGCGATTGGAGTGTGTAATCAATTTGAGTTTTGCTCCTGCACTGCCTGTTCCAGGTGCCTTTGGGGCAGGGCCGATGTAATGCATGCCCGCGTATGGAATAGCTGGTTTGGACCATGTTCGGTGTCAGCAGGTCACGGTTATGAGCGCGGTCGCAAGTTGTTTGACCAGGGACCATGCTGAACTCTCAAACCTGGAGTCGAAACACACACACACACACCTTTTCTGGTGCTATGGTCTCGTGTTGTCTCCCTAGATGCAACAACTTTCTTATGTGCTCGTGTAGTGATACCTGTTTTACTGACCACCCCAGGGTACACAGAAACACGTGTCTTGACGTGGTACAAGTTCACAATGGTGGGAAACGTCGTTATCTTGCCGTGTGTAGTCAAAGTGTATGTCGAGAACAGCATAGTAATTTATTGACTATTCCAAGCAAAGTCTTCTTTGTCTTTGTCTATCGACTGCTTGTAAACGTGTTCATGTCTGCAGTGCCTGGGTGCACATGTACTTTCTTAGTGATTGGTTTTCGCACTACGACTTTTGTTTTGAAGTCTTCTAGACAATCAATGTTCAATCTACCTCTGTGCTTGGCTTATGTGCATTCTTCTTGCTTGTACAGGAGCTGCTGCTTGACTTACGGGACGGTACTCTGCAGCTGGTGTTCTGCCACTGCATGAGAGCACTGCGTCGGCATTGTGCATCATTCAACATGTCCACCATACGCAAGTCAATCCTGCTCTGCTCCAAGCTACTGGCACGCTCTCCGCCAGCGTCTAGTCCAGCGTTTGCGCTGAGCCAGATATGGCCAGATCTGCCATCTCCACGCCCTCCTCCACGCCTGTCCTCTGCATTTCTCAGCAGTATGCAAGATGAAGCAGACACTGAAGAAACGAGTGGTGAAGCAGCCAGTCTGGATGATGTTCAGTTGCAGTTTCCTGAAGCATGCTTACACTACGCGCAGTCGTTCTTCTCCACCCTTGCCAAGCACTGCTTACGTTGTCTTCACCAGGGCTCGGGCACTACTTTCACTCTGCCTGCGTTTGAGAGTATTGTTCAAGAGTCCATCTCTTCTCGTGGACGCTTGTTCAAGCTGTCATCATCCCTTGTGGCTGGGGACACACTTGGACCCATGAATGAGGCGTTTGCCGCTTGTTGCCGTCTCCTGATTGACCTGTCCGCTACGCAGATATTTGCATTAGAAGGTGAGTTGTGTAGTGACAAGCTGACAATCACTGCAGTAACATCATTACAATCATGATGCATGTCTTGGCCATCAACTCAAGAATGGGGTAGCACCATTGTTCCATCATGCCACATGTACCCCGCTTGTGGAGCACCTGAATTTGACTGCAGATTGTACAGGCCTCTTGTCGGTTAGCTGGATTTAGTGTGGTGTGGTGCAACATGGTTTAAAAGGGCACATATGCTTTGCCATGCTCGAACAGCATAGGCGTAGTATAACTTCTACTTGCAGTGGGTCAACAGGACAGGACAGATGTGTGTGTGTGTGTGTGTGAATGAAAAATAGGGATTCACTGGCCAGAAAAAGCCACTTCAATCAGCTGTGTGGTGGATACCAGGCTAAAAATTAGTGGCGGTCAATTCATCAGCCTTGCAAGCTGTTAAATGGTGTAATCCCAGCACAAGTTGCCATGTCTAACATAGCTGTTCGCTATCATCGCTTCCGAGATGGGCATGTCTGAGGTCTGAGGTGTGTGCTTGCTTGTGTCCTTGCATGCATGTGTTTGTCATCAAATGCACTAGGTCGCCAGTCACCTTCCCTGACTGGCAGAATTGACAGTGATCCAGCGGCTCCCTTTCCCAAGTGGCTGCATTTGTTAGTGGCATGTACATGCAATTGTCCGTCATTCCAGCTGGCGTCTTCGGCAGTGTCCTGTCTGCTGCAGTTGTCCGAGGCTGCTCACAATGCTTTGCTGCACCATCAGACGCATGGCCACAGGCAGCAGCCTGCAGACCTGGGTGGCAGCGATGCTAGCCCCATGAGGACAGCTTCTGCAAGTTTAGGTGATGAGGGCAACTCTCAGCACATCACCGAAGACACATCACAAGCTGACTCGTCTGACCCATTCACTGACTCCACATTGGCCTCGTCTTTAGAGATGTTGATGTTGTCCAAGGGGAAAGACATCCTGCATCTGAGACAAACTCATTTCTTTCAGGTGAGATGCTTGTTTATCATCATTGCCATTACATGTACATGTACCAGCTGTAAAGGAAGCTGGTTTCAGTGTTACATTGTACATATTTATGCGTTTGGCCGTGTTGCTGTTCAGAATTAGTTTATAGGATGTAAAAGGGTAGGGTTGGAAAGCTGGCAAAGATGCATGCACCAGTATAATTATGTATGTCTATATACAGTACTGGTGGAGACACATGCACTAGTGTGTCTATATACAGTACTGGTAGAGATGTTCCGGCCCGTCCGTCGATTCTGCCCATCCTGAGATGGGCAGGTGCCGATCTAAGGATGGGCAGAGGGGATGCCACAGGTTATGTCTGTCAGCTAGCTACAGCAACAATATCCTCTTCATGAATGTTCAAAAAATTAATATTTTCTCGGGTCAAAATCAGCTCCCGAATGTCTACAAGTACAATACAGCATGATCGCATGTGCATGGACAGGATCCGACTGTGATGCAGCTTTCCTGGAAGGAAGCAAAGTTCTTCTGTCGCCAATGCCATCGCTTGTCAGTGTCACTTCAGAAAAATAATTTTCAATTTCAGCAGCTACGAATTCAATGCATTCCACTTCGCCTCCACCAAGACTACTACAGGGCATCTGATTTGACAAGGTATATCAGTAGGACTTGGAGAAGTCACAGTAACAGTTTGCATGATCACTAGCCATTACAACAAGTATCAAAACATCAAAACAAACATAGATATGTAGAAACCATACCAAGTCTCCTCTCCTAACATTTCGAAAACAACAATTACATTTTCCGAAAATGGACGATGAACATGAAAGCTCCTCCACGTAAAAAAGGCGATTATAAACGTAAACGTCAAACTACAACATCGATACCACCTCGATCGATCGATCCGAGATTCGCCTGCCCCAGGGCCTGCTGGAGAGCCGGGTCAGCCGGGTCACGCGCCCGGCTGGAGACCTGCACGACCTGGCTGAACAGATACCACCGGGTCCAGTCTGACCCGGCTGAAAATGTCTCAAACTGACAATGGATTCCTAAAATACCGGTATTTTACGACTCGCGGACCCCATCTGTTGCAAATCTAGCGCAACCATACCACACACTGTCTACAAGCGACAGAAACTCGGCTAGGGTCAACTGGGGTCAACTGGTTCGAGCGCGATCTGGCCAGCGGCGAGCAGGAAGTCAGGACATTCAAAGTCGATGGGGCAGGCAGTCAAAAGCGTAACTTTGGATAGCTTTTGACACAGTTGCAAGTTTTCAGCCGACTGGTGATTCGGACGATGGAGCCCGCAGCGAAGAGAAAAAGAACTCACGCTTTCCAAGACTCTTGGAAAAAGGTCGACCCAGGCTGGACTAAGACCATGCCAGTCTATCCATGTCATGCGCTTTGTGTGCAAGACGCATTTCCAAAGGAAGACGAGCGGCGGTGGATTTGGTCGTTCGTCCTGCTACTAGCACTAATTAGAAAACAGAATTCCTTTTTTCAAATTGTTAAATCAGAATCCAATGGAACTGCTTTGCATTCTTCACGTAATGTCGTTTACCTAGTACGTTTGCGGACTTTGATAGTTCGCCTTGTTCTCTATAAAATGTCCGATTTCCGGTGATAAATACGCCTTTCTGTTTTGCTGCGTTTTGAGCAGGCTTTTTGGTTGTTTTTCTGCCGGATGATCTGACCCGGCTTGACCCGGCTGGCCTGCATGCGCTAGGTACACTCTGACCGGGCTGTGTTGAATGTCTAGAGCAGGCCCTGCTGCCCATCCTAGGATGGGCATTAGCCACCCTGCCCATCTTAGGATGGGCAAAATCGTTGGACGGGACGGAACAGACACACATGCACTAGTGTGTCTATATACAGTACTGGTAGAGACACATTCACTAGTGTGTCTATATACAGTACTGGTAGAGACACATTCACTAGTGTGTCTATATACAGTACTGGTAGAGACACATTCACTAGTGTGTCTATATACAGTACTGGTAGAGACACATTCACTAGTGTGTCTATATACAGTACTGGTAGAGACACATTCACTAGTGTGTCTATATACAGTACTGGTAGAGACACATTCACTAGTGTGTCTATATACAGTACTGGTAGAGACACATTCACTAGTGTGTCTATATACAGTACTGGTAGAGACACATTCACTAGTGTGTCTATATACAGTACTGGTAGAGACACATTCACTAGTGTGTCTATATACAGTACTGGTAGAGACACATGCACTAGTGTACTACACGTACAGGAAGTTTTAAAAAGTGCTGGCAAGGGAAGTCAGGCCAGGTGAGCGTAGCGGGACCACGTTTACCGCACAGCATTGTGTTCATTCATAGTGCTAGAGACAGTAGGGCAGTACATTCATAGTGCTAGAGACAGTAGGGCAGTACATTGCTAGAGACAGTAGGGCAGTACATTGCTAGAGACAGTAGGGCAGTACAGTAGGGCAGTACAGTAGGGCAGTACATTCCCCGTGCGGTTTTCTATTCATGAGGTCAGATGTCGTTCCTAGCCATCACTCTAGTTCAATACTCTGGGCTCTTGAAACAAGCTGATGGATTGTGTGTTGTTCTTAGTTTCTTACCCTGAGCTAGGAGGTGCTAGTATTGAGTATCCATGTTGTGCTTCTGCATGGAATACTCCTTACACGTACATTGTACCATTGCGTGTACTAAGCATTCTCATGAAATTGTCCTCGAAATCGATGCCCGTACACGCATACAGTGTTTTACAGGTAGTCTCACTGGCAATTTGCAGTTTCTCTGCTATAATATGAACATACATGTACTTCGGATGTGCATGTTAGATGTGTGGCTCATGTATGTGTGCTCATTTGATCCAAGGAGCCTTGAAGGAGGTCTAGTGGTCGTTGTCTGTATAAATTTGGTGGTGGTATGGGACTTGCCTTGAACGAGGAAGCACTGCAGCCCATTGCTTTGTTTTCTTTTATTTCTCTCTTCTGCTCGCTGCCGTTTGAAGTAACCTCCCACTACTAGCTAGTATGTGAGGCGTGCCCGTGCTTGCGAGTCTCGTGCATGTGCATGTATTTTTCTGCCTGCATGTGTTTACACGTGTGATATTGTGCTGCTCTGCTTTTGTATTCCCATGGTGTATGTGTGCAGGGCTTAGCTGCTCTGCTCTGGAGAGAGCTTGACCACTGTTCAGTTGAGCAACAGTCGTTCGTGGCCCAAATGCTCTGTCAGCTGAATGGATCTTCTCTTGCCCCGGGTGCTCTTGAGCGAGTCATGTGTTCTGACTTTTCTAACGCTGATATGGTTAGTGCATCTCTACCTTCCAATGATGGATGTGTTTGCTAGTGCAGTAAATCTGTAACGTTTTTTGACCAAAGACGACCACTTTTCCGTGTCACGTATGTATTCCCAGTCAAAACAGCACGGATAAGGTGACTACTTGCTCAACGCGACTGATTGCCACCTATCTGCTACAACACTGCGCCCTGCCTGTACACCATACACCGTATACATCAGCGTAGGCAATGTACCGACGGTAGCATGGTAGCTCAATACGAGCGCATGAAGTGCGGTCAGCGGTCTTTCTTGATCATCACCATTGATGCAGGAACCCGCACGGGCCGCACCTGTACTATTTAAGTACAATTACACACTGTAAATAGCATAGGTATATGCGGTGTGATGTACTGATTAAAACGACAAATATGTACTAGTAATGTACCGCGAGAGCGCCTCACCATCTCGTCGTTTTGTGTGGTTGTCTTGTGGAGGTGGTGCCGTGTGTAGGTCATACGACTCGGACCTTGTACACGCGTTGCACGTTGTGCAGTCAATCCGTACCCAGTTTACCTTCGAGCGGACACGAGCACCACACAAAAACCTGCTAAAGGTGACCTTAGCACACTAAGGAGTAAGGGGCTCACACCGTACAAACTTAGTGGCACTCTGCCATACGATTTTCCTTGCCTTGGCTGTAAAATCAAGGCGGGGCGCTCTCGCGAGACGGGGTGCTCTCATGGTACTTTACTGTACTTGAGCAAGTATACGAAGTGATTGTTGTCTCATAACTTCACGCACTGAACCTGGACTAGAGCACGACCATGTGACCGCTTTTTACCTATCCCTTGAGTGGCTGTTTAGACAGGTTTGTTGGGCACGTATGTAGGGGGGGGGGGGGGGGGGGGGGGGGACTTCTTGCTGCTGATCCTGGTTGTACACACCACACAACCCAAATAGCAATACATGTACATGATCTGTGCTTGTGTGCATGTGTATATGTGCTTCTGTGTATACGTATGTACATGTGTACCTGTGTGTGTGTGTGTGTGTGTGTGTGCGTATGTGCGTGCGTGTGTGTGTCATTGTGTGTGTGTGTGTGTGCATGTGTGTGTGTGTGTGTGCATGTGTGTGTGCATGTGTGCGTGCGTGTGTGTGCATGTGTGCGTGCGTGCGTGCGTGTGTGTGTGAACGTGTATGGATGATATGATGCAGAGTGTCTCTCTTAGTGCGCACAAGAGGTTTGCTCTGTTGTGGCACTTGTCATTTGAAGACGACTTTGCGTCCAATTCACCTCACCTGGAGCGAGCAAAGTTGTTTCTTAGGTAAGTCTTTCTTCACATGACTTGCAGCTTTTGTTGATTGTGGCTTTTTGCTGCGCATGTCATTAGCAATGTAGGCAAAATGGAACAAGCTACTAGTATTTGTTGTAACTCCTGACTCCTGATATTCATGCCAAAAGTTGATCACCACATGTACTTCAAAGTACATGTGGTACAGATGCCAAAATAGGAAATTCAACTTTTTCGGGGGCGTCATTGCAGTTTACGACCGAGCACTACATTTTAGTTTAGGATGATGGGCATGGGTAAATTGGGTATGTATGGTCTGGTTCACATTCGACGTAACGCTGACGGTACGGGACGGCTGGGGTGAGCTGTAAAATCTTGTACGATTCCTATGGCACATCATGCAGCAGTTGTTGCGATGTTCAACGTCGAACGGCGCGAGCCATAAAGCACGCTCTGTGACGGGGTGACTTTCGAGCCTAATTTCTTGTTTTTCGGGGCTTCTTTTCAATTATTTCTCCTCGTATAAAGCGGAATCAAGTTCACAACATCAGTTTTGCATGAAGATCAAACAAATAACCCTGAAAGTTGTGCCATTCTAACAACAGCCCCAGGAAATGATAGAACAATTCGTCTGTCACACTCCTGGACTACCTTATTGATAGAACAATTCGTCTGTCACACTCCTGGACTACCGTATTGATAGAACAATTCGTCTGTCACACTCCTGGACTACCGTAAAAGTCCGTAAATAAGTACGGACTGTAAGTTTGCTGCGGCCGAAATTTTGCTTTGCAACGTTCAGTTTGAGTGTATACAGGCGGCAACAGCAGCACAGGCCGAAAATTTGGTGCGGCCGAAATGGGTTTTAGCCCTGGGAGGCCGAAATTTGAGTGGGCCGAAATGGGTTTTAGCCCTGGGAGGCCGAAATTTGAGTGGGTCGAAATGGGTTTTAGCCCTGGGAGGCCGAAATTTGAGTGGGCCGAAATGGGTTTTAGCCCTGGGAGGCCGAAATTTGAGTGGGCCGAAAATTTGTAGACTTACAGTAGTTACTGTCGAATTTAGTGGCCACGCCCGTTACACCTGTACTAAATAACACCTGTACTAAATAACACCTGTACTAAATAACACCTGTACTAAATAACACCTGTACTAACTTTCGGGCGGGCACTGATTTTCGGGCACGAACTAACTTTCGGACTTGACTTGTGTGTAGTGGAGAAGTCATTTTTCATGTACCGATGTACATGCTACTCGCGGCATGTGCGAACCGTACCGGTGCTTATTTCAGGCAGTATGTTTATCGGACTGAACTTGACTTCAACAGACAGAGTCAAAAAAGATGAAGGGGGTATTTAATTAGGGCAGGTACCTATTTACAAACTGTTACGGTACTGTGAAAAGAAGAAGGACAAAATGTTGCGAGTTATGACTAACTGACATGACTAACATTTTGTCCTTCTTCTTTTCACAATTATTTAATTGGCTCACCATCCGAGTTACATGTTACGGTACTCTTCATTATCTAAATAACAACAATGTGATGAGTGCAAGATCGGAAAGGCTAGAACGTACTTCGAAGTAGAAATAAATAGTTTAGGAGTACACACTAGTCAGAACAACAGATGGCTTGATCAGTCACAACTTAAAGTTTCATGCCATCTCAGGCACTCATCAGGTGAGGTGATTCAGGTGAGGTGATTCAGGTGAGGTGATTCTGCTGGAATTCACAACAGTGTAGTTTAGGAGTACATGTTTTCTAATTTCAGAAATTTTAGGTGCTCAATATTTTCGATATGAGGGCAAAAGGCCAGGTTAGGTGAACAGAAATTTTAGGTACAAAGAAGCACTTCCCTATTGGATTATGTGTGTTAGTGTTTGTTCAGTGTATTGAAATTTTAGGTATGAAACAGCTGTACAGAAAGTACCGAAAATAAAAGTACAATAAGACTCAGGTGGAGAGCCAAGGATTAATTTATAAGAAGGAAAGAAGACCAAAGAGCCACAAGTTACGCTATAATATCCACCAACACCACCAGTTACTTTACAATCAGCTCATGCGATAACATATCTCGAGATGTGGTAGAGCTGATTGCCAGTTAGGTGTAGAACGTCAGTACCGCTGATCAGTGTTGTGCAATGCTATCGCATGAGCTGATTGTCAAGTACAGGTCTGCTCTCGATATAACAACTCTCACTTGTACATAAACCTCGCTAGTAAGTAAAAAAATCAAATCCCGCGCCGAAACAGCATCACTCCCATACAAACTTTGTTCCACACAACATAATCCTACATAACATAAACCTCGACATAACACGCTACGGCGCGGTCCCCGACGTGCGCACCCTCGATACAACGTAAATTCACGTGCACGGTACGATCAAGCGGTAGCTGTAGCTAGGCAGTTTAGGCCAGTTTAGTCCTACATAAGGCCATGGTAAAAAATAAAGTTGATTCTCAGGTCATGAGCCTGTGAAAATCGGTGCGAGCGAGCGATTTTTTATTTTAATTCCCACAATTTTTTTATTTCCAAAGATAGGGTCACACATGTGTACGTCACAGGTTCATAATTAATTTATAATTATTTTATTATTCAGGCCAGGGAGTAGAAAAATACCGGTATTTTTCTACTCCCGGATTCATGCCTTTCGCATTGACCGTTTTCATGCACGCATATGCATGCATAGAAATAAAAAAAATCGTCGGTGCGCCACCAAAAATCGATGCGCGCGTACTTGAGAATCAAAGATATTTTTTACCATGGCCTAACGTAAACCTCAGCATAACGCACCCTATGGCGCAGTCCCCGACGTGCGCACTCTCGATACAACGTAGATTCACGTGCGCGGTACGATCGAGCTGTAGCCGTAGCTGGCCAGTTTAGTCTTATTGTGCATATATTCTGCGGCATTGATGGTATCTGATGTTGATGGTGGTACAGTGTGTATATGTTTGCACGGTTAAACCCGCCTTGTAATACCCTTCATTTTGAGGTACATCTTGTATTTTACACACGGTTTTCTACATATTAAACATAACTCTCGATATAACATAATTTTTGCGTGGTCCCAGAGATTACGTTATATGGAGAGTAGACCTGTAACTGGTTGTGTTAGTGGATATTATAGCATAATTTACTGTAAAAGCAGACATTTTCGGTGGTGTGTATTTCCGTAATTTCGGTGCCGACAATCTTTACCGAAAATAAAACGCACCGAAAATTTCGGTACAACCGGTACTGTATACATGTACCGGTAGTACTAGTACACTTACCTGGAAAACGGGTTTTACCGAAAATTTCCCTCCACCGAACTGCCGATTTTGGAGAATACCGAAAATATTACACCACCAAAAATGTCTGCTTTTACAGTATAGCTCTTTCGTCCTCTTTTCTTCTTATAAAATAAAAGTGCACTGAAAATTTGTGAAATTACAGTACGTGGACTCCTTACATTCTCCTCTTTGGTAGCCTATAAAAAAGGACGACGCTGAGTTGTACCTTCATGATTTGAAAACTCAGCGTCGTCCTTTTTTTCTCTACATTCAAGATTTGAAAATTCAGCGTCGTCCTCTTCTTCCCTGCTCAAAAGGCCCGCAAATGTGAAACTGCATGTGCGTACTTAATGCCCTGCTCCTTTTGAAGCCTGGAAGAAACCCCTTATGAAGAAGCTGTCGTAATGTTGACATGTATCTAACAGTTTGGGCCATATATAGAAAGGGTACTAGGAGCGATCTATGCTCGAAGTAGGAACTCGGACCTACACTGCAACGCAAAAGCGGGGTTTCACATTTGGAAGCTGTACTAATAAAAGGTTTGATATGGAATTGTATAGAGCGTATGTTGCATTATTCTTTGGAATTGTGAATTGTTGTTGCAGGCCGTTGAACTTCATGCTGGATGGTTTAGTTAGTCGCCACTCTTGGTGCCGTGCATTAGCTCATGCCTGGTTGGAACAGGTGTTGTATGCTCGTGATCTCCACCGCCTGCTACAACCTCTCTTGCTGGCACTGCTGACACCAAACTCAGCCAGGGTGCGGCGCATGGTTCCGTCTCCAGCGCTACTGCAAGGTATGTGTGTGCGTGTGTGTGTGTTTGTGTGTGTGTGTGTGTGTGTGTGTGTGTGTGTGTGTGTGTGTGTGTGTGTGTATGTGTGTGTGTGTGTGTGTGTGTGTGTGTGTGTGTGTGTGTGTGTGTGTGTGTGTGTGTGTGTGTGTGTGTGTGTGTGTGTGCCTTCAGCTTCATTGGTGTCCCATGTTGGAGCTGGTCTGTTGCTGGTTGGCTTACTAGTATCATAATTGTATGTGGTACAATGTCACTGTAGCAGTTATGAGCTCCTTGCCCATCCAGTGACCCTTTACCTGAATGAAGCTTTGCAGGGGAATATGTCCACGGTCACATCCAGTGCATCTTGGATTTTGGCAGTAATCTAGCACCACAATGCACACACGTGCATGCACGTCCGAATCTGTAGGTTTGTGATTATCTGCCTTGTGTCTTGTGTTTGTATGTACAGAGGATGGTGAGGTCCGTGCAGCATCATATTCATCGCCATTGTCTTCACAGTCCTCTGCATCAGCAGCAGCAGCAGCAACAACACCAACGTCTGCCCCATCAACAGCGGGTGCATTGACGTCATCGTCATCGTCCTCGTCAATGTACACCTCGCTGGTGTATGTCCGGCCACATGACACTGCCGTGTCTGTGTACGCACTCAAGTCACTGCTCAACGTTGTCCGTGCCAAACCTCATCTACTTGTCACGCAGGCTGCTGGTTGCCAGTTGCCGAATGGAAGTCTGTGCCAAGGTGTAGCTGCTTTGGATGAGCTGCTCATCAAGCACGAGATGTCCATCTCTGGAAATGCCTTTGACACTGCTCCCGGTAAGGGTGCGACGTCTCGGAGGAGCTACTTTGAAGTACTCTTGACTGTTCTCTCCTGGACAATGGAGTCTACATTTACTGATGAACAGCACCAGTCAGCCGAGATGTTGGAGCAGTTGGAGTTGCTCCAGGTGACCAGTGTAGAGGTTCTTGTTGCTCTTCTTGGATCGTGTGCCAGTGTGTTAGAGCAGGAGAGGACTAGCAGTAATGCCAGTTATATCCATGCCTTGCTGCAGATGTGTATCTTCCATCGCTCGTTTCTCACTTGTTTAGCGAAGAGCATGGTACCATCTGTAAGGAAGAAAATGCCTTCGTTTGTGAGAAGTACTGATAGTGAGGCTGTTGCCGGTTCATCGGTGACTATTTCTGCGTCTCAGAAAGCCTTCCATTTGCTACTGCTGGAGCTTGCTGAGGTTGTCTTGCGTCTAGAAGGTCTTTGCGAAGAGCAACTCTCCAAAGAATCTGCTGAGAGCGAGGAGAGGAAAGATAAAAGTGCCGCGACACAGCGCTTGCTTGATTGCACTGAGGCTGTGGATATCCTGTCGCGAGTCGATGGAAGTATGGTGTTGCTTTGCCGTCTTGCTCGGCAGCCTGCATTTCATGGCATGCTAGGATTCGTTCTGACTTGCCCTTACTTGGCATCGGTTCACTGTCGATGGCTATCGCTACTGAGCAAAAGCGTGGCTCACCTCGGCCCAGCTCGTATACCACTCATCACCACAGCAGTGAATAGAGTAGCTCAGTGGCTGCTGCACCTGGTGCATGCCTCGTCAACACTGGACAACGGCAGCAGCTCTGCAATGCAGTCACTACTGTCCGATGCGCCGCCGTTCTACTTGCCCAGCTTGTTGCGTAGCTATGCGTCCGTGCTGCACTATGCACTGCTGGGCATGCAGCCAGTGGAGATGAGTAGCATTAGTGCAGCAGCTAACAGCACAGCTGCTGGTGCTGGTGCTGGTGGTGGAGGCGGCAGTAATCCACTATCACCATCCACTTCCAGAACATCTGTGCCTAGCAGTGCTGTGGTAACGTCGCCTGGAAGCCCTCCGCCGGTGTCGTCCTGGGCGTACATTCTACCGTTTGGCTCGTCCAGTCAGCAGCTTGCCAACAAGAGTGACAAGAATGCTGCAGCGCAGAGCGAGCCGGTCCGGGAAGCTACCCTGAATTCGGTGAACAAGGTCATGCAGGCATTGGTCGATGTCTGGTGTCTGTGGGCAAGCCAGTCTTCTGCTGGTGGTGGTGGCACTGGTACTAGCACTGGCACTGGCACTGGCATGGGTGCGGGCACTACTGCTGGTGGTCCTGATTACATGTCTAGGCAAGGCGTGACTCTACCGGCTATCTGGGGTTCGAGCGAGGTATGTACAATGCACTACTCTCTGCATGGACACCCACCTTGGGGTACTTTGCCCTTGAATATTGGCGGACTTGATCGTACGCTGTGCCCTCCCTTTCACTTGAACCACTCTATACAGCACAGGGATTGGCTTGTGCTCAGCATTCCTAGATAGGATCTTCTAATAATTCATTCCTAGTCTTGCTTGGGAGGCTGTTAAGCTCTGCGTGGTTAAACATTTTTGAACAGTTCCTTTTCGTGTTCTAATCCCTATGTCTTTGAACATCATGGTCTGTGTCTACTGGTCATCCTGTGTGTGTTACAGCATGTTTCACACCAGACTGTATCGGTCATCTATCCACTGGGCCTGTACTATCCAGTTGAGGTGCTGCTAGCTTTTGCAGAGGTCTGGCTCCTTGAGCAGAAGGGACAGCCAATACTTCAGCTTGGTTTGGTAAGTCGCTGTGGCGTAGCCGTCTGTGTAGTGGCTGCGGTCAATGAGTAGATGCGCCGTGGACAGTGCTTTGCATCATATTACCGGCTTCTTCTTTCTATCTTGCTTGTGGCCGATCCTGTAGGGATACTTTCCTAAGCACTGTTGACATTTCAGTGAAACTCGGTGTGGCTGCTTACGAAACATTTGTCATTATCTGATCAAGTTATTTTGGTTTACTGGATAGCAAAGTCGACTAGTAGAGATACCAGCTGCTCTGCCAGTCTAGAACTACAGCACATGTGTATACTCCATGCTCTGTGTAGTGCACTTACTAGTGTGTTTTCAACAAGTAAACTGTTGATGTACTTGTAGTGCCATTGCTAGTTAGTTGTACTCTGTGTGTGCGTGTGTGTGTGTGCGTGTGCGTGTATGTGTGTGTGTGCGTGCGCGCGCGCACTTGTGCATGTGTGCATCTGCTGGTTGCATAGCCTTTAATGGTGGACACATGCAGTCGCAAACAAGAACTCATTTTGTCTATGATGACAGAATTGCAGGTAAGGCGACTGCAAGGTATACATATTGCATCTGCTGCACTTATGGCTGACGTGTTCTCTCTCTCTCTCTCTCTCTCTCTCTCTCTCTCTAAAATCAGTGATTGTTGTAACATGACAATGAGTATTTATCATCCCATATTATTCTCCATTACAGGCACTGTACTTATGAGTGAGTCTGTGGTAGTGAGCATTTCAATGTGTCCTGGGACCTGGCTTATAGTAGAGTAAACGATGTTAGTAATGGAGGCATGCGCTTACGAACTAGTACATGTTCTCTCATGTATAGAGAGAATAGGAGTATATTTCATGTGCCCGCAACTGTCGTTGCCGTATTTGAGTTTTTGTGTGCTTGTGTGTTACAGTGCTTTGGCTGTGAAGTCTTGCTTACCATTGGCAAACGGATCCTATCTAGCAAGGTATAGACTACATTGTAATGGCATGGATTGTTGTATATTGTTTTCCTGTAGTCATCCTCTGCTTTGCATTCTATGTTGTGCACTACCAGGTGTACGATGTCATGTTGTCTTGTATTAGCCTGGCTGTCAGGACATTGTCAATGGTGCTCTTGCTCATCTCATTTGATATTGGTCTACACGACGGTGGTGGGTGACGGTGCTGCAGCTCTCCTTCTCCCCGAATGATGATGATGATGATGATGATTCGTGCCATTTTGTTCTTGTCGTTGTCTTTAGCCACTGACTGCTCCACTGGAGGAGTGCTTATTTCATCTTCTTATTCATGCTGTCAAGCGGTGAGTTGCACGGTTGAGATCGGTACGAATAGCTTCTCTGCTGTAGCGTGCACGGCCGGCCGTTACCTGTGGGTGCGCAGTGACCGAAAGTTTGAATTTTTGATCGAAAGTGTTCATGCTGTGTGGAGATTCGAAGAGAGTTTGTTATCTCTGAATTGAATGTGCGTTATTTGTTCTAGTTGCAATGCACTATGGTATATTGTGTGACCAAATAATTAGAATGTGTGTGTGTGTGGGGGGGGGGGGGGGGGATTCACTGGCCAGAAAAGCCACTTCAAATAGCTGTGTGGGGTAGACCAGGCTGAATAGTGGCGGTCAATTCTTCAGCCTTGCAAGCTATTGAGTGGTGCAATCCCAGCACACGTTGCTATGGCTTCTGCTGTAGCATCGCTATCATCGCCTCCGGTGGTGGGCGTCAACGGTCAGGTCAAATGTGTGTGTGTGTGTGTGTGTGTGTGTGTGTGTGTGCGCTTGCGTGTGCGTGTGTGTGTGTGTGTGTGCGTACGTGTGTTGGTGTACTCCTGTGCTTCGTTACTACAGAACACCTGCATTGGAGCTGCAGCGGTGTTGGCCTGTATTTTACTTACTACTCAAGCAGTGTGTCACTGTCAACATGTCCAGTATCTCTCCACCACGCCTCTTCCTCTCAACCATGTAGGTTGCCTGGTGTGAATTTGTACTTGAAGTATGTGCTCTCTTTTTTTTTGCATTGTGCTAACTTATCGAATACCTTTGCCCACCAGCATTTTGCAGCAGCGGAAAAAAATCTAAGGTAGTATGACAGCAGAGTGGTTTCAAGATTTGAGTATTTGTAGGGAAGCTGTGCGTGTGTGTGTGGGGGGGGGGGGGGGTGCATGCATGTGGGAACAGAACTTTTCATATGAAAGTACCCAATTTTGTCCCTATACTTGCAGTTTTGCTGTTTCACCCTGACGATTGGCCATGCCCGTAAATTTGGTGAACCTGAAGTCTCTGTTGCAGCAGAGATACCATGTACAAGTGTGATTGGATTTAGGAAAGTAATGGCTGTGTTAATGGCTGAGTTTGCGAATTTTGCACCCCGTGTTATGTCTCCTTGTTTTAGCTTACTGCTGGTTTACCTGGAGCGCACACCACAAGTGGATGATCGTAAACTGAAGAGAGAAATTCAAGTGAGTGTGTGCATAGTCAATCCACTCACTGGCTGTGTATGAAATAGCCTTGTCCTGCTTGTTGCTACACGCTGTGTACACATACACGCACATATACATACATACACACACGCACGCACACGCAAAGATAATCATTCCACACATTGTCTCTGTATCTTGGCAGGCGGTCCTCTCACCAGCAATGTCAGTCTTACAGTGTAGAATACCAGCAAGCGTGCCAACTCTGTGTTCGTAGACTAGTGGCGAGATGTGCGTGGCGGGTGGTAGGGTAGGGCCAGAGGATATGGCTGTATATGATTTACTGCAGTACGGTATATTCCGGAGTATAAGCTGCACTGGAGTAAAAGCCACGCACAGATTTTTTTGTCGCGAAATCCATAAATCCATACGTCTACGTATTTCACGTTTCATTGGACCATCGTAGTATAAGCGGCACTGACTTTTTTTAGGGTGAATTGTGAGTGATAAAAAAGTGTGGCTTATACTTCGGAAAATACGGTATATGTCATGTCAGCGCATCCATTCTGGAAGGGTACGAACCTGACTGGAATTTATTTTGTTTCCCTCCACTCCGTTCGTCCTGCTGCAGGATATCAGTCAGCGTTGTCTGGATGGCTGCGTTACGGTTGTCGGTTCTTCTTTGGAGAATACTGCTTGGTTGCGCCGTAGCATGGCCATTACAGCTTCTCACCAGGAGACAGCTACAACCAATCAGCAGTCTACTGATGTTACACAGACTGTCGGTGTGCATCCTGTAAACTCTGATGGTATGTCTCTCCAGCCACTACTACAGTATTACACTGAATTTCCATGGCGATGTGAACACGGAAATCTGTTATTGAAGGCAACGCAAAGATGACTGTCACAAGTACCATGTTTCACGCCTATTGTTCTGTGCTACAGTCCACGTAGTCTACTTCCGAAATTGCTTGAATTTGACCACTGAAATATGCATGGCCCAAGCATAGTCTCATGGGATAATGTGTGTGTGTGTGTGTTTCTGTCCGTCTGCCTGTCTGTGTGTGTATGTATGTGCACGTGTTCGTGTGTACACATGCATGTTTGTGTGCATACTCGTGAACTGTCTTGGCCAGATTCTGTTGCAGCTGACACCAATAGCCATGAAGTCGGTGAAAGCCGGTCATCTTTGCCTGACGCAGAAAAAACTCAAGGTCTGTACTGGTCTTGTTTTGGATGTATAAAGGCAAAGACAGGCTTGACACATTAATTAATTCAATATTTACATGCCCATATGCTCCCTCATATTACACTACTTCCAAGTGGTGTCTATGTCACTGGCAAAGTGGGCAGTGCACTGTGTCTCAAGGAGTCCCATCTTCTTCCTGTACTGTTACAGTCTCTGGCTGGAGTCATTCTGCTGGCATGGATGTGACACTCTTGTATTCATCACACTACTTGCCAATGGTGTGAACAGACAATGCTATATGTGCATGTGTGTGCAGCGTGTACATATTTGCACTGATGCTGACATGTGTATTCTTTTGTCTTGATTATCGGTAGATCTCTCCAATAAGGCTACTGTTGCAGATGGTCAGGCAATGTCAGCTAAAGCTCCAAAGGCGTCTGTCAAGCTACTTGCTGTGTACAGTCCTCAGGCTCTGCAGTGCCTATCGCGGGTAAGCTCTACTTTATCATCTGTCAGTGTAGTTGCCAGGCAGTGCGGCAGCATCATCTTCATCATTCGTATGCGTTCGTGAGTGTGTTCGTTCACGAGTGTGTGCGTTCATGTGTGTGTGTGTGTGTGTGTGTGTATGTGTGCGTGCGCGCGTGCGCATGTGTGTGTGTGTGTGCGTGCGCGCATGTGTGCGTGCGCATGTGTGTGCAGTACTGTGAGTGACATGTACATGACATGACTTTGTTCTGAACACTAAAATGTGTGTTGTTGGTTGACGGCTGTGTCTGTGCGGCACTGCGCCCTGTCAGGGAACATGTTGCATTGCTTTGATAAAGCGCAACTGCACTGGAGGAATGTTGAGTTAGATAGAAGTGAGTGTTTGTGACCCTCTGTGTGTATCCCATGGCAGGTTCTGGCAACTATTGTTGACATTGTGTACGGCAGTGAGGAGAAGGACCGTGCAGTGGCTGTCCTCAGCAACATGATGGTCTATATCCTGCCGTTCCTGAAGACTCGCAGGTGAGCACTTGGTTATTAGAGTGTGGCTGTCTTATGTAAGCAGTATACAGTCGATATTGGATGGATTTGCGAAGATTCTGTGACGGACCTGGCCATTGTAAACGATGTAGTGAACTCCACCACTCCACCACTTCACACCGCACTCTTGGCCAACGCACTCCACTTGTACTACTACATCACCATAGCAACATTAGCAAGGACCTTGGAGCTACATGTATTGATATTGCCAGATCCTCCACAATGCTGTTACTTTTCTTCTAATCTTCTGAATGGAGGCAAACGATGAATGAGTAACAGGTAAAGGAATGATGATTTACGGGATTATTTTCAATACATGTGTTGCAGTGCAGTCATTGAGTACATTTGTATGTTCTGTGTGCCTCCCGTTATTGGTCTCATCGTCTTTCCTGCTGTTGTCATTGGCAATACCGGTAATGTTGCTGCTGCTGGTGGTGGTGATGGTGGTGGTGCTGCTGCTGGTGTTGGTGATGGTACTGGTGGTGGGTGTTGGTGGTGGTGTTGTTGGTGGTGATGGTGCTGCTGTTACATTGCCTGCTCAGCTCACAGAACTTAGTCAGCTCTACAGCAGCTATTCACCTCTTGTCGACTGTCAGTGAGTTTCACTACACACGCAGAGCTTGGCGGCGAGAAATCACCGAGCTCTTCTTTGATTCAGATTTCTTCTGCTTTGACTCTTCACAACTGGCAAGGTATGCTGTATGTACTGCTGCTGCTCTATGGTCAAGTCAGTTCTGTTTGTCTGTGAGCTATGTTTAAAAATCTTTTTCAGAGTGTATATTACGGACCCAGGCTAGTAAAAGTTGCAATCTCCACTGGCATACTGGCATTTTCTGAATTGACACACTCTCCTTTGTGAACATCGATCAGAGCTGGACCCTTGCAGTGCATGTGGTCACGCTATGCTCCCACACTTCTTTGCTTATTCATGGGCACAGTGGGAGGTGTCCCTTTGGACAGTAGCACCTTGATATTGTTGTGTGCTTGTGTTCTGGTACTGTTGTTGCTGTGTAGCTGGTGCAGTGTCATAGACAACCTGCTTGGCCATGACAAACATGCCCGTCAGGAGTTGCTGGGTATGTGTATGTATGTTTGTTTTGTGCTTACTTGTCGTATGGGCATCTGCTACATCTCCTACTTCTTCAGCAGGACCCCAGTCCATTTTAGCAGTTATCTACCTCTACACATACATCAGCACAAGCAGTAACTTGAAGGCAGGAAAGGTTACAATTTGCCACAACCCTAAGCTTCATACACTTAGCAATCATTAGATGACTGCAGCTCTACTCTCAAACCTGACATACCCACAATTACCCAGTATTGCTAGCATACATGTACTGCAATCGTGTAAGTGCTGTGTACACCCTTGCTTTGCGAGATTGAGTGCTACCGGAAGAAAACACAATAATTATGACCCTCTGTGTTTTGGTGGTGTTTCAACATACATAATACCACCTTTATTACAGTGCACTGGCACACACACACACACGAGTACACAGTACTGGTTAGTCAACTATCGTAAAGTACCGTTGATCCCCCCCCCCACACACACACACACTGTGTCGACCGTAAAGTACCGTTGATCCGCCCCCACGCCGTGTTGCTTCCCAGCTCGTTTTCGGCAGGGGGCGGGAATTATATCAAGTCGTTCAAGTGCAGTACGATGTACAACAAAGCAGAAGGTCAGACCTGGCATGCTGGATTGTGAACATTTTCATCCTGCACTCCCACGTATTGTGTACAGCAGTACATGCGTCGGTTCAACATCGTATTTCGCTGTATACGTCGACGTCGCTTCACAGGCAGAAATTCGACAGGGGGCGGGAATTAGAGAGGGGGCGGATCAACGGTACTTTAGGGTACTGGTCATGTAGTCACTGTTCACACGCGTGCAGTAAGACTCCCCAGATCCGGACGTCCCTAATCCGGGCACTTCCGTCTACCGGCCACCTTTCTGACCCATGTAGAGTCACAGAAAATGGCTTTTCAACGCAAAACGGGCCCCAAAACAGTCGTATTGATTGGCATAAAAATCTTACTTGCATGCAGTAAGTATGTGAGTTGTGAGTTACAGGCAATTCCTAGTTACGGGCAGTGCTCGGTCCCAACCTGCATGGACCTGGGGAGTTACAGGCAGTGCTCGGTCCCAACCTGCATGGATCTGGGGAGTTACAGGCAGTGCTCGGTCCCAACCTGCATGGATCTGGGGAGTTACAGGCAGTGCTCGGTCCCAACCTGCATGGATCTGGGGAGTTACAGGCAGTGCTCGGTCCCAACCTGCATGGATCTGGGGAGTTACAGGCAGTGCTCGGTCCCAACCTGCATGGATCTGGGGAGTTACAGGCAGTGCTCGGTCCCAACCTGCATGGATCTGGGGAGTTACAGGCAGTGCTCGGTCCCAACCTGCATGGATCTGGGGAGTTACAGGCAGTGCTCGGTCCCAACCTGCATGGATCTGGGGAGTTACAGGCAGTGCTCGGTCCCAACCTGCATGGATCTGGGGAGTTACAGGCAGTGCTCGGTCCCAACCTGCATGGATCTGGGGAGTTACAGGCAGTGCTCGGTCCCAACCTGCATGGATCTGGGGAGTTACAGGCAGTGCTCGGTCCCAACCTGCATGGATCTGGGGAGTTACAGGCAGTGCTCGGTCCCAACCTGCATGGATCTGGGGAGTTACAGGCAGTGCTCGGTCCCAACCTGCATGGATCTGGGGAGTTACAGGCAGTGCTCGGTCCCAACCTGCATGGATCTGGGGAGTTACAGGCAGTGCTCGGTCCCAACCTGCATGGATCTGGGGAGTTACAGGCAGTGCTCGGTCCCAACCTGCATGGATCTGGGGAGTTACAGGCAGTGCTCGGTCCCAACCTGCATGGATCTGGGGAGTTACAGGCAGTGCTCGGTCCCAACCTGCATGGATCTGGGGAGTTACCTACAGGCAGTGCTCGGTCCCAACCTGCATGGATCTGGGGAGTTACAGGCAGTGCTCGGTCCCAACCTGCATGGATCTGGGGAGTTACAGGCAGTGCTCGGTCCCAACCTGCATGGATCTGGGGAGTTACAGGCAGTGCTCGGTCCCAACCTGCATGGATCTGGGGAGTTACAGGCAGTGCTCGGTCCCAACCTGCATGGATCTGGGGAGTTACAGGCAGTGCTCGGTCCCAACCTGCATGGATCTGGGGAGTTACAGGCAGTGCTCGGTCCCAACCTGCATGGATCTGGGGAGTTACAGGCAGTGCTCGGTCCCAACCTGCATGGATCTGGGGAGTTACAGGCAGTGCTCGGTCCCAACCTGCATGGATCTGGGGAGTTACAGGCAGTGCTCGGTCCCAACCTGCATGGATCTGGGGAGTTACAGGCAGTGCTCGGTCCCAACCTGCATGGATCTGGGGAGTTACAGGCAGTGCTCGGTCCCAACCTGCATGGATCTGGGGAGTTACCTACAGGCAGTGCTCGGTCCCAACCTGCATGGATCTGGGGAGTTACAGGCAGTGCTCGGTCCCAACCTGCATGGATCTGGGGAGTTACAGGCAGTGCTCGGTCCCAACCTGCATGGATCTGGGGAGTTACAGGCAGTGCTCGGTCCCAACCTGCATGGATCTGGGGAGTTACAGGCAGTGCTCGGTCCCAACCTGCATGGATCTGGGGAGTTACAGGCAGTGCTCGGTCCCAACCTGCATGGATCTGGGGAGTTACAGGCAGTGCTCGGTCCCAACCTGCATGGATCTGGGGAGTTACAGGCAGTGCTCGGTCCCAACCTGCATGGATCTGGGGAGTTACAGGCAGTGCTCGGTCCCAACCTGCATGGATCTGGGGAGTTACAGGCAGTGCTCGGTCCCAACCTGCATGGATCTGGGGAGTTACAGGCAGTGCTCGGTCCCAACCTGCATGGATCTGGGGAGTTACAGGCAGTGCTCGGTCCCAACCTGCATGGACCTGGGCAGTTTTACTGTACATGTTTTATGCAGTGCTGCCAGTAGAGCAGTAGAGCAAAGGTGGTAACGATTCTTTTGGGATTCGTTGAGGTTGTTTTGCTGTGAACTTGATCTCGATGTGCACACGGTCCTGGTCTTGGCTGGAAATCTCAAGCCAATAGTGAATAGTGTTGCTTACTGCTGCTCTGCTGTCTTTATTCATTTGTGTTTAGGTCGTGTCTCGATTTCTCAAAGTGGACTAAACCTCTTCACCAGCTCTGACATGGTATGTGTGTGGTACACTACACCCCACCATACGACTCATACACCCCACTATACACTAACTACATGTACATGTGATGTGCGTGAAACTCCGCCAGAGCACCCTGTGCCGTGAGAGCACCCCCTCTTGATTCACAGTCAGAGAAAAAAGAAGCGTACGGCAACTAAAGTCATACGATGCAAGAAACTGAGTGTACTAGGGTCAAACATGGCCCTGTTCCAGCTCACTGCTCTTGCGTGGAGCTCGCTTCTACTTGAAAGGTAAAAATTAATGACTCCAAATGAGTATGGATCTACTGGACAATGTGCAACAGCAATTGAACACGTGCACTGGAGAAACCTAGTCCAATGAGACTGCCTGAGATTGTTGCGTTGCCGCAACAATCTGCCACTACTCAAGAATGTATTATGTCAATGCCATGAGAAATTGAACTCGGATGGTGACCCAATTCAACTATGGTGAAAAAGGAGAAGGACAAAATGTTACGAGTTACGACTAACTGTCACAACTCGTAACATTTTGTCCTTCTCCTTTTTCATCATGAGAAATTGAGAAATTGAGAGTTGTTTTAATGATGGACTGTGTTTTTTCATGGTTTTTTTTTGTATTTGGGCATGTAGGAAATGCAGCAACGCGCCCATCTCCTGAAGCGCCTCAGCTTTGCCATTTTCTCTAGTCCCAAAGACCAGTATGAGACTCTTCTTCCTGACATTCAAGGTGCGTTTTTTGCGCTATAATTCTGGCTTTGTCTGCTCTAAGATTTCAAAACCAACCGGGTACACCTGTACCTGGTACAACTCTTGCAACCGCGTCAGTCCCCTGGGTACATTCAAGTGCGGGTATTGTACATCAGGGAATCTTAGGACTCCCTGATTGAGTCCCAACCGGGTCAGAAGTGACCCAGTGTTCTTTTTCCAAGCGGGTCCAAGCAGTGGCGGGTTTAGGGGGGGGGGGGGGGGGCGCGGGGGGCGCGCGCCCCCCCCCCCCTCAAAAATTTCGACCTAGGTTTCGAAAAATAAAAGGCAGGGCGCCGGCGCGGCCGGGTCTAGCTAGACCGCGCTCGGGACGCGCGCGGCCTGAAACGATTGTCCAAAAGCGGTTGCACGGTACGGTTGTCGAGCTGGTGTTGATTGTACACACTACAGACTAGTACAGTACAGAGCATGCACGGCTACAGAAACACGGTGACCTGACTGACAGTGTCAGTGTGATCCCTAGATCCCTGCAGCCAGTGCAGGGACGCGTCTTCAACGGTACAAACATCGAAGAAAAGTCTTCGATCGAGTCAACCAAAACACGGTTCGAATGCCGAGGGCTCAGGCGATCATCCTCGTTACGCGTTCGAATCGTGTTTTGGTTGACTCGAAGGCTTTTCTTCGATGTCTCAAGGACTAGGCCAAGCTCTAGCCAGCAGAGCCTGGAATTTTTGTAAAGCGTTCCTGTCGCGGCGCAACTCCTGCTGCCGCTCCAACAGGAAACAGTGGGAGTGATGAAGTCGCTGTTATTCCAGTTGAACTTTCGGAGCGGACTGACAGTCACACTCCGCCAGACGTGGAAGAACCTGTTGTCAGCGAGCAGCCAGAACATGAAGAACAGCGCACAGTCACAAGTACCGCTGCCTATGTAAAGGATGCTTTGAGAGCGGTGAGAAATTGTTGGACTCGCATAAATAATTGCAGTTGATTCGCTCACATAACGGCAAATTTGAAGTCTAAAATGTACATTGTTGCTGCGTGTACAGAAATACTGCTCGTGGTGTGTGAGATGTACGGCTTGTTGTTGTTGTTGTTGTTGTTGTTGTTGTTGTTGTTGTTGTTGTTGTTGTTGTTGTTGTTGTTGTTGTTGTTGTTTATTACTTCACCAAATGAACAGGCAGAGATGCCTTCTCACCTGCCCATAGGACAGGTCTCACCTGCCCATAGGACAGGTTCTCGCAGAATGATGAAGGGATGATATGCAAGGGAAAACAAGAAATGATAATAATAATAATAATATAAGACAGAAAGGACCAAAAGAAGAAAAGGAAAAATTTAGATGAAGACAATTTCATGGAGTCAGAAATAGAAAGACAATAATTTCATGGAGTCAAAGAATAGAAAGACAATTGAGTCAGGAACACGTGGTTGATTTTATAGACATGCATGCACAAATGATTGATAGATGAGAAGGTTGGAATTTATGGCAGATAATAAAAGTTTAACGAGGATATTCACAAAGTAAGTACATCAATGGCAGAAAGAGCTTTTCGGAAGGGACCAGGGACACGTATCACTCTAAAATCAGAGGGGAGAGCGTTCCAGAGAATGCTTCCCCGAAACATCATGGTCGATCGTCCTGCAGGCCCACGAAGAAAGGGAACTTGAAGCAAGTTCGACACTTGTCCCCGTGTGGTGCGCTGATCCTCCGGAACAGTCTCTGGGGCCGTTCGGGTGAATAACTGTTGAAGAAGGAGGCTACAGGAGGAGCTTCTTGACATCGGTTTTCAAAATGGCTGACCTGGCACAGTAGCATGATGTCATGTACCCCCACCCCATCCCGCCTTGATCCCGGCCGCAACCCCCCCCCCCCCTCAGCCAAATCCTGGACACGCCACTGCCAAGTACCCCCAACCCCCGGCTGACCCGGCTCTGGAGCAGACACTGGGTGTCTGGTGTTTTGTATTGGGGTTTTTTCTTTTCCTGTGGAGCACCATGGGATGACTGCACAGATACCTCCATTCAGTACAAGCTCTTTTTAAATGACTGGTTCTTTCTCTTTTGTATGCAGAGCGGCTCTCTGAATGTCTTCGCTTGCAAATGGCTCCAATCGTACATCAGCAGGTAATAAGGCAGTTGAAAATTGAAATGTTCTGTTTTATTTGATTGTTACGGCTGCACCCCCACCCTCACCGTTAGGCGCTGTATCTGCCGCTGGATTTACCGGGTGTTAGCGGCTGTCGTGAGTTCCTTCGGGAACGGAGACGGTAATATACTTTTTGTTTTATTTTCACGGCTGCGTACCAGTTTGGTCAGGATCCAATCCAAGCCTTGCACTGAGTACTGTATATGGTAGCTGGCCAAATAAGACAGTAACCACACTACAGTATACATTCAGTTGGCAAGGTACGCTGAAGCACATGTTTACCTACATAAGAGACTAGCCTTGTAATTGGGAAGATGTCTACTTTGAAGCAGTGTATTGATTACTAGTATTGCTGGCACTGCGCAAGTAGTGAACTACAGTATGTGTGTGCATGGTGATGTCGCTGTGAAGAGCAGGTTGGATAAATTTGTCTAATCTGTACTTCGATGCTGTATTGTCTTCTGTGTTGTGAAACAAACCTGTTCAGGTGTTTCTGTGCTGGCGTGTACTTCTTGTTCGAATGTCTCCAACCAGCCTGACAGCCTTTTGGCCTGTGATGATGACAGAGCTGGTAGGTACTCTCACATGTGAAGAACAGTGGTTTGGATGGTGTACACAAGTACTGTACATGACTTGGTGTGGTTTGTTGTTTTGACTGTGCGACATGACTTTACATACCTGATGAGGGCAATTTGCCGAAACGTTGTACTAACTGATTGATGAAAGAGTTCGATATTGTTGCAGAATGAATGGGAAAGAGCGATCTGCTCTGAAACCACTTCCTATGACTTGTTCTGGTTTGTTGTTTTGGCTGCGGCTGGTCTTCTGTAGATTCAAGTTCTCCTGCAGTTGGAACAAGATCTCGTTGTTGATGCCACCAAGATGATTAGGTTAGTTTCATGTGGGCGTGTGCGTGTGGGCGTGTGTGTGTGGTCGTGCGTGTGTGGGCGTGTGTGCGTGCGTGTGTGTGTGTGTGTGTGTGTGTGTGTGTGTGTGTGTGTGTGTGTGTGTGTGAGAGAGAGGGGTAGGAGTTTTAAATACACTGGCCTTGAATTGTTGCATGTGTAGCTGTGTGGCTGCATGCAGTGCAAATCGCCAGGTTTTGTCAGAAATTTAGAATGGAGATATTTTTCAGTTTTCACACATTTCCTGTGTCCATTCTCTAATTCTTTCTAAATCACTTTTTTTACTTGAAACAGTGTTGTGTGGTTTCAGACACTTGATGTAAGTTAATTTCGCTGATAATGAGATAAAATAGCTAAAATAATCATGACTTGTGCACTCCATACATGCTGCTGTTGCTGTGTAACTCGCATGCCGTAGCATCAGCCAATACTCTGTCCTCTCTCTCCCTCTCCCTCTCCCTCCCTCCTCTCTCCCCTCTCTCTCTCTCTCTCTCTCTCTCTCTCTCTCTCTCTCTCTCTCTCTCTCTCTCTCTCTCTCCCCCCCCCCTCTCTCTCTCTCTCTCTCTCTCTCTCCCCCCCCCTCTCTCTCTCTCTCTCTCTCTCTCTCTCTCTCTCTCTCTCTCTCTCTCTCTCTCTCTCTCTCTCTCTCTCTCTCTCTCCTGTTTCAATCGATGACCAATAGTGAAATCCATTTTAACAGCTGTGCTAACACTTTGATTGATAATTATAGTGATGAGGTGTGTATGTGTATGTGTGCGTGTATGTGTGTGTATGTTTGTGTGTATGTTCGTGTGTGTGTTTGTGTGTGTGAATTTGTGTGTGTGCACGCATGTGCACATGTGTTTATTGTGCAAACTATGTGTTGTCATGTCTCCAGGCGTCAACTAACTCCCTCTACCAAGTCGTACGTACTGCGTATTGGCCTGGTTTCCCGAGCATGTGCTCCTCAACTTGCTGGGGCAGGGCGGGGGGTCACACACACATTGTGTGTTTATGTGTGTTTATATGTGCCTGTGTGTGTGGGTGTGGGTGTGGGTGTGTGGGTGTGGGTGTGTGGGTGTGGGTGTGGGTGTGGGTGTGGGTGGGTGTGGGTGTGTGTGTGTGTGTGTGTGTGTGTGTGTGTGTGTGTGTGTGGTGGATACCAGGCTAAAAATAGTGGCGGTCAATTCATCAGCCTTGCAAGCTGTTGAATGGTGTAATCCCAGCACAAGTTGCTATGTCTAAAACATAGCTGTTCGCTATCATCGCTCCCGCGATGGGCATGTCTGAGGTCTGAGGTCTGAGGTGTGTGTGTGCACACGCGCGCTTGCATGCGTTGACTAGCTAAATTGAACTGATACATTTTCCTGCAATTATTATTATTATTATTATTATTATTGCAAATAACGCTGAGTAATTACATGAATGCATAAAAACCAGCATTTGCTTCCGGGAAGGATTCACAAACATAAGACAAAAACAATGCAGATAGTAATAGATGCCACATCCTTGGCCACGTGCTCTATATCTTGCTACATGTTTACCCACTAACGGAATGTCTGGTACATGAATGTATATTGTACTAGTCACTTGATTGGCTTCCTGATGATTGCTAATGTGTGATAATCAGATTTTGAACAAGTTATCTTTGCAAGCTCTGTCCATTGGCATGGAGCACTTGGGGGGGGGGGGGGGGGGGGGGGGGAGAGCCGTATACCTTGCTTATTTGTACACACTGTTCAATTTGTGAGAAGGCAATGTGATCTTGTGATGAGTAGTAGTCTTGCAGCCGGGTATTGGTGGGATGCTGTTGTCTATCTAGATATGCAGCACTAGTCTTGCGGCTGGGTGTGGGTGGAGTGGTACTATGGTACTCGTCATGGGTTTTGCTGGTATGCTTTCTGCTTTTGATTCTGAGTTGGCCATCTTGTCCGAGTGGTAGGCACTATTACTATTCTCTGTGTCTTGGGATGGTGCTTGGTTTGCACTTGCTTGCCTAACATGGCAACTGTGCTGTCTAATGGTTGTTTTGATGTCGGCCTTCACTTCTTCTCTTGTTCAGTCAAAGTAACGACCCATGGCTAGGCCTGTACATGTCCGCCTGCAAACTCCTTGACCTTGTCCTGGCTCTTCCGTCAAGCGCTTTACCACAGTTTCAAATGTAAGACCAATCTTAATGGCAGACATTAATTGCGTACGAGCATAGCTCGTGTCCCAGTAGTGGCTTAGTTGACTACTGTGTAATCCCTTTCCCCCGCAGGGATGCTCTGTGAACTTCAACCGCTCACACTAGTGAATTCGTGAATTAGTGCCCAGGATTACCGGGGCAATGTTCTTGTGCTACCCCACTGGTAGTGGCTGTTCTAAAGAAAATAACAATCATGTTTGGGTGGTATCATGCCCCGATGCACTGCAGCCTAGGTCTAACCTAGTAACTACCGTATTTTCCTGAGTATATAAGCCACTCTTTGAACACTCAAAATTCACCCCAAAAAAGGGGGGGTACGACTATTACTCCAGTGCGGCTTATACTCCGGAAAATACGGTATGTCTGGACATTGTTGACTTCAAGATTTAGCTGTTTCCCCCTTTCCCTTTTCATTTCTTCAGACTGATGAAGATTTGAAGATTTTGTGTTTGTATTTCTTGGATCAATGAAATCATTACATGCATGGAGGATACCTCTCACCATGAGAATGCGGAGGGGGGGGGGGGGGGGCAAGAGCAGCTGTCTTAGTTGTAATCATTTCCATTTACTCCCCAAAGGATGCAGTGAATCATGAGGAAATAAAATAAAACGCAAATAGGATGATCAGACTAACTCAGGGACTCAAAACACGGCAAGACTACAACTCGCACTTGCTCAGACATCTGCTGTAGGAACCGACCAGCGCTCAGCAGTGGGCAGTCCTTGACAAAGACATAAGTGTCAACAGACTTATCTCCAGCCTCCAGCCCTCTTTGTGACTGTGCACCTCCTCTTCTGCATACCAATGACCCGGCAGCACAAAATTAATGTTAACGAAGTCACCCAAGAAAACTCAGGATTTGTCGGGATCCAAGAAGCGTATACAATGGTATTCGTACATGCCTGGTTTCTCCGGTAATAGGGTGGGTTTTTTTTTTACCCTTTATGGACTAAACTCAATGTATGTGGAGAATTGTGTCCTCAAATTCTTTACCTTGAATTGGACGTAACTTTAGTTTCCCTGGGACAATTGTCATAATCTTGGGCATCCTGGAAAGCCCTTGACGAGAGGAACACGAGGGGCCCAAAGTCGAGTCCACGAGATGCGCTGGACCAGCGCTGCAAGCCAGCGAAGGCGTTTCAGCGCGGGACTCGCGCTCTTGATCGATCTCCATTCGCCATTTCACTTTCCTTACTCGTATGTACTTGAAGTAGCTGAACATTTTTTGTAGGCACTCGCGGAAACCCCTGTTCGAATTTGAATGAGTGTAGCCTTGCCAACAGCCGACGAGTTCAGGGGAAACCCCGGCCGTTCAGTCACGCATTCACGGCCCTGAACGCCAATTGACCGTGATGAACGTTACGCGCGTCGTAACTCACTCACCGTTCATCGTATCGCTTCGTAAATTGTTCGAGACGACAGCTGAGAGTTTACTCTTCTCCCTACATATTTCGTTCTCTCCAAACAATTTGAATTGACCAAGTTACGATAGTTCGAAAATATTTGAAATGCGTAGAATTTATCGGTCACCGGTGATGGATAAAAGTATGTGCCGTCAGCAAAGGCAAAGGCAAAAGCAAAGGCAAAGGCAAAGGCAAAGGCAAAGGCAAAGGCAAAGGCAAAGGCAAAGGCAAAAGCAAAGGCAAAGGCAAAGGCAAAGGCAAAGGCAAAGGCAAAGGCAAAGGCAAAGGCAAAGGCAAAAGCAAAGGCAAAGGCAAAAGCAAAGGCAAAGGCAAAAGCAAAGGCAAAGGCAAAGGGTTACTAGACCCTGTGAAGTTTATCTTTCTCATGTGATTCTCATTAGAGAGGTTAAGATGCACGTTATTTCTGACGTGACGCGAAAGTTCAGCTCGCGTTATTTGCTCACACGTCGAAAAATCAACGCGAGTGACCTGCTGCTCACGTCGAAATTTGGAGTTTTACGCCAAATTTGACGTGAAATTGCGCGTCACGTCGGAAATAACGTGCATCTTAACCTCTCTATTGTCTCTGTTTATCCTGACACAGGTATCAGTGTTCTCATTGTCTCTGTTTATCCTGACACAGGTATCAGTGGGCGTTTGTTGGTGGACAGCGTCGTCAGCGTAGGATTATACCCAGCAGCAGCCAGTCATCATTTGGACCAGCTGATTTTGAACCCTACATGATCCGGCTGGTTGACCTACTCGATCAGGTTTGTGTGTATACATCATGCGTGTGTGATTGCTATCGTGTTGTGTGTGCAATCTAGCAGCAGCTTATTACTACCGTCTAGAGTCATAATAATATTATCTTTCAGCGTGTGAAATCTGTAGAATTGGCTATGCATTGCCGGCCCGGCGGAACTGGTCCGGCTGGTCAGAAAACGATGAGCAGGGGAGAGCAGCATGAAAACAGACCTAAAGCCTGGAGTTGCTGCTTCACATTGTTGTCTCGGGTGTGCATGTGTGGTTGGAGGGGGGGGGGGGGTTCTTGCAGCTATGGTAACAGCAATGCAGGCCCCAGGGAAGCAGTTATTGTTGGGTCCAGGCATAAGCTAGCATTGCTGAGTGCACAAATGACCGTATTCAGTACTTAGTCAGCAGTAACTATAAATTAGCCATGTAAAAATTAGTCCGACCATGGCCTTGGTACAAGTAGTACACTGGTTCCGCTGGTTGGCATTGGGACAAAGCAGAATTGTGTCGGACATAACTCTGAAGCTGGTTTGGCCATTTATGATTCTTGTAGTTGACAGTCCTGCATGTACTGCATATGGCTATATTGCACTTGTCTTAGCTACTGGAAGAAGGTCAGTGACAGTGCATTTGGACTTTGGAGTATGTTTTTGTGCTGCTTTGTTCATGTCCAGCCGGGATTACCAGATTGCGAGCCTTTGCAACAACCGTTTGGTCGGCCCCTTCTCACCATAAGGACCATCTCATCGGTTCTTCAACTCAAAGCCTTTGTTCTTGGTTTAGTCCGAAGGCATCTGCGCACCCACTCTAATGCTGGCAGAAGCAGTAGTTCAAGTTCGAGTAGTATCAATGATGCATCACCTGCAACAGGTGTGTTGGCCACTGTCTCCAGTGAGAGAGTGTCATCAGGACCTGCTTCTGCGTCTACTTCTAAGCGTGCTAACAGTGCTAGTGGCGCTTCTGTTGGCGGCACTGGCAACATTCGCAGCCTGACCAACGCAGAGTTCATTGAAAGGCTCATTGGTCACGATTTTCTGGAAAGTGGCAAATAGTAATGTGTTGCTGTTGCTCCCACTTCTCAACTCCCTTATCCTCCGTGTTTGAACCCCTGATCACCCTGCAGCGTGCAGCCGTATTCCATGCAGACATACTCCTGCATATACCCATCTGCTGTTTTATTATTTTATTTTTCTCATCCTTTTCGGTATTTCTGCTATATTTTCCCCCCGATCCCGGCTGCATTGCTGCTGGCTTGTTTGTAACAGCTCGTCACCTATCAATTCTTGTCTATATCCATCTTACTCCATGAAACATGACACTTTCAATTTCTACGTACTATTCTATGTGCAGACAATTCCAGAAACTATTCAAGTATCTACAATATTATTCTATTCTTAACTGAGTACTGACTTTGTTTTCATCTCTCTAGCCAAGATGCATGAATTATGCGAGCTGTCCCAACCAAGGATGCTGCACATTTTAATTAGCCCTGGTGCTCTGCTGCATAGAATCGATACCGATACTACGACTGCGTGAATCCATGCATGCATGTGCCATGGCATGGCTGCTCTCTCACAATGCAGCAGTGACATGACATGGCTGCTCTCTCACAATGCAGCAGTGACATGCTCTCTCCCAGGTTTACCTCTTCTCATTTCCATTCATATCTGATATCTGGTTGCCCGTGTCACACGACACACACAATGTCTTAATAGTTGACTCATTATCCACTATCACTAATATCAGCCAGTATGATGCTGGCTATTATTTCAGCAGCGCGTAAGGCAGCCGCAGTGCTTGGCATGCCGCCAACAAGGTGTTGCCAACATCCCGGCACACCACCGTCGACTTCGCTGGCTACATCAGCAGGTAGCCTAGCTAGCAAGTGCTTAAAGTGGCCTGCGAGTGCAGATGGTAATGCAGCGGCATTCAGCCCGCAGGCTGTGCTATGCTGTGCTATGCTGTGCTATGCTGTGCTATGCTGTGCTGTGTCCGTACCCGATGACTGAGTCACTGTGAGTGTTGTGTGCAGTACCCGCACTCGATAGTCTTCATCCCCGTTGCCATACGTCTAACTGCCGCTGCTGCTCCTTTCTTGTTTCTCCTTTCTGTATTTGAGATTTACCTGCCTTGAACAAGGTTGAACAAGTTGTATAAACTATTCTCCCATCCCGGCCCCATTGGTCATTACATCATACCATTTTATTAGTACTGTTCCCAACTTACTTCCTCAGTTATGGATAGGATATGACTATTTTATGGTCTAGTACTTTGAGGTACATACATGTAATTGTATGCCTTCTCTTTTTCATTAATTTTTGTTATGGACTAAAAAATTCTGCTTTCACGGTCACGTCTACCATGGTCTGCTGTTGAAAGTACTGGTCCGTCTAGCGCGTCTACTCAGTGTCAGTGTGTGTTACATAACCATGGGGAGTAACCATGGTAACTAACACGCAAGAAGTACATAATCTGACTAGTGTGTAATATTATGTACATGATGATGATGATGTGCGCATGTGACTTTTTGTAGATCTACACTTCTCTTGTACTTGTTGTAGCAAGTACGTTTATCTACTCTTGCTTAGTAAATTAGTTGTAGTAATGACCATGATGACTGGTGGCCTTCTGTGGGTGTCCAGGGCCTGCTGGAGAGCCGGGTCAGCCGGGTCACGCACCCGGCTGGGGAACTGCACGACCTGGCTGAATAGATAACACCGGGTCCAGTCTGACCCGGCTGAAAAATGTCTCAAACTGACAATGGATTCCTAAAATACCGGTATCAGTTTACGACTCGCGGACCCCATCTGTTGCAAATCTAGCGCAACCGTACACACTACAGTACAGTCTACAAGCGACAGACTCGGCTAGGGTCAACTGGGGTCAACTGGTTCCAGCGCGATCTGGCCAGCGGCGAGCAGGAAGTCAGGACATTCAAAGTCGATGGGGCAGGCGCATGCAGTCAAAAGCGTAACTAACTTTAGCTATACATAGCTTTCGACACAGTTGCAAGTTTTCATCCGACTGGTGATTTGGACGATGGAGCTCGCAGCGAAGAGAAAAAGAACTCACGCTTTCCAAGACTCTTGGAAGAAAGGTCGACCCTGGCTGGACTACGAGCATGCCAGTCTATCCATGTCATGCGCTTTGTGCAAGACGCATTTCCAAACTTTGGAAATCCACCGCCGCTCGTGTTCCGGGAACACGAGTGGCGGTGGATTTGGTCGCGATGCGTGGTTGAAAGGTAAGAACTCACTGCTTCGAATTATCGGCATGCTTCTCGGCTCCTGGGTGCTGCAGGCACCCCCAGTGCTCTATTATGTGAACATGGTCGTCCTACTACTAGCACTAATTAGAAAACAGAATTCCTTTTTTTCAAATTGTTAAATCAGAATCCAATGGAACTGCTTTGCATTCTTCACGTAATGTCGTTTACCTTCTACGTTTGCAGACTTTGATAGTTCGCCTTGTTCTCTAAACGATTTCCGGTAATAAATTCGCCTTTCTGTTTTCCTGCGTTTTGAGCAGGCTTTTTGGTTGTTTTTCTGCCGGATGATCTGACCCGGCTGGCCTGCATGCGCCAGGTACACTCTGACCGGGCTGTGTTGAATGTCTAGAGCAGGCCCTGGGTGTCGTCGGCTCCCGATCCCCTTTGCAGGGAGTCGTGAAAACCCAGGTACATGTAGATCTACATGTAGTAACTGGTTTTTACTGCTCCCTGGCCTGGCCTGCATCGACCGGATAGTCTTCATCATGCTTGGTGTATAGCTAGTCAAGTATTTTGACCAGGGAGTCGTAAAATACCTCCTACGACTCCCTGATTTTGACGACTTCCTGGTAGATCTACCATGTATTCAAGGCTACAATGGTCTGCATGATCCGGTGCACCGGTGGCCAGATCTACAAAAAAAGTGACTGCTCTTTTGTTTTGTGACTAGCAAGAGTGCATAAATAAGTAGTACTAGTACTAGTAGTAGATCTATTCTCTGACATGACAGGCTCTCGGCGCTAGGCCATAGGCGCAGTAGCGTTCTGCGAGTGGTAACCATTGGCTTCTCGCTATCAAAGTGTACTGGAGCTACTGTACTAGCTGTACCGTCAACAATGCCAGCACGAGTACAGTAATTAGTTGTGCAGTTCGCCATCCTACATCCCTGAGTCCTGGTCTGAGCTGATATGAGAAGGTGATTGCGGAATCAATGGTCGCACTGTGCAAATTGGGGTATTACATGAAGCAGTAGAGGCTGGGCCCAGTTTTCTGCCGGGTACGGTAATTGTAATCCATAGCATGCAATCACTTGAACCCAAAATTTCCGGTGGTTGGGGGTGGGGCGACTTGTACTAATCATCTGGAATTTTTTTCAATTACCTGAGCATGTGCCCACAACACAATATGTACCGGTATGTCAAAAATGCTCACAATTTCACACAGAGTTCTATCTTCTATTATATAGACACAGTAGGCTATGGCGTAATCCCGGACATACCTTTTCGTACGGAAAAGCACACCTTGGAGCCGCCATTTTGACGGAGAGAGAGGGGGTGTTACACTAATGACTAATGTGAACTTGACACCGAAAGCCGATGATATGGTAGATGAGATGATTTTGTAACGGGCGCCCGGATTACTGCCAAGCTGCCTGATAAACACTGGACAGGTGTAAGCATCAATGGCAATCATTTTGTCGATAGCTAAGAAATTCCATGCCAGACAGGATATTCTAGTTTGAACTAGCCTTGATTGCCCTTGTGGTTCTGTCTATGGGGAATACAACTGTATCACCGATTTACTAATAGTAGGATCAGTGCATCTATGAAATTCATCGGGAGTAGTATGAAATGGACAGTCTTTTCTGCAAGCACGTATCCTGCTGTTAGCTCAGTGTCCAAACAGACCAAACCCTTCGGCTTCCTACTGTAGCCGTATTTTTGTCTGTGAGCATACGCGGCTTCGTCATCACTGTGATTGTTTGTACGCGTAACTGTTACATGTATTGGCGGTTTCCTGTGTGCTTGCTAGAATGCAAACTGCTGCCAGAGTCTCGTCTGGTGGTTGTGCGGCTCTGAGCCGGGATGACAGTGCTGCTTCTGCTGCTTCTGTGCCGGCTGTTGCCACTGGCCGGAGTAGAGATGCCACGGAGCATGTACGCGGCGCTTCAGATGTGATCATAGTCGGCGGGGGTATATCTGGTCTTGTTGGGGCATGCTCCCTGGCACAGGCGGGCTTCACAGTCACTCTACTGGAGGCTGACTGTAGACTGGGTAAGTTGCTTGCCGCGTGACTGCTCACCGTGGACAACGCACCGCGAGGCACCACTATCTCTCTATTGTGTTGACATGATTATCCTACTGCAGTACTCTTTTTTTCCACGGCCACCACCACCACCACCACCACCACCACCACCACCACCACCACCACCACCACCACCAGCACCACCACCACCAGCAGCACCACCACCACCACCACCACCACCAGCAGCACCACCAGCACTGGCATCACCATTGCTATGTGATCCAATGTCCGTGACCGCCGGTACAGCAGTGGCTAGTGCCAGTCCAATGTGCAGTCATCGTAGTACAAAATAGTACATTGTACTATGTACTATGTGTAATCACTGTTAGGCCGGGATGTTCTTGACATACCCTCAGTTTCTGCGATAGTCGCAGAGAACCGTGTTGAACCTCGCTTTCCCTGGGCGTGAGATTAGTGTTTTGACTTCCGGGTTAGGAGATTAGTGTTTTGACTGCCGGGTTAGCTGCCTCTTGGACCAATCTGTGCTGATTTGCCATGTTCTTTGTCATATTTTCTCTGTCATACTTCCACTGGTCGGTGTATATGAAGGTGGTCGCTTACTACAGGTTGATGCTTACCCAGGCTATGGCCTGATTGACATGGGCGGCGAGCTCGTGGAGGGTGAGCACTCCGTGCTGACACGCCTTATTGAGGAGAAGGGATGGACAAGTCACGAGGTATGCACAATCATGCTGGCAACGCAACTCACAGAAATTAACTGATCTTTCCACAATGACTTGAAACACACCTCCTATCTGCTTGACGTCATGTGTCACGCATACCGGTATCTGTGCACAGTAGTTGCGTGCATTGTGTAAATATAGCTTGGAGAAGCCTCGGCGAACCGTCCAATTGGTATTCTACGACTGCATCCTCGTAGCATACAGGACTATGCAGTATGCACCCACCCGTTTGAGGCTAAATGTACCGCAACGGCTGGCTATAGTCACCCTCTGCACATGCTACAGCCGCTATACCCACCCTGCACACATGAATGCTTGCTGTCGGCCGTTAGTTTGAAGAACTGAATGGGCTGTGTGCACGCATGCGCAGATCCGGAGACGGAAGGGAAAACGAGAAAAAAATGCTTCGTCAAATTGCGGATCTGAGACTACTGCAGACAGAATATCTGAAGTCTAAACGCATTTACTGGGGATGCATTGTGCATACGTAGTGTGACCATGGTGACTGGATGCGAAGAGGAACGAACTAGGAACAGCGATGCCTCCGATATTGCAGTGTGACTGACACAGTTACTACTGCCGATAGGTGACTAGGATTGCCATGGCTGTGCAGTCATGCCGGCATACACTATTCAGGGTTCTACTGAGCCAAGTGAAAATTAATAGTAGGGGTGGTGTGTGTGGGGGGGGGGGGGGGGGGAGACAGTTACCCTGTAACCAATTTTCCAAAGTTGTCTTACCATACCAAATACAACTCACGGGAGCGAACCCCTGACTTAAACCAGACAAATGTGCCTTCATGAACCCTCTACTCCGGCTCTAGTAATAACTATCCACTGCATTTTCGTTGAATGGCATGAAAATCACGAAAATCGACAAATGGGTAGGGGCGTGCCACTTTTCACGGGGGGGGGCTCAATCAGAGTAGAAGGGTGCTGGGCCCCTGCCCCCCCCCCCCCCCCCCCCCGGCCCCTTGGCTAGAACCCAGCTATTGCAGTGTGTGTATGTCCGCATGCATGCCTGCGGACATGTGTGTCTGTGTATGTAATCTAAAGGCATTTGATGACCGCTATGTGAAGCTACCACTACGAAAGATGTGTCGCCAGGCTTACTATGCTGATGAGAATCTCTTCTACGATGACAGCCCGTTTTTTCAACAACTACTTGACACATGGAGTATTGTGGAAGATGGCTACGAGGCAATTGTGGCTAAACAGAGTGATGGTGACAACGATGCTAACATGATGTAAGGAAGAATGCTTGCATTGCCGCTTTGAACATGCACAACAAGAAGACTTAGGACACATTGTAGTATGCATTGGTAATGTTTTGATGTGTGTTCAGTTCTGCCAGTCCATTTAGTTTCCTTTACACTCAGACCAGTAGTCAGTTCAAGTACATGTATGGTGTGAGTGTCTGGTGGCCTCCATTAGTGGAGGTATAATTATGACACATGCCGTGTGTCTCCATCATGTCACAGTCGAACTCAGTGGAGAGGTGACTGAATAACATCCAGCATGCTGTCCTCTTAGATTCTCCCAAGTTGATATACAGGTATGTATTGTATTTGATGTTTTGTCACATGATATTGATAGTGTGGAGACAGCCTACGGGGACTTGGGACTATTATTTTTATCCTGAAGATCATGGTGGCAATCCCCCCCCCCAGCATTGCAAACCCGGTATTGAATGTGTTCGTGTTCTGTTCTGATGTTGGTGACTTTCTGATTTTCAGGGACAGTAGTGTCGGTGAGCTACTGAATGCTGCATCAGTACCGAGTACAGACATTGGCTATCGTCTGATTGAAAGTACAGTGTGTCAACGGGATGGTGTCTGCATCGATGAATGTAGCGCTGCTATGGAGTGTGAAGGATGGGATTATGGCTCACTTGTCAGAAGGTAATTTGCAGTAGCGATCCCAAGCTACGTTACGCCAGTTGTCAGGTCACTGCCATCCCAGGCCGGTGATAGTCCAAGTGTTAATCCATGCAAGTTGCCAGTGGTATCTGTGATTAAATGGGATCTATGACTTGCATGTGTGCCATCCCTCCTTGTGCAGACTGGATGGCAGCTTTTCACTGCTTCTTCAGCACTATGTGGATATAGCGTATCATCTGCGGCACTGCCTGTCCATCCAGCTAAACAATGCAGTCAAGTCCATTACCTATCAGTGTAAGTAGAATAGTGTGAGAAGGTGTTGCAATGATTCCGCCTCCTTTCCTCACACTCTTCTCAGGTTCTCTTCTGGTTTTTGAGATAGCTGTGATGCTTCACTGGGGTGACGGGCATGTGTAGCCCTCCACTGGCAAGTGTAGCCTCCACTGGCATGTGTAGCCTTCATGGGCATATGCCGGTACAGTCAGACCTCGCCTATCTGGTCCTCTTTTATCCGGATCCCTCGCCATCCGGAAGAAAATCACCAGTTACCGATGTGCAGCATATGTTATGCATACAACAAAACCGGACCTCGCGATCCGCATACCGGTGCATGATTTTGTGTACAAACTGGTTGAAATGTGTACAAAAAGCTTTGTCGTATCCGGTCGCACGTGGCTTTCAGAAGCTAGAATCAGGGAGTTGTACAAGCAAGTGAGGTACTTGACCTGCTGGATGCATGCGGAGAGCACTCAGTTGCATGTTCTTGTCATTTTTCTCGCTTGTTTTACATATTGTGCACGCTAGTTGCACTACATAGGACACGTCTACACTGTATGTACGATGCCACTGCTTTTGATATGCCACATGCATATACAGCATGTGTGTTCAGTTATCCGGTTCCCTCGCCTATCCGGATACTTTTGTGGAAAACGGATGTGTACGGATAAGCGAGGTCTGACTGTAGCCTTCACTACTGTTCATGTGCATGAACCGTAATGATGATGATGATGATGATGATGATGATCGCCATCATGCATAGCAACACAGTGAGCTACAGTAGACTCGTACGCCCAAGAACGCGGTTTCAGAGGGCCAGCCTAGCAAAGTTCTTATTTTTCAGCGCCCCAGGCTACGTTCTTATTTCGCGTTCGTACGCGTCCAACATGACCCGTGACGCTCATGTACAATGCACTTTGTGCTACATGTACCGGTTGTACTCTTTACATGCACGTGTAGTATGTAGCGCTGCACTGGGTAATGTTTTCGCGAGGACCCGACCCGACAAGATTTTGTGGTTGCGGACTTGTTTTTCGTGTACTCAGACAAGATCATGAAGGTGCAATCCGCTTGCAAAACAAACCGGCGCTCAAATATCACGTCTCTTTCTCTCTCTCCTTTTCAGAAGATTGCATTGTAGTTATTACAATAGCAAAAAATGTCGCGTTCTTAAAAATCTTGGAGTTCGTTCTTTTTAAATCCAGGCTGGGGCGTTCTTAGATTTCCAGCCTGGACGTTCTTGGGCGCCACGTTCTTGGGCGTACGAGTCTACTGTATGGTCTGCATGTTGTATGCATGGTGGTACATTGTATTCATTTGTGTTCTGCTGCTGCTGCTGCTGCTGCTGCTGCTGCTGCTACTGCTGCTACTGCTGCTACTGCTGCTGCTGCTGCTGCTGCTGCTGCTGCTGCTGCTGCTGCTGCTGCTGCTGCTGCTGCTGCTGCTGCTGCTGCTGCTGCTGCTGCTGCTGCTACTGCTGCTGCTGCTGCTGCTGCTGCGGCCACCATGGCATACGTGTGTCTACATTGTGCAGGTTCGGCTGACCAGAACGTTAATGATCATCAGGTTGCTGTGGTGACTTCTAGCGGCAAGACCTATGCATCGAAGGTCGCCTTGGTTACAGTGCCACTCGCCGTTCTGCAGCGGCATGGCATTCACTTCAATCCACCGTTGCCACGACGACTGACATCTACCATAGAAAGTCTGAGCATGCAGAATGCAATGAAGGTCTACTTGAGGTTTACAAAGTGCTTTTGGCCGGAAGATATCGGAATATTGTACAGCACCGATGGATTTCTCAAGCAGTTCTGGATGGATGCTCCTCATTTCTATGATGACGCTAAACTTGACAGCACGTATGATTCCAAACTGTGTTCAACGCCAAGGCAAGCAAGTAACACGGAGGCAGGAACACACGAGATCGACACCTCAGCCAGCAATGATGTCACCACGATGTCACTACCTGCTTGGAGGCAAACGTATGTACCATACGTGGGCGTGACTGGTGGTAAGCATTCAGGCAGTAATGCAACACCACAAAATGGACACCGTGGAGACTGTCTTGACATGGCTGATGTTGGCGTTACCATGGTGAGACGTGAGGACGTACAAACACTGCCACACTGTACACCTGCCAGTGGAGAGACTGAGCAATCCATGGGAGATGCGGGGTCTGTGGATTACAAGGGTCATGCCGGTGATGGGCCTGATATTGGGGTCACTGATTCCAGGAACAGCCATGACGCGCCGCGGCAGGAATGCAAGCAGCCCTTCTATGCCATGTTTGGATTTGCTACGAGTCGTGTTGCTGACAGCGTGTGTGAGTTAGCACCAGCGCAACTAGTGCAGCGAGTTTTACACCAACTGGATGAGATGTTTGGCAGGTGAGAGAGCTCTTATAGATTGATATTGATAAGTTTGATGGTTTTTTTAAACAGCCATAAAGGGACATGGTGGAGGAATCAAGATAAGGGTTTGGGTTAAAACTTAAAACAGATAAAACTCAAACATCAATAATTTGTATTATACTGATAGTGTGGTTTCCGCCTAAGCTCCATGTACAGCTCTTTATGTGGAGTTTTCGGCAGCATAACTCACATCGCATGCGCAGTACACCACTGCTGCGATGTGATGATGTTTGTACAGCCAGAGCAGTGCTGAGTTGATATGCAGTCTGGAACTCGCACAGACTGCTCGGTGGACCCCTATATTTCCAAGTAGTGCTTTTTCCCAACTATCACTGGATGTGCACAACGCTTTTTGCGTGAAGTAAGCGTTTTTTTGTTTTTTTTACAAGAGCCACACACCATCATTGTGCAACCGCTGGCAAAAACACGCACGCACGCGTGTGTGCGTGCGTGCGTGTGTGTGTGTGCCTGCATGTTTGCATCATTTCAGGTCAGATGGTGACGATGACGGCGACCAGGTATCTCATCCGGCCACTGAATATTTTCATAGTGCACTGGTGATGTGCTGGGGAGATCAAGAATTTGTTGGTGGCGGTGAGTGTATGTTTAAAAATATTTCTGATGAATTGTTTCAATTTGTTTGGCATGCACCGTGTATCTTCCACAGCCCATGGGGTGCGAATCGCAGAGCTGAAGCATTGCTATGGATATTAAAATCCAGAAAGGCGGAAACTGCGAAAAAATATTTCAAAAAAGCCCTACGGAAGGCCAAACGTAGGAAAGCGCTTTCCTACGGAAATCCGTGGAGAAATTTACGCGTGAAAGTTGCCCTCACTCCCCGGCGAGTACGACATACGGATTTTGTCCTCTCTCATGTGATCTCTTGGCCACCTGGTCTGTACGAACATAGCCAGCGCACACATACACAATAAAGAACTCTGCATGGATCCTGGCTAAGCAAGACATGTACTATGTCACTTTTTGACGTCACGCGCCTTTGGCATTGTAGTTCAGGAATACAAATTTGAATGTAAAATATTTCTGTAAAGGAAATGCTTCTCCCCCTGGCCCCCGCCACACAACAACTGTCGAAAAGATTAGAATTCCCAATCTCTCGATTTATCAACACAGGTCACAAGTCCGATCTCACCTCTACAGGTGGCACACATCATAGGACAAAGGAGTCTGTAGTAATCGCTCTTTCCAGAATAATACTAGAGAACAACAAAACTGAAAACCACTCGTGTCCAAGAAACGCAGCATAACCCACCCCCGTGGGAGAAGAAAAACACATTCGCAAAAGCGCGCCAAACTGTGCTGCATGCACGTGCCTTGACAAGTACATGTACAGTCATGCATACGTGGGCCAGAACAAGTCATACAAAGCACGGGAACGTGGGCATGGAACTAGAGTTTTGTACTGAAACAAGAACAGGCACAAACATGATACAAATCGCGCGACAAGGTCGCCGCGACACTCCAGCCGACCGGGAATGTACACCGGGAGGTAACTTATAGAGCATAAGCAATGCAGATACACACGCACACACACACACACACACACACACACACACACACACACACACACACACACACACACACACACACAGCAAGCAGTTAAACAGGCATACAGAGAGTTTTATGTGCTTGTGAGGTCACTGCCAATTGGACCAAGCACCACCTAATCCTCACACTCTGACACGGTCAAACTTATCAGGCGTGTCGGATGTGTACGTGCAGCAACGATACAGCTGTCCACTTTGCAATATTCTGCCGGGCCTTGTCAGCTGCCGCACGAGTTGGTCGCTGGGGGTTGTCAGATGCTGGTGCAGTAACTGGCACCTCACTTGCAGTTTCCGGGAGTTCCGTTAGGACTTGGCGACACTCAAGGCCGTACAATTTGCATACTGGTCGATTGACCTCCTTGCCTGTGCTGGTTATAATGCAGGCAGCCCGGACGGCGCCGTCGGTCTGGCTCTTCTCTAGTGCGACAACACGGGCCAGCTTCCACATGCATCTTGGAGCCGTCTCTTCGTCAACGAGGACAACTTCGCCCACACTAGGTTCCGGTGGGGGTTTGGGGCAATGTTGCCGTTTGGACGTGTGAGCCATCCGCTCTTGGAGCACTTGGAGGTAGTCTGTTCGCCACAAGCTCCAGAACAGTTCGCTTTGGGTCTGCCTGTGACGCCACTCGGTGAGCAGGGATAATGCCGGGTCGGTACTTGGAGGTGTATACTCGGGGTCATCCAGCGCAGTTGAAAGTGGCAGAGCAGCTGGACGACTTCCAAGGAGGAAGTGAGCAGGAGTCAGTATCTTGACATCCCTGCCCTCGTAGTCGGCGGTGACGGAGGTAAGGGGTCTGCTGTTGACTGCCGCTTCGGCTTCAGCTAGAAGAGTGGCGAGCTGATCAAGACGGAGGTGCTGACGCCCCAGTGCCTTCCGTAGGCTCCGCTTCACTAGCCCCACCATTCTTTCGTACACTCCTCCCTGCCAAGGTGCGAAGGCGGTTGTGAATTTCCAGGTGATACCCTGGCTGGTGAAGTAGTTGGCAACACCAGGGTCCGTGGCGACTGTGCTCCACAGCTGGTCGAGCACACCACTGGCTGCTTTGAATTGCGATGCGTTGTCTGAATACAACAGGCGGGGTACCCCTCTCCTGGCCACGAATCTCCGGAAACAGGCAATGAACTGAAGCGCTGTCATATCAATGACCCACTCGAGATGCACAGCACGTACCGCAAGACATGTCAAGAGGCAAACCCAGACCTTGGATGTTGTAGTGCCATCGGCTTGCTTCACCAGTATCGGACCAAAATAATCGAGGCCAACATACTCGAATGGGGCTGCTGGAACCACTCGTTCCTTCGGTAGGGCTGGAGGGGACGGCAGCTTGTACGGTGGCCCTTCATGCCTGCGGCAAACGGTGCAATTTCGGAGGATGGAACGAACCGCTCGGCGGCCCTGCGGCACCCAGAAGTTGAGTCGCAAATGGGCTAGCGTGTGGGCTGTGCCGGCATGCAAGAGGCGGCAGTGAACGTCAGTAATGACGAGTCGGGTAAGCCGGTGAGTAGCTGGTAAGAGAGCCAGGGCCGGATGACCAGCCAATGCAAGTCGCCCATGACAATGTAGTAGGCCGTGATCATCAATGGCGACGCCAAGTTGTCCGCGGATGGGGCAATGGTTGTTGGTTGCGAAGCTCTGGAACACATCAGCAAAGCATTCAAGCTGAGCCATCCGAATGAGTACAGCTAGAATGAGACGCCGAGAGGCCGCATTGAGATGCGAAGATGAGGCTAGAGCGGTCAGCAATGAACAGAGGAGGGGGTGAGTGGTTCGTAGGCGAGACTGACTGACCGGCAACAAACGGGACCAGAGCCGCTGCTGGATGAAGTTACAGACGTAGAAGCTGATGCGAATAAGTCGCTCTAGCGATGACACCCGGTCACAGATAGTGGTGGCGATGGCAGGCCGTGACTGGGGGAATGCTGTGGCGATTAGCGTGGCACCATGCAACACCTTCGGTCCACGAACCTCAGTAGCAGCAAGTTCCATAACGTCAGGTGTGACGACTAGTTTCTGTGGCCACTGGGAAGGCTCCTGAAGAAGCCAGCGTGGACCCTTCCACCAGAGTGTGCTAGCTGTGAGTTGCTCCATTGTCTGAGGGCGTGTTGCCAAGTCGGCTGGGTTATCCAAGGTTGGTACATAGCAGTACGAGATTGACGTGTGGGAGCGCAACACCCTAATTCGGTTCTGGACAAAGGTTGACAGGTCACGTCGGGAGGCCAGCCAGTGGAGAACACACTTGGAGTCCGTCCATAACGTTGTGGACGAGATCGGCAGATGAAGTTGGTCATGGAGAAATCGGGATAGTCGAGCACCGATTGTCACACCAAGTAACTCCAGACGCGGGATGGTCAACGAAGCAGTGCCGCCTGCATCGAGTTTGGGCATCGGAGCCAAGCGCAACTTGCTGTAGATGAGTCCGCTGTGATGCACCTCACCAACGGAGATCCGTAAATACGCAACAGCAGCATATACCTCGGCTGATGCGTCTGTGAAGATGTGTAGTTGAACATCTGTCGCGGTGGCAACCGGACCACAGAGTCGAGGGACAGGTAGTGACGTAGCGGTTGACATCATAGTCGAGATAGCTGCCCACCTGTCGGCCAGATGTGCTGGTAGCGGCGAGTCCCAATCGAGCTGAACTTGCCATAATTCTCTCAGGAGGAGTCGGGCCTGAAGAGTGATGGGTAGTAGCAGGCCAAGCGGGTCATACAGGCTAGAGAGACCGCTCAGGATAGTGCGCTTGGTGACAGGCTGAGACGGACACCGCAGCACCTTACTCTCTGGGATGGTAAGAACATCGGCATGTGTATCCCAGAGGAGACCGAGAACCTTGGTGCGACGGGAGGTGAGAAGATCATCTTCAGGGAGAGCGGCACGAACCACGGCCGAGCTGCTGGTCCATTCACGTAAGTTCATTGACGCCTCGGCAAAGATACTCTTGGCCTGGTCGTGGACGGGCAATGCTTCTTCATCGGTCCGGACGCCAATGACAACGTTGTCGACGTAGATATTCCTGGCAATCGTTTCAGACAATGGCGACGGGTGGCGCTGTAGGTGGTGGCGGATTGTGGCTTCCAATAGAAATGGGCTAGCAATTACACCAAAGGGCATTCTGCAGAACCGGTAAACCGCAAGGTTGTCCTTGGTCAGGTGAGGATTCGTAGCATCCCTGAGCCAGAGAAAACGTGTCACATCGCGGTCTTCCTTCCGGATACGCAGTTGAAGAAACGCCTTCTCGATGTCAGCAACAATGGCAACGTTGTAGCACCGAAAGCGCAGGAGCATACCACAGAGGTTGGGCAGACGGATAGGGCCCCGGTGCATGCATTCGTTCAGGCTTTTCGACTGCTTCGTTGTCTTCGCCGAGGCATCGTAGACAATGCGTAGCTTCGTGGTCTGTTTCGACGGCGTTATAACTGGCTGATGGGGCAAATAGTGCTGTGGCGCGCCCGTAGGCGGTGGGTTCGCGACAGGCTCGATGATCCCCAGGTCAACTTGCGATTGGATGACCTTGTCGTACTGCTGTCGGAGGTCGGAATCATTGGCTAAGCGACGGCACAACGTAGACAACCGGCCAAATGCGAGGCTATAGTTGGTTGGCAGGTCAGGTGGTTCCGATTTCCATGGCCAGGCCACTTCGTACCGGCCACCAGTGAACTGGATGTGGTCCTGGAAATGGCGGAGCGCCAGGTCATCAGCAGTGACGTCGGGGCAGTCGTGGATGCCAATCCGATCCAAATTCCACATCTCGGTCAGATTGGGTGTGAGTGTCGACCGCGGCGTGGAATCCATTACTTGGAGCTGATGGGAGGCAAGGCGTACAGCGGTGTGACACAGCAGTGTGGATGTTTGGCTGGAGTCATCATGTGACGGAGCACAGCAGCCAGTAAGGATGTAACCCAGACGCGATGGGAGGAGCAACAGACCCGACGGCAACACGATCCGGTCCTGTTGAATAATGCTCCAGAAGTAATCCGTGCCGATTAACAGGTCAACGGATGCCTTCTCAGATGTGTCTGGAAGGTTGTCAGCCAGACTAGAAGATAGCGACTGCAGGAACTGTCGGTCTTGATCAGGAATCGCACTGCGATGGACAGGGTCGGTGATTTTTGGCAGAACATGGGCTGTCAGAGGGAGCAGGGAGCCATCTTGTAGTGCCAGCTCGAAGTCGACAACATTGGCCTGTAGTCGCTGCGGCCCACTACTGGCAAATGTGGACACGTGCAGATACTCCGTACACCGAACAGGAAGTCCAAGTGACTCCGCGGCGGAACTTGTGAGAAAGGTACGTTGACTGCCGCTGTCAAGAAGTACACGAGCGGAAAGTGATTGCCCGCCATTGTGGAGTGTCACCTTGGCCGTCTGCAGGTAGACGTTAGCAGTAGAGACACCGTGACCGGAAGCTACAGTGGTGGGGCTTCCCGGAGGATCTGAAGCGTGCTCTGGCTGCTGACTACCGAGGGGAGGGTTGTGGACAGCAGCTTGAGTGGTATGCTGGCTAGCGAACAGTGTTGGACAAATAGACGCGTGGTGGCGGTTGGTGATCTGACAGTGGCGGCATGTCCGTGCCCGAGTGCAAGCAGCAGCTTGATGACCCTTGCCAAGACACCGGAAGCAGCGTTGTGTCTTGAGAAGCTGGGCCTTGCGGGTTTGCTCTGTGCCGTACGCCAGACAGTCATCATGACCGTGGTTACCACCGCAGTAGACGCAGGGTGAGCGAAATCCAGAGGGCTTTTGTGATGCACTTGAGTGACGCAGCTGTGAAGGGGCCGGCGAGGTTGTTTGCTGTTGCGCTGCTGACACCAATAGAGCACTTCCGCTAGCAACATGATCAGATACAGCGGTCATTGGGTGGTCGGAAAAGCTGGAGCGTTGTTGGGCACGCTCATGCAGGGTGACGTACCGTTTGAGAGCCTGCATCAGTGTCTTGACATCCCACACCATTGAGGCTTCAGAAAGAGGACGCCACTCCTCCAGCTTGGTGGTCACCTCGAGGGGGAACTTCGACAGGATCTGCTGGCTGACCAGGTTCTGACCACGGAGGTTTTCGCCCTGTGCCTCCAGCTGTCTGAGGAGGTTGTGAACGGTCTCCTGCGTGACCTTGATAGACGCCAATTGGGAGGACGATGGAGGGAGTTGTTGCAGGTGTCGGTAGAGCTTGGTGACGATGACCTCCGGCTTCCCATACTCCTCCCTCAGGGCTTGCAGGGCGATGGGATAGTTGTCGTTCGTGACCGCTAAGCCTGCAATCAAGCGGTTCGGTGGACCGCTTAACGCTGTGCGCAGATATGTGAACTTGGACACATCCGGAAGTGGCTGGGCGTCTACAGACGCAGAAAACATGTCCCAGAATGCGGGCCAGGCAAGTGTGTCACCACTGAAGGTGGGCACGGTCAGCTTCGGCAAGTGAATTGCTGTCACTGCTGGTTTGGCAGATGGTGGAGGAGGAGTGGCACTCGTGGCGGCACTACCCCCAGTTCGCACTGAGGTACCAGGCACCCTGGAAGAGGGTGATCGCTTCGGTTTACGAGATGTCCCGCCAGAAGACCGAGTGCCGGCGGAACTGGAACTGGACCAGTCGGAGTCACTGTCTGTATCTGATACGGGATCGGGTGTCATGGGAATGCGGAAGCGAAAATTCGGAGACGGGACGACTGGAGTGGCTGGAGAGCCAGTAGCAGGGACAGGACTAACAGCAGTCACAGGAGAGCTCGCAGGAGCGGAAGGTGGACCCTTGGAGTGGACCACCACTGCTGATGGGCTGAAGGATACGCTGGTCAAGGCAGCGGCTGGGGACGTCGTGGGGGAGGGCTGTGGGGCACTGGATCGACTCGAGTTGGCGATTGCCTCCAGTTCCGCATCTGCTGTGGCGAGTCCGGACGGGTTCTCCCTCTGTAGAACGGTACGTGCGTCCCTCAGGACTTCCAGGTTATTGTCGAACTCGAACTCCCACTTGTCGAGTTGCTCCAGGCGGTCCTCAACATCCGAGGAAGTCGCCTGTTCGGTCAGATCGCGGAGTCTAGCCTGTGTGGCATTGATTTCAGCTGCAAGGCGTTCAGCCTGCTGCCAATCTCGTAGCAGGTAGTGCGGTGATGGAGCGTCTTTGGCAAGCTCCCGGGTTAAATTGTGGCGAAGGCGTGTGAGTCGTCGCTTCGTGTTTGCCCTACACTTTACAAGCTGGGCGATAGTCTCCATCAATCTGGTCGGAATTTACTAAATAAACTGAGGAAAATCTCTGGTCACTAAAGCACCATGTCGAAAAGATTAGAATTCCCAATCTCTCGATTTATCAACACAGGTCACAAGTCCGATCTCACCTCTACAGGTGGCACACATCATAGGACAAAGGAGTCTGTAGTAATCGCTCTTTCCAGAATAATACTAGAGAACAACAAAACTGAAAACCACTCGTGTCCAAGAAACGCAGCATAACCCACCCCCGTGGGAGAAGAAAAACACATTCGCAAAAGCGCGCCAAACTGTGCTGCATGCACGTGCCTTGACAAGTACATGTACAGTCATGCATACGTGGGCCAGAACAAGTCATACAAAGCACGGGAACGTGGGCATGGAACTAGCGTTTTGTACTGAAACAAGAACAGGCACAAACATGATACAAATCGCGCGACAAGGTCGCCGCGACAACAACGCAAACTCTTGATTGTATCTTCAATACTCTTATAATTATACCAAGAAATGACGAGGGCGCAGGAGGAGAGAGACAAACTGGGTGAAGACAAAAAGGACAACGGGAAGACTCCCGGGAAAAGACTCCAAGAAAACAACAAAGAACAAGCAGTAATGAACCGAGGTCTGCGAGGACAAATCGTGACGACCAATCAGGGACTAATACGTACAGAACACATGACCAAGACCAAGACAACCAGACCACGGACGAATCACACACGACTCTCATTCCCAGACCAAACTAGCACTGCGCATGTACAGCATTCACTTGACAGTCACTCTCACACAGACGGAAGCACATCCTCACACTCTGACAACGCGTACTCTTGCATGCACCACATACCATAAACGTCACACATCACACCATACTCGCGTACACTTAGACCATATATGACATCAGACACTGGACTCCACAAGACAAGAACCAAATACAACGACATGCGTAAATCATAGTTGTAATACAAATAATTCGTAACATTTCAATCTGTTTGTGTCCTGGATAGTACGATACTGGTGTTGTGCCTGCATTGCTGGCTGCCATGCCACCCGGCCCGTGATTGTAACTCACATTGTAGGCTGTGTTGTGTGCTGTCTCCCTGCTCACAGGTTACTGTGCTCCCAGTGCTGGTGCACGCCGCCATAAAACTGAATTTCACCGACCAGTAGACGACCGCATATACTTTGCAGGTGAGCATGTTCATCAGCAACTCTCCAGCGTGCACACGGCTATGGAGACTGGACTGGATGCCGCCGAGAAAATATCCCGCTATTTATCCCCGGCCTTGTCAACTTGCAGTCAATCGGCCGGTGAGCGGTAACATGCGGTCGAGTTATGAGTGTTGCCCTGGTAACATGCAGTCGAGTAGTGGATGTTGCCCTGGTAACATGCAGTCGAGTTGTGAGTGTTGCCCTGGTAGCATGCAGTTGAGTAGTGAGTGTTGCCCTGGAAACATGCAGTCGAGTAGTGAGTGTTGCCCTGGCCTTGTCAATATGCAGTCAAAAAGCAAAATGCTGCTTTGGCTCCTTTATTTTGCCCTTGAGTGCTGGAAGGATGACTCAAAGTACTTGAAGTACTATCATACAAGTAGTGACATAGTGACAAATGAAATTCGGCCGACTAATGGATGAAGCAAAACTACCATTTGGTGTGACATGTGCCCCAGTGTTCAAAGTCATGCTAGCTGCGCCATGCAGCAGCAAGCCGCCGGCGTGCTCGGTAGTATACGGTTGCCTCATGATTTAGTATGCTGCTCCCCGTGCACTGTATCGCTGTAGTTTCAGCTGGCGAAACGCTTGTAAAATACTGTTTACATGTAAAAGGACTTTGAATCAACAAGCTTTTCTCTTTTTTTTTAAATCATGTCAAACGTAGCTGCGCCGGTGAGGCGCCCCTCAGAATTTTGAAACCTTTTCCGCTCTTCAACTTTTTTTAAATTAATAACTTATTCAGATTGGACGTTATCTGTCTTGCAAATACCGGCAGCCTACATGGTGCTGTGTGACTGGGCACTGCACGAGGAAGGAGCTTGAGGTGTGAACACTGCAATTTACTTTTCATATCCGCAAACTGAATAGTACACTGTGCAAAAGAATAATCGTGACATCACTGAGTACATTTAGTAGTGTTGCATTGGCTTTTGTGAATTATTTTATTCGTTTATATTTTTTATAGAGATCCAAAGATACTCCTCTGTACTGTGTAGCTAACACTGAACAGCAAAGGTTTGGTTGGGATAAAAATATCTTCGGTTGGATTGTGAAATCGTATTGACTGTGACCTGGTGATGCCTTCAGGCTGTGGACGGCCCATGACACTGCGCCTTTCATGCTGCACACTGACAAAGTGACACTGAGCTGCCACGGAGTGACGGCATCTCCCCAATACTGCAAAAGTCCAGAACTCAGTAGGTCAAGGAGACTCCCGTATACTGCTATTCATGTATACTACATACAATGTCATGTATGCCCGCCAAGAAGGCAAGAGTAGATAAACAATCTACTCTTGATAGCCTATGGACTAGGGCTCCCTAGCCAGGTTTCTGCTGGACGTGAGTCGCCAACTCGCAGTGTGCATACAGTCAGACCTCGCTTTTAAAACCGCACACATCCGTTTTCCACAAAATATCCGGATAGGCGAGGGAACCGGATAACCGAACACCGGTTACCGGGTATGTTGGATGCAATGCGTATGTTGTAAATCTGTAACCAGCTATTTTCTTCCGGATGCCGAGGGATCCGGATAAAGGAGGACCGGATAAGCGAGGTACCAGGGAGTAGACAAAATACCATAGTATCAAGAGTACAATACCCCCCCCCCCAGGCCAGGGATACTCTTGATAGTATTTTATGCACGATCATGTACCATGTGTCATGTATAATGACAATACCGGTAATTATTATGCACACATCGACATGCTTTCTGAGTTGTTGATTGGCTATCTGCATGGCTACAGTCACGTGCATGGTTATGTGCAGGCCGTGATAGTGCAGGGAGTATTGTACTACTCCCTATCCCTGGCCTGGTGAACACGATACGGTGACATCGATCAACGATGTGTGAATACGATGTTCGCTGCGGCCTGGTGACTTCATTTTTCGTTGTTCGCTCAGTCATCAGAATCATGTTGACTGTTGTGTTGAGTTTGTTCCTTTTGTCTTCGACTTGTGAGTTGTGTCAGTGAGATAGGTTTCCGGCGGTAGCCGAGTGGTATCGGTATTCTAGCAAACTTGCCAATAGTTTTTATGGTTTATGTAATTCTGTTCCATGTTCGTCGTAACCCTCAGAGCCTGGACGTACAAGTAGATCTACATCTTCATACAAGATTGAGTTGAGTTTTAGTCATGTTTATTTGAGACTTCTATTAGTACCATTAGTATTACAAAGCACTAGCATCTCCACCGGCGGGTAGAAGTAAACATGATGCAAGGAGTGGACCAGCTGGACCAACAGCTGAATGCGGCTACCAGCGGACTAAACCTGGAGGAAAGCTTCTGTATTGTAGATCGAGATTCTGCTATGCCCCCACCAACGGCAGCAGCAACTCTAGCTCAGCAGTCTTCGCCAGCCGTTGTACACTCTGCTGTTACCAGTGTCACAACTGATACTAGTAGCCAGCAAGGTGGTAGTGCATCGAGCATTGCTACATCGCACTTTGCTACAACTGCTCCCAGCAGCAATAGCCCCCAATTGTCTCGTTCTCAACCAGCTGTTGCGAGTACGGCTGGTCAGTCCAATGCAGTAGCTACACCAGCATTATCCACTGTTAGTACTCCACAGCGGTATGAGAATGTACAAGGTGCAGTATCTGCACACTACACTCCTACCCCGCCACCGACGTCCCAAACTGGCGGACCGCCTGCAGCAAGTGATGCAGCAAGGCCGCAGGGGCAGAGGATGTCGGCGTTGCGTGCTAAGCCACACTCTGAGCTACCCTCTGCTCTCAACATGACCAGTTACCCAGCGGCCGCGGCTACGTATAGTCCCGGTATGGCTGCGACATCGGCATCGTCGGTACCGGCTGCTCACACGGCCACGCATACGCAGGGCATTGGTATGGGAGGTCAGTATTCCAATGCTCCGTACACCCAGGCTACCAGCCCAACAGGCCCGGCGTACCCTGGTGCACCAGCCACTGGTACGGCTTCGATGGGCAGCCCCAATCCGTACGGCGCTGCTAGTGCTATGCCTCATGGTTACGATCAACAGCAGTTCTCATCACAAGGGGGATATAGTGGTGGACCATCAGACGGCACTGACAATGGTCTGTGGGGTTGGATGACATCAGCAACTAGCAGTGTGATGGAGTCGGCATCCAAGATGGTCAGTAACCCGGACATGCTGGTGGAAAGTGCGCAAAAGCTTGGCAGGAACATTGTTGACAAAACCAAGGTAAGTGGCATGCCAGTGTCATGCCACCGTTACATCTACACTGTGCAAGCTAGTGAAATGATCCGACCACTGGCGCATGTTAGTGCCCCGGCTGAAGCAGTCAGGAACTACACCTGTCACTCAATATCAGCTAGCACTGGGGAGTAAAAAAACACCCATATTCGCCGGTTGACACACTGACATCAATATGTACAATGGATGCTAGAGTCACGCTTCACCCAAGTCTGCCAGGGAATACCCATGCCGTACCAGCACACATGAAGTCCACAAGGGCTTGGCTCTGCACCCGTAAAGGACCATTTTATGGTCCGATATACATTTATACTAGTTACACACGCATATACACGAGCACAAGTTACCTTTTCGGCTTTTGATCCTGCCAAAAACGACTTTTCGCCTAAAAGCGTATGCGCTTCGTGCGGGGAGGTATGGTATGGTGCGGGACTTGCATTCTACCTTGCTGCGTTTGATTTCTGTTTGTCCCTGAATAATTTTGTTGCCACCTTTGTAGCCTGGTTGTAAATTATAATGCTGAGCACTTGTTGAGAGATGATGAAATCACCTTTAAAAGTCTGTCCAGTTACTTCGACCTTTAGCAGTTGGAACTGCTAACTATAGCACATGTCTGGCCACTCTGTTGCTTTCATTAAAGAGGTTCTGCAAAACGAAAATGTGCACGAAGTTTCGCGACGGGCCTTGCGAAAGTTTGTGCGAATTTTCGCACAAAATTTGTTCTGCACATTTTCGTAGTTTGCGTGCCGATCACGTGCACATGGTGAACCCGTTAACCACTTTTGAGCCCACGGAACTTACCGTACTTCTCACGAAAGTTCATTTCGCGTTTCATGCTTGTTTCGCGTTTCATGCTAGTTTCGCGTCCAAAGTTGCGAAAGCTTGTGCGAAGTTTCTCACTTCATGGCGTAGAGCGAAAGTTTGTACGCATTTTCGTTTTGCAGAACCTGTTTATTTGCCACTAAGGATTGTCACTTTGTGATGATGCTGTCACTGTGTGTTGTTGTAATTCTGTAGCTCTGAACTGTAGCTATGGTGTTTGTCACTATTATGTTGTCACCATTATACACCCTACTGTGATAGCCCACTTGTCCTGGCTGTCATTTCAAAAGGCTTTCGTCCATGGCAAGTTGCTCGAGTTGTAGTGTGCTTGTTCCTGTGGCATGACAAGACTTTGATGGTGAACTTTACCAAGGTTACCAGGTTGAAAGTTCTTTGGTTGACATAGAATTCTTCCTGTGTGATACTTACAATATCTGGTGCTCATCTTGCAACACTGTGACTTTGTGTGTTTGCAGTCGTCAGTGGATAATGTCTTGACCACACTGGACCCTGGCATGACGGGCAGTGGGTCTTCATCAAGAGAATCTGCCAATGGTTAGTGTATGTTCTACTAGTATGGTGTGTGTGTGTGTGTGTGTCTGCGTCTGTGTGTCTGTGTATTTGACAGTGCTGCACTTGCCGAATTCACCTACCAAACCAAAGTTCTTATTCACTACAAGTACTTTAGGGAGCATCTCATAAGTTCGCATTTATTTTGCAAACGTAACGCATTTCGAATAGACTTTACCCCCCTACCTCCCCCCTCTATTCGAAAGTTTTATCGCACATTTTCTGTGTTTATCTACTGTACACATCCATGCCCCATGCTATGGTATGCTTATGTACATGATTGTACATGTACATGTACATGAATGTTTTGCTAGAGCGGTCGCGAATGGCATACAGTAGTACCGCATTTACTGAGTACAAAGTATGTACAATCAATGACATGTACACGCAAATAAGCATAGTTCCTCCACAACAACTGCATGTACTGCTGTAAACGCTGGCCAGGTACATGGTTTGATCAGGCTGGTGTGACATTTGACACCTCTGAGTAGCCTGCATGCATGCAGTGCAAGGGTTAGCTGATCTGCAAACACAGGTAGATCTCCACCTAAACACACTCATTTGCTGCAGGGATCTAGCACTAGCACAGTAGATTGTACAGTTCCAGAAAATGTGCGAACAGTCATTTTTCTATTCGAAATGGCCGCTACCCCCCTACCCCCGTTTCGAAATGCGTTACGTTTAGAAACAAAATGCGAACTTATGAGATGCTCCCTTAAACTGTGTATGTCTTGACCTCACCGGGTCTGCAGTCCATTCATAAAAAGATGATATCCTAGGCCAGCTTTTGGCCATAAATGGGTCTTTTGAGTTTTTCACACGTTTTGGCAATCACCCATGGAATGCTCTTCCAATTATGTTTTTGAAGTCTATTTCTCCAAGAAGCAAGCCATAGCAAGAAAAGAATTACGGCCAGGTTTTGCCCCCAAAGCGCTGAATTGGGGGAAAACCATGAAAATCCAGGCCGTTCACTCCACTTGCATAACAGTACATTGTGCGGTTCGAACCCCAGTTGAGGTGTACTTTTTTGGACCCTTTTTCAAGTTTAAAATCTCGCGGCACTGCACCATGTACGCGTGTCCGACAAAATCACCGAATACGGGATCTCGCCAGAGCCAGCGCTCATCTTTTTTTCTGAATGGACTGTAGTGTATGGTGTTGTCTAAAGTAAACAATTAACAAGCATGTTGGTGGTTTGTGCCTTACACCATCAGCTGTGCATATGCCGGTAGGTTGCTATTGGCCCGTGTTAGTTCAGCAACTAACAAACCATCTAAATGGTGATAATTATGACCGGTGTGTCTACGTGGCTGTCAGGGCTGTGGCTCTGTGTCCGTATACATGTCGTGTATTGTACAAGTGCTGTGATACAGGTAATGGCTGCGTTGTAGAAAGTGAGACACTGCGTGCTGGTGTATGACTGTGATTGAAGTTTGAACACAGCTTGGATGATTGATGCTACTTTAAATTGGTGCAAAGTGTAGAATACTAGTATGCGGTTTGATACTCCTTGCATGAGTATGTCACACCATTGCCCATTTTCCCATTCTAGTGCACTGGGCGGGTGGTTGTTACGCTGTATACTGTACATGTGCTCATGTGTATACAGTAAAACCTGTAATGGCGACCACTCGGATATGGCGACCACTCGACCATGGCGACCACTTTTCCTTGTCACGGGCGCATTCAGGTTCAAAACACCTCGGATAAGGCGACCACTTGCTCAACGCGACCGACGACCACCCACCCGCGACCGCGTTGCACAATGCTAGTCATGTAAATGACTGTACGCATTGCATGGTGCACCAAGCATGGTAGATCTACACATCAGTGCAGGAAGTGTAGATGTACATGGTGCATGCACGACATTTGACAGGCCTGAGGCTGAGGTCAGTGAGGACCCCAAGCACATGAGTCGTGCTAGAGTAGCATAGGTGTGTGCACTCTGATACACTGATTAAAATGATGTATCACATGTGGATATGGTCACGTGACCCACTGAACCTGGATAAGAAGACCACCTGGCCACGGCGACCACTTTTTCTCGTCCCTTGACCTTGAGGGGTCGCCTTAGACAGGTTTCACTGTACTCTCAATCTCTGGACACCGTAGTCATAGCTGACCATTTTAACCATGTTAGGTCTCATGACTGGTGCTCCAAGTGACTCTCTGAACCAGTTGCAAAAATCTAGAAAACAGCAAAGCACACGTGTATCAGGCTATCAGCTCAAAGCATCATAGTGGGAGTGCTCTGTTTGTGTGGAGTACTGTGAGTTTTTGAGCTGTGTGTATATCTTGTGATTTTGAACTTCCGTTACTTTAGATCTATCAACACCTGGAGCTGCTCATAGTGAGTATGATTTCTGGATTACGTTTTTTCCTCTCTCTTTATTTGCTGTGGCAGTAGCTGCTACTGCTGTGCCTGTGCTGTGCTACTGCTGTGCATGTGATGCTTTTGCCGTGTCATGGCCATGGAGCTATAATTCTGCTAGTGAAGTAGTATGCACCTGTGCCAAGCAGCAGCAGCAGCAGCAGCAACAGCAGTAGCAACAGCAGCAGTAGCAACCAGTCTATAGAGTGTGTACATGTACAGTGAAACTTCAGTATACTCTAATTTCAGAAATTTTAGGTGCTCAGTATTTTCGGTATGAGGGCTAAAGGCCAGGTTAGGTGAACAGGTGACATCCATGTCACTATAATTACTGTAATTGCACAAATTTTCGGTGTACTTTTATTTTCAGTACTTTCGGTGCGTCTGTTTCATACCTAAAATTTCTGTCACCAATTGTTGTCTTTGCAGCCATCGCAAAAACAGAAGAAGTGTCCCACGAGAGTTTGGCTTTCACTAGTCAGAATGTAGTCAGAGCTGCAATGATTCTCAAAATGATATGCTGAATGTAGTGAGAGCTGCAATGATTCTCAAAATGATATGCTCGTTGGTTGGTCAGATGCAGGTTACTAGTACACGTAGCTATTTGCTCATTTCTTTTAATTGTATGATCATCTTCTTATGTACAGTCAAGGCCAAGCAGGTTATACTGGCATCTACAAAGCTACCTAAGATCGAGGCAATCAAGTGTGGATTTCAGCGCTGTTTCCAGACAGTGAACGTGCGTGGCTTTGTGTGTCCCAGTGGCATAGCACCACAGGTGTTTGGCCTGGATGCCTGCTATCAAGGTGCCCAGCAGCGCATCCAGTACTTGCGCTCCATGCACAGCAACGAAATCATTGGTGATGCGGTATTGATCAGTGTGGAAAACTGCATAGCAGAGCTTCTTCCTGGCTGGTAAGTGCATTACATTACTTACAGTGTTATTTAGTGTGTGGTGTGTTTTGTATGCCCCGTCCGCAAGCTGTCCATTGCTGCAGTCCCCTGTGGAAGTCACTCACACTGGCAGCAAGTGCCCACTGTTGGCATGGAAATGAACTTGTCTGCTGCATGATTTACGAAAGGAGGTACATGTACTTGTGGTGGACTTTCAGCTTTGTTTTTGTCTCGTCCCGGTAGCTGGTATTCATGGTACTCAGGGATTCTTCTTCTGTAGACAATGGATGATGTTTAGTTCCAACCCACTTTGTGCAACTTTATGAGGTAGTACTGTAGTACATGTATTAACAGTGATTTGAATGTGTTGTTCGCACCTAACGTTAGTAGAACCTGTGTACCAATACATTGCTGGTCACTTTAGGAACGAAACTGTTCTCCAGAACATTTTGCACCCCTTTGTTAATATAATATAAGCTGTGGATCAGGGACAATCGAGCCTAGAAATGTCTGCCATTGTGACTTAGTGGCGCGTTTCTTTGAGAGTGGATATCGGTCAGACTTTGTTTTACTTCTTTTAAGTATTTGAGTATCAACATTAACGCCTGTTCTTCCAGCAAAATTCCCCTGCTTAGACCAGGACATCAGTTTTCGTGAGGCAAATCAGATGACCTTTGGTTTTTGGAAAGCGTTTGGCATTAGAATTCACTAATTGTGGGATCTGCTCTTGCTATTGAAAATCTAACCACTATCCATTCTCAATGTGTGTGTCGGCGTGTGTGTGTGTGTATGGCTGTGTGATTGTGTGTGTTTGCATGGATTTGTGCTCATTTGTGCTTGCAGTGTATTCGACGTTGCATGCATAGTACTACTAGACCCATCCCGTGACATCGTCTTGCAGGCACTGACACAGCCCATTCCTCTACCGTCCCACTATGTGGAAACACTCCGTTCATCCAACCCACCGAACTATGCGCAGAGTGAAAGTGGTTTCTCGGTGAGATGGCCCACACTTCTGACAAAGGAAATGCCTGGTGCTGATCCTAATGATCCACACCGCACTATGACAGGCATGTCTCGTTATCGCCTCCTGGAAACCGCTGCAGCTACTCTGGCAAGATCTTATGAGCTACGATTGCAAAGGTACACGCCACCTTTCGCTGCCAGTGCTGTCCCTGAGCCTGTCAGTTACCAGCCACCACCACCATCTACTGCCACTGCCTTCTACCAGCAGCAGCAACACCAACAGCAGCAACAGCAGGCTGTGCAGCCAGGACTGCATGCCTCGAGACCTGCTCACCCCGCTATGCAGCCACCTCCAACAGCAACCACCCAGCAAAGCTACAGCCAACCACCACTACAGCAGCCGCAGCAGGAGCAGCCAGTACACACTGCATTGTCTCAGCATTCACAGCAGCAGTCCGCGCCTGCTGGTGCACCATTGGCACAAGTTGCTGGTCATACAGATACCACACACACACAGGTGAGAATATGTATGTGCTGGTCATACAGATACCACACAGTCACAGGTGAGAATACGTTTGTGCGTGTGTAGGTATATGTGCCCAGAAGCTTGCATCACATGTGGCAGATGGTGGGGTGGGTGGGGATTAAACCTTTGACCACCCGTTCTCCCTGGCTTGAACGTATATTATAGTACCTTTGACCACCCGTTCTCTCTGGCTTGAACTTTGACCACCCGTTCTCTCTGGCTTGAACGTATATTATAGTACCTTTGACCACCCGTTCTCTCTGGCTTGAACTTTGACCACCCGTTCTCTCTGGCTTGAACGTATATTATAGTACCTTTGACCACCCGTTCTCTCTGGCTTGAACGTATATTATAGTACCTTTGACCACCCGTTCTCTCTGGCTTGAACGTATATTATAGTACCTTTGACCACCCGTTCTCTCTGGCTTGAACGTATACTAGGCTGAACAAACTAAATGGCTTGCTTCCTGTATGTGTGTATGTGTACCAATTTGTTTCATACGGCTAATACAGATGGTGTCAAACTTCTTCCAGTAATCCATGCTGGGTGCAGCAACAATTACCCAGCCACTCGTTACGTGTACGTGGCTGTTGATGATTCGTGTGTCTTGGTGCACTCAGTTCAGATACAATGTAGGTAAGAACACCACCATCATCCTGACTGCATGCAATGGGCTGTTGCTGCTGCTGGTGGTTTGTTGTGGACTATCTGCATTGCTTCTACTCTGTACATAGTGGTGTGTCGATTTGTCCAGACTTACACGTGCATGCCACTATGTACCAGCAGTGTGCGTGTGTGCGCGTGCGCGCGCGCATACGTGCTATTAGCGCAGGATGCCACATATACACACAGATGTGCAACATGATAATTTCAAGCTAATTTCCTGATTCTGTACATTGTGTTAATATTCTCCTGCTGTCTGCCTGCCATAAATTGTCTGTGCCTAGTTGCCATACTAGCAGTATTTACGGTACCATGTAGTCCAGTTGCCTTACTAGCAGTATTTACCATGTAGTCCTGATTTTAGGTTGCCTACTACTGCACTACTCTTTACATAGATTCAGCCTAGTTTTTACCTTCAGACACATCCACAGTAGCTACTTTCAGCATGGGAGTCCAGTCCAGCAGCATATGCTGATGTTAGGCTACTACGCATTTGGATTTCTGTGCGTAATTTTTCATACTTCTATTAGCATTTTATTTTCCTATGCTTAATTTCTAACCCCGACTGCTTGCTGTTCAGTCCCCGGCCACTCACTCAACTGCTGCATGTAACTAGTGCCGCTGAACCCAGGACAGGACATTGAAGGATCCGACACACTACCACATAAATAGGAAGAACATTGACTATATCGATGCTGCTTTTCGCTCTCATGTTAGAATGTGTATGATTTAGCACGCGGCTGGGTCAGTCGCTGTATTGCTGCTGCATTGAGTTCAGAACAGACCACTGCAGACAGACCACTGCAGACCACTGCGGGTGTAGAATATGTGCAGGCTTGCATGTATTTTGATACCCTGCATTGAATTGCATGGTTTATGTTGCTGGTGTGATATCTACTAGTAAGCTGATGTGGGCAGCATAATCGTAACCAGTACTGACTGGTGCTGTTGGTGTGCTTTCTCATAACACACATTGTACTGCATACAAGATATGAAGCAATCCTGTGCTGTTTACATGCCTCGTGCACGTAAAATAACAGTTGGTAATAGCCGTTAGTGGAGTTGTCCCACTACACACATACTTGTACATTTTAGCAGCCCTTATCATCGCGGAACACCCCCGAAATGTATTAGAGGAGTGACGTGGGAAACGCAGCGTACATGTACAGTAAAAAGCTAAAAACCCGAGTGGGCCGAAAAAAATTGGTAACTGAAAACGACCATTGACAATAAGTATAAGGGATCGTCGCAAAAGTTTTATGTCGTCCCTGAAACGAACATGATTCATTTGCGGGGGGGGGGGGGGGAGGGGGGAGGGGGTGCGAGCCAAAATCGCAAGTCAACCGACACTGTACATATAACATGTACATGCATGCGATTTCCGTCGTCCAGCATAGCAAGCTGTGTTCGTTTCAGAGGGAGGGGAGGGGGTCCGAGTACGAAATGAACGATGTTCGTTTCAGGGACGACAGAAAACTTTTGCGACGACCCCTAAGAGTAGACAATTGTTGGATCGCTAATCTAAGAAATGGGTGTTCCGCTAGTAGAGGGATTGACGGCTACACCCCTTGCTAGGTTTAAAGATGTGTAATAAGCAGTAAAGCACTGGAATAAACTACGTGACTGCGCTCTATCTAGAGTTTGTAAAAAAAATATTAAAAACACTCCGCTGATAATCCGGATGCACACAGCACACTGTACGTCGCTAATACGTGCACATGGTTCATTAAATAGTTGTTGTGCCCTACAAACCTTGACTGTTCATCGTTCACTTCATTCCGTTTCTAATTCATACGGCCGCTTGGCCACTATTGCCCGAATGCAGGGAAGTAATCTTGGCCACTCTTGTCCAACTGCAGGGGAGTGATCTCTGTGCCATGCACTCGGCTCACTGATCGTCGATGCTGCCTCGCTCGCAATTTCAGCGTCTGAAAGGCATTCTTAGTTGTCAACTGCCAAAGTAATCAGTATAGCCTGCAAGCAACGCACATGCACACACCATGTACACAGGCATGCACATTCAGATGTATGATATGTGAGCACATTTGCACAGGGTCATGTACACACACGGAAAGTTTGAAACATGGGCCAGTAGCAGGCAGAAAGTCAAACACACACACACACACGCACACACACACAACCTGGGAAAACGTTGATATTGGTAGCCACAGCTATAGCCTGGTCTCCACCACATAGCCAGTGGCTGCTTTAGGCGACTAGAACTTTAAAAGTGCAATCATCCTCCGCCAGTACAAGAGAGGACACCCACACACGCATGCACACACACACACGCAGTTAGAAAATAAACAACTTTGCCACCTACCTGTCAACAGCATCGGACACGATTCCGTGCATGCCATGTTGAACCTGTAAATTGACATTCTCCATGACGTTGTTTGTAGCACTCCAGCTTAGCATAAGCATACCATGGTTTTCAATGGCATCCTTGATAGCAGCCGGATTATCAACTAAGACACTGGATTCGCATGCTAGCCCCTGTTTGAGAGCAGATGTGTCACACCAGCAGAGAACAAGAGACACCAGTACAAAACCATGATGTAGGCTGCAGTGTCTGGGAACGAGTACAGAAACAAAGCTCGAAACTTCGAAAACTTGGACACGAAGTTGCAGCGATTGGCGAAAGTCACTTTCTCTTTGCTCGGTATGCACTTGACGGTAGTGAGTTGTAACTTTACAGGCCATGCCCTGCTTGAGACTGAGCTGCATATACAGTACAGTACAGGCCATGCCCTGCTTGAGACTGAGCTGCATATGAGCCGCACCATGACAAAAGGGTGCTTATGGTAAAAATTTCACAAACTGAGTTATGGATACAGCTCAATGGCTGGATTCTCACTGCTTCTGTTGCAAAAACTGCATTCAAAAAGCTTGATAAAATCGCAACGAAAACTAATCGAATTCAAAAGAAAATGTGCACTCTCAATATTGCATACTCAACTTTCAAACGAGTTTTTCTCAGTTTGATGTAGCGTGCCATAACTTCCCCCATAAGCACCCTTTTGTCGTGTCGCGGCTCATATGCAGTACGGTACAAATGCGTAATATGTACCTTAGGCGCCGGTCACACATGCATGGCGCTTTTGCGATACCACCAAAGCTGCACCACAAAAGTTGGGATATCCCCGGATCACCATGGATACTGCGCCTGGCGCCACTGGCGCCACGGCGACAATCTCAAAAGCGCCACAACCAAAAAATTGGTGGCGAAACACAAAAGCGGTAGTGCAACTTTTGCGGCGTTGTCGTTGTTGGATCTCTTGGATCTTGGAAAAATTAGTTTTTCATCTCTCGTCATGAAGTGGACTGCTGACCAAGAGCAACTGCTCCTCTCCCTCTATTTCGAGGTCAACCATCCGACATGGGACTCGACTCAGGCGTCCACCGATGCTCAAGGAGCTTCCGCAAGATTCAAACGAAGAGAAATTGAACAACATGAATATTGAGGCAATCTCCATAGCTCTCCGCAGTCGCTGGTCACGACGTAGTCGGCGATTCTGGGCGTTTCTGCGATCCATACCAGCGCAGGAAAGGAATTTTGAGGCTACAGTCTTTTTCAGAGAAAAGTTTTACGACACCTGTGGAGACCCGTGAAGCTGCGTGCGTACCAAAGCCTTTGCATGTGTGACCGCCGGCAGAAAAGAGCCGCAAAAGCGCCCACTGCCAGCGTGTTGGAGGCAGCCGCAAAAGCGGTGTCGCCGCCTGCATGTGTGACCGGCGCCTTAGGCGCCGGTCACACATGCATGGCGCTTTTGCGACACCACCAAAGCTGCACCACAAAAGTTGGGATATCCCCGGATCACCATGGATACTGCGCCTGGCGCCACTGGCGCCACGGCGGCAATCTCAAAAGCGCCACAACCAAAAAATTGGTGGCGAAACACAAAAGCGGTAGTGCAACTTTTGCGGCGTTGTCGTTGTTGGATCTCTTGGATCTTGGAAAAATTAGTTTTTCATCTCTCGTCATGAGGTGGACTGCTGACCAAGAGCAACTGCTCCTCTCCCTCTATTTCGAGGTCAAGACAAGACACCAGAAAAAATGACAAGAGATGTACAGAGGTACAAATGGATTGTTGACAAGCTGAAGGAGGAGGATGTGGTGGTCGCCTGGAAGCAGGTCAAGGATAAGATCGGGCGCCTGAAGAAGACGGGCTCCAAAAATGTTAAACTTCATGTGCAGCCCAGAGTGCGCAGAAGCAGGCTAGAGCGAACCGGGGCAGCTGCTGCTGATGATGATGATGAAGATGAGCTGGACTGGGAAGAGATTCTCAAAGAAGCGAAGTGGCCACTACTCAAATATTTCTATGATCTGTGGAAGTCTCATCCCACTCTGGGACTGGCTATTTCCACTGATAGTGCCCAAGACACCAGTGAGGATGATGATGATGACAACAATGCTGATGATGCTGAACAGGCAGCTTCAGCAGAGGCAGCCAACCCCAGTGCTACGAGCAACAGAGCTAGTACAAGCAGTGATAGCAGTACTGCACACACTACTGGAAACAGTGGAACTTTTGGTGATGGTGACATAGATGATGATTTAGACCATGACGTGGCTGATGACAGCGAGGCCGATAGTTCTGATGGACTTCCACCAGCACGTGCTGCAGCACTTTCAGCACAGCCTGTCCTCCCATCTGCAGCATTGCCTGCAGCAGCACTTTCAGCGCAGCCAATCGTACCATCAGCAGCATTGCCTGCAGCAGCATCTACCCCACTGCCTCTACCGACGCAGGCAACAGCAAGGCCACGAGCACAGGCGCAAGCTCAAACTCGACAGGAGCCGCACAATGGTCGTGCTCGGCCTGCCTTGCCTCCCACACCACCGAGTCGTGTTGGCAGAAGTAGGACGGCAGCACCAGAGCAACAGCGCCAGCAACAGGACCAGTTCTTGGCATCATTTGGCAACATCATGCAAGCGCATACACAACAAACCATTACACTTCAGGTAAGCAACTGTTTCCAAAACTGCCTTTTCCAAAATAGATTCTGGAAATATGGTCTGAAATAGACAGGAGATTGTTGGCCATGTTCCTTAAAATTTGAATTCTACTGTAGTTTATTATTATAGATTTGTATTGGCTACTCGTTCATAATTGTGGTATCTACTTTACAGAATTGGAATTAGTGAGAATTCGCAAACAACTTGGCCAATGAAACATCACTAGCAGTCTAGCAGCAATACTTAGTCCTCTTGTGATGGTTATTTGTGTGCTTTGACCGCAGGCACAGCTACAACAACAGCAGCAACAATTTGAAGAGCGGATGAGAGATCGTGAGGAGAGAACGTCATCAGCCACACAACGGCAAAATCAGGAATTCCAGATGACTGTCCAGCAGTCAATGACGACATTCCAGGCCACACTTGTGAGCAACCTCTTCAATGGTCCTGGACCAAGGTCTTCCCGGAACGAGGAGCAGGACTGAGCTTGTTTTGTGATAAATCCTTTCTTCAATTTTTTCAGCCGTGTTCTTCTCTTCTATTTTTTAGGTGCAATTTAGCACGCTGCGGTTTTTCTTATACGCCTTCTGCACGGGCAAAACAATAAAGTTGCATTCAGTGCTTCTCGTTCACACAGAGCAGGTGTATAAATTCATCAATGGAATGGATTGTACTCAGTGTGGAAATAAGAGGCCAATAGAACCGTATTGCTCAAACAACAGGGTGATCTCGGTGAGTACGCCGCGCTAGCTTCCTTCTCACCGTCCAATCTGCTTGTTCGTAGTCATCGTGGGGTTGGTCATTTGGTCCTGGGTGGAACCAAGAGTACATAACCCCCCAGAGTGTGCAACTCCACTATGGGTGCTGTCCCGACAGAATTTCAAGTTGACGTCATTTTGATGATGCAATGCGCACTGTACACGGATTATCAGACGAATCCGGAACCTGTGGTTGACCGAAGCCGATCGGTCCTGTACAAATTATTGCAAAGAAAAACGTGTGATGCGTTGACACCCGTACACATGTTGTAAATCACTGCTGCAAGGAGCATTGCGTCATAAATAATGACGTCAACTTGAAATTCTGTCGGGACAACAGGGTATGTGGGAGTTGCACACTCTGGGGGGTTATGTACTCTTGGTGGAACTGATTGTACGTGGCAGTGTTAATTAGCCAAGTCGGTTCCATAGGACACTTCCATCTCTCGCAGATGTTGTGCAGACCGCAACAGACAATGGCCACATCAGCAGCGAAGTCGGGATCGTCGAGGTTATTGTGGACTAGCACACGGAATCGACCCTTGAGTCGCCCAAACGCCTGCTCCACTACACGCCTAGTCCGAATAAGCCGGTAGTTGAATGTCCGTTCATGTGGCTGAAGTCCAGCTGAGTCATCAAAGCACTTCATTAGAGTGGCACACAGGGGGAATGCAGAGTCTCCCACAAGGTAGGGCCGTATGTACGTGCCTTCAATTCGAAAGTTGTCTTGTATGGTCAGCCACTTTTGCTGGGAAATCCTGCGTAACATTGTTGATGTGGCATACGCACTGGCATCCCCAGCAGACCCAGGCCTTCCGGCATTCACGTTGATGAACATCCCGCACGCATCTACAGTGCCCAATAAAATAATTGAGCAGTACTTCTTGTAACAATAGCAGCAGTCACCAAACATGGCCTTTGGCTTTCGAATTTTAACAAATGTTCCATCCACGGCCCCTGCACACCTTTCCATTAATGATAGGGACTCGAATTCTGCCATCACTCTCTTCAGCTCTTGTCCCTCTGGGAAGCGAATGGAATTCGGCACCATGTGCATCTTCAGTGCACGCACAGTTTCATGGACTATCTTAACAGCGGTTGACTTGGCAATGCCATGCTGACGGGCTAGCTGCGAGTAGCTATTGCCGTTGGCAAGCCAATGCAGCGTTATTGCCAGCCGTTTGTGGCTCAGTACACACAACCTCCACTTGCTGTCCTGGAATGTAATATACCGGCCAAATTCCTCATGGAGATGCCAGAACTCTGATTTGCCCATTCGCACATGCTCCATATACTGTTGATCTTCAAAGTCGGGGACATTCCATTGCACGGACATTGTGGGATAATTTCTCAAAAAATCTTCATCCCATACATTGCCATCTCTGAGAGCAGCCCAGAAGCGTCGTTTTCTCTTGTATCTACCGAAGAGAAGGTCACGCATGTGCGGCAAACCAAACAGTGCCATCATCTGCATCCATACAGGCTGGGTGTCATCAACCATCCGACATGGGACTCGACTCAGGCGTCCACCGATGCTCAAGGAGCTTCCGCAAGATTCAAACGAAGAGAAATTGAACAACATGAATATTGAGGCAATCTCCATAGCTCTCCGCAGTCGCTGGTCACGACGTAGTCGGCGATTCTGGGCGTTTCTGCGATCCATACCAGCGCAGGAAAGGAAAGACAACAGTGATAGGAATTAAAAATGAAACAGCCAACTCAGTCAAAATGCAACAAAGCAGGTAACTTCCTGAAGAATTTTGAGGCTACAGTCTTTTTCAGAGAAAAGTTTTACGACACCTGTGGAGACCCGTGAAGCTGCGTGCGTACCAAAGCCTTTGCATGTGTGACCGCCGGCAGAAAAGAGCCGCAAAAGCGCCCACTGCCAGCGTGTTGGAGGCAGCCGCAAAAGCGGTGTCGCCGCCTGCATGTGTGACCGGCGCCTAAGAGAAAAGTCCTTTTTTTGCTTCGCGTTGCTAAACCTCACAAGGTTTGCTTTTTCGAAGTAAATTTTTGAGAGATATCACCGCCACCAAAAGTTCGAACTTTCGCGTCGCTATTAAACGTCCCCATTATGTAGCAGTGTTGTCTTAGGGGGTTTCCCTTCCAACCAGCTTTTTAGCTGCATACAGGGTCGCATGTCTTTTTCTTCGACGAGTACGAGACTTGTTCCCCAGCCAAGGCAACTGCCACTCTTGAAAGTTGAAAACGACTTACAAACGTTCTCCACTCTGGAAGTCCAGTTCTGCATGTAGCCCAGCACCAATACAACTTGTTTCTTGTCAGCAAGAACAGCGACAGTGAACAGTGCCAATACAACTTTCTTCGTGTCAGCAAGAACAAGGGCAATGAACAGTGCCAATACAACTTGCTTCTTGTCAGCAAGAACCAAACCTCCCTCGTGTGTTCTCCTCCCTGGCGAGCCATCAGAACCTGAATCCATTATTTTTGAAGCCATCACGGCAGATGTCGTTAAGAAAGCCGCAGGGAGGATGAAGGGGTCGGGCGGTCCGTCGGGCCTTGATGTGCAGGCATGGCAACGTATGCTGTCCTCCTTCAAGGGTGCGTCGTCCAACCTTGCTGCTGCCATGGCTGCTGCCGCGCGGAAGTTGTGTACGGATCAAGTCAGAGGTGCCGGATTGGAGGCATTTGTAGCAGCGCGTTCGGTGGCTTTGAACAAAAAGCAAAACCCCCGGTGTACGTCCCATTGTCGTTGGCGAAGTGTATTGCAGGATCATCGCCAAGGCTATTCTCACATGTGTCTCTTCTGACATTGCTGCTGCTGTTGTGCCACCGCATCAGCTATGTGTTGGCAATCCCTCGGCTTGTGAAGCTGCCACTATCTCGGTGCAGTCTCAATATTCCAGTGTGGAGACTGAGGCAATTCTCCTCATTGATGCGTCCAACACATTTCAATGCAATTAATCGCAAAGCTGCTCTACATAACATCAGCCACCTATGTTCTCCAATGGCCAACTTCATTGCCAATACGTATGGTGCACCCATCCCGCTATTTCTGTCTGGCGGCGGCATGATTTTGTCTCGTGAGGGCACGTGTCAGGGTGATCCCTTGGCAATGGCCATGTTTGCGTTAGCAGTGACACCTATGATTCGTGACCTTCGGCAACATCACGCGGATATTCAGCAGTGCTGGTATGCGGATAATGGCGAAGCTGGTGGTCGGCTGTCGGCAGTTCATGCGTTTTGGCGTGAAATCACCTTCCTTGGTCCACAGTGTGGGTACAATCCAAATGCTGCTAAGACTAAGTTACTAGTCAGGCCTGGATTGGAGGAGGAAGCAAGGATCTTGTTTGCTGACACACCAATTGAAATACAGAGTGATGGTGTCCGTTATCTGGGTGGCGCAATTGGCACGCAGGAGTACATCACTGGAAGTCTGTGCCGTCATGTGGCATTGTGGAGTAAGGAGGTACGTGCGTTGCCATTGTTTGCCAGGACGCAACCACATGCGGCTTACAGTGCTTTTACCAGAAGCCTGCGTGGGAAGTGGCACTATCATCTGCGATCCCACAAAGACCCAGAAGCTGCGTGTTTTGATGAACTGGATAGTGTCATTGGAAGAGACCTGATTCCGGCCCTCACTGGTCGTCCCAGCCTGTCGGATACTGAACGCAAACTGTTGGCACTGCCTGTCAGGTTCGGTGGCCTCGCCCTCCCAAGTATTGCCCAGGACGCCAGTGAACAGCGAAGAGTGAGTCTGAGGGTGACGCGGTCCATTGTGGACATGACAGAGTGCAAATCTGATGCTGCTCCACCGGCCGTCGTTATTGCTCAGGCAGGGGCTCTCCGCAAGGGTGAGCAGAAGTTGCGTGCGTCTGCATATCGTCAGTTGCAGGTGGACATGTCCTTGGGGCTGTGCAATCAGCAGAGGCTGCTGGTGGAATGTGTTGCTGACCCTGGGGTTTCAAGCTGGCTGACTGCTGAGCCCCTGGCTTCATCCTAAACAAGGCGGAGTTTGTTGACGCATTGTCAATACGATATGGCTGGCCCTTGCGGGACATTCCAAGCTCGTGCGTGTGGTGCGGACCTCAGCGTCGATCATGCGGCAACGTGCCCTACTGGGGGGTACCCCACTCTCCGGCACAATCCTCTGCGTGACCTGATTGCCGAGGCCATGGATGCAGCCATCCCGATGTGCGAATTGAGCCTCCTCTGCTCCCACTCGAAGGTGAAGCGCTCCCTGGTGCCACGACTAACCGACGTCCGGAGGCTCGTCTGGATATCTGTGCAAGGGGCTTCTGGTCTCGGCAGCAAGACGCATTCTTTGATGTTAGAGTGACTCATCCTTCAGCGTCCTTGCTGTTGAGAACAGAGGTTCTTGCTCAGCTAACCAGGAATGAGCAACAGAAGAAGAGAGCATACCTGCAGAGGGTAATACATGTCGAGGGAGGTGCATTCACGCCCTTGGTTTTTGCCACCAATGGTATGTGCAGCCAGGAGTGTTCACGTGCCCTGAAGAATTTGGTTGGCTTAATTATCAAGCATTCTGATTTACATTATTCAAGCGTTATGGCAAGATTGAGGTGCTGTATCTCTTTCTTGCTATTAAAATGGTTTGTAACGTGTTTTCGTGGATGCAGGGCTTCCTATTTGCGTCACCGAGCACGTTCCTCATTTCTCGATCAATGCCGCTTGCATGATTTGTAGGCTTTCTGCGTCGTTTGCAGGCATGCTTGGTAAAAGATTATTTTTCCTTGTTAATAATAACAACCTACTTCTTGCGTAGGGATGAATATTATTTATCCTACGCACGATGGGAATTCACCGTATTGCGTGACTGATCCTTTCAATGTTCTAATCTTTCAAGTGACTTTTCCTTTTCTACCTGGACTCCTCCTTGGTTTCCCTTTTCTCTCTAGCTCTTCTCTTGTACCTTCTTGCTATTATTCACTTAAATGTGGGGCTTTCAATAAAAAAAACAAATAAAAAAAAACAACGACAGTGAACAGTGGCAATAGTCCTATAGTGGAGAGTCACTGTACCCTGCTGCTATCCTAGTCTATATATATAGGGTTAGCCGGTAGCTTGTGGCCTGTGCAGGTGCAGAAGAGGACTGACAGCAATGTGCTTACGGGTAGGCGTTCGGAGTGGGCAAACGCGAGCGCTTCCATTAGCGATGCACACCTGATGTCATCGGGAACTTCATAAGAAGGTGCGTTGACATCGCTTAGAAAGATAACTGGGTAGAAACACTGCTTGCGACGCAAACTGTCAGCACCAACAACAGCAACACGATCATCATCATCAGTAGCAGCAGCAACAACATCCACCATTATAAGGATGGACACTTACTTACACACACATATTTTCCTAGCTTTAAGTCGACCTTTTCACGTCTAAAAATTGAACAAGAAAAGTGTGTGTGTGTGGGGGGGGGGGGGGGGGGGTCGACTTACAACCGGGAAGTAGTGGTTACTTCCAAAAATGACTTGCACAGCATACGCGCATGTGCACCATGTGTACGCATCTGTGCTACGATTCGGACGGTTCACCCTCAAACGAGAAAAGAAGTCTTTCTGTGATTGGTTACAATAAGACTGTGTTAGTAGTGCTGGTTGGGTGAAAACTTGTTTTAAAAAGTCGACCCCCACCCCCACCCCCACCCCCGTGTCCGGAGGTCTTATTGGAGGTCTTATTTGAAGTTATTTCTGTATTTTTTTACAACCGATTGTACACCCATACATGTACACCAGTTTTACTACGAAATCAACATGCAAACACATGCAAACACATGCAAACACATGCACACACATGCACACACATGCAAACACATGCAAACACATGCACACACATGCACACACATGCACACACATGCACACACATGCACACACATGCACACACATGCAAACACATGCACACACATGCACACACATGCACACACATGCAAACACATGCAAACACATGCAAACACATGCAAACACATGCAAACACATGCACAATTGAGACAAGTGGTGTCTACTTGTAGAGATAGGGCTAGAGTAGGGTCAGGGTTGTCAGGGGGTCAGGGTTGTCAGGGGGTCAGAGTTGTCAGGGTTGTCAGGGGGTCAGAGTTGTCAGGGGGTCAGAGTTGTCAGGGGGTCAGGGTTGTCAGGGGGTCAGGGTTGTCAGGGTTGGGCCACACTGTACGCATGAAGAGCCAGACCTAAGCAACAACTCACCATATGCAGGTATCGGGGCAGAAGGACGAGAAGAAGATCTGCCGCTCACCGGCATAGCGGAAGATCACATCGAGAATAGCATCCACAAACACATTGACGTCAAAGTATGCTTCGCACACATCCGGCTGCAAACAGGTGCACACCAAAGCCAACACAACGACGATGACGGCAAAGCAACAAAATATACAAGAAGAGCAATGGATAGTCCTAGATTCACACTAATAGAAATGCACACAGCTGCAAATGCCAGCTGACACAAGAAAAAATGGTGTGCAGAAGTAGATGTAGGTTACAGTATCCAACATAGCAGTAACACCAGCGGCCTAAATCCCTAGAAAAGTTCTTATTGGATGGAAGACTTGATTTCATGCACACCTCAAACTTGGATGGTTTTCACCTTCTCAGGAGAACAGCATACGTTAGCATACACATGCGTGCATAACTATCACTATTTTATCAGATCAACATCATAGTCTAGGATATCAAGAGAGAGAGAGAGAGAGAGAGAGAGAGAGAGAGAGAGAGCGAGAGAGAGAGAGAGAGCGAGAGAGAGAGAGCGAGAGAGCGAGAGAGAGAGAGAGCGAGAGAGCGAGAGAGAGAGAGCGAGAGAGAGAGAGAGCGAGCGAGAGAGAGAGAGAGAGAGCGAGAGAGCGAGAGAGAGAGAGAGAGAGAGAGAGAGAGAGAGAGAGAGCGAGAGAGACAGAGACAGAGACATGCACAATGAAAATAGAACAATGCAATCGTCTACAGTCCATTCACCCAAAAACTGGCACCGTAACGTTTGGTGCCTCACGTGGCCAGGTTTTACAAAGGTAGGACAGGACCATGTCAAACATACAGAACAGCAGGTCCAAACCCAGATTTTCGAATTCACGGTGGATTTTGTGCCTTAATTCTGCCGAAATCGGGCTTCCAAAAGCCAGCGGGACTATTTGGGATGAATGAACTGTACAAGAAATTAGTACAAGAAATTAGAAGCAGCTCAAAAAAACACTAGCAGCGGTTGCAAGAAGTAGCAGCGACCATAAGAAGTTAGCAGTGACTATAAGAAGTTAGCAGCGACTATAAGAAGTTAGCAGCGACTATAAGAAGTTAGCAGCGACTATAAGAAGTTAGCAGCGACTATAAGAAGTTAGCAGCGACTATAAGAAATTAGCAGCGACTATAAGAAGTTAGCAGCAATCCACAAGGCAGCGGTGGCCATGGACTGACTCGACATGAACGCACCACATATGCTTCCCGGGGAATGCGACGGTAACCCTCATGTCGCTGCCGCACGATGAGATGCGACACTACTCTATTTTGCTGCAGGCAAACATAGCGCAGAAAGCTGTGTGATTGGCAGCAGCAGCAGCATGTACATGTAGCTTTAATGCATATACGAATACCACTTGAACTAGCACAGCACGGGAACTGGCTGGCTTTTTACTAGTTTAGTAGCTTTAATGCATACAATACAGATAACCCCTCACACACATAATCATGCATTGTGTGTCACAAATCATAGCTAGGGTGATACAGTAAGGTGGCGACATCATAGCTAGGGTGATACAGTAAGGTGGCGGCAACATAGCTAGGGTGATATAGTAAGGTGGTGACATCATAGCTAGGGTGATACAGTAAGGTGGTGACATCATAGCTAGGGTGATACAGTAAGGTGGCGGCAACATAGCTAGGGTGATATAGTAAGGTGGTGACATCATAGCTAGGGTGATACAGTAAGGTGGCGGCAACATAGCTAGGGTGATACAGTAAGGTGGTGACATCATAGCAAGGGCGATACAGTAAGGTGGTGACATCATAGCTAGGGTGATACAGTAAGGTGGCGGCAACATAGCTAGGGTGATACAGTAAGGTGGTGACATCATAGCAAGGGTGATATAGTAAGGTGGTGACATCATAGCTAGGGTGATACAGTAAGGTGACGACAACATAGCTAGCTGGCAGGGAGCACATGGAAAACCAGTGGTTTGTGAACAAACTGAACTTATGCATAGGCTGCTGCTGCTGCGGAGTGGCACTATAGCTGCACTACTGTAGTACAGAGTGGCACTATAGCTGCACTACTGTAGTACGGAGTGGCACTATAGCTGCACTACTGTAGTACGGAGTGGCACTATAGCTGCACTACTACTGTACTACTGTAGTGTACACTGCCTCACTGTACAGTGTAGTTGGTAGGCTATGGTACCGTACCAACTACTTGGACTTACCGGGTCACAAAATGTCACAGGATACTTCAGTTCAATATCAAATCCAATATTGGATGGCGTGCGTTTCAACACCTACGAAGAGTAAAGAGAAGAGCAAGCAAGCCAACATGAAGTGCACACATGTACTCACGTACACACACATACATACATACATACATACATACATACACACATACACACATACACACACACACACACACACACACACACACACACACACACACACACACACACACGCACACGGAGCCATCATGCTCAACTATCCTGAGTGTTGTTTTTACAACTCAGGTCATGTGTTGACCAGCCTCCTCTCAAGCCCAACTGTTATGTAATACAGATCTCCTTTGCACATGCAACTGCTGTGTAGTGTCCTGCAAGTGCAAGGCTGTATCGCACAATACACACGCAGGCATGCACACATACACACACTCACACAGAGGCATGCAGATGCAGACACACGTGCATGCACACACACACACACACACACACACACACACACACACACACGCACGCACGCATACCTCCATCCTTCCTTCACCCACTGCCACAACTGGCTATGTGTCCCAGACTTGAAGGGAGTGCTGGCTTCGGGACGTGGCATGAGTTACTGCAGGTCCGGCGGAACGCGAACAGGCTCTTTACTGCTTGTTTCTTGCTGTTTTCGGAGCGACGGGAAGTGCAGCTATGTCTAGCGATGTTTTGGCAAGCGCACACACACGCGTACACACACACACACACACACGCGCACACACACACACACGCGCGTACACACACACACACAAGCACACACGGACACATACATCAGCACTATCGCTTACTTCTTCGAGCGTTGGAAATAGACATGGCAAAGGTGCAGGCGAGGCCGCCTGCACAGGCAACTCCAGATCGAGATGAGCTATACTGGGAGACACTGACATAAGTGCCTTCTTGTCCGCTGGTGGCCGATAGCTATTATCAACCTGTATACACAGCACACGTAGTGGAGAACAGGGGAGACATGGTACATTCGACATTACTTCAATCAAGCATGCATTCATCACATTGTACATTGTAGTACAAATGTGGCCAAAGAAATCCCACCCATGAGCCAAAAGCATCGCCAAGGCTCATGCAGCCCCTGCAGCCTGCGGATGGGTCATTATGGTACTCTGCACACTGTGTTTTGAACCGTGCATATGATACAATTGAAGTGGAAACACGGCGCTGCTTTAGACTCGTGGGTCGGATTTCTGCGGCCAAGACGGTACATTCCCTTGCCAGTTGTGTTGTACTGTACTCAATATGATTAGGCTGTAGACTACGGACACACAGCGAGGACACACAGCGAGGACACACAGCGAGGAGTACTACAAATTACATGCACAGGCAACCAGCGATCCACACACACAAACGACACAGGGGTAGGGAGCACATGCCTCGCAGAACCACACAAACTTCCAATTACAGCCAGGGCCAGCCGAGGCAGCTAGAACAAACAGCTCAATGCTCCAGGGTGCAGAGCGGCGGTATACAGTGACCATACGCCAATAGAGTGCAGTGTGAATTGGTAACTTACACTAATAGCTTGCAGTGTGGCTAACGTGCAGTCCTGTACTCGTACCTCATGCCGCTGGTCAGACTAACAGTAAGCAGAGTGGTATCAAGAATAGAATTACCACCACACCACCACCACCAGCAGCATCAACACCGCCACCACATAAGCATACAACATGCACAGACACACAGACAGAGGCAAAACACACGCATACGCACGCACGCACGCACACACACACACACACACACACACACACACACACATACACACACACACACACACACACACACACACACACACACACACACACACACACACACACACATGGAACCAGAAGCAGTGAGCCAGTACATGTATCTCAATAGACAAGGTTCACAACGAAACATTTAGCTCTATTCTTACCCGCTACCCCTATATACCCCTACCCCTTCTATTCTTACCCGCTACCCCTATATACCCCTACCCCTTCTATTCTTACCCGCTACCCCTATATACCCCTACCCCTTCTATTCTTACCCGCTACCCCTATATACCCCTACCCCTTCTATTCTTACCCCCCCCCCCCCACACACACACATGGTACACACACATACACACACGCACCTCGGAGTCACTGGATTCAATTACTTGATATACATATTCAGTACCAGCGCTTTGGCCGAGTGGTTGTGGCCTTGCCTGCGAATCACAAGGTCCCGAGTTCGAGACCCGCGCTGGGAGCAGGGAGCGTGTACTGTGCTAGCAAATGCGGTGATGCATGCGTGAACCACTTTACATGCAGTGAACTGCGCCAACACCCACGGTCAACTGGGTACTCACTACTCGGAGTGAGGGTAACATGGATGCAGCTAACGAGGTTAGCCCCCTTGTCGGGCATTGGTTGTGAGACTTACCACCTCACCCTCGCCGTTAGGCGCTGCATCTGCCACCCTGGTAGCACAGGCATGGTGGTGGCCTGGCACATGCGAAACTTCCTAAGCTGGTTGTGTTTCTCAACGCAATCGTATAGCCGGTGGTAACGCGGACGTGCAAACTTTACTTTTTTTACATATTCAGTTATTCACAAATGGAAAGTTACATGTATCTATCTGTTTAGCACAGGTGAACTAGCCACGTACCTGGGAATTAGCTGCAATGAGAAAAGTGAAGTCGTGAAAAACAATGGGAACCAAATCAGAGGACAGCTGCACATCAAATTCAACCATGTCTGCTCCCTAAGCCAAACGGAGAGGAGAAGAAGCATGATACACACCTTGGATTATAGCACAACATCAAAACTACAAAACTCACACGCCTGTTGAAGTTGGTGGTATGTGACAAGGCCAGATGATGCTGCAGCAGTGGTGAAGGACAGCAGCACTACAACTATGTGACAAGGCCAGATGATGCTGCAGCAGTGGTGAAGGACAGCAGCACTACAACTATGTGACAAGGCCAGATGATGCTGCAGCAGTGGTGAAGGACAGCAGCAGTGGTGAAGGACAGCAGCACTACAACTATCACCGCTAACTCTACTTCAAAGTATCGGTTTGACGAGTATGACCAGCTGCTGGTGCTGCATACCTCCCCATGGACAAGCAAGGTACAAGCATCGATTGCAACAGCACTAGCTAGCAGAGCAACGCACAACGTACATGTCTCCCAGCGGCTGTGAACGATGAGACGGTGTTTTCCACGTGTGAAGCAGAACTAAGATAGGATCAAAGCAACATACAGACAGGTACATTGAAGTGACTCAATAAACTAAGCAGGAAAGTGTGCATACTGAAGGTTAGTGTGCGTAGCGAAGGTTAGTGTGCGTAGCGAAGGTTAGTGTGCATACTGAAGGTTAGTGTGCATACTGAAGGTTAGTGTGCATACTGAAGGTTAGTGTGCATACTGAAGGTTAGTGTGCATACTGAAGGTTAGTGTGCATAGCGAAGGTTAGTGTGCATAGCGAAGATTAATGTGCATACTGAAGGTTAGTGTGCATACTGAAGGTTAGTGTGCATACTGAAGGTTAGTGTGCCCAGCAAAGTTTAGTGTGCATACTGAAGGTTAGTATGCATACTGAAGGTTAGTGTGCATACTGAAGGTTAGTGTGCCCTCAGTCATTTGGTGTTCACTGACTACTGTAAGACCACTATTGTTAACAAACACTTACAAGTAATTCAAGTAACAAATAACTAATTCAGATGATTCGTTAAATTTTGATTTTTGAAGTCGTTATGTTCAAAATCAAAGTCCATGTACACACTGTACAGTCATTTACCGGTTTTGGCAGCCAGAATTCGTCAACATTTCACCTCATTAACCAACAAAAATCCAGAGAGCGCTAACTAGAATTGACCTTAACGTAATACGTGGTCTTCCAGTAGACACCAAGAGATTGCGGGACTAACTGTCAGGGAGCATAAGCATAACTAATGTAATAATTATGTTATGACTCACGAGAGAGCTAACGAGATGAAGAAAAGAGAGAGAGAGAGAGAGAGAGAGAGAGAGAGAGAGAGAGAGAGAGAGAGAGAGAGAGAGATAGAGAGAGAGGAGAGAGAGAGAAGAGAGAGAGATAGAGAGAGATAGATAGAGAGAAGAGAGAGAGAGAAGAGAGAGAGAGAAGAGAGAGAGAGAGAGAGAGAGAGAGAGAGAAGAGAGAGAGAGAGAGAGAGAGAAGAGAGAGAGAGAGAGAAGAGAGAGAGAGAGAGAAGAGAGAGATAGAGATAGAGAGAGAAGAGAGAGAGAGAGAGAGAGAGAGAAGAGAGAGAGAGAGAAGAGGAGAGGTTGGATCAGTTCGGTACAGCATAACGGTAATACTGCGGCCATAGACTAACTCTTTCTGGAGTACGGTGGAAGCACCCATTCCACGGTGGCCTATGCGATAACACCTACTCCGGTCCCACGTGCAGCTGTGCGAAGTAGACAGATCATGGGGCGGCTTGGATAATGCGTTTACAACCAGACAATGAACTGCAGAATGGAAGATAGGGAACAAAACCAACAGCAACTGTCTATAATATAATAAAAAGCCTTAAAAAGGTATCTAAAAATGGTATACAAGAGAGAGATTGTAAGCTGTGTCGCAACTCTGAGTTTCACATATTACTACAATCATCAGGCAGCAAGGATGTGTAGAAGACTCTGCCCTATATGGGTATTGAGCACTCTTCGGACAGTGGAGCACGCTACTTGATTACATAAAAAATAGTACAGGTGGAATCCTGATAATTCGAACCTCAAAATGCCAGGAAAAACTTCTAATTATCCGGACATTCTAATTATCCAAACATGCACCCACAACACAATATGTATGTCAAAATGCTCCCATGGTCAAGCAGAGTTGCGCTATGGACCTTAGACACAGATTTCACGGATACTGAACTGACCGGTACAGCCTGCTCATGCAAACTGAACTGACCAGTACAGTGTACAGTGAACTTTGAATTACACTTTGCTAACTTCGAATTATCAGCACAAATCCCACACATTTTCTATGTAGAGGCAGAACATTTCGTCGCTCAATAATTTCGTCCAACTCCAAAGAAAAGGAGTTCGTCCGGTTGAAAATTTCGTCCATGGGTCATAAGAGTGTATAGAAACGCTGGACAAATCGATATTCGTCCTACATTTAATTTAGTCCAAAAGCTCCTTGGACGAAAAAGACGAAATTAAATTCCAGACGAATATTTCTGCTTATACAGTAAGTGGAATCCGTGGGACTTCTAATTAACCGGACATGTCCAGTTCGAGGTTCGAATTATCAGAATTTGTTTATGTGGGAATCGTATTGACAGAACTCGGTCCTGGAAAAACTTCTAATTAAGCGGTATGTTCGAATTAAGCCATATTCGAATTATCAGGATTCCACCTGTATACAAATGCTCAGGCCAGTGTGAAACGGCTGATGAAAAGAGGATGGGATAAGTGAGGTGCGCAGTACAACTGTAAATACAAACAGGCAGAAATTAGTTACACTATTTTGAAGTACTGTATAAGCAGAAATATTCGTCTGGAATTTAATTTCGTCTTTTTCGTCCAAGGAGCTTTTGGACTAAATTAAATGTAGGACGAATATCGATTTGTCCAGCGTTTCTATACACTCTTATGATCTTTGGACGAAATTTTCAACCGGACGAACTCCTTTTCTTTGGAGTTGGACGAAATTATTGACCGACGAAATTTTCTGCTTCTACAGTACACAAAGTCATGCGTACATGACATTGTACTTACCTACCAACGAACCAATGGCCATCAAATGGTCATTTAGAAGTGGCACAACAATGCGCACAGTTGTGCCCTCGCCAACCTGCTCAGGCAGAATACAGCCAGTGCCTATCAGCTCCTCGCCATCTTCTGCTGCTGCTCCGGCCGCGGGACGGTAGCGTACACGCAACTTGAAAGCCTGTAAATAACACCAAGCGAAGACCAACGGAATGATGAGCAAGTGAAGATCAAGATCAAAGGAATGCTGAGCGGCAACAACAGAACACGTATCACTAGCAACAGCAAACACAGCAGCAGTTGGAAGCACAAGACTACTGAACTACACATGACTAGCTACACCGCACAGCATTCACACATACACTTGCCCATGGGACAAAGGTATGTACTTGCTGGGCTATTTCCAAGTGTGTTTGTGTATTACTGCAGTCAACCAGTCAGTGTATTTTCACTTACATGATGTGCCAGGTCTCTAGTTCGTGTTGAGAACACTACAACATTGTCAATGCTGTAGTCTACCCAGCCACTAGCTGAGTGATTAGCTGGTGCTACATGACTGCTACATTGTCCAGTGCTTGATACCAGTGTCTGAATGGTACAAACACACACAGTACACACTGATAATGAAGTCAACACAAAAACATACAGTCACACCCAGACACACACCCAGACACACACCCAGACACACACCCAGACACACACACACACACACACACACACACACACACACACACAAACACACATGCATGCACACACACACACACACACACACACACACACACACACACACACACACACACACACACACACACACACACACATACACACACACACACACACACACACACACACCATGTACCACACAAACACACACGCACGCGCACACACACACGCGCGCACACACACACACATTCGCGTGCATCCCCAAAAACTCCAAGATCAGTGGATACCGACACGGGTATTAGGGTTGGTCAAATATAGATGAATTCAGCAATACTGAGGAACGAAATACTTGAGATCAGAAGAGAGGGTGTGTGTATGTGTGCGCATGTGCGCGCGCACGCGCGTCTGTGATTGGCTGAAGAGAGCACGTGTTGGCCAGTTTAAAATACCACATGGAGTGTGATGGGGAGAGCAGGGACAGACCGTGTTTACATTTTACCTTCGACTCAACTGGCGGGCATGCTGCTTTCACATCCACATCATCCTACAGTCCATAGAAACACAGTAGGTAAGACAATCACTGTATTAGTATTATGCATGAGACACTCACTGCATTAGTATTATGCATGATGCCAAGAAATGGTCAACTGCTAACGAACAACTGGGCTCTAATTCTTCTAAGGGTACACGTAGATGTTCTTTCCTTTCAGCTTCGTTATTCACTAGTGGTCACAGCATGGGTCTTAACAGACGTTCAAAGGTCTTGGACAAACTACTCACAATTTAAACAGTGACATGACAAGTTACACATCACTAGTATCTGACAGGATATTGAGAGTGGGGGTGCACCTGCTACTACCAGCATACTATTTTAAACAGCACATCAGGCAACTAACCAGCATCCGTACATCAGGGAACTAACCAGCATCCGGCACCTGTCCCACCGACCAACTGCCTGTTGGATTGAACAGCCATCGGCTGCTGGTTCGGAAATACTAGCAGGGTAGAATACTGTTGTGTGTGTGTGTGTGTGCGCGCGTGTGTGTGTGTGCACGCACATGTGTGTGTGTGTATGGTTGATAATCGGGTGCATGATAACCCTACTACCCTACACCACAGACACGCAGTTTCCAACAAGAGACAAGACAAGACAAGACAAGACAAGAAGGGGAATCTAGCTCAACTTACCGAACCTCTCGGTGAGTACCAAAACGGCTCAACTTGCAACGAACACATACTGCCACCGGAAGAACTGTCCACCACACTTGGACAGCCAGCAAAGGATACCGGTGCGGTCAGAGGCTCCAGCTTTTGCCGGCAAACTCGTATCTGAATCTCCGAGTGGCTTGTCATGAAGCCTCGATCTGGATGAAGGCTAGACCCATCTATGTCGTCGAAGCAAACCAAGTCAGACGCACAGTGCTTCGTAGTCTCAACAGCAGCAACAGCAAAAAGCAGCAGCGTCCCAGGAACTAGCACATCTCAAGCAACTAGCACACAGCAGTACTGAATCTGCAGTGCAGAACAAGCTATGGCTTTTCTGTACAGAGTACTACTAACATAGGAATTGTCAGTACGGAGGGGAGACTGGTGTATCCTGGCATGTTCTTTAAAGCTTAACACGCCCCCTCTCGAAATATTCTTAGAATAGAATCAGCGATTTTGTATGTCAATAGTCGGGCCACTTTCTCTATGTTTTCTTAGTGTGATGAAGGCTTATTTAAAAGCAATTCCAGCATGGCATAATCTTAAATTTGAGCAGCAATTCCAACCTGGTCGTTCCTACAACGAGAGAGCTTGGAAGCTCAGGGCCCTACGCTATGCTTTTTTGCCTTGATGACCTAGACAAAAAAAAGCATAGGGATGTTATATATTCTTCAAAAAATTCCTTTTTTTTAAGACATAACCTGGGATTCGAACCCGCACTATCGCGCGCCCTGTATGCATCCCCCGATACACTTCGCATACATACTAATTCTTCCAAGTTGCTTCACGTTATGATCTTGCATTTGAAAGCCCTATTTGAATATGCATTGTGGCCAGCCGTCTTTGATGGTACGGTACGGGATAGGTACGGGACAGGTACGATCGAGGGTAATACGACACCTTCTACCGCCTTGATGACGGCAAAAAAAGCATAGGAATGTTATACATTTTTCAATTCTCCTATTTTTTCAGGCATATCCTGGGATTCGAACCCGCACTATCGCCCTACATGCACTTCGCATTCATACCCATTCTTCCAAGTTGCTTCACGTTATGATCTTGCGTTTGAAAGCCCTATTTGAATATTGCGGCCAGCTCTATGTGGCCAGCTGTGTTTGATGGTACGGTACGGGACAGATACGGGATAGCGCCAGGCGTGACACAAACAAACAAACAAACACACAAATATCAAATTAAAGCTGTGTGGACCCTGGCTAGCGCCAGACGTTACTGAAGTAACGTCTTCTGCATAGCTACGGGAATAAATGTCCTTAGATTCCCGATGCTACGATAACCTGGAGCCCATTAAAGTGCATGTAACTGCCTTCCCCATGTTTCAAGACTTGCAGGATAGGCAACACTGTACGAAGACAGCCATGGACAGGTGTATGCATGCTTGATAGTAAGGAAGCACGCATAAATAAACTTACTGCTATCAAGACCATATTTGTCATTGACTTGTATTGGATCGTCTACAGGAACAATCACAAATGTAAAAAGCAAACTCAGTATGCTCTACGGTGTAAGATTAATTGCTATTACACGCATAAATGCTATTACACGCATAATTGCTATTACACGCATAATTGCTACACTGTACTAGTACTTGCTCACTGCTATGACTGGTCACGCGAGTCTCCTCCGAAGAGGGGAGAGAGATACAAAAGGAATCTTGAAAAGATGACTCAATTGGCTATTGAACCGCCCACACCAACAAAGGTAGCAGGTACAACATCACACCTTCAAGCAGCCGAGCCCGTTGCCAACACACCCAACACTACCTGGCATGAGTGCACCACCAACCGAACTAGCTGGTGCATACTATACACGCCCGCTAGCGGGCAGGCAGGCACGCACACACACGCACGCACACACACACACACACACACACACACACACCTTTTGACGCCCATCGTCGGAGGTGATGATAGCGATGCTACAGCAAAAGCCATTGCAACTTGTGCTGGAATTGCACCATTCAGCAGCTTGCAAGGCTGAAGAATCGACCGCCACTATTCAGCCTGGTCTACATGTACACCACACAGCTATGAAGTGGCTTTTTTCTGGCCAGTGAATCCCTACTTTTTGGTCTTTTTCATTTCTTCTTGCACACACATCACACCACACACTCCGGCATGCACTGGCAGTTGGTAACTACCCAGGAGAATGAAAGAAAAGTCAGGAGGAGTCTGAGAAAGAGAAGAAAGACGTGTGACCGTAATCGTCGGGATTCGAACCAGCAGCCTCTCGATTGGAAATCGCTGCACATACGACTCCACCATATGCGACACACACACACACACACACACACACACACACACACACACACACACACACACACACACACACACACACACACACACACACTACACACACACACACACATGTGAGCGCCAGAAACTCACTGCAAGGCTTGATAACTAGTGAGCGTTGGACAGTTTCCCATTCCTGGACAACTGGTATCTGGTCGGCAGGAGAGCGAGATGAGCGGCATGTAGCCAGGGATGTTTGGGCGACCACATAACGATAGCCATGTGTACCAGTAGGGAGCTCACAAGACAGCGTCCAAACACCACTGTCTTCAGGTTTTCTACATACATAAACAAACACAACAACAGAATGGCAGTCACCAATAGTGCAGTAGGGAGAGAGAGAACAAGACAAACTGAACAGGGAGGAGAACCAAAAGAACAACAACAGCAGCAAGAAGAAGAAGAAAGAAAAATGTTCATGGAGAAAACAAAGGCATCAGGAACAGCAGCAGCAGCAGCAGCAGCAGCAGCAGCAGCAGCAGCAGCAGCAGCAGCAGCAGCAGCAGCAGCAGCAGCAGCAGCAGCAGCAGCAGCAGCAGCAGCAGCAGCAAGAATACAAAAAGAAAGGGCAAAGATAAGAACAGCAGCAGTGGTGGAAGCAGCAACACAAGCACAGCATCATCAGCAGCAACAGGAATACAAGTAGCAACAGCAGCAACAACAGCAACTGAAACAACAGGAATACAAGTGGCAACAGCAGCAGCAGCAGCAGCAGCACCAGTAGCAGCCGTAACAATAATCGAATGACAAAAACAAAAAAATGCACACCCAGAAGATAATATTCCTTGACTGCACATAGCAGACACAGCAAAGGGCGTTTAGGTTGGTTATAACTCCGAGTGTCCGAGTGTTCATGCCGCAAGGCAATAATCAAACAACTGATCCTGGGGTTCTACCCAGCAGTATGCTTATAAACATGTAAGGCCACAGGCATAACACATCTAGCGCTGAGTGCATGGCGCTAAGTCTGGCAGCGTCGGATTGTGAAAAAAGGTGCGGGCGGAGGCGTTGGGGCGACACCGGGCAACAGGCGGGTGGAGGTGATAGGAGGATGGCGGACAACAGGCTGGTGAGAGTGTTAGGTCTTTGAGTGACGGGTGGACGTGAGCATAGTGTAGCTAACAGCAGGGGAGTGTGATAGTGGGACGTCAGGTAAAGTGCAGTATTTTATCAGTTCATCATTTCATATTTATCCCTTGACTGTACTAAACACCTTCAGCGACAACGTGCTTGTTACGCTGTTGTGCTAATCCAATGTGCCAGCTACGTGAAAACCTTAGCAGCTCAAGAATGAAAGGCAAAAGAAAGGCGTCTAAAAGATTCTGGTGGCAAAAGTAGCTGATGAACTGACTCATTTTATTTTTGGTGAGAGGCTATTATGCCCCGGCACAAGAAATCATCAGCTGACAAGTCAAGTGTGATTTCTCTACTGGACCAGAAGATTTCGTAGAGTTTAGTGTGATGTGTACTGCTAACTACTGCGCCGCCAGTACATTCTTCCTAAAAGATTCCTCTCGCCTGATCTTCTCATGGCTGTTCACCTGCTGCAGCTGCAATCAACACTGTGCCGTTTTCTCTTGTGCTATTTAGCACATAGCTTTCCAGCTTACTGTCGTGTGCAGTCTATCGCTGGTCACAGTTTGGTTGTATTGTAAAAAGCAAACTACATGATAGCACAGTACAACTCCCTTTGGGACCGAGCACTGCCCGTTAATAGGAATTGCCCGTAAATCTGAATATACAGTGAAACCTGTCTAAGACAACCGCTGCTCAAGGGACCTTCAAAGTGTGGTCTCTGTGAACAGGCGGTCTCCTTATCCAGGGTCATTTGACTGGAAATAGCATCCCTTGGTACTGACAGCAGTGGTCGTCTGGGACAGGTGGTCGCCTTATCCGAGTGGGCGCCTTGACAGGCTTTACTGTACATACATACTGCATGCAAGTAAAACAATTATGCCATTGAATCAATAGCTTTTGGGACCGTTTTTTGTTAATTATTATTGTGACTCTTTATTTGTGTGAGCGTGCGTATATGGGCAACATGCTTTACATTCATTCTCCAAGTCAACGGATGCCTTCCATCAAAGCTGTCCAATATTAGCCATGAACAAAGTGGCCATATCGAATCTTTGTCTTTCTGGTATACCGTAGTGTCTTGTACAAAAGCCTGTCTCATTTAGAAGCCTGGCTTAGAGTTGACATACATAGAAATGCCTGTCTTGTATAGAACTCATGAAAGCTGACGATTCCGCTCAGACTTCTGCCAGCTAGCTGCATCCGCATGTAACAATGCTACATGTACAGTCGTGGCAAGCGAAATCCGACACTTGGCATAAGTATAGGATATTACCCAAGTACGAGGGTGTTACCTCCCGAATATCATCCCGACTGCGTAGCAGGAGGGATGATATGAGGGTACGGTAACACCCGAGTACGCGGGTCAATATCCTACTTATCCCAGGTACATCTACGCATTTTGGGGATCGACGCAACTGCGTTCTGAATACAATTGCCAAGGTACAGCTATACCAAAAACAAGATGCTGTCTTTCTTTTCAATCCAGTCAAGGTTTGAGAGCGATGGAGCTCGGGAGACAAGTTGCATTTTAGTAGTTGGACTAGAGAATTGACGAAGATTGCACTGTTATGATACATAGTCATTTGGTTCAAAGTAAGGGCCATACTTCAAGTAACGGCGAGATATGTCATTACGGATGCTGGTGCTGACTTCCTTGTCATTGGATCGGTGTGGAACTTTCAACGGTTTGGGATCCTTACTGAACACTGGCCGTGCAGGCAGTAACCACATTGTACATATCGTCGGACATTGGCACCAGTGAGTAAAGTGCATTTCGTTGTATCAAGACTCTTGGTTGTATTACTATCGGCCACTATGCAATCAGAAGAACGTTGATCATGTTATAGGCATACTGGATTTGTAGCAGCATCAACGTTTTAGATTGTTCTTGTGGTAATCGTACTGGATACAATGTCATGATAATCACTCCGGGTCGCATCTTGCATCCATATCTTATCTACATCACACATGGATTGCTGAGCTCTTCTTCTTTCACACTGTTGAATATTCTGTACAAGATTTTTCCTCTCACTTTCACGTCTTGTACTTTTCGAGTTGTTACGGTATCTCTCCTTGCAATTAGTAATTTTCACTCGGATGGTGATACTTTGTGTAGTTTTCGAGTTTACAAAGAGTGAATGAGAACAGATGCACTTCGAAGTCTCCTTTGTGTCGTAGTGTTGAGTTGAATAGTGATTGGAGTTCGTTGTTTGTTTGTGTGGAATCTGGTTTTGGACGTAGTCGCGGAGGTAAGTTCTCTCCGTTCACTTTTACTGTACCGACGGTGCACTCTGCATTGGCATGCTCACACCCTCTCACGGTTCTGTGTAGTGCATTTTGTCGCTGGGTTCTGATCGAAAGGACTCCAGTGGCAAGATGCATTGCATCGAATCGAGAGGGGGTGGGGGCATGCCAATGCAGGGTGCACCGTAGTAGGTACGGTAAAAGTGAACCCAGTTAATAATGAATATCATCCCGCGCGGGATTGTATTGGCTATTATTTCCCGGTCAGCAAGGCTCCTGATTGGCTGAAACAGGCCTATAGTACCGTACCATGGGATAAGGGACTACACAGTGTGCAGCCCTGCATACGTAGTACATGTGTTCCATACAAACTTTTATCTGTCTCAGCTCATGACAAAACTCGTACTCATCACAGTCAAGGTTCACAAGAAAAGTTCAAAGGTGCTGGCAAAAATGAATGGGGACTGGATACCAATACTCCTTATGTGTACCATGACTGTGAACTGTGTGTATCTACGCTGTGACCTTTCGACCTGTTTGGGATGCATACGGCTTTAATGTACAAATTAGCAAGAGTACATGAAAACCAGAGTGTGCAGCTTGGGGCCTTTTCTGCTATGGGTGTCTGTCACGGCGGAATTCCGTGATTACAGCATAATTATTTGGTGCGGATCTGAGGCGGGAAATGGCGTAGTGCGTACAACTGAGCTGCAGTTGTGCAGAAAGAGACCTGCTTGAATCCTGCTTGTACGCACTACATCACTAAAATGATGTGATCACGGAATTCCGCCGTGACAGCAACCCATCCGAGCTGCACACTCTGGTTTTCATGTACTCTTGAAATTAGGTACAGCGCACTACATCATTGATGTCCATTTGTGGCGCTGTCCCCTACGACAAGTGTCGGATTTCGCTTGTCGCGACTGTATTAGAACATAGGTACGGACCGGTAGGTCACATTATACTCTAAACAATCTGCACTTTCTCCATGTCTTCCCTCTCAAAAATTCCCACATCCGGCTGAAATTTCTGGCTTCATTGTCTGCCTGTCTGGTGGATAATATAATGATAAGAAGTCATACCGGTCAATATTCGACTTCTGATTTCTTGCTTTCTCGATCAGTGTGCACATGCATATTTGCACAGTATGTTCATGAGCTTCCTTTTTCAATACGTCGTTTGTGGCCATTGTACCCATTGTGAATGCGGGCAGACACCTGCAGTGCCTTCTCCTTTTTCCCTTTCTCGTGCTTCTGTAGTTTCTTTTCTCACCACAGTCTCTAAGTATTATTATAATACAGCTTTCAATGGTCGTGAGCCGGTCGTCTTTGGACATATTATTATAATACAGCTTTCAATGGTCGTGAGCCGATCGTCTTTGGACATATTATTATAATACAGCTTTCAATGGTCGTGAGCCGATCGTCTTTGGACATATTATTATAATACAGCTTTCAATGGTCGTGAGCCGATCGTCTTTGGACATATTATTATAATACAGCTTTCAATGGTCGAATATACCCACACGTATCGCATTGCCTCTACTTTCTGGTCGATGAGCTACCGTAAAATTCCGTAAATAAGCCCACCCTAAATAACGCTCATGTCCGATAATAAGCCCAGTTTTAGGCGGTGTACACTTCAAGTCCGTTTTAGCGCCGATGCCCGAAATAAGCCCAAGGCGTAAAGTGGACTCAAAATGACCAGCGCGCGAGCGTGCGTTCGAGTACAAACTGTAGAACAGTTGTAGATCGAGTGCGTGCCATCCAACTGCACACAGCACAGTGCAGAACTCAACTCTGTCATGGCGCGCGAGGACAGCGATGTTCCGTTGGAATGTAGCAAACTGCCAAAAATGTAGCAAAAAATGTAGCAAAACATGTCGCAAAACATGTTGCAAAACATATCGCAAAACATGTCGCAAAACATGTCGCAAATTTCCAGCTGTGGTTTGATGTACGTGTACCGCGCTCAGTGTGCACTGAAACTAGTGGGTTGCTGATAGATTGATCTTCTGCAGATTGCGTCCGAAATAACGCCCATGCCCTAAAATAAGCCCATGCCCAAATATACGCCCAGTTTTTGACGCTCTGCAAAGTATATGCTCGGGGCTTATTAACGGAATTTTACGGTATGCCAATTGAGTAATAGCGTTCATCTCCCCACACTTTAATCAGAATGACTATAATGATGCCCACCGCCTTTTCATTTGAAGGTGTCAGTTCAATGAATCAATGATTTCTTCCAAAACTTAGAATGATGAATGCAAAACTTAAAAAATATTACAGTAAATTTTCATTCTACCTTCTGAGGAGTTTCAATTGTTCCACCTTCCAGCATCCCAGTGGAGCACATGTACCAGTCAGATAGACACTGTCATCGTCACTGCAATTGACAGTAACCTGGAAATTGCACTGCACCAACTCTTCTGATGAGGTAGTCTCCATCATTCATGCCAAAAGTAGACAATGTTGCTCCTCCAGAAACAAAAATACTGAGGACGTGAATAATATTAGTCGCGGAGGGAAGACTGAAGTCAGTGAAGAATCATGCAGTACGTGTGCTGCAAAATAGTGAAATAATGGCAACTGTGACAGTACAGTACGTACTAAAATCTTCGTGATTTGATCACGAAGTTGTCGAAGATGGGTAATGTCGCCAATACTAAGGCACGGCTCAGGTATTTGTCCAACGCCCTGTCCGCGCGGTACTACTGTCAGAGAATCCCTGACCTGGCCTCTAACAACAGCTGGAGCATCGCGCTGTGCTATGCAAGTCGCCAGATAAGAGTGCAGCCAACACTCAGCAACAGCTAGAAAAGCACCAACATTCAAACCAGGTTGATACAAATACTACAGGAGCCGGAGGTGCATGTACAGTCAGTACACAGCAGTTGTAAAGTGCCGGTATTTTACTACTCCCTGGTACAGTACTGTATACATGTACTGCACTGGCAAGAGTTCATTAGGTTATGAACTCTTGGCGTCTTGCCGTCTTGGTGCTGGGGATATCATGGACAAGAGATAATAAGGGCAAGACTACCAAAATGGTTATGAACTTATGACCAAGTTATGTACTCTTGATAAGGGTTATGTACAGTCTTGCCAGTCTTGGGGATGGATTATGGTGGATCTGGAGTCTCTGGACTATGGACTATGGAGTCGTATGTAGCGACTGATCTGATCATTATCAAGACTTGTCCACTCGGCTGTCTGCATCGGAGTCTTGATATCGCGGCATGATTATGATCTGGTGCGGTGGTGGTTGTTGTTGTTTTCTTGAAATCGCTAAAACCAAGAGTACAATGGTCATAACCACTGGGTTATGTACTCTTGCTAAAACCAAACGGACAGAACTGTCATCCAGTGACAAGGGAGCGAATGATGAGCGTCATATCACTTCCTGAAAAAGGTTGCGCCCCTGTTGGACTCTTGCGGCCGCACGGCAGTCTACGAAGGCTTTGTGCGGCCAACGATGGAATACAGCTGGCTGGTGTGGATGGGTTCATGGACATCTAGGCTGGACAGAATGAGTACAGGGCACTGAAGGTTATTGGCCCAGGCGCCTGGCTCCCCAGCCTGAAACACAGCCGACTGGTTGCTGCGCTTTCGTTCACCTTCAAGCAGTCGTCCTCAGTGACCTCCCAACAACAAGCCCCCTGAAGCCCATCCTCCCACCTCCACCCAACCCCCGCCCAGTGGGTGGTGGATCCACTAGGCTAGCAACGGAGACTGCCCATTGCCACCGGCTCCAGCGCAAGTCAACCTTGCGCACCGGTAGCAGCCTCCGGGGTTCTTACCCAGATTGCATTATTCCCTTGTGGAACAGCCTACCAGCAACCATCCTATCAGCAGAGCCGCAACTCAGACAGCTCCAGTCCTTCCAGGAAAAGTGCAACAAGTATCTGCTGCACCGGAACTGGCAAACAGCCACAGACGCCTTATGAAACGGTTTAGACCAGCTCCTCACTGGCATAGTAGCATCCTCCCTCCCTCCTCACCACAATGTGATAGTATCTCTCATTCTGCTTCTCTCCCCACTACATGTTATCTCTCATTCTGCTCCTCTCACGACCATCTACCCACTGTCCTCGTTCCTCACTAGCTATTATTCATTCCCCTTCCTCCTCCCCTCCTCATGGTTTTACTGCATTAACATATGCACTGTCGTGTAAAAAAAGTCCCTATGCACGTGAGTCAAAACATCCCCGGGGCAAATGAGACAGACTACAAGGAGACCAGACAGAGAGGGAGAGGGGAGAGAGAGAGAGAGAGAGAGAGAGAGAGAGAGAGAGAGAGAGAGAGAGAGAGAGAGAGAGAGAGAGAGAGAGAGAGAGAGAGAGAGAGAGAGAGAGAGAGAGAGAGAGAGAGAGAGAGAGAGAGAGAGAGGCCAGGAGCTGCAATACCTCCTGCAACTACAACATCTCCAGGAGCTACAAGACCTCCAGTAACTACAGCATCTCCAGGAGCTGCAAGACCTCCAGTGGCTACAGCACCTCCAGGAGCTGCTAGACCTCCAGTAGCTGCAGCATCTCCAGGAGCTGCAAGACCTCCCGAGAGAGAGAGAGAGAGAGAGAGAGAGAGAGAGAGAGAGAGAGAGAGAGAGAGAGAGAGAGAGAGAGAGAGAGAGAGAGAGAGAGAGAGAGAGAGAGAGAGAGACTGAGAAAGAGAGAGAGAGAGAGAGAGAGAGCGGGTGACTGCTGATGAGAGCATTCACATTTTTCATTCCATACCACAGTCGGTTTGTTTCCTTGCCGAATGTTTACCACAAAATTGAGAGCAATAACAGTATAAAAACAAAAACAACTAAAGAAGGATAGATGTTTTAAAAACAAAGCAGTGAACAGCGTGGCCTAGGGGATCGATTGCAGCGCTACAGCAAAAGTACAAAAACGGTCATAACATTTCATAAAATACCGGTAGGTATGATTTATGTACTCTTGGCTAGAAATTACCCTAGTAGAATGCACTGGGTACTAGTATAAAACCACAGGACAAGCCTACAGTAGCTATGCAGGGCTAGGGGCGCACTGTCAGTACAAACAGTAACAAAATTATTATTATTTTGTGAAGCATAAAAAGTAGACGGCGACCGCAAGCATGCTTTTGAAAGCAACCAATATCTGCTCGGGCCGGAGCCAGACTGCGAGTAAAAACTAAAACCCAGTCCACACTATGTGACACACACAGCTACCCTATACTTCTGAAGGACACTGCTACTGTACAGTCTTTAATTAGTAGATAGCAAAAAAATAAACTTCTATAAACGATTTGCACAACATCGTTAGTTCAAATTTTTTTTAAATAATGATACATAATTTGCCATAAAATTAATGATTGAACACGGCGGAAAAAATCTTGATAATAGAATAGGAAGGAAATACAGCAATGCTCGAAGAAAAAAGAAGAAGAAGAAGAAGAAAAAGTGCTCCAAACTGGCCTGTATGCCACGCATGGATACACTGTTCTACACAAGATATAAATGCATGACAAATAAGGACAAGCACAAGAGTGGCTGCTGCTGCGAGACCTAGAGAGAATTGCAACTGCAGTGTGCAACCAAACACTCTATCTTTGACGAACATAGACGGCGAGAAACGGCCATTGGCAAGATTGTTACGACTAAATCGTTGGGCATAAGCAGCTGCTCACGACCATAACAAGACGAAGCCTTCCTCCATGCTCTGTGACATTGAGGAAAACGTAAGCACCTTGTTGGTTGTGTCATACTTGAAGCTGGTGAAAGCCTTCTTATTCAAGGTGGCATGCTCAGGTGATTTGGAAACACCGTACACTGTCACTGAGTCCAGATTGGGGGTGTCGGCGTTCGTTGAGCCCTGCCAAACAAAACACACACACACACACACACACACACACACACACACAAAACGCACACATTTATCATGATGCACGTAGGAGGAGAAGCGACATATACTATAGCAGCAGCAGCAGCAGCAGCAGCAGTGACAACAACTGCAGCAGCAGTAGCAGCAGTCACAGGAGCAGCAGCAGCAGTAAAACCAGCACTGAGCCACAGCAGTAGTAGTAGTAGCAGACGAATAACCGAGTAACTCAGCAAAGCAACCAAACGCCGCAAACATGTGTAAGGTAACACACAGCTGTGGTCACTACACTGAATATTAACACAGCATTGCTCTCACAGCTGTGGTCACTACACTGAATATTAACACAGCATTGCTCTCACAGCTGTGGTCACTACACTGAATATTAACACAGCAACACACAGCTGTGGTCACTACACTGAACAGCATTGCTCTGACAGCAGACCACATGAAAATACAAACCTTGGTTGTGACCTTGGCTTGAAGGATGGAGGCAGTTGAGTTGGACACAGTAGAGTAGGTGATAAATACATGACTGTTGCACCACACAAACACACAAGACAATGAGCAGGAGGAGGACATGATAACCGTGCCGCAAATAAATATCCCGGTCCCGGCATGCAGGTAGAGCAGAGTACAAGAAACAAATGTCTGGTAAGCTACAGCAAAACAGCAAAACAGTAATACAGTAGTACAGTAGTACATGATTGTACTAGATGCTGCTCAGTTCATTCATGTACTTCAACTACTGTAGCAAACACCTACTGGCTTGAACCGGTGTAACCTGTGTACATACTTTGCACTGTCGGCTAACAGTAGAGTACGCCATAGTTAGTTACAAAGAAACCTGGCAGTAGCCACCAAGTCTTGGTCGTTGAGGAATGAGTCAGCACACATGTGCGCTATTTTTCAATCTGTGCATGTTTCCAACTGCTTGCAACTCTTCTTTCTTTCGCTCTTCTACTGCGCTCACAACCATATCTAGCTGATAGCAAGAGTATTATAACCTCCCAAGAGTGTGCAACTCTGCATATGGGGTCTTCGATGGCGAAAACTCACATCCCGTGTCTCAGGCACGTTTCGTACTACATACAAACAAAGGATAGCGTGCGCGCAATCCGAATATCTGCTATGATCATGCTGGGGATTTGTATACGCGCAGTGAGTTTCTGTCAGAGAGGGCTTTTTATTACTCCGCTGCTGGCTAAAAATGGGGTGGAAACGTACAACTGCAACACTACACCACGTGCTGTGAGTTTTCGCTGTCGGTGTACCCCACAGAAAAAGTATCAGGAGTTGCACACTCTTGGGAGCATATATACTCTTGTTGGTAGCTTGTTCTCTGGCAAGGAAGAGTGCAGTGCTGATTGTGGCCTTCAACTGACCTGGAGCGTCCAGACTCTCTGGTACAGATCCCCAGAGGCGCTTCAAAATTCATGTGATCAATACCTGAACATATACAATGTACGTGTTCGCTGAGAAAGCAGAGTATGAAGTAAGACTTACTTTGTGTCACCAATTGAGTCACCATCGTCCAAGAACAGATAGCCCGTCGACGATTGCTCTTTGTCAAGTGCAACAAGAAGGTTGTAGGGATTCTTACGGGTGGCAGTCGTAGTTAGAGCTGGGGTTTGTCGTGGAATAGTGACTCCACCACGGATATGAAGCTAAACCAGAAGAGCACAAGGCAATGAGAATACTGTAAACTGCCTAATATTCGCGACGGATTAATGTTCGCTATTTTCGCGAGAAGAGTGTAACGCGAATATTAACCATCGTGAAATCTAACTTCAACAATGGATGTATGCAAGTGGCCCCAGTGCTTCGCGAACTTTTGCCATCGCAAACTCGCTGGTTCTAAGAAATCGCGAAAATTTAGTGACGCGAATATTGGGCGGTTTACAGTAGACTACGATCAGGCTGAGAGTTCTCAAGCTACAACAATAACAACAGCAGGCAGTCCGGTTCTGATGCCACAAAGACCTTGTTTGCTGTCTTCAACAACGAAGAGAACGACGAGTGGGTACACAGGCCGCGACAGTGTGCCAGTGGACTTGCATGCTTCACTACACACAGTGGGCCAGTGGACTTGCATGCTTCACTGCACAATATCAAGAGTACATAACCCCGGGGGTTATGTACTCTTGACAATATTAATAGGCAAAACATGTGTAGCACATGTAGGGTGTATCGAAACAAGTGCACCGTCCTACGTGCGTGCATATCGATTCAATTTACTTGCCATTGCTTGAGCTACGGTGAACTGAAGCTGTAGCAAGACAGTTCCGCTGCTACGATACAAGGATTAATTCCAGTTCAAACTGGTCGGCAGTACAGTACGCCAGCCATTGGGCCATACTAGTACATCAAGAATGTCAATACAGATGGTGAATATCTGACACATCGGACACATGGAGACTCCTGGTAAGAGAACATGCAATATGAATGCAGGCACAAGACAAAAGAAATTGGCCCCGGTAACGTACATTGATGTGATCCTTGGGTGCGGAGAGGGACACACTGGCACCAGTTGATGTCTGCTCAGTACCATTGTAGTAATCAAACCAACGTGCAGCTGGAAAGTAAGCCTCCACACTAGTAGCACCTACAGCGTAGCCGTAGTACAGTTGTGAAAATAACACACATGAAACACACAGTAGTTAGCCAGATTCAGGTAATGGATTACTTACTCATTGAACACTCCAGCACCTTTTCAATTGCCAGCAGCAGCAGTGACCAAGTCCTTGTAACCGACAGCATCACCACAGCCACACCCAGAAGTAGCAGCACCAGCAATAACGGCGGTGGTGGTAGAACACGAATACTAATAATGAGCAGTAAAAGTAGCCAAATCAGTAACAATACCAGCAGGACGGTATGCAAACAAATAACAACATAACTTACTAACCGTTAGTGGGGTGGGGCAACTTTGCTCACTAGCCACTCACCTTGCGTCAGGACAGGGGACACCAGCAGGCCAGGGCCGACCAGAAACTGCTTATCGATGGCAAACGTATTTGGGTCGGCTGGAAACTCAAAGAAGAGAGGTCGAGTAACGGTCGCCCCTGCCATAGAACCATCGTCCACTATGTCCTTGTTGGCAAAGTAGAAGAGTGTGTAGTAGTAGGGCAGGATTGCGTAGCGTATTCCCAGTACTTCACGACTGATTGAAGCAACTGAATCCCACGTGTATGGCTCCTGCAAACATAGATATCGTAAAGGAGCACAGGACAAATGAAAAGCAGAGGGGCGTATGCAAAGCACAACAAACGTTTTTTTCTCTTCTGGGGCAAAGAAGGGAAACCTTCATCGCTGTTATAACTGGTGCGGCACTAGCTTATGGGGTATTGCTGGGACGCTGTTTGATCACATGCTCCAAGACCGCCCCACCACTGTTGCCATAGAGATCCTGTCCAGGTCCTAGTGTGCCTGCTGTCGTGGAATGGGGTGCATAGGCATGGTTTATGTTGTCCGTCAACTGACGGAAAAGAGGTTTGAGCATGTGTCGCCTCTGAACACCGTGTTTATAGATCTAAGGAAGGCATACACCTCCATTCCTAGGCATGCTCAGTAATCAACACTGCAGCGCATCGGTGTTCTTCCCAACATGCTGGCCGTTGTCCGATCACTGCACAATGGGATGATGGTGGACGCCTGGGCAGAAGGTGGTCGAATGATGGTGGAATTTTGGGCAGAAGGTGGTCGAATGATGGTGGAGTTCTGGGCAGAAGGTGGTCGAATCGAATCAAAGCGTTCCTAACAACCAATGGCCTATGGCAGAGCTATACACTAGCCCCAGTGCTTTAAAACAGCTACTTCTCGGCTGTGGTGGCACATTGGCATTTGTAATGCTTGCATGTTGGTATAGCCATCAAGCATAAGCCGGGGAGGGGGGGGGGGGGGAGCAAGCTCATTAGTGTTTGTATGGCAAAGCCGCAGCAGTTGCTCTCAACCCATGCCAGCCACTGAGAGACTGTTCGATAACGATGATGCAGTGTTTTCAACCCGTCTCAGCAAGACTTCCAGTCGTCCGCGGCTAATTTCATCTTGTGCGCGGCTAAATAGGGTCTGATCGTCAGCGTGGCCAAAACTGTTTCAAAGAGACAAACACATACTCACTTGTGAAGGTGCTCCCTTGACATTATGATTGCGAGAGAATGGATAGAATGCACCAAGCTGCATCCAGCGACCACACAGCTCCTCAGTCGTGCTCCCTGCACATGCCAAACAAGAACAGCGGCGGTGAACGTCGATAACAATATTATGTACATGTAGCCATGTACACACTTGATACGGGATGTATACAAGTGCATAGAAGCAAGGAGACTCACAGCACACACGCACGTGCGCGCACGCACACACACACACACACACATACACACACGTGCGCGCGCACACACACACACACATACACGCACCGAGTTCTACAGGGCAAGATACAGTCAGGCATAGTGCGGCAACATATTATACACAGCGACAGACAATTTAGGCCATTGAAATCAATTTGACCCCAAACCAAAGAGTACACGGTCCAACCTGCATTTAGGAAGTATGCCAGCATGCCATAGTGTACAGAAAACTGGTCTTGCTATGCTGGTCTGGATGTAGATACAATCATGGTTCAAGACCTGAGGTAAATGGTCAGTAATATCAAGAGTACATAAGCCCCCCAGAGTGTGCAACGCCTGATCCAGCTCTGCATAGGGTCTTGGTCGAGCGAAATCGGATCTTCTGATGTCATGCGTACACTCCACACCAGCGCAAGGCCGGTCTCGAGGCAGGGCACCGTTATTTTTGATCCGAGAGTTCCCGCGACTCCCCGGGTTCCCCTCAGATGTGTACGGTATTATGACGCAAAGCTCCGATTACGCCCGACCAAGACCCTATGCAGAGCTGGATCAGGCGTTGCACACTCTGGGGGGTTATGTACTCTTGGTAATATTTAAAATAAGTTATAACAGGTGGTCTCGAATTGCAGTTGTCACCTGACACAGGTTTACCATATCAAAGAAGCTTACCAATGAATCCGCAGATATCGGATCCCACCAGCGGGATACCAAAAAGCTGGAAGTTCAACATTCCCGGAATGCTGTTGTACAAGTCATCCCAGCTGGCGTGGTTGTCGCCTGCAGATAAGCACCAGTAACGGTGTACAAATCACGCACGTAACACAGGTCAGTAAAACACTGCGATCGTCATCATCATACGTTGACAAGATGCTGAGGTCAACTCTGAAAACACAGAGTGGCAGATTCTGGCATGGCAGCAGGTCAAGGCCAATAGGCCAATCTTCGACAAGGGCACCTGACCCAGTAATGCCCAATAGCCCATTCTTTGACAAGGGCATCTGACCCAGTAATGCCCAATAGCCCAATCTTTGACAAGGGTATTTGACCCAGTAATGGCAGCCTATCGTAGTTACTTGCAGTTTGGTAGCTTTGCAGCTAGCTTTCCCAATGAAATCCATACAATTGTATTGTACATGGATACGTGTAGACCGGGGAATGAAACAATAGTATGGCACAGGGACAGACAATGGGAATGCAATAAGAACGAAAAATACATACCTGTCCAATGTCCGGTGTGTGAACCACTGCCAGGGAATGTAGACCTTGAGATCACCAGCGACCGTTTGCCTTTCAGAGACTCCAAAGCCTCGTTTGTGGCAATGGCCTCAGTCAATCCTGCACACACGCATGGGCATGCACACACACACACACACACACACACACACACACACACACACACACACACACACACACACACACACACACACACACACACACACACACACACACACACACACACACACACACACACACACACACACACATACACACGCACACACGCACACACCAACACACACACATGCACAAGCACACATACACACACACACACACACACGCATGCACACACACACACACACACACACACGTGCACGCACGCACACACGCGCACACACACACACACACACACACGCACACACACACACACACACACAAACACTGACACAGGTTCGAGTCCTGGTGGTGACAGTCAATTTTTTCTTCAGACTTTTCCCTTTTCTATTCCTCAACCTATGAATGGTTGATAAATATGGTGGTAAAGACCCACCTGGCAATATGGCGGTAAACACACGCCTGCCCACACACGCTCTCTAGGCTGCAAAGTTCTGGCACAGAGCTCTCCTTCTCACCACCACCACCACCATCACATCAGTTCGCGCCTGGCGCCTGGTCGATGCATGGCTGGCGGTATCCGGCATAGCAGGCTGGTACATCAAGTAGCGCATGGCACATAGATGATGACACAGCAACGACATAGCTCGATTGCGACGTACGTTTCGTCCCCGCTGGACTCATCAGGCAATCTTCTTCTTGGATGTCTTCATACGGAGCTTGACTCCCCATATTTATCAACCATAAGTACAGCTGCAGCGGTGTCTTCAATTTCATTCAACCTATGGATGTTTGAACAAAGATAGCGGGTAGCCGTGGATTCTTGTGCTTATAGACATGTGTCGTGACCCGAGGTCGACGAAGCGCATCAATCGTGAAAAGCCTGGCAGGCGAGGGATCGACACCAGCTGACAAGCAATCGGCAAGCTGATGAGTCGCGCCAGCACCACTGCAGTACGGTAACGGCTTACACCTAAACCTGTTTGTGCTCTGATCGCGTGTATGGTGAGGAATGGAGGCTAGGGCCAAAACTGTGGGGTAGTCTCCTTCGGATTGTTTGGTCGAGAACCTGCCGGCATGTATAAGACTATAAGCCTATGATACGTGGAGCGAGGAAACTGGGCATATATCTAGAACCGACGAGTAACGTACTCGCAAGAGGGCCCGGGCTGCTTCGGGATATACATATTTTGGCAGTAAAACTGACATACAGGGATAGGACGAGTCACGCAGCGGTATGAACGGGTATAGGTGTATAACACACTTAACACGGTGTCATCACCGGTAGTATATCAGGAGCTGCAGTATGAACTATTACTTCATGGTCATGCAGTTATTAGAATGAAAGTGGTCACAGCTCACTTTCTTTCTAAAGTGAGTGGAGCATGCTGTCTCTTACTCATCTAGGGCTAAGATACAGCATATTCATGAGAGGATACACAGGCTGACGGGAACGCCAGCAGGTGTAATGTGTGGGAAGTGTGTAACACACGCGGGAAACACAGTACCGAACTAGGACAGTGTAGGGGACCAGGTGACAAGTCCTAGAGACAGCAGGCTCAGGGGCACTCAGCGGAAACGCCGAGTGTCACAAATATCCCAAACTGGAAGGAATTGAAATAATCAGTGTTCCTGGTCATTGTGCTTGTGGCTATGAATAATCGAACCACATTCGCGACAGTCCTTCTCCCCCCCCCCCCCTCGCCTCCCTAAGTTCCTACACGCCACATCCTCAATGTGTGTATGCGGCATTGACACTGAAACCACACGTTTGTCCCCCCCCCACCCCATGTCTCATCGATTCGTCATCCATTCCTATCTGATAAACAATAGCATACAGTATTTGTTTAAACAACCCAAGAAAAGAACAAGATAATACATCAGTACTGGTACCTACCAAATAGATTGTGAGCATTATACTCCAGAACACCATCATGATGAACACAGTCCATGTCCAGGGTCTTGACATTCAATGCATTGCCACCACCTTGGTTGTGAATAGCGTACGGTGGGTTCACAGGATCAAACCCAACTCCTGGGGAAAATACAGTACGAAAAGAGACAGAAAATCGAGCTCACTTCATACACATGAAGAGAAAACAACAGCATCACAACCAAGACACAGCATCTTAACACAACAACTAAGTCTTTTTCAACAACATAGTCATACCCACACTTCAGCACATTTCACCATAGAAAGAGCTGACACGAGCTGGATACAGCACTTACTACATACAGACTACGCATAACGACAAACACAGCGAGTCCATCCGACTCTTTAACAATATCATTTTCACTCCAGGACAACAACGTGGCAGCAATGGCAGCAATGGCAGCAATGGCAGCATGGTGCGCTCAGTCCGAGCAGCAGCAACACATAAGATCAACACTTCCTCTAGTCAAGCTCCAATGTATTCCAGTATAGCCAAACCGCTTTAGGACAACCACCAAGGGGTCAATGAAATCTGTTTGACCTAATGGAAGCTATTCTTATCTCCACTTTACACACAGTGAATACACGATGCTTTGTCCGATAGAGTCCGATGGGTAGGACACATGCATAGTGGTGCTCTATGCTGTTCAATGCTGCTTCTTACTTTCTTGCTGCGTCTGAATGGTAGAGTTTGCAGTAGGACTAGCGTCATCGTCATCGCAAGCACCGTTGCAGAAGTTACTGATCTCATTCATGTCAATCCACAGACCATCCACAGGCAGCAGATCCAGGAACTTTGAAATCTGAAGGCCAACAAGCAAACGACTGATGATCTCCCCGCGAGTAACACTCGAGAAAAGGAGGAACAATACAAATGTTTGGAACAAACATGTTAGGAAAACACATGTAAAGAATACACAGCAGAGTTCTTTCCAAAGGGGGAGGGGTACAGTTCAATGTGAAGAAGAAATCGTCCACTGGTCGACTTGGTATAACTGCAAGAGAACTAGGTGGGCAGCATGAGCTGTCTGCAAAAGGACAACAGTGCCCCCCCCCCAGCATGAGCTGTCTGCAATAAAGGATAACAGTGCCCCCCCCCCCCCCTCCTCCTCCCAACGATCGCATGTAAGTAGGCATTTAACTAAAAACAATGACTTACTTCATTCTTCCAATAGGACATTGCATCTGAACATTACACAGATGCGCATATACACAAATGCATGCATCGTACACAAGCATAATGGCAAACACATGCATGCGAACGCAAGCGTATACACAAACACAACAGTCATGCAGATAGACACACACATAATAAGCAAACATGTGCACACGGACACAAAAGCACACATACCGGTACCGGTACTTCGTATGCACATGGCCTGGCTCATCTGAGCAATAAGCTGAATATACGGAGCTTCTTAGGGTCCACATTTCAGAGTCCCAGGTTAACGCTATGTTAAATTTAATATACTTGTATACCAGTCAATTTCACCGTCTCCACGGCCAGGAACATGTCTGATACTAGTATACACTCAGTGCAAGTGTATAGACTGATACTGTGATAGCTATCCAAACAGTCAAAAGAGCAGAGACCAATGGATTTGCTCAACAGAGAATCTTTTCAAAGGCATTACGTAATCAAAGGCATTACGTAATCAGGAAACAGTGACCGTAGAGGTGCACGTCACATGATTCCACTTGCAAAGCGGGTTACTACTACGTACTTCAGTAGTATTGCAGGTGAATGCGCACTGTATCCCGCCGCCGAGCATGTGTGACTGCTGCTGGCCCATAGGTCTACGAGCATGAGCTGGGCATACCAGAGCTTTATCCCATAGTTCCTCTAGTATGGTACTACAGTCTGTAGACCTGTTGTACTGAACTTTTTAAATAGGTCTACTCTTTGATTGACCGATTGAAAGGTCAGGTAGATGTTGGAAGGCAGTGAGTTCCAAGTACAGTCAACTTCGCTTATAACGACACTCGGCGGGGCATCAAAAAAGTGTCGTTATTCGCGAAGTGCCGTTATACCCGAAGTCTCATTATATGTATTACAGTTGGAAGGGACTTTGCTCTGGGCATGGAAATGCCTGTCGTTATTCGCGAATTGTCGTTATATCCGCAGTCGTTATTAGCGAAGTTGACTGTACAACACCTCTACCTGACCTATACTCACATGCACTCAGCCCACTCAGCATGCTCAGCCCACTCAGCACGCTCAGCCCACTCAGCATGCTCAGCATGCTCAGCACGCTCAGCCCACTCAGCACGCTCAGCCCACTGCCCACTCAGCACGCTCAGCCCACTCAGCCCGCTCAGCACGCTCAGGCACTGTGTAGTACAGATGACAGTTGAAAGTTCAGAACGAGGAAAGCCGCCGACATCATATATTCAGATCAAGTCTGCTATGGCATCCGATCAGCTGACGTTGTCATTGGATGAGAAAAGCGCAGCAAGCTTGACTGATAGGTACAAATGCTACCAGCACGTCATCTTCTGCTAGCCATGAATGCTATTTCTAGTGCGCTGCTTTCCCTACTACGTCATCATAGAAGTTTTAAAGAAGTACTTTCATTGGCATACAACCCTGGTGTCTGTGGACCACACTATTATGCCATCATATTAAAGGGATTTGCATCAAAGAGTACATACAGTACTTCAAAATACTGTACTTACTGGGGTGAAAGAAATCAGGGAATGCCGTTGCTCCAGGCCAAACCTTGCCGATGAATATATTGCCATTCTTGTCCTGAAAATGAGATCAAGCAAACAAAAGCATAGGGACCAGCTCTGAAGGCGATGAAAACACCGCATGACATATTGCTGGGTAAGAGAGACAAACCTTAAGCCAGGTTCACATTTTACGCAACTCAAAAGGTAAAAGCCTGCTGGGACAACTAAGACGAGCTGGAACATCTTGTACAATTCACCCGACACGCGGCACTGCAGTAGTTATTGCAATGCTCAATGACACGCGGCGCTGCAGTAGTTATTGCAATGCTCAATGACACGCGGCGCTGCAGTAGTTATTGCAATGCTCAATGACACGCGGCGCTGCAGTAGTTATTGCAATTCTCAATGTTCAATGTTGATCATATGCAAGGCAGCAGGCAGGGTCAGTGAACGGCTGAATCTGGCCAGTAATTTCATCTTCATGGGATTTCTCTTCCATTACGTCTCCTCAAAATGTGGGCAGGAATTACACTCACACTACCGGCTTAGCACGAACGGTACAAGAAGTAGCTGAGGACTTTGTGCCATGCAACAAGCACAGTTGCGAACTCCCCGTCTACCTGACATACAGCACTCACAACTGGCCACTGGACATTAACACTAACTACTTGGCTCTAGTAATTAAACTGTTCTAAAACAGAAAAGAGCCAGAGAGAGGATAATGCAGCCGACTATTGACGAGGCACGTCTACAGATACCAGTCCACCCAGTACAGCCAGTACAGTCCACAAAAAGAAAGAGATCAGTTTGTCTAACCCAGTCCTGGGCTATCCAGCCATGGCTACACCAATACTAAGATGTCTTGCGAGCTATTCGGAAAGTTATCATAGGAAGCACAATGCTCAAGGTGCGCGAATTAGCCAAGTGTCCGCGGTGTGTATCACTGCACGACGTTGTCGCCTATTCACACTTGCAACGCAGCTGGTTTGTACGCTTGTGTCCCTGCATGCAGTATAAGAACTTGAACGAATTCAACTTTTCCGTCATGTACAATACAGTATGGTGGCGTCCTGGTTCCCGATCTTCACACTCATGAGCACAACATTGACTCCTGGTTCCCGATCTTCACACTCATGAGCACAACATTGACTCCTGGTTCCCGATCTTCACACTCATGAGCACAACATTGACTCCTGGTTCCCGATCTTCACACTCATGAGCACAACATTGACTCCTGGTTCCCGATCTTCACACTCATGAGCACAACATTGACTCCTGGTTCCCGATCTTCACACTCATGAGCACAACATTGACTCCTGGTTCCCGATCTTCACACTCATGAGCACAACATTGACTCCTGGTTCCCGATCTTCACACTCATGAGCACAACATTGACTCCTGGTTCCCGATCTTCACACTCATGAGCACAACATTGACTCCTGGTTCCCGATCTTCACACTCATGAGCACAACATTGACTCCTGGTTCCCGATCTTCACACTCATGAGCACAACATTGACTCCTGGTTCCCGATCTTCACACTCATGAGCACAACATTGACTCCTGGTTCCCGATCTTCACACTCATGAGCACAACATTGACTCCTGGTTCCCGATCTTCACACTCATGAGCACAACATTGACTCCCGTAACTTCTTACGTCCCGTCCCGTCAAATATGAACCAGGATTAAGGAAGTAAAGGTTCTATGTCATGTAGTAGTATTACCTTGATAAAGATGTCCTGCTTTTTACCATCATCCCAAGCTGGGTAGCCATCTTGATTGGCAATACCAGGATCAATGATTACCACTGCAAGGAACACACACACACACACACACACACACACACACACACACACACACACACACACACACACACACACACACACACACACACACACACACACACACACACACACACACACACACACACACACACACACACACACACACACACACACACACACACACACACACACACACACACACACACACACACACACACACACACACACACACACACACACACACACACACACACACACACACACACACACACACACACACACACACACACACACACACACACACACACACACACACACACACAAGGTTACACATGTAGAGGCATGACTGTACTCATAGACCTGTAGATACATGTTCTACAGTTTCACTCTCTCCTGTCCCTGGGGAAAATCGCGATTGTGGCCGCGTCCCCCTCTGTTGGGTTGTGAGCCATTCACGTCACATACTGGTACTCCCGCGTATGTGCAGGGCGCTCTCTATAGCATACACATGGCACATGTAGGGCTCCCCAGTCACTGTGATGGCTCTCCTACGCTTGACAGTTACACGCAGTGCAAGGTGTCCAGATCGCGCTCAACAGCACTTTTCATTTCACTCTTCTGACTCCGGCCTCCACTTCTTCCCGCTTGATATTTGCGAAAAATGGACAAGTTTGTGACTACGAAATGTTGACCGGTCGAAGAAAGGTGTAAATAAAACTGCTAAAGATCGCGCTCATGAATTTGGTGGAGATATTTACGAGGACGGTGCTAAACTTTTCCGCAAGCTGTGCAACCAGACTGTCGACTACACGAGGAAGTCATCGATCACGGCGCACTCAAGCTCGGAAAAGCACAAAAATCGGAAAGCAAAAAGGAAGCATGATGAACATGACGGCGATGGTCATGATGATCCACCTGCCAAACACCAAAGGACAAACAACTCTGCCGGCCTCAACTGTCGTCATGGAGGAAAAAAAGTGTGGCTATCTTTGACTGGATATCGCTATTAGCTGTGATCAACGTGCCAGTGTCTAAAACTGACCACCCAGCGGTCAAAGAGTTCCCCCTGAAGCACGTCTGCAACGGTGGAGCCAAACCTGGCGGTGACCAACTTCGCCGTGTGTACATGCCACGATTGTATGAGTTGCAGCGCAAGAAGCTTGCACAGGACATTGCTGACAAGAGCCTGGCCATCATTTTGAACGAGATATTCACCGAAACGTATGCCATAAACAAATTAGGAAAAGTTGTAGGATGCGGATGCAGTTTTGAGAGCTCTGCATCCTTTTGTGAAAGTAGTCCCAAATCCGCACCTGGCCGCGGGGTCTTTCAACCCTGGCAATGGCTCTAAATGCTGGTATGGATCTTGCCCTACTTGGTTATGACCAGCGACAAGAGCTTGGCCGAAAACACAGTATCAATGGCTGTGATGGATTTGCAAGGCCAGAACTGGTCTGCGCGCTTCGGAATGCCGGCATCGGATCCTCCTGGACTTCCGCCACTAAGTGCCAAGTCGATGTCTTTGCCAGTCTTACCGAGCAAATTCTTCACCTGACCACGGAAGTATCATCATTTAATTCATTGAAGGCCAAGTAATCTGTATCAAAAGCGAATTAGGTGAATTGCAGAAATCCAGAAAGCAATCGTATGCAGCTACTGCCCGCCCATCAACCTGCACCCAACCACAATGTACGCACACAGCAGACACACGCTCGCCAAATGCACATGTTGCACCGTACAGCACTATGGACCCTTACGCACATAATCATTCAACCAGAAAGGTCATGGGTGCACCGGATCAGCAGCAGACCATGCCTGCGTGGCCAAGCCCCCAACTTGATTCAGACTGGCAACAACATGAAACCAGGCGCGACCGTCGCGCCCGTCCTCAACAGGAACGCGACAGACAGGGCCCACTTTCACCTCGCGCCAGCACTCCTGCAGAGCTAGGGGAAGATCCAAAGAGTACGGAACCCGGGCTTAGGCGCACTATCACCTCCAGCTACAAAAACCCCGCCCCCTGCACCAGGGAAGTCGCAGCTCTGTGGCGTCCAGCCCGTCAAATATGCAGCTCTATATGTGGGAGGAATTAACCCTGGCTGCCACGCAGATGAAATCGTACATTGGTGCAGGGATCGGGACGTTGAGGTCGTATCATGCAACATTTCAGAATCCAAATACTTTGGCACCGCTTTTGCACATGTGCTGATAGACGCAAAGGACATGGATACAGTCAGCAAACCCGACTTCTGGCCGTCAAACGTCTCTGCCCGACCCTGGAAATTCAAATCCGATGATGATCGCACTTCAGGCAGTGTAGACCAGCGTCGCTACTCAACAAACGAGAAACAATGAGTTTAACACTCAACCCATTGGCTCCACCTTTCCGTCCTGCACCCACAACCACGCACACAACTTCACACGCAAATGCTGATCTATTCGACTACTCTGTGGCCACAATAAATGCCCGCTCCATGAATAACAAACTGGCCGATCTCGCAGATTTTCTTATGACATACAACCCCCTAGTTGTCTGTCTCACAGAAACATGGCTATCCGCAAGCCAGCCTCCCACAGTTCCTGGCTATGACTGTTACCGCAGGGACCGGCCAACACAGGAAAACCGGCACAACAGGAATGATTTACGGGGCTACGGTGGGGTTGCTATTTTAGTCCAAACTGGAATATCTACTACAGTCCGTCAGCGGACTGACCTACACCTTCCCGATCTGGAGGCAATGTGGGTTGAACTTACCCTACCTTCCAACTCTCAGCTCGCCAAACTCTATTTAGGATCGGTGTATCGGCCGCCATCATTGACACACCGCCAAATTGATAATTTCTTTACTCAATTTCAATCCATCTTGCAATGCTTATCTATGCCCGACTCCATGCTTCTCGTCTCTGGGGACTCCAACGCTCATTGCTCGGAATGGTATGGATCGACCACAGATGCGGTTGGTCATCAACTGCTTTGTTTGCCTCAAATGCTCTCCCTATCACAGCTCGTTACCTTTCCCACACATTACTCCCAACACAGTGGTTATTCCAGTGCATTAGACCTGGTTACGAGAGAGCTTGAAAGCTCAGGGCCCTACGCTATGCTTTTATGCTTTTTTGCCTAGCTCATCGTACATGTTCTAAGAACTGATGGAAATGTCTTTTTCCGTTGATTGGCCGCATCACTGTATTACAAAAACGTTTCAATCGGTTCGAATATTATGAGTTAGGCAAAAGTATTTCCAGAATTTATTGCGGATTGTTATTTCTCTAATAATCATCTACTTTTGGTTTGCTCCTTCTTTTCTTTTATCTCCTTATACTGTAAATCAACAAATTTTGGCCGATGAGAAATAGAAACCTCTCTATTAGAGAGGTTAAGATGCACGTTATTTCCGACGTGACGCGCAATTTCACGTCAAATTTGAAATCGATCGGTATTTTTGCTCTCACATGCATCCATTGCTCAATCATGCATCATTTGCCTATATGACAAACTTTGGCCTGCGATTTACTTTGGCCGGTTGGTACCATGTACCAAGTGGCGAAATCAGAGAATTGAGTTGATTTTAATACAGTAATCGGATTTTCTGGCCTTTTTGTAGTAATACATGTACATTGACCTGTTGAGCCAATGACGACGTCGAATGCATGGTTGCCTGTGGAGCACATTACATAACTTTACAGTCTCCTAAAATACGTATCCTGTCCGACGGCAAAAGAGGCTGCAGATTTAGTTTTTCTGCGCGTCGACGGGATGTCTGCGACGCGAAAGTTCAGCTCGCGTTATTTGGCTCGCACGTCGAAAAATCAACGCGAGTGACCTGCTGCTCACGTGGAAATTTGGACATTACATAACTTTACAGTCTCCTAAAATACCTATCCTGTCCGACGGCAAAAGAGACTGCAGATTTAGTTTTTCTGCGCCTCGACGGGATGTCTGTCCTGACGTTTACTGGGACCGGCTTCGACTCTGCCGATCACGGGCGTTCTGGACTCAACGGGATGTCTGTCCTGACGTTGCCTGGGACCGGCGGACTCTGCCGATCACGGGCGTTCTGGAGTCGACGGGATCTCTCTTCCGACGTTTCCTGTGACCGGCGCTGAATCGCTCGTTCACGCTTATTTTGGAGACGACGGGATCTCTCTTCCAAAGTATGTTTATGCTGACGCATCCTATCACCTATTCGGCGTCTATTCTAATTTAATTTCCTCCTCGTCTCCCTATTTCTTTCCAAATCTCCCTCTACATCAGGGAGTTGTATACATAATACGACGAATATTGGTACGGTACGGGACAGATACAGGAGCCTGCAAATATTGTGGACAGCTGTTATGTACAATCCTGTAGAGCCTTTGTAGTCACAGATACGGGACAGATACGGGACAGATACGGGATAGCTCCAGCCGTGACACAAACAAACAAACAAACAAACAAACAAACACCAAACGAGAGAGCTTGGAAGCTCAGGGCCCTGCGCTATGCTTTGTTGCCTAGCTCATCGTGCATGTTGTTAGAACTGATGGAAATGCTTTTTCCTTTGATTAGCTACATCATTGTATTGCAAAAACGTTTCAATGAGATACTGAAGTACAAGTAACGCCTTCTGCATAGCTATGGGACCGGCGCTGACTCTGCCGATCACGGGCGTTCTGGAGTCGACGGGATGTCTGTCCTGACGTTTCTTGGGACCGGCGCTGACTCTGCCGATCACGGGCGTTCTTCTTCTTCTTATTATTATACTGACGGCAACTAACATCCATTCTGATTGCATTTACTCGTCTCCCTACTTCGTATTTTTTTCAGAAAATCTCCCCATACAGCAGGGAGTCGTTTACATAATATGACTCCCTGCTGTATGGGGAGATTTTCTGATTGCATTCACTCGTCTCCCTACTTCGTATTTTTTTTCAGAAAATCTCCCCATACAGCTGGGAGTCGTTTACATAATATGACTCCCTGCTATAGATCTACATGACTGTATATACGTTATAATTACTCAATCTGATACGTTATAATTATTATGCTATCAGCCTACATGCGATCCCCGGGCTGGTCGACAGGCGGACCAGCCAGCCTGCTAGTGGGTTCTCGGCCTCGCACACAAATCCACACAAAATGTTACTGCACTGAATGCATTCCCCCGATACACTTCGCATATATACTCATTCTCTTGATGGTACCGTACTCTTGATGGTACGGGACAGGTAGGGGATAGCGCCAGGCATGTCGATGGCACAAACAAACAAACATATAGTAGCCAGCTGTCTTTGCTGGTACGGTACAGTACGGTACAGATACGGGATAGCGCCAGGCGTGACACAAACAAACAAACAAACAAACAAACACCAAATTAAAGCTGTGTGGACCCTGGCTAGCGCCAGACGTTACTGAAGTAACGTCTTCTGCATAGCTACGGGAATTAAACCTGTGTGGACCCTGGCTAGCGCCAGACGTTACTGAAGTAACGTCTTCTGCATAGCTACGGGAATAAGTTATAATATAACCAACAACCCACTACTTCTTTCTAACCTCTCAACCGCCGCACCGCTGGGTACCTCCGACCACGACATTGTCCTCGCCAGACTCCAATTACAAGGTCAGCGAGACACACAAAGTGTTGCCATCCCTGACGAACCAAGTCAGTTCAACCCTAGCTTCCTTCGATACATCCCTCCGAGCCTGCGAAGAGTGGTCCCTCGTTGGTCAGTGCTTATCGACTATCGATTGGTTCAGCGAGCTCCAGATTCCTCTTGGTAACCCATCCCATTCAGTGGACTTACTCAACCATATACTGATGAGCACAATATCGTCGTACGTTCCTATGCGCCGCATCCGACAGCCATCCAATCGCCCACAACTTTCCCAACCTCCCTGGCTGACACCAGCCCTGCGAGCTCAGATCAAACGCAAGCGTGATGCAGTCAGTCTGTACAAACAATTCCCAACACCCGCAAATCAGGCCAGATACAAGACAGAACGGAACAACACCCGCAATCTCTCCCGCTCAGAGCACCGTGCTTACGCTAACTCCCTTACACTGTACTCACAGGCCACAGCGCCAACATCACGGCCAACGCTACATACATTTATCCGATCAGTACATTCACCACCCAGCCAGCGACAGTTCACAACGCAACTAACTGTTCAGGATGAAACGTTTACATCACCTTCTGACATTGCAAATGTTTTCAACAAGCAGTTCGTAGCATTTGGCACCTCCAACAATCCAGAGTGGACTATCCCGCCCATTGCTGACACTGATAGCACCTCCTTCTTCACAGACATTAGAACAACTCCTACCAGCGTTGCTAAGTACATAAAACGCCTCAAGCTGCACAAGGCAGCTGGCCTGGATGGTATTACAAACGAACTACTAAAGATCCTTGGTCCGTCAATCTGCGATCCATTGAGTTTAATTTTTAATCTGTCCTTCTCATCTGATGTTTTTCCATCTGTCTGGAAACGCTCCGTTGTTGTCCCCATTTACAAAAATAAGGGCAGCAAATCCGATCCAACAAATTACCATCCTATTTCCCTCCTTTCTGCAATATCGAAGCTGTGTGAGCGCGTCATGTACGACCAGTTGTATGCCCATGTAAACCCTCTACTATCTCCAGCCCAGTCTGGATTCCGCAAAGGAGATTCTACCGCGTGGCAACTTGCACGCCTTACTCAGAACCTGTTGGAATGCAGACATCAGCACAACTTCAGCCTAGTTTGTTTCTTCGACCTATGAAAGGCCTTTGATACAGTGTGGCACCGTGGTTTGTTGGCCAAAGTCGCCACCTTCAACATCGGTGGCAATGTTCTGCGGTGGCTCGAAAGCTACCTATCCTGCCGGGTCCAACAGGTCAGGGTGTCCCAACCGCTCGAAGTATGTTCCGGTGTGCCACAGGGCTCAATACTTGGTCCTCTTCTCTTCTTGCTCTATGTAAATGACTTAACTCGCGTTCCAAATACCTCCCTGTACGCCGATGATACTACTCTTGAGGCATCTGAACTTTCTCTGCCCATGGTGTGTAATTCTTTGCAGTCGGAAATTCGCTCAGTGGTTGAATGGATGCGTCTCTGGAAACTTCGACCTAATGCTGGAAAGACTGTCATATTGTGCATTCCACTTCCCTGACGACAGGACACCCATCCCAATTGTTAGCCACCACAAACACCTTGGAGTCATCTTTGACTCAGGCATGAATTGGTCCCACCATCTGGAGTATCTCGAGCGCCGGACAAGTTCGGCTGTTGGTGTTCTATACAGTCACATGAGCCATTTACCACTAGTATATCGTCGGGCTTTCTACGCCTCCTATATCTTACCCATAATTTTATACTGTAGCATTGTTTGGTGCAGTGCTGGAGCAGGAATGCTTACGCGGCTTGAACTAATGCATCGCAGGATTTTGAGAGCGATATTTCGCTACCCACTTGACACCCCATCAACAATTCTGTATTCCCAATACAAAACCTGTCCTTTACAAACCATGATTAACAGACTCTGCTGTAGATTTATCCATCAGATTAAACTGCTGAAGGCCCCAATGCATATTCAAAATGCGCTTAAAACTGGTTTAACTCCTCTTCGTCAAGTCGTAATTCACTAAGATTCCCTATTTCAAGAAATAACTCAATGAGTCGCTCGCCTGTTTTCATTAGCTATTAGAGAGGTTCAGTGATTCGTTGTCAACTCGTAAACGAAACGAGATCGATTTCGTTTTGTATTCGGCTCGTGCAGTGCCCAAAATAGGTTCAGTGACTCGTGCACGAGAAGACAGCGAGTCGCATCATGATTGCCATGGTAAATATGGCGGAGAGAAAATTTGAAAGATCTTTCTGCAAAATTTCTTCGCGCACGACTTTTTCAGCTCGGTTCTTCACTGCCCGGCTGGTGATGCCGCCCAGCTTCGGCTCCGACCGTGACAGGGCGTTGCCGATGTCCTGCCAAGCCCTATTCCCTTGCGGTAAGGCAAAGACGTTTTCATGTCCGGAGGACAAGATCAAGTTCAGCAACTTGATGTCATCTAAGACTGCAAACTTCCGAATTCTTCTGCATTCTACAGGAGTTGCTCCAGAGGGAGACACGGGGGTGGAGGGGGACGTTGGGGGAGCCTGCACTTCACTTGACATTGCGGAAAAAGGAAAGGAAAAATTCTTACCAAACACAACGAAAGTGAAAACGAAAGAATCGATAATCAACAAAGATGAAAAAATTTCAAAAAAGTCAAAAAGTTTTCACACTTTCTGGGGCAGATCGATCTCGGAGCTGCATACGAATCAGACAGGCCGGATTCGTAAAAACGAATCTTCTGAACGAGATGTCAACGAGACTCTAACCCGGACCGGGTGTCAGCACTCGTTTCGTTCATGAAAAACGAGTCACTGAACCTCTCTATTGTCTCTGGGACTCGCTTCCCCAAAAACTGAAATCATGTGAAAACATTTCTGCCTTTGTTCGTGATCTCTCGGACCATCTCCCGTAAACCTAATAATACAACTAATACTTGATTTGCAGCCCAATCTCTTCTTTTATTGTTGTTGTTCTGATTTGCACTTGTTTTTTTTTTCCTTTGAATTTGAAGTTCTCCCAATCCTTTCCAAATTTAATCACTTTCTTTCACCTCTGGTAGTTTCCAGAAACTGACCGTGGTTGGTCCCCTGGGGGAGGGAAAAAGACCCAAGTGCCATCAGTATGTGTGGCACGTGTTGTGGGCTGCCTTTGGAGTGAAAAACTTGTCAGTGCCTTCTGGGTTCAGCCTGGTCCCATAGCTCAGTGGTTAGAGCATTGCTCATGACAAGCAGGGTCCCAGGTTCGAGTCCTGGTGGGTCTGGCGTTTTTTTCTCTTTTCAGGCAGTTCACTTCCCCGACTGATCCTTTGAATAATAATAATAATAATATTTATCCGCAAATTACACCGCAACTTATGCCATATTTATCTGCAAATTGCACCGCAAATTTTGAGATTATTCCGTGATTTTCCCCGGGGACAGCCTCTCCTTGCACGACCCTTGACGCCCTGGAATTGGTACAAATACAGATCAGCTAGCTGGACGTACACATGTACAAGGACAGTGATGTAATCAAAACTGGTCCAGGGCGTCAGTTTTGTACTCTGGGTTGGATTATACCGAGCACAACTGTAGTATGGTGTGCAACTACCATACTTCCCGCAGTGTTTGTCGCACCTAAAAAACCTTCAAAACTCAAAACTGCGCACACCATTCTAGCTGTGTCAACTATCAAACGACAACTACATGCTACTGTTCCCAGCTACTAATAGTAGTACTAGTAAATAGCAGGTTTTCACTGGGGTCATAGCCACACTGATAAATCAGCAACACACACACATGTACAGGCCCAAACAGGTTTCTTCTCCAGTTTGTGAAGCACATCTCACCATAGTGCTGGTCATTGCTGTGGAGCTTGCTGACAAATGTGTTCATCTCCGTCTTGGGGAAGTTAGTCGGGGACAGGGTAAAGTCCTTGTACTACAGTACAGTGCAAGAAGAAAACAACAACACCACCACCACCATGACATACTTCAAGTACATGTGCCCTAGTCGGCGTGACCAGTGATCATTTACGTCGCACAGCAGAAGCAGGAACGCAACTGCATGACCGTAAAATCAGGATGAAACATAAGAATTCGTTCAACTTTTCACGCCCATGCGATGGGTGCACAAAACAATGGAGTTTGAATGTGAAACAGCGAACGGAGTTAGACTAATCACGTATTAATAAATGCAGACGGTTGCTGGATCCACGGCGCACCTTTTAACAGAACTGTTCATGCATGAAAAGTGCGAAACCGTCACTAAATGCACGTGGTCACATTGTCACATTTTCATTGGCAGACTAATTCTGTGGAAGTTCATCGCAGTTAATCTGCACTAAAGCAATGCCAGGTGAACCTAATAGCTAAGCGATCATGCAGACCTGCTCTTTGCAGAATCGTATTCTGTGAGTGTGTTCAATCCTTTTGCCAGACAAACAGAGAGAAGCTTGTTGTTTTGATTTCTGCTCCAAGTTAGTTGTCCTCTGGCATGCATAGACCCAGAAATGGTATTCATAGGGGAGAAATTAATAGTAAGAAAAGGACCAAGGAACTACAAGTTATGCTAAAATGTCCACTAACACCACCGGTTACTTGATAATCAGCTGATGTGGATAACATTGCACAACACTGACCGACGGTACTGACGTTCTACAACTAACTGGCTATCAGCTCTAGCATGTCTTGGGTGCGCACTCCAACAGCCTTCAACAGCCTTCCAACTTTCCCCTCCTATGTTATCATAAATATAACTTAGAACCTTCCAAGTTGGAAGGCTGTTGGAGTGCGCACCTTCATCCTTGGTCCTTTTCTTCACTACTCAAATGAAATCGAACACCTGAAGACAGTCGTTATAACGGACAACTCGATGATTGAACAAGATAATTATAGGTAGTCGATGACCAATTTTCAATGATCGTTTCATCCTTACAAATGCGGATATCATTTCTGGGGTCTATGCATGCCAGAGAACAACTTATAAGCGAGAAAACAGCATTTCTTCTGTAAAAGTTGTTTCACTTCCAACGAGGTTTGAGCTGTGATTTGACTGTGCTGGAAAGTATTTCGGTTTCTATTCCGTCAATTTCTGCTGCTTATCCAGCAGTTTACTAATTCCTCCTTCTTTGAAGTCTTTCCTTGCATCCTTTTACATGTGCTTTTCACCCCAATCTCAATCCTGCCCCCCCCCCCCCCCCCCGAGCAGTGTTAGGAGGTCTCTTGTCCTTCAATAAGCCACCACCCAGGGCGAGACTTATGTACTGAATTTGACGGTGGCTGCTCCTGACTGATTTGATAAGTAGCATAATGTACTAGTGAGTTAGCTTACCGAATCCATGTAGTCAATGTCAGTCCACATCGTATCCAGAGGAATCTATCAATAGCATTAGCAACAAGAGCAATGAATACATGTGTACATACACGGGGCACGGACATACACGCACACACGCGCGCGCGCATGCACATACACATGTACACACACACACACACACACACACACACACACACACACACACACACACACACACACACACACACATCCACACACGCACGCGCATGCACATACACATGTACATACACACACATACACACACACACACACACACACACACACACACACACACATCCACACACACACGCACGCACAAAGGTACATGCTCACACGATCCGTTCTAACACTTTCGTTTCACAGTGCACTTATCACCCACAGCATTATGAACAGATCCATTGCGTCCTTGCACTGATTTACAGTGCACCAATGACAACAGCACAGTTGCCAATTGAAAAATATGTTACCAGTCCCCTGTATTTGATTGTCAGCCAGTACAGTGGCCACTGAGATTGCTGAAGTCAAGGCTACAGTGAAAGTCAGTAATTACAAATGCAGTATGGTATAAAGGAGAGCTATACATGCACTGCAGAAGTTACCTGGTGGGATGCATAGTTGGACACAACAGTTTCCAGAGCCTCCACATTCTCGTATCCGTAGCGGCACTGGTGGAAGCCCAGTGCCCAGTAGCTGCAACACACAACACACAACAGCCATCAAACACCACAACACACAACACACAACAACCATCAAGCACAATAATGTGACTGAACGCTACGTTCATGCAGATCTTGGGTGCAGCGGCCAAAACGTCTCTTCTTCCTCCAGTCCCCCCCCCCCCCCCCCTCCCTTCTCCTCTTCTCTGCATCCCTCCCCTCCTTCCTTCCTCAAGCATGGGTACATGTACGACAACTTACGGTGGCATATGAGGACGGCCGATGACCTGCTGATATTGAACGGCCACTTCTTCAGGAGTGGGGCCCAGGAAGAAGTAGAAGTCGAGAACACCTGACAGTAACGGCAACAGCACACACAACACCTACGTATAACATACGGGTACAGTAATGGCTACAGCATACACAGCAAGCATAATGTATGTTTCGGTTGCTGTGTAATATGTGTATGCTGTAGCCATTACTGTACCGGTGCTGCTTTGGAGAGCCATGGCACAATGAGTCAATGACTACATCCAAAGTGCATGACAAACAAGAACAAGACCAGCTGCTCCTGAAGACGTCTTCTCTATTCGTTTACATATGCTCCTCTGTACATCTGGACAAGATTACTCACGACACACTGCACAATATGAATGGCACCCAATGGCGTCCTGTGCTACCAGACGCAGTACATGTACAGTAGTAAGAGCAGTAGCAACTGCATGGCTGTAGGAATGTGTGAAGGCTAGCATGCTTGTAGCAACTGCATGGCTGTAGGAATGTGTGAATGCTAGCATGCTTGTAGCAACTGCATGGCTGTAAGAATGTGTGAAGGCTAGCATGCTTGTAGCAACTGCATGGCTGTAAGAATGTGTGAAGGCTAGCATGCTTGTAGCAACTGCATGGCTGTAAGAATGTGTGAAGGCTAGCATGCTTGTAGCAACTGCATGGCTGTAAGAATGTGTGAAGGCTAGCATGCTTGTAGCAACTGCATGGCTGTAAGAATGTGTGAAGGCTAGCATGCTTGTAGCAACTGCATGGCTGTAAGAATGTGTGAAGGCTAGCATGCTTGTAGCAACTGCATGGCTGTAAGAATGTGTGAAGGCTAGCATGCTTGTAGCAACTGCATGGCTGTAGGAATGTGTGAAGGCTAGCATGCTTGTAGCAACTGCATGGCTGTAGGAATGTGTGAAGGCTAGCATGCTTGTAGCAACTGCATGGCTGTAAGAATGTGTGAAGGCTAGCATGCTTGTAGCAACTGCATGGCTGTAGGAATGTGTGAATGCTAGCATGTTTGTAGCAACTGCATGGCTGTAAGAATGTGTGAAGGCTAGCATGCTTGTAGCAACTGCATGGCTGTAGGAATGTGTGAATGCTAGCATGCTTGTAGCAACTGCATGGCTGTAGGAATGTGTGAATGCTAGCATGCGTGTAGCAACTGCATGGCTGTAAGAATGTGTGAAGGCTAGCATGTTTGTAGCAACTGCATGGCTGTAAGAATGTGTGAATGCTAGCATGCTTGTAGCAACTGCATGGCTGTAAGAATTGCCCATTTCACAAGCAATGATGCATTGTGATGTGAAGTGGGGATTGTATGAGGAGCGGAGAGCGGAGATATAACAGTGTATACCAACCCGAAATCGGGTTTTCCTTTGCTCGAGATAGCATTTTCAAAACGCAGTTTTACTAAAATTTGACAAACAAATTTTCGTAAGGAAAACTGCTCCACACGTGATCCATCAGCTCAAACGCGGGAACTCTAGCTTCTTCTTCACCCTTTTTTCAGCGCATTATAGATCTTATTAGGGAGGGTACCCGGGTGGGACTGTTATATCTCCGCTCTCCGCTCCTCATACAATCCCCACTTCACATCACAATGCATCATTGCTTGTGAAATGGGCAATTGCATATCGGAGCTTCGAGCTTCGATATAACAGTGTATACTTCACAGCGCACGTCAACCGGCCTCCGTGGCAACAGTTATTTATGCACAAATGGCGACTACGAGCGTCAGTGATATAATTTTGACGCAGCAAACCAGCACACCCAGGCTGGAATATAACACAAGGCCTAACACCAACTAAATGTGTGGCCACATGAAAACCAAAATCTGGAAAATATTCATATCCTAGTATGGCGGGACGCTAACACTGGCCGTCCCGAAATTACTTGTAATGCGTACACTACGCAGGTAAACTAGCGGATTAGTCCAGAAGGTATGTTTTGCACACAGTCATACCATCATGACGTACACGAATAAGCACACTGTCAGCATTGTTTCAGGGCAGTGTAGATGCTGGCACAGCAGCAGCCAATACTCCAGTTGCGAACTCCTGCTGAATGCGGACTGACGCAGCAGGCCTGGGGTCTCTGAGATAGAAGCGCCGGAACGTAGACTCTTGTTTCCAGCCAACGGCGCGCATGACCTCATCAGCTGACAGGCCAGCGCCTGCAGCCGTCGACGATGCAGCGGCTCGGGTTGAATGTCCTTTGAACACCGACGTGTCAACGCCAGCGGTGGACAACACGGACACAAGCCAACGAGAAATTGTAGCAGCTGATACCGCACGGTGTGGCTTGCGGGCCGAGATGAAGAGCTGCTGAGTACCTGAGGGTCTCAAAGCCTTTGTGCGTTCCAGGTATGCTGCCAAGTGGACTACAGGGCAAACTGCTTCCACCTGATATCTGGCTACGAAGACTCTCTTCAAGCTGCCAGAGCGCTGTGTCTTAGTTAATGCCAACAATTGCAGTGAGACACCTTCCGGCGACAAACCAATGGAGTCGGCTGACAGATGCCGGAGCTCAGATGCCCTGAAAGCACCTGTTATAGCCAGTAGAAAGCACAACTTTAGGGTGTGCTGCTCCAGGGACAGATCCTTCACCGGAGGCCAAGATTGGAGAGTGCCTAGCGGGATTGCCGGGTCCCAGGTAGCCGAATAGCGAGGCGCAGGTGGACGTTGTTGATAAATGCCACGCATCAACCGGGAGACGAGCGGGTGTTGGCCGATCGCGTGGCCGTCCATCGGCTGCAGGGTACTGGACAGTGCAGAGCGGTACACTCCAATGGTCCGGTAGGACTTCCCTGCCGACACTTGGTCCGTAAGGTACTGCAGGACAGTTGCTATGCCGGAAGATGGCGAAACGGGATTAATCTCCCGTTGACGGCACCACTGACACCACAGTGACCAAGCTGAGTCGTAATGTTTCCTCGTTCCTCCACGCCAAGAAGAACTGAGGAGCGACGACACGTCTGCTGAAAGTTGTTGATGCTGCCATATACGCCCGACAGCGGCCAAGCGACTAGGCGCAGCTGTCTCGCTTCCACGAGAGGGTGAACGTCGCCCTGCTCGTTCATGAGTAGACGAGGGTGATGAGGCAGCATTATAGGTTGGTCGACACAGAGGCTCAGTAAGAGGGGAAACCATGGGGCTCCTCTCCACATCGGGGCAACTAACACACACTGAGCTACCTCCTCCCTCTGAATCTTCCTCAGGCACCTCGTCAGGAGACAAAACGGAGGAAACAGGTACGCATTCAGGTCTGACCATGTGAAGCTGAGAGCGTCGGTCCTCCACGAGTGCGGGTCTGGCTTCCAGCTCACAAATCGGGGTAGCTGGGCAGCCGTGCGTGAGGCAAACAGATCCACTTCCAGAGGAAAAGCAAGTTGGTTGGCTAGTCTCTGAAAGACTTCCCGGTGGAGTCTCCACTGTGCTGCTCCCGTTTGCCGTGACCAAAAGTCGGCTTCCACATTCAATTCGCCTGGCCGGTACTCGGCTCTGATGGTGATGTCTTTCTCCAGGCACCATTGCCACAGTTGTTGGGCTTCGCTGTTCAGCTCCGGGCTGGTGGTTGATCGCATTTTGTTGATGCACCATACAGCCGCCTGGTTGTCGATTTCGATGATCACATGAGCAGACCGAAGGTCCTTCGCGAGCGATTGTAGACCAAAAAAGGCTGCACGTAGTTCCAGGCAGTTGATATGAATGTGCTTCTCCGCCACCGTCCAAAGGCCTGATGCGTGGCGATGACCACAGACTGCTCCCCAGCCGACTGTGGATGCTGCATCCGTCTGCATGACCAGGTCTGGAACTGGCAGAGGAATAGAGCGGCCGTTGACCTCCTCCAGGTGCTGAAGCCACCAAGACAGATCCTCCAGTGCTGCTGCGCATAGCGGGACGGTCTCCTCCCATGGTACTTGCCGGCGTAGGGCTGATGCCCGCACTGATTCCAGGCCGCTCAAATGCAGGTTGGTGGGAAGAATCGCGGGTGCTGCAGAGGACAGCAGTCCCAGGATGCTGGCAAGTCGTCGAACCGTACTCTGTCGCTGGGCAATTAAGCTCCGGCAAGTTGTCAACGTCCGATGGACCTTGTCCGTGGGGAGTTCTAATGTCATGGCTATTGAACTGACCTGGAAGCCCAGAAACTCCACCACTTGTACCGGCTGCAGCTCTGACTTGCTGAAGTTCACCTGGAAGCCTAGGGCCAGCAACAGATGAATGAGATTGGCCACATGCTGCAACGCCTCCTGATATGATCCGGCCATGATCAGAATATCGTCCAGGTACACGACCAGACGTACACCCTGTTGGCGGAGGCAGGTGATCACCGGGTGAAGGAGCTTGGTGAACTGCCGTGGAGCAGATGCCAGGCCAAACGGGACAGCCGCAAATTGGTACTGCCGACTCTGCCACTGCACCGTCAGGAAGCGACGGAGGGTTGGATGCACTGGCATGGACAGGTATGCGTCGGTTAAGTCCACTTTCACCATAAAATCGTTCTTTATCAATAGCTCCCGCAGCGTGGCGATACCTTCCATTTTGAAATGGTGGTATTGCACAAACTGGTTCAATTCCCGCAGGTCGGCCACTGGGCGCATCTTGCCATTCTTTTTCGGTACGACAAACAGTGGACTGAGAAAGCCAGGTGTACCAGGGGGCACCTCTTCCAGGGCACCCTTCTCTTGCAGTGCCTGTACTTCCTTCGTCACCACTGCGGTCAACTCTGAGGACATCTGCCTGGGGAGTGGCTTCCGCCACTGGACTGGTTCCCGACTGAACTCCAGGCAAAACCCTTGCACATATTGCGTGACTTCTGGGTCTCCGGTCAGCTGACGCCAGCGTCTGGTCTGACCACCAATTCGGCCGCTCGGACGTCCCTGGACCTCCGAGTCGCTCACCCTCCAGTCCAAGCCCCACTCGGGTAGCTGGGTGCCTTGACATTGCAGGTCTGGTGGGAGCGCCTGCCAGCACACCTCTGGCAGGAAACGTTTCAGGCATTGTTTGGCTTCGGAGGGCCGTGCTTGTTGCCGGGCTGTTGTGGCGACCGGGGCTGCCACTGCGGCTTCTTGGGGTAATGTGGACGGTGAGGGGCATGGCTTGCGGAGGTCCACCCGTCCCTGCGGGCTCCGCTCCCTCGAAAAAACGGCTCACGGGAAGCCTCTGAAGGCTTGCGGCGTTTGGCGTTGCCGTCCCCCTGATCTTGTCCGAAGCGCGACGACCGTCTGTCTTTCCCAGCCACATGACCATGACTTGGCGGCAGCTTACGCAGTACGTCAGCCCAAGCCTTGTCTGTTTCCGCCTGCTTCGTTATCTGCTCGTTCAGGGCAGGGCCAAATAATGACTCTCCCGGGTTAGCAAACTCTGCAGTGGCCAGGCTGGAGAGCTTGGGGTGGATCTTGGATAAATAAATGGAGCGCCGTTTTATGGTGAGTGCCTGGTTAGCATCTCCCAGGAGACGCAGTGCTGCCGTAGCGGCCTCCCGGATCTGTTGACCTTGCTCACCGAGGCCAGAGTTTTGCGTGTGTTCAAGTATGTCACACAACGGACCCACCACATTCAATAATTTCGCCTGCGTCAGGTACTGAGGCCTATCGGGCCGAGCCTCCGAACGAGGCGGCTTCTTGTCAGCCCCATACACCATGCGGGCGACTTGTGCATCCAAAGCCGGGACTAGTGCTGCTGGAGTGTCAGGGCGAGGGTAGCGACGGGAAATGGCCTGCCGGGATTTGCGTCTGAGTTCTGAGCGAAGACATGACTCAAGAAACTAAGTACTTAGCAGTTTCGGGCGAGACATGACGGGTAAAACGGTGCTCTTCCTCATCCCCGTCCTCCGCTGGCCAGTCCGTGTTGGGACCCACACCGTCGGACACCAGGCTATGTGTGCTACCGGAGTCCAAATCATCAGCCTCCACACCCGCCAGCGTCGGACCAAGCGGCAGGTGGCATACTTGCGCCAGATCGCCTGGATCTTCAGGACCACTCGGGTCTGAGGGGAGAGGTCGTAGCCTAGGTGGCCCTCTCGAGGTCGACCGAGCAGCGAGTGGCTGCAGCGTGGGAAAATTTGTCGGGTCGCCCTCAACGGACCCACCACGCGTATGCTCAACACCGGCTCTGGAAGCCTGAGCGGGCTGACTACTGCTGGCAGTAGACCTCGCTAACGAGGAGTCAGCCGATTGGGAAGCAACCGGGATCAGGAGTGGATCAGTTTCCGGGGTACATGTCCCATCCACGATCCGCGAGTCGTGCTCTTGCCCGGACTCCAAATTTCCCACAGGCATGGACGTGTTGTGGCCTTCCAGGGATGCCAAACGCCTCTCCAGTGGGCGCAAGGCATGGTCCAGAGCCTGCTGGACTAGCGAAAAAACATCCTGAGGTGCGGAATCCATACCGAAAACTCAGACAACAGAAAACTTCAACTACACACTTCCTCGAGCAAAGAAAAAAGGTGAAGAAGAAGCTAGAGTTCCCGCGTTTGAGCTGATGGATCACGTGTGGAGCAGTTTTCCTTACGAAAATTTGTTTGTCAAATTTTAGTAAAACTGCGTTTTGAAAATGCTATCTCGAGCAAAGGAAAACCCGATTTCGGGTTGGTATACACTGTTATATCGAAGCTCGAAGCTCCGATATGCAATGTGTGAAGGCTAGCATGCTTGTAGCAACTGCATGGCTGTAGGAATGTGTGAAGGCTAGCATGCTTGTAGCAACTGCATGGCTGTAAGAATGTGTGAAGGCTAGCATGCTTGTAGCAACTGCATGGCTGTAGGAATGTGTGAATGCTAGCATGCTTGTAGCAACTGCATGGCTGTAAGAATGTGTGAATGCTAGCATGCTTGTAGCAACTGCATGGCTGTAGGAATGTGTGAAGGCTAGCATGCTTGTAGCAACTGCATGGCTGTAAGAATGTGTGAATGCTAGCATGCTTGTAGCAACTGCATGGCTGTAGGAATGTGTGAAGGCTAGCATGCTTGTAGCAACTGCATGGCTGTAAGAATGTGTGAAGGCTAGCATGCTTGTAGCAACTGCATGGCTGTAAGAATGTGTGAAGGCTAGCATGCTTGTAGCAACTGCATGGCTGTAAGAATGTGTGAAGGCTAGCATGCTTGTAGCAACTGCATGGCTGTAAGAATGTGTGAAGGCTAGCATGCTTGTAGCAACTGCATGGCTGTAAGAATGTGTGAAGGCTAGCATGCTTGTAGCAACTGCATGGCTGTAAGAATGTGTGAAGGCTAGCATGCTTGTAGCAACTGCATGGCTGTAAGAATGTGTGAAGGCTAGCATGCTTGTAGCAACTGCATGGCTGTAAGAATGTGTGAAGGCTAGCATGCTTGTAGCAACTGCATGGCTGTAAGAATGTGTGAAGGCTAGCATGCTTGTAGCAACTGCATGGCTGTAAGAATGTGTGAAGGCTAGCATGCTTGTAGCAACTGCATGGCTGTAAGAATGTGTGAATGCTAGCATGCTTGTAGCAACTGCATGGCTGTAAGAATGTGTGAAGGCTAGCATGCTTGTAGCAACTGCATGGCTGTAAGAATGTGTGAATGCTAGCATGCTTGTAGCAACTGCATGGCTGTAAGAATGTGTGAAGGCTAGCATGCTTGTAGCAACTGCATGGCTGTAAGAATGTGTGAAGGCTAGCATGCTTGTAGCAACTGCATGGCTGTAAGAATGTGTGAAGGCTAGCATGCTTGTAGCAACTGCATGGCTGTAAGAATGTGTGAAGGCTAGCATGCTTGTAGCAACTGCATGGCTGTAAGAATGTGTGAAGGCTAGCATGCTTGTAGCAACTGCATGGCTGTAGGAATGTGTGAAGGCTAGCATGCTTGTAGCAACTGCATGGCTGTAAGAATGTGTGAAGGCTAGCATGCTTGTAGCAACTGCATGGCTGTAAGAATGTGTGAAGGCTAGCATGCTTGTAGCAACTGCATGGCTGTAGGAATGTGTGAAGGCTAGCATGTTTGTAGCAACTGCATGGCTGTAAGAATGTGTGAAGGCTAGCATGCTTGTAGCAACTGCATGGCTGTAGGAATGTGTGAAGGCTAGCATGCTTGTAGCAACTGCATGGCTGTAAGAATGTGTGAAGGCTAGCATGCTTGTAGCAACTGCATGGCTGTAAGAATGTGTGAAGGCTAGCATGCTTGTAGCAACTGCATGGCTGTAAGAATGTGTGAAGGCTAGCATGCTTGTAGCAACTGCATGGCTGTAGGAATGTGTGAAGGCTAGCATGCTTGTAGCAACTGCATGGCTGTAGGAATGTGTGAAGGCTAGCATGCTTGTAGCAACTGCATGGCTGTAAGAATGTGTGAAGGCTAGCATGCTTGTAGCAACTGCATGGCTGTAAGAATGTGTGAAGGCTAGCATGCTTGTAGCAACTGCATGGCTGTAGGAATGTGTGAAGGCTAGCATGCTTGTAGCAACTGCATGGCTGTAAGAATGTGTGAAGGCTAGCATGCTTGTAGCAACTGCATGGCTGTAAGAATGTGTGAAGGCTAGCATGCTTGTAGCAACTGCATGGCTGTAGGAATGTGTGAAGGCTAGCATGTTTGTAGCAACTGCATGGCTGTAAGAATGTGTGAAGGCTAGCATGCTTGTAGCAACTGCATGGCTGTAGGAATGTGTGAAGGCTAGCATGCTTGTAGCAACTGCATGGCTGTAAGAATGTGTGAAGGCTAGCATGCTTGTAGCAACTGCATGGCTGTAAGAATGTGTGAAGGCTAGCATGCTTGTAGCAACTGCATGGCTGGAAGAATGTGTGAAGGCTAGCATGTTTGTAGCAACTGCATGGCTGTAGGAATGTGTGAAGGCTAGCATGCTTGTAGCAACTGCATGGCTGTAAGAATGTGTGAAGGCTAGCATGCTTGTAGCAACTGCATGGCTGTAAGAATGTGTGAAGGCTAGCATGCTTGTAGCAACTGCATGGCTGTACCGTAAAGTACCGCCAGAGCGCCCCACCATCTCATCCTTTCGTGGTCGTATTGTGGAGGTGGTCTGCTGTCTGTAGGTCATACGACATGAACCTTGTACACATATTGCACGTTTTGCAGTCAATCTGTACCTTCAAGATCAAGAGGACACAAGCTCCACACAAAAACCTGCCAAGTGTGACCTTAGTACACTAAGATTCTCACATCGTACACACTTCGTTGCACTCTGCCATACGATTTTCTTTTCTCTGGCTGTAAAATCAAGGTGGGGCGCTCTCGCGAGACGGGGCGCTCTGGCGGTACTTTACGGTAAGAATGTGTGAAGGCTAGCATGTTTGTAGCAACTGCATGGCTGTAGGAATGTGTGAAGGCTAGCATGCTTGTAGCAACTGCATGGCTGTAGGAATGTGTGAAGGCTAGCATGTTTGTAGCAACTGCATGGCTGTAGGAATGTGTGAAGGCTAGCATGCTTGTAGCAACTGCATGGCTGTAGGAATGTGTGAAGGCTAGCATGTTTGTAGCAACTGCATGGCTGTAAGAATGTGTGCAGGCTAGCATGTTTGCAACGTACCTCCAATCACATTGTATGTGAGGCTGGACGCAGCGAGCATAACATCCATGCCGTTGCTGTTGCGCAAGAACACACCATGCGCAGCGCCAGACTTGCGCAGGTCCATGTAGAACGGATGAGAGCCATCTGTAAACGCGAACAAGAAGAGCATTCACAAGTTACATCAACCGATGCCTCCAAGAAAAGTGTCTGTGGAGACTTTTCGCAGGGTTTAGAGTAGACTCGTATGCATAACACTGGATGCAGGCCTTACTAGTAGTACGGTAAGATACGTACTTCGACACTAAAGAACGTGCATTGCGCGAGTACCATGATCTGCTAGAACATGTTTGCTACACACACGCACGCACACACACACACACACACACACACACACACACACGTGCACAGTCAGATTACCTGACAGTGTGTAACTTGTCAGGCTAGCTGGACGGACAGGTGACCGAAGTGGTCTGCACTCTGCATTTTGTCCCTAACCACACATGTAGACATGTACTGCATCACAATGGATAAGTACGATACAGTCATGTACTGCATCACAATGGATAAGTACGATACAGTCATGTACTTACACAGATTTAAGTTGGGAGGAGTAGCCGTGTCAAAGTTCCACATGGTATATGTTCTGTGGAAACCATGAAGCAAAAAAAAAACAGAAAACCGAAACATTGACAAATTTCTGGATTTGTGTGAAACGCAGTGCATCCTTGAGTGTAGGCGAGTTGCCTCTAAATGATTAAAAAGTCCAATGAAGCTGCGTGAGGCGTCCTTTGGAATGTTGACACCAGCCCTAATATGCAAATTGCAAAGTCACAATGCCAAGAACCTCTGGATAACTAGATACTATTATAGTATGCATAGAAGCAGCACAATTGCAATATAACCGTCAAACAAGTCAGTTGGCTGGCAAAACAGCTAATTATCCTAGAACAACCTGGCAGGGACTTCGTCGCCTGTTCCTAATTCCTACCTAGCTCAGCGCCAGTAGAGGCACTGCAATCCCTTACCCTGAGGAAAGCTTCAGAGCATGGACATGTTCTCCAAGACCATAGATGTTGGGACTAGATGGGAGTTGAGTGGTGATGGACAGGTATTGATCAGAGAACGATACTGTATGCCCGATGCCCATATGCAAACAGTGGAATGCCACACAAAGAACACATAGCAGAATAAATCATCATGTCCAAATAAACCAGCCAGGACTTGGTGTTAGTTCACTTCCATTCAGATAGCACTAGTCTTCATTCATCCTCACTCTTTGAACAAACCACATGATATGATATGAAGAGACAATAACGATGACGTTTTTCCCAATGAGACCAATTTTATGACGCTCCATGTTACTGAAGTATTCACTTTGATCATTGGTTTGTAGAGCCCCATTCTCTAGGAGATATCTACATCTGCTCTGTTTCAATGTCCAGCATAAGCGAACGTGTGGATCAAGCATAACTGCTTGGTTGACGCTGCCACGGGAATGCGTATATTAATACTAACATGACATGTAGTTCAAAGTTTGTCCCTACTTGAAATACATTGTATTTCACATTCGCATGATCTTCATGCCGACAGGGTAATCCTAGCAATGATGTTTTGAGAAGATAGGCAGCAAGAAATAGACATTCCCAGGGACTTACAGCCAGTGAAGCTTGTGGTTCCGGTTGAGTCAAAGATAACATCACCATCAGATTTCCTATCAATATTGATGAAAAGCAAAGAAGAACCAATGCCATCTTAAAATCAACACACCCAACTGGCTCATTGTCAGTATCTCAATTAGACTGTCAAAGCCCCTGTGCAAGTACATGTACTTGGTAAACAAATAACCAGAATCACTTCCAAACTACACATTGCAAAACCTCATAGGTGAGGGGACATCACAAAGGCATTGGATGTGGCAGCATCGTGCAATGTACGTACACATGCTGCCGTCTTTGAAAAATGCTTTAACCCTTTATTGGCCGATTAAAATATAAACAAGCCCACGCCATCGCCAAACCTGTACCTAAATTGGACGTAACTTTAGTTTGCACTGGACGAATTCCACGATCTTGGGCATCCGGGAAAGGCCTTGGCGAGAGGAGCGCAATGAGCGTACACTCGACTCCACGGGATGCACTGGCCCAGCGCTGAAAGCCAGGGAAGGTCCACCAGCGCTGGGCTCACGCTCGAGATCTATCTATATCCACCATTTCACTCCTGTTGCTCGTATCAAACTCAACATTTTTCGTAGAGACTCCGGGAACCTGCTTTTGAAGTCGAATTGGTGTAGCCTTGTCAACAGGTGACGTAAGCAGGGAAAATCCCGGTCGTTGACCCATGCATCGCGCTCTGAGCGCAAATTTCCCGGGACCAACATTACGAGTGTTATAACTCAAGAACCGCTCTTTGTATCGCTTCGAAAATTGTTCGAGGCGCCAGCTGAGAGTTTTCTCTTCAACCTACATATTTCGATCTCTCCGAAAGACTGATATTTGACCAAGTTACGATAATTTCAAAATGCCTACCCCATCGAACATCGGTGTTCGATCAATGTATGGGCCGGCCAATAAAGGGTTAAAAGGAGTTTGTACGTTCAGATTCCGGTTTAGCGAGGACGCTACTAAGTAGCAGCGAATGAACTTCCGGGCAGGCTCACGGCTCTACGTTGATAAAGTATACCGATGTTACCTTGTGCTTACCGTGCTATCTTGATAAAGAACACCTGACCAGGATCAGCAACAGTGACTGTGTACATCGGGTTAGATGCTCGCTTGGTAGGTGGGTCTGGTACAGGTGAAAACCTACAATTGATGAACAGTATACATGTACGAACAGCAAAATTTGAAGGAGAGAAGAGAGAAAGAGATAGAAGGGAGAGGACAGGGGAGGAGAGAGAAAGACAGAAACACACACAGACAGGAAGGCAGAGTGAGTGAGAGAGAGAATTCAGCAAAGGCTTGATTATCCAAACAACGACGTACCAACACAGCTCCAGCCGACAGATTCACAAAATATACCGGTAAATAGCCGAACCACAAAACAGGAGCAAGAGTAGACTTTGATGAATGTTGACATCTTTATTCATGCCCTTGTTCCCCCCCCCCCCCCAAAAAAAATCTTACACCGACTGGGTGCATTCTAGGGGTGAAACGGTTCGGGTAAGGAACCGGTTTTGGAACCGCCAGCTGAAAAGAATCGGGTACCCGTTCCGTCAAATTTCGAACCGAAACTCGAAAAATCTCGTTTTCGTACAAATACATGTACACGTCAAGTCTACTCCAGATTTAAATGTCTTACCTTACGATCACCGCTCTTCCAAAGAGTTCTCTAGGTCATTATCTTCTTCGCATATGGACTCTCCGACGTCTCGTTCTTGCTCGTAAACATGTTTTTCTAAAAAATAATTGTCTTTGTCAGTCTGGAGAAAAGAGTGCATGGAACCGATACCCGAACCGTGGGAAACTATGCTGGCATTAGGGTACTGTACCCGAACATGAAAAACATGGAACCGTTTCACCCCTAGTGCATTCCCTCCTCTATAATAACCATTATCATTCTGAAGAAAACATTGGATGTAGAAACGTTAACTATATCAGTATCTAATGTCGAAAGAAATATTGTAAGCGCACTCATAACTTAAAACAACACCAATGGAATAATATCGAAGGACAGTTCCATTGGTGTCGTGGTATGAGTGCGCTCACCATATTTCTTTCAATATTAGGTTTCTTGTCTCCACGCCGACTTTATATCAGTATCCATCAGAGTTTAGTCTTGCTCGTGTTGTGTGGTCCAGCTACTGTAAAACGGCTACTTTTAGCGATGGTGGTATTTTAGCGATTTTAGGGAAAGGAGTGTTTTCGCTAAAGTTTTGCCGCGCCAATCGAAATTTTGCGTGTCCAGTACAGTGAGTGTAATCATCCTTTTTTTGAACTCTGAAACTCGGATCGGTAAAATATTTCATCGCGAATTAGTCCACATTCAAAAAACACTAAAGTTTTACCCGCTAAAATTAGCCTTTCTACAGTATTTACTATTGTAGACAACCAGCCAGACAGCCAGATATACAGAGATCATAATGCATGCACAGGCAGAAGGGGGAGAGAGGACAGCTGCAGCATGTACCGCAGTTCAACCCAACCAGCAATATCAGTGGTACATCACCCGCACAAACTTACTGGCTTGGCACTTCCCATCTCATGTCGTTATCATCCGTAAACTTGACATGCAGTCGCTGATCAGTATCAAAGTCAATTCGCAGTGTTACGGGTGTGATGGCAGCGCCATGACCAGCTACATCAACACCAGATGCATGCAGGACACATTATAGATATAATAATTACTAAGCTGCGCCTCCAGATCCGAAAAGGGGGCTTATGTAGTTTCAGGCAGTATTGAGAAAAAATGCATTCGAAAGTTGAGCTGAGTTTTCCATATAAAGCGATGTAAGTACATGTACACTTATTCAAACACCCATAACTCTGTGACAGATGAAGATTTAGGACTTAGGCTTTTTACACAGTGATCTGCTGGATGACAGCAATGTCGTGGTACAGACAATTCAAAAATGCTCAAAAATGACATAAGCCCCTCTTTTGGATCTACATAGAGACTCCTATGCAAGTGTACATGAACTGAGAACATGAACACGCACACGCGCACACACACACACACACACTCACACACACACACACACACACACACACACACACACACACACACGTACACACACATATACGTACACACACATACACATATACGTACACACACACATACACATATGCGTACACACACACACACACATACACACGCGCACGCACACACACACACACGCACATGCACACGCGCCAATTGTTATAGAGATGATAGCATAAGCTATGCTAGAACAGTAGAGCGCCAACTCGAGCTGGAATTGTCCACCACTCAGTTACACCTTGTAAAAGGCTGAGGCATTGGCCGCTGTTGCGGTCGTCCATTGGCTGCTGGCCATCACGTATTCAGTGCTTCCAGGTACCAGTACTCTGTAGCTGACCCATATACAAATCTCTGCCCCTAACCTGTGGCCCACTCGATCCGGTGAAGTATGCACAGGCATGACATGATACGCTCTCTTTGTCTCTGTCTATCTGTCTCTCTCCTTCTATTTTTTAGATCACAGAGGTACCCGATTGGGTGTCTGGGTGCCGCAGGAAAGGGCTTGCAACATTCAGGACACCATTCCAGAGAAAAGAAAAAGAATACCAGTTGCTAATCCACTGGTTAGTATTCAGTGGCACCAATAGGGACAACAACACATTGCATCTCCAGACGACTGCATTACGTCCACTCAAACTGTGCCTGTAAGCAGTACACTACAGGAACTAACCCGAGGTGTTCTTGGTAATCAGGGATACCTACAGGCACACAGACACACACACACACACACACACACACACACACACACACACACACACACACACACACACACACACACACACACATACACATACACACATGCACACACACACACACACATACACACACACACACACACACATACACACACACATACACACACACACACACACACACACACACACACACACAGATAGATACACACACACACACACACACACACACACACACACATACACACACACACACACACACACACACACACACACACACACACACACACACACAAAACATAAACATGCATGCAAACAAAGCATTTTAGGAGACAGACATGACATTGTTCGAATGTTCATAATGCCGCAGCCGGCTATAAAGTTCTGATACAGATAGGGCGCTTTGAGCAGACACCACATACGGGTGCTGAAAATGTGCACACACACACGGTGCATCTGGCCACTGAACAATCATTCCCTGCTGGGATCTCATTGCCAGCAACAGCATGATTTTAAAATGACTGCTTGCTACACGCTCTAGCTCTGGGATACATCTGCGGCGGTGGTGTACAAGGAAAATTGCCCAGTCCCATGTGTGGATTTCTTGCTCCCAGGCCCAAGCACAAACTCAATAGCCCCAGCACCAGGCATGTACTAACAACAGAGTAGACACTGAAATGCTCTGAAATAGTTCTACGCACACACACACATGCTCATGCGGGAGACAGCTGTGTGGCAGAAGGAAAACCAAAACCCACTTTGGTAACTACTGGGAGGAAAGCAGACATGCAAGTGTAGTCATAGTAGTGCTCGGCTGCCTTGGCGACACTGTGTATACAAGGAAAAAATGATGTACTCCAAGTACATGATGTGGAAGACAACTTTTAGCCACAGCACCAACAATGGCGGCAGAGGTAGCAATGGCGGCATAGGTAGCAATGGCAGCTACAGCAACAGCAGCAGAAGGTGTGGTGGAAACAGGCTTCCAGGAGCAGCAGCAGCAGCAACAGCAGCGGCAACAGCAGCGGCAACAGCAGCGACAACAGCAGCGGCAATAGCAGCAGGTGACAGGTGGTGGTGGCAGCAGCAGCAGATGAAATACATTCCAAGTTACCTTTAATCCAGTAGTGGTGTTGAGAACAGCCTTGACAACATAGCTTGGAGGTGCACTGTTAGGGTAGAAGCACCACGGTGAATGATCCTAAAAACACAGACGGTGACAGACATGAAAGAAAGACCGCAATGTGCAACAGACCTATCATATTGCCCATCCAGGTGATTTAGTCGACTCCTAACACAAGAGCTGGCTTTCGAAAGCGATGTAATGACTGCTAGCAGCCGATAGTAATCAGCTGCAGTTGCCAATGCTGCAGGGTGAGACTGTACTTGGGATGGTCACTGGCAATCAGCCAATGCTGCATGGTGACATTGGACTTTGGCTGGTCACTGGCCATCAGCCAATGCTGCATGGTGACATTGGTCAGACTGGACTTTGGATGGTCGCTGGCCATCAGCCAATGCTGCATGGTGACATTGGTGAGACTAGACTTTGGATGGTTACTGGCCATCAGGCAACGCTGCATGGTGACATTGGTGAGACTGGACTTGGGATGGTCACTAGCCATCAGCCAATGCTGCATGGTGACATTGGTGAGACTGGACTTTGGATGGTCACTGGCCATCAGGCAACCAGGCAGCTCATCAGGTGACCACCGTAAGCTGTTCTACTCTGCATAATGCAGTGCTGGCGGCAGACTATTGCGATCTATTCAGAAGGAAGGGACACGTAGCATTATCACTGGAAATGTTCTCACAAACTGCCAGAACTCGTATGTACCAGTAGCATGTCAGCACCAGGATAACTAAGGCTGCGTTCGAATTGTCCTCATCACCTTTTCGAGAAACATCTTAGAAGAGATTAGTTGAAGTATCCCTATAGAACGGTGGCAATCAGCCTCATCATTTCCTTTGGGATTGTCATAGCAATGAGATTTTCCAAGCGTGCTTCTGACGTGATTATAGGCTTCCCTTACCGTTTGTGCAGGTTTTATCATTGGCACTACGGGAAATGTATACAAAAGGCAGTTCTCGCAGAAATAGTCCAAGCTCTTCTAAACTAATCCACCTCTCCCAATGGATGAGGTTGTGGAGCTTTGAGGAGTTTCGAGGAGACTTTCGCTTTCTGAAGAGGCCAATAAGCCACCTCTGCAGAAAACGATACTCCTCGAAAAGTCAAAGAGTGACAATTCGAGCCCCCAAAGTAAAATAAAATGCACATAGACAAAAGTCTAGATACCTTCACTTACAGGGAACTCATGCCAGCAACATCCCTTGTCCAGGCATTGCTGCTGAGTAATGCCAAAAAATCCTAATTCAGACCAACAAAAATAAGCCAAAACACACACACACACACACACACACACACACACATAGACACGCGCTCACACATGCACACACACACACACACACACACACACACACACACACACACACACACACACGCATGCACACACACGCATGCACACACACACACATTCACATACACGCACACACACACATGCACCAGCGAGTAGAAACCTGGCATTAGTCAGACTGCAAAGATAGCCGCCAATGCCCCATCGCATGCAAAAGGAGTGCAATCAAAATATTTGAGAGCATGCGAAGATTGTCAGTGTTGGGGAACTTGGGCAAGTTGAGTCACTCGCTGACGAGGAGAAGCCCGTCTGTCAGCCCTTCATGAAATGCTATTGTTACAACAAATCATGCATGCTGGACTCGCTTGCACAAAGTGATCCAGTAGATTGAGTCTATGCTGTTTGTCTGCGAAGTATCATGCCAAGTACCATGCGGGAGCAGACGCTGAGAAGATGCAGCAGATGAACGAGCAACAGGCTAAACCGATGATGCAGCAATTGAAGGAAAGGACTGAGAACCTAGCGGCAATAACTGACACAGTGCTTCGGGCTATAAATACTTCCCCAGTGGCAATGACTGACACAGCAGGGCTGGAGGCAGCTTCTGCGGAGCGGCCGAAGGGCCATCTTTAAGGGGGGTCTGGGGGTCCTCCCCCAGATTGTTTTGGAATTTAGACGGCAAATCCTGCACTCGGGGCGACTCCCTGTAAAAAATCATACTGAAGTACATCGAAACTTTTTCTCCCCGGTTTTGGACGTTCCACGTGGACCGACTTTTTGGGAAGTTGGTACGGCCATGGCCGTACCGGACATACCAGTGGCGCCGGCCCTGCACAGTGCTCCAGGCTATCAATACGTCCGTCATTATTGGCAGTCTTACAACGAGCCAGGAGATGTTGAATAAAAATAAAAATAATAAAGAATCACAAGACATCCATCAAGCTTCCTGGATACCGCAAATCCACGGGCCTCTCAAAACATGTGTGGGAATAGAAAGATAATGGCAAGACGCACGACATCAAGTGGCGAGTGGTTCAGAAGGCCAAGGCCTACAGCAACATAACGAAAAGATGCAGCCTGTGCCTCGAGGAGAAGGCGAGAATAATCACTGCTGACAGGAGATCAAGCCTCAACAAGCAGTCGGAGTTGATATCTAAATGTCGACATCAAAATAAATTCATGCTATCAACACCAATAACATGATCTTCTCGGCACCCTGCTTCCAGGCAGTAGAGCCAGTTGACAGCCCTCTGCCGCCTTGTCACCATCATCATCTTTGCACCGCACATCTCACTAGCTGTGCCAACTTGGTTGTACCGTTTTATCACTTTTATCACCTTTCTTAGTACCGCGATCCTTACTGGCTATGGCACTGAATCGGATATGAGTTGATAGCGCCCCTAGCGCTTTCTGTTATCCTTGTCCCGCCATACTGGGCTTTAAATAGTGGGTTATTTTTCTTGATGTTCATATCACCTGATGAGTGCCTGAGATGGCATGAAACTTTAAGTTGTGACTGATTAGGCCATCTGTTGTTCTGACTAGTGTAAATAAAAATAAAAAATAAAAATAAATGAAATCACTACAATCTAAGTGCATTCTGGCACATGACTATGTTGGCGAGCATCCACCCTCATTAGTTCCCCCACAATGTAGATTTGTGTTTCATACTACTACAGCTGCTATTATGCAGACCACTGTATTGACCATCCATATTCGATATGTGATCATGATAGGACTGCCCTTGCTCACTATTGGCACTCTCCTGCCACTCAAGCGGCCAACACTAAATAGTCGATACTATGTGTGCTTTTTCATTTAGACTATATTTGAAGGATTCTCCAAAAGTAAATGGATACTTATCGGGGGAGTTCCCTGGAAGGGTGGATGAGACGAAAGGGAAGTGAAAAGGGGCTAGGGAAAATACTTAGCAGAAACACTGCTCAAGGAAAACTACAGATAAAACACACCAAGGAGAAACAGAATACATGACGAGCACTAGATATGAAAATCAGGAATTCCAGTCGTGGAGAATTTATATTTTAAATAATGGTCCTTTACGAGAAACCGAAACTTAGCAGAAGATCGCTCCCTGCGTAGGCTCAGGGAGCTTGTTCCAGACAACTGATAAACGGAAAAGAGGAGATTTAAGAAATGAGTTCCAGAACGAGGCAAACTGATAGAGGAAGGGCTTTTCCATCGATGAACAAATAACATGTGTCTGGTCATCTATTTGGTTGTCATAGTTACATAAGCCTGAACCATGAACGAGGGGGGGGGGGAGCTGGGCCTCCCCACTTTTGCTCTTGTTTTCGTATTGGGGGCCTCGGCGGGATGCAGGGCGACTCCCAAGAGCAGGGTTCCAGCCAGCCAAAGGGGGTAGGGGAGGGGGGGGGGGGCAGCGCCCACTTACTCCGATAGCGCACCACCCTACTCATATTTCGATTTTTTGTGTTTTTTCAGTTCACCCAGCGAAAATGCGACCACAAGTCGCTCGTTCTGGGTGCTCTGTGCGAGCACTCAGAGGAAACGCCGAGTGTCCCAAATATCCAAAACTGGAAGGAATTAAAGTAATCAGTGTTCCTGGTCAAACTGGGAAACACAGGACTAAGGCAACATGTCAGGAGGTACGGAAAGGACCACTTGGCAGCCTTAGAGTCAGGTCACTCTGGTCGAGCCTGAGACCGGCTGAGGGGAGGGGGGGGGGGGGGGGGGCGTGTACGAGTGCACTAGACATCCGAGGATGAAATGATTGAACGGATTCAGGCGTGCCATGGTGCGTTTTTGAAAACATTTTGGAAAGAGGTCACTCTGGTCGAGCCTGAGCCCAGTTGAGGGGGGGGGGGCGTTGTCTACGAGTGTGCTAGGCATCCAAAAGTTGGGCATTTGATTTGTGGAAATGTTTCGCATTGGCTGTACAAATGAATTTAATAGGTACAATCAAGAGTACATAAACCAGAGTGTGCAACTCGGGATGGTTTCTGTGGGAGCGTAATTCGTGCAGTACGTCATTTCTGACGGCATGGTAAGCCACAGGTACGGTGAAAAGTTGCGTAACCAGTCACAGTGGTGCAGGTCACTGAGTTTGTCCTGATTTCGGTTTTTTGATACGGATAGCATGGTGGATTTACTTGCCAGCGGATGTACACATCGTACGCAGTCACACAAAAACACCGAAATCCTAAAACAGGACATCTAAATCATGCAAACTTGGCTGATTTCCGGACTGTGAAACACGAAAATTTGAGCTGTACGCAAGTCGCAGCTTGGCTGCAGCGCTGACCTCATCAGGGTGACGTAGTGCACGAACTGCTCTGTTTCAGATCAGATATGCACAGTTAAACACTCTGGTTTATGTACTCTTGGTACAATGTAGTACCGTATTATCTCTAATATAAGCACAGTCTCCAATAATAGAACACCTTGGGGCAGCATTCAAAAAATAAAGTGCTCAGTCTCCATTATAAGCACACTGTGTAAATTCATTATCTGTACCGGCGAAAAAAAACCTGAAATGTGTGTGTCATACATGAATTTGGCATGGCAACATGCCTCTGAAATGAGGTTGAAATAATAATGGAACAGTCTCCAATAAAGGAACGTCTCCATTAATAGCACGGAAAATAAAGGACCGTGCTTATATTAGAGATAATACGGTATACATGTAATTATAATAATACCGAGAGTCCATAAAAAAATGTTTATAGACTCTTGATAAAATACCAATACCAATGTGTGACAACAACAGTTCAGTATAATCAATACGCTTTCAAAGTGCTACATATCGTTACACAATGGGCAGCAACATACCACAATCTTTCCTGAGGCCTTGTGGAAAACAATCTCCAGCTGCAGGGCTTATGGTGAAGCAATTCAGTAACACTGCCAGCAAAAAAGCCGACAAAAAGAATATTCTACAGCCCATTTCTAATAAAATTCATGGACTTGCAAGGCCAAGAGAAGTGCCAGACAAGTTGCCAACTCAGAATGAAAACTACCAGGTATCAAGTATTATCAAAATGAACTCCAGGAAGAAATCTATCAGCTACAAGTACAGGTGTAGAATGATAGAATCAGTGCATCAGTGACTACTCAATTGTTTTCATACTCGTGCGGTCAACGTGACATTCTTGCACTAAACTAAAGTACTACGACTACGAGTGGGTTGAACTGGGTTCCCTTTGTTTCTTGGTGGAGAGTGCTGGTTCCATCCGAAAAACTTCAAAAAGTGTCCACAAACAAACGGCGTTGTCATTTCTTTCCTTGACGAGTTGGTCATGTGAGCCACCATGTCTCAACAGGATTTAGCTGCTAGGATCGAGGAGGGGGCCACGGCGGGGTGACGCACGGCGGGGTACCGGGTATGATCTAGCGCCCAGCGCGGGCGCCTACCGCCTGTGTGTGTTCACCAGGGAGTCGTAGTTTTACAACACCCTGAAACGAGCAAACTCACTGAAACGACCGACCTGGCAGTCTGGCACGGCCAGCAGGGTGATCACGCGGTTATTTCAAATCGTGAAATAGCCAGACAGCTTCAGTGTGGCTTGAACGTCAGGATTTTGCTTATTTTCTCGTCGTGTGGATCAACTAACATCTTTCAGGTCTTTGTAGAGTGTCCTTGGTTTCATTGGCATTGCTCCCTGGCTAAAGCTGGTCCAGGCGTTAAAAGTATTTAGAGAAAGAAAGTTTAGACGGACTGACATGGGTAGATGATGGTACATGTACATGGGTATAGCATCACTTTCGCCCAGTGCCTTTCCTTTTTTCAATCACATTGATGCTGTGAACATTTCACTTTGATCAAGAGAAGATTCTCATGGCTCAAGCCGACGTTGTGAAATCGCTGAAAGCCGTCACTCAAGCCATATCTCAGCTCAAAGCCACACCGACAGCAGACGGACGACTTCTTCAGCTGGCAATAGAGAGAATCGATGTACGTAACATGATTTCTGATTTATAGATATCTGACGTGCTAAAAAATTCAACATCCACAAGTAAAATTTAATATTGTAGATTGAAGGTATTCATACCTTCTTTGCACATGACGTACGCCCACAGTGTATGCGCTTTTTATGTATTTTTCTACTGTATCTTCGATGTAGTATCAAGTGTGCTCCCAGAACACATAATTTACGGGCAAAAGAAGCAGGAAAACAAACAACAACAAAAAACACTCGGGCATCATTAAAGAAAATAGATTTAACAACAAAGAAGACGGAAAATAGTGTAGCAGGATTACTGCAGCAAGGCAGGGGTAGTGAAGCTGACAGTGACCATGAGAGTGCAGGGCCCATGAAGACACACAGCACTAGAATGGAGGAGAGCAAAGCAGTGAATCCATGCCTGTAGAACTCATGGGTCTTATTTGCTAACAGTCCTCTTTTTCCTTTTTGAAGGAGTTTTCAAAAAATTCAATAGCCCTTGCTCGATTGAGTAGATGCCACAAGAGTTGAAGCCGAATAGAAACCGGGATGTCTTTACTGAAGTTTCACTGCCCAGCTTTACTCCGGTGTTACAGTGTGGGTTTTATAAAATGGATGAGGTTTACTGCATTCTTCAACGAAGGGCTATTACAAGTAGCTCGCAGGTACTCTTGCCAAGTCTTATTGACTGAATTGCTGTTGTGTTTTCACTGGTTCAAACAGTCTCTTGTGGAAGTCACATCTGGTCCAGTGTCTGCACCAACATCACTGCGACAAAGTGGCAGGGTCAGCAGCTTGTCATGCCTGTCGCGATCCTCCCTTCCAGCTCTGGACTGTCTCTCAGCTGTCGTGACGGTGTTGACTGATCCGGTGTCTCCCCCCAACCTGCTTCAAGCATGCTTGCAGTTGCTCTATGCTCTGTGTAAGTTGCACCGGTGTGCCCATTGCAGCATGATTGTACATAATTCATATCGTACCTTTCTTTGTCCTTACGCTGCAGCAAATGTGCAGAGATTACAAGTCACAGTCTACCAGCATGTATGGAATAAAATGAGGCAGGCAGGCATCCAAACCCAGACCTGTTTTGGTTTGTCACTTCCAAGTTCAATGAAGAAAATCCTGAACTTGCCCCAAGTGAACAGCAGCATATGTTCAGCCTAGAAAATTGGAGGGCAGCCTGGTTCAGAAGAGGGCCTCCTTTTAGGCCACACTTTGTTTTTTCTATGTTTCTCGTGGGCAAATTTTAACAAAAGGTACGCGGGCGGGCGGAAAAAAACAAAAGCCAAGGAAAAAACAAGAACAACTTCCACTGAAAACCGTGTATATTTTTTACAATGTACATGTACATGTATATGCGTGATTTATACAAGACACTGCGTATACCATGTATACAGTACTACATTGTACAATCATGTACATGTAGTCCCATACATGATTGCACTACATTATCACATCAGCCCACGAATATCAGGCAAACTGCAACAATGAGAGCATACAGTTTGATTACGAGATGGCGAAGAGAACATACATTTATCTGCTATCGCATCAACAAACGTTTCCCACTCGTCATTGATTTTTGGTTTTGTTACTTCAACGTTCTTGTGTCCGTTTATCAAACTCTTGTCTCCATGCTGCTCATCTTTTCCTTTCCATGCGTCTATTGCTTGGATTTTCTGCCTATGACATCGTTCCACAGACGCCAGTTGCCACGGAACTCGTCCGACTTACGGTATTCCTGGGACCCACGAAGCTCAGGCAGTGAACGACTGAAAGCTTCGTCATGACAGCCTTCATCGCGGAGAACGGACGAGGAGCGCTCCTTTGCTGCTGTGGTGCAAACGTTTACAATTATTGATTGACGCATCTAGCTGCTGCAGCATGTGCAGCGTACATACATCATTACATGTACGTAGTATGAACTCTTTTTTTCTTCCGAAATTTCTGAAAACCTACGCGGGCGATGACGAGAAAGATAGAAAAAACAAAGTGTGGCCTTAGTGTGAAAAACTGGTATACTATGTAGTTGTGCCGACTGTACATGTATTCAATGTCTTAAAGGGGAAGTTAAGGCAAAAATTAAAATTTCACCAGTTGTAGTCTTCGGGGTGCTGAGTCGAATGGTCTTGGTCCGAGAAAGCTGAGACGCTCCCTTCCTACTTGAATCCCAATCGAACTCGCGCACTTCCACCGAAACTGGGTGACTGCGCCCTACTAGATGGGGATTTGTATGCAAAATGTCACTAAAAGCGCCGTTTCGTTCTTATAAAAGCACGGATGACCGCGATTGGCCCATATGTTGTAGTCTTTTGGACGCTGAGTCGACTGGTTTTGGTCCGAAAAGGCTGCGATGCAGCGTTCCTCCTTTATTCCCAATCGAACATGGTTGAACAAGTGGTCACGTGCTCCTGGGTGCCCAAATCACCTGGTCACCACGCCAGCAGGCGTCAACTTTCACACCAAGGTTCAACTCGAGTGACAGGACTGCACCCAAAAAAGGTCAAACAGGCTAGTAAGTTGTACCCTGCAGGCAGGGTGACCAGCTGACTGGTGTACGCAGGAGCACGTGACCACTTGTTCAACCATGTTCGATTGGGAATAAAGGAGGAACGCTGCATCGCAGCCTTTTCGGACCAAAACCAGTCGACTCAGCGTCCAAAAGACTACAACATATGGGCCAATCGCGGTCATCCGTGCTTTTATAAGAACGAAACGGCGCTTTTAGTGACATTTTGCATACAAATCCCCATCTAGTAGGGCGCAGTCACCCAGTTTCGGTGGAAGTGCGCGAGTTCGATTGGGATTCAAGTAGGAAGGGAGCGTCTCAGCTTTCTCGGACCAAGACCATTTGACTCAGCACCCCGAAGACTACAACTGGTGAAATTTTAATTTTTGCCTTAACTTCCCCTTTAAGTTGTTGACACGAGCGGTGATTCTTTTTTCCCTCTCACATGCACAGCGTCTTCGCAGGAGATGCGAGCTGTTCTGCAGACCACCCTGCAGATCACACCTATTCTCACTAATCTCCTGCAGCAGAGCAACGATGACACTCACCTGCACCTCATCGTGAGTTACACCAGTACACCAGTGTATGCGCGAGCGTACTTGATGGTAGTTGCAGTCATTGCCACGCACAGTTTTATGATCACTTTTGCATTTTCCCTGCAAGATTTAGTTCAAACTGCAGCACATGCACTCTCTCGCCAAGCTCATTCACACCAGCAACAGGACTCCAAGTTGTTGTAGATAATGGCAAAACTATTCCACCATACAGCTGTTTGGATCATACAGATCTCATCAGTGAAGGTCGTACGAATGACTGGAACTTGTGAATAACACTATTTTATACAGAGATTAAGTGTGAAAGTGCGATCCCGCGCTTAAAAGTGATAGAAAAACTGACATGGGGAGAATAGGTGCAAGATGACACCGACACGCGTAAGTGTACCGCAGACGTTCATGTGATAGTAGACTCATGTGAAGACTCCAATGCAGCATCATAATTATATTATTGAAGAAGAGATATGGTGGTTGAAACATGCCTGGCGAAATGGTGGTAAATACATGCCTACCCACACGGCATTCTCTAAGCTGGAAAACTCTGGCAAAGAGCGCTCCTTCTCTCACCACCATCACCTGTAGGCGCATGGCTCCTAGTCAATGCATGGCTGGTGTTAACCACCATTTCTCTTCTATATAAAACATGTGATACTGACTGTAGGCGCAAAAGGTTCTAGCACTGTGAAATAAGTTACAAGCGTATGCTGACTCCGAATGACACTCAAGAAAAGAACAGGTTTCAGGCTCTTCACCACTGAACAATCTAGATTTTTGAGTGCTTTAGAAGCTATTTATATTACGCTTTATTCGGTTTCTTCACACTTGCACCTTTTGTAATTCTTTCTATGTGTTAGATCTTAGCATTTTATCGTGTTGTTTCTGTCTTTTTTTTCTCGCTGTTTCTATCACATCTCCACTTTATAAAATTCATGTTTTAAAATCAACCACTATTTCGTACTGTTTTAAAATCTGTTTCTTTTTTTCTTGTATTCCCTTCCCCTAATGAGAATTAGAAGGCAATGAAAGTACTCGTGGAAATTTTTTGAAAGTGTTGATAGTGAGGAGTCGGAAACTAATTCTTTTCTTCAGTGTGATTGCATTTTTTGTCTCCAAGAACTACTCACTTGATTCTGAATCTGCATTTAAATCGCTATATCCATCCTTGAGATATTGAGGTTCAAGCATTGGAATTTCGGACGAAATATTAACAAGAGAACTGGGAATTTTGACAAAAACCTCTTTCCAACGTCCTTTTTTAAAATTGCTACTCCACAGGAGACTGAATGGTATCTGTAGCTCAGAACACCGTTCATCGTATACTAGTGCATCTTGTGATCCCTGATATTAACGGTCATTTGTTGTTGTCGTGTGTGTTTCATGCAGTGCATGAAGACAGTACAAGCGGTAACGTACAATGCTGTATTTACGGCCAACGACGGCTATGTAGAACAACTGGTTCGCTCAATCATTCCTTTCATGTAAGTGATAATGGACACATGCTTTGTATGTCTGGTCTTTGTCACGCTTTGGGATTCCTTGCAACTTCAACTCTGGCATGGTAATCTTGCATGAGTGCATGTAGCACTGTACTGCTGCAATACCGGAAGTATACGTATGAACCTTATCCAGATCCCGTGATTGCCAATGCGTTGGAGCTCTTTCTCTGCAGATACTTGTCATTCTTTCTGTTGCATTGGGGAATCCCCATGGTTTGTCCCTGCGTGTAATGTCTTTGTTCCCAGATTGAGTCCCAGCTCTGACAGGACAGTGCCGGCTCTTGCCATTCTCGCCAATGTCACACGCAAGAGCGTGTCAGTACAAGCTTATGTCAAGTCACTGGTAAGTTCCAGTATTCACATCTATTCACTCTAGCAGTACTCCAAGAATGTTGGAATACATGCACCACGTTCGCAATCTGAAGGCTCTAATTAACAGTTTAAAACTATATTTGTCCATCAAGTTTGTCAATAAACGGGTACGTTATCGATTTGCTGAAGTATTCTACAGGGGTAGTAGTAGCAGGCACGTTATTGCGCTGTGTCTGACGACCACAGATACGGGGCATGGATGGCTGTGTTCCAATATGTACATGGAAAAGTAGACAAGAGAGAGTTAGATATACAACAGAAAAGTACATAAGTATTGCGGCAGGACAAAAAAAAAACTAGTTTGCCAATCATGGCTGGTACACGAAGTACACAAAACACATGTCATTTAGCCATCGCAATATCAATGCACTTTTTTTCAGACATGACTTACAGTCTCTGCAGGTGCCATTGCTTGGCAGAACCAGGACTGGTGTTGCTTCTCATTCCGGCATTTAGCCACATCCTGCTGGACATCGGCTACTTGGCCGTATGTCCTGATGACATCCAAGGACGACGACTGCAAAGAGATAGTGAGGGCATAGAGACGAGCCATTACACGGACAGTCAAGATGAATGCTATGATGAAGTCGAAGCTGGTAATAGATCGGAGTAGTGATGACGATGCTGCTGACTGAGAGTCAGCATTCCAATCTGCTTGTGACCCTGTGCTGATTACCTCCATGGTATCAACAACGGAGCTGAAAAGTGCTTCAAAATTGACAAAGGCTGTGCTTCTTTCCACCCAACGCGTCTTGCAGAGGTCATCTAGTTTGGTAACAGTGGCTTTCTCATTGCTGTCTTGGACGGCTGACTCCAGTTTTGCTTGTCGCTTTGGTGAGAGTTTGAAGAACATGGAAATCTCTAGCAATACGCCCCACATGTTGGTAATAGCAGGGATCTTGCTGGCAGCATTCACACAGAGGTTGGCACAATGACTGGCACGGTGAACATAGATGGCCTTCGGGTAAGTCTGGGAGACAACAGCTGCACATCCTGATAGCCTGTCAGCCATATTACCCGCTCCTTCATAGCCCTGTCCTCTTAAGATTCTCCAAATTCAAGCCCCATGTTTTGAGTGTAGTGATGATAAGCTCCGCAAGAGCTTTACCGGTAGTTCCGCTGTCACAGAGATCAAGTCCAAGGAAGTCCTCACAGATATTGGAGTCGGCCACATACCGAATCACTATGAGCATTTGCTCTTGATTGGAGCAGTCTTAAGCTTCGTCTGCAAGCACAGAAAATAATGGGCTCTGGTTGATTTTTTGACAATAGAATCTCGGATTTCATCACCATAGCACTGGATAAGGTCGTTCTGTATGCGATTGCTGCCTACAGTGACCTTCTTCCCACCACGGGACTGATCAAATGTTCCAACAGCTAGCTTATCTCTTTCATCTCACTTCGCACCAGAAGATGTAGCTATGAATTCAGTAAACCTGACAATGCTTATTTGGTGGGTTTTCTGGCCTTTGTGCCTGGTAAACTCGCTGGTGGACTTGGTCCAGTTGCTGAAAGGCAGGTTATAGTTGTCCCAGATCCTGGCCACTGGTAGCGAACAGGACACATGGGAGACAAAACACAGAATTCAGGCAGCGAGAGTATGTTAGCCAATTGAACCTTCCACACCACAATGGAAGAAAGGTATGGCGCTTTCCATTGAATTCACGCACCGGATACTTGAAGGAGACGCTCGGTTTCCTCGTTTGTTTCAGGAGCACAGCTTTTACCTCAGCGTTAGCAGTGCGGGGACACAATCTCCAGCACTGGTGCTCACTGTCGGAGAGTGAACCAAATACCAGAGTAATCCATAGAGATTTCAGCAGGAGTGCCTGTGGAGTGCTGCTTCTCGACATCGTCGCTGCTGGCAAGACTGGAGCTAGCGGCTACATCACGCAGTGCACTCTGACTGCCAGTGCATGTACGCTTCGAAGCTACTCCAGCAGACTCAGTCGCACACTCCGACTCCGATTCGTCCTCAGCACTATCCACTACCGGCAGCACTGGTGGCTCATCACACTTACTTGTGTCCGAATCGGTCTGTCCCGCTTGCAGTAGTACTCGTACTCGTAGAGTCACTTTGCGGCTTTTTCCGCTTACCCCAAGGAGCTGCTAGTGTGTTCTACTGAAAACTCATGGCACCTTGTCTTCCGCCCGGGACTCCAAAAATCGAAACTACTTGAAACCTCCTGGCACTTGTCAGACACTCTGCTCGGATAGGGACTCAATCAAAATGAGCTCAGTCTGTTTTCTTTTTGGCACATGCTGCCTTGCTAGTACAGTAAAACCTGTCAAGGCGACCACTTGGATAAAGCGACCACCTGCCCCAGAAGACCACTGCAACCAGCACCAATGGATGCTATGTCCAGTCAAATGCCCGTGGATAAGGAGACCACATTTTACAGGTCCCTTGAGCGGTCGTCTTGGACAGGTTTCACTGTACATGTACATGAGTGTAGCCCTAACAAGTATCTGCAGCAGTGTGCAGTGCGGCATGCGCGGCAGACACTAGTTTACGAAGACCGAAGTACAATGTACAATGTACTGTACAAAAGTGCCACTGCACGCGTGTAGCATGCATGTAGACTGATAATACTGTGACCCCTAAAATAGACGTAGCGTGACTGTCTGCATCAGGCATGCGTGCAGACTTAGCAGTGTAGACATACACACACCTATGTCCCTGCCACAAGACTCACACTGCGTCGTGTAGACTACGCACTGTGCCAGCATGCAGGCGCAAGATGCCTACCGCTACTGTAAACCCAGAGCCGTTTGCGCCCGTTTTAGTTCGCGAATTGTGATGACAGACCATTCTGCGCCTGCAAGCTTTTGCGATTGGAGTCGATTTGATGATTGACTCGAGTCTACTTCAAGTACTTGTTCAAGTACAGTTTCGCGCCCACTAACGTTCGCGATTTCACACCCATCGCGAAAACTGTGAACGTTTCAGGATGGCAAAGGTTTCTGGGTTTGCAGTAGTTACTAGTACCATAATGTACCGTTGATCCGCCCCCACGCCATGTCGCTTCCCAGCTGGGTTTTCGGCAGGGGGCAGGAATTAGATCAAGGCTGTGAAGCGCAGTACGAAGTACAACAACGTGGAGGATCAGACTCGATGTGCTGGATTGTGCACATTTTCATCCTGGATTGGCAAGTATTGTGTACAGCAGTGCATACGTCGGTTCAACATCGTATTTCGTCGTATACGCCAAAGTCGCTTCACAGGTAGAAAATCGACAGGGGGCGGGAATTAGAGAGGGGGCGGATCAGCGGTACTTTACGGTACTAGATAGACCGGTACAGTCCACGGTCGTGAGATCGACTCGACCGTGGCCATTATGACACTGGACTGGCTCCAAAACGATCATTTTCGTGTGTGCACCAAGACAAGGTTGGCCCGAAAAAGGTGGTTTCCGGACACAGAAAAAAAACAAATACGGTGCACTCACCTGGTACATGTACTTGTGTTTCAAATGCTGTGCATTTTGTTGTTGTTGTTGTTGTTGTTGTTGTTGTTGTTGTTGTTGTTGTTGTTGTTGTTGTTGTTGTTGTATTCTGCACAGCCCAACTGTCGCGCTGTGCTCAGGACACTCATCTCTTGTTTGTCACATTCCAATGTTTCCATTATCGTATGCTCACTGGCTCCTCTTGCTAGTATTTGTCTTCATGAAGAGCTTGGTGAAAAAGTAAGTTTGGCACACACTTCTAACCTGGGATATGTACATCTTGCCAAATACCCAACGGCGAGAACTAACTGAAAAGACTACTTCCTAGTACTACAATGTAGGTTGTTCAGTGTTGATAACAATTGTTCAAGTTACTCATCCTTCACTCAAGTTTAAATTCACCGTGGCTGTTGGAAGTATGCTACTTATGTCTTGTGTGGAGGTGCTTGGTGCATTTTTCCTATGCATGTGCAGTTTTCCTTCAGTGTATGAGCCTGGGTCTATCTGTTTGCCTATCTCTATGCCTATCTATCTGTCTGGCTATCTGTGCTTGCTGTAGCTCTTCAACAGCAAGAATGTAGACCAGTCCTTTCAGCTGATATTTGGCCTATTGACGGATGACACCGGCCCAATGGTCATTCGCTACGCTGTGGATCTGCTGTGTGATTTACTCACTGCTCCTCGTATTGCTCAAGCTCTCGTCAAGTGAGTACTTACTACTAGTATTCTTGTGGAGGAGAGTGCAATGAGAGTGCAATGAGAGAGAGAGAGAGAGAGAGAGAGAGAGAGAGAGAGAGAGAGAGAGAGAGAGAGAGAGAGAGAGAGAGAGAGAGAGAGAGAGAGAGAGAGAGGGAGGGAGGGAGGGAGGGAGAGAGAGAGAGAGAGAGAGAGAGAGAGAGAGAGAGAGAGAGATAGGCAGACGGACAGGCAGACGGACAGGCAGACGAACAGGCATACAGGCAGAGACGCAATAGTGACAAATATATTGAAATAATGCTTGAGTGACATGCTAACTTAGTGCCGATGTCCGTCAGATATCATTCTACACAAAATGGTAACTGATCTTCTCAAAGAGGATCTGACTGATACTAATAACTTTTCTCTTTTTGTTGATTTTGCTCATCAGTTATAGCAACTTACGAGAATCACTTGTCCGTGTTGTTGGTCGCCTTGGCCTTGGATCAGCAGAAATCACCTGTAAGGTATGTGGCTGTGTATCATCGACCATGTGTGTTTGTCTGCAAACTAATGTCTTATTACCAGTTATTGCAAGATAGCTATGTTCACAATTCCTGTCGGCTGCTGATTCGAACACCACCGATGCTCTGTAGCTTATGTTGGCTCTTACACAAGTACTTCTGTCAAAGACCGTGTCAAAGACCGTGTCAAAGACCCCAATCAATAACGTGTGTTACTTTAGTCGTGAAGGACACACTCACATACTAGTACACACCCACACACACTCACAGACACACACACTCACACACACACACACACACACACACACACACACACACACACACACACACACACAGGTTAAGGAGCATGGTGCACGAGCACTGAGCACCTCCGTTAGTGGAGCCCCATCGGTGTAACCTCTGTAGACAACTTTCCGCAAGTGGAGTGCAAACCCGCGAATTCACGGGGTTTTCCGCCCACTTAGGCCACACCAAGTTTTTTCATTGTTTCTCGTCACCGCGCGCGTACCTTTCTTGAGGATTGGGCCAAAAAAAAATCTCGCGTCCCGGTAAACACGCATAAAAAGGCGTTGTAAAAGTACGCGCGGCGTCAAATCTGGAGTGCAGTGCTAGTGCACGAACCGAAGGACGACTTTTGCACCGTGTATGTACGCATACCGGTAGTTCAAGTACCACACCACCACACGACCTGGTCGTCTTCTTTGCTACACACAGTTCCGGTACAAGTCAAGACAGTGCATGACAGTGCACCGTTTTGGACTGACAGTGTTCCGGGCATCGGTAAACTTGCGGCTTTGCGGACTACAAGCACTGTGAAGTTGCCGTGATTCCTTGAGTTCTTTATCAGTTCATCTCGTCGTGGGCGACGATGGCATCTGAAATAGTCAGCTTCAGTTTTTGTTTTTCAAACCCTATTTTGTTTTTTTTCCGCCCGCCCGCGTTCCTTTTGAGATTTTCAGGTGACGAGAAACAATGAAATAACTTGGTGTGGCCTTACATGAAATTGCTCAACTTTACATAGCGCGGAACCTCTCTAATTCACCTGTGTGCTATGCAGTAGTAGTTGATTTTCCCAAATCTTCCCACTCCCCATTGTTATCCACTTGATAATGTAGGTGCAAAAATGTATTGTGCAACGTATTTTGTCCGTTCAAGTTTGTATATCCGATGTACATGCATATACAATGCCTTTTTCATATTTTGTGTGTTTCTCGTTCTCTTGCCTGACTAGCTGTTGGAACTGCTGTGCGCATTGTGCACCCAAGCTGGTCTGGATAGTGTTCGACGCGGCTTAGTGCAGCTGTTGCTATCACCAGCAAGTAGCACAGCTGCCACTGTAACTACAGCAACAGCAGCAGGCGCAGCTCAGCAGTACCCGTTCTTGATGCTACTGCAGTGCGCTGCCAGTGATGATGACCACCAGCTGGCAATGCAAGCGTGGCAGCTCGTTGAGCAGGTTGTCAAGGTACTTGCCGTATGCATATACGTGTGTGTGTGTGTGTACGCATGCGTGTTTATGTGTGTGTATGTGTGTGTTTGTGTATGCGTTTGTGTACGTGTGTGTATGAATGTTTGTGTGTTTGTATGTGTGTGTACGTGCGTGTGTGTATGTGTGTATGTTTGTGTGCGTGTGTGTGTGTGTATGTGCATGCGTGTGTATGTGTGTGTGTGCGCGCGCGCGCGCGTGTGTGTGTGTGTGTGTGCGCACGCGCGCGCGTGTGTGTAATAGGAATGGTCGACAGCTACTGGATCAGTTTGCTGAGTGGATGACTCTGTTGAATTTACTTTGTGATAACCTGTGATGTTCCGGATAAAATTTACCCACACGAGAAAAGCCATGCTTTGTGTGATATACCCCATCCAACACAAGTACACTGTAGTAGCTTTAGGCAGCACAAGGCTGACATTGTTGTCTTATGGGATCGATCACCACCATTGGAGAACACACCACTGGAGAACACTAAAGAATCATCTTAGCTGCTTGCATTTGCAGATGTCTTGATCCTTGCCCTTGACCTGGAGACCAGGGAAAGCTAAGGGTACAGGTATCATGGAATTAATGTGCGCGTGTATGTGTGCGCGCATATGTGTGTGTTTGTGTGTGTGTGTGTGTGTTTTCTGTGTTTGTGTGGTGCTGCTGCTGTTGCTATGTTGCTTGGCAGACGTGTGAAGAGGAAGAGGCTGTAGTGTCTCGGCTACTGCCCCACTTCACCTACATGATACAGGCGGTATGCTCGCCTCTAGCACACCTAGTCAACATACAGATGTGGAACACCGCTGATGCCGACTGTCTTCTCTCTCAGAAGTGTTTGGAGGCCACTATCGTCCTTCAGCTTCTTCTTCATATCCACCCGACATCACCCCCACCCCGATTGACATCCAGACACTGTTTGCACTTTGTTCAATCAGCTTGTGGTGAATGGAATGTTTTTTGTTGTTGTTGCAATATTAGCAAAAACTGGATGTTAGCCTGGTCACCTTTTGGTCTGGCTGTACTATAGTACCGTGTAGATAGGTACTCACCATATCATCACAGTACCAGCGTACAACACAAAGCACAGCTCCGCTGGAGATGAAACATCACAGTCCTGTCTGTATTTGTTTGTGCCAAAATCCATGTTCAGGGTGTTAGCTGCAGACCCATTTTCTGAAATCAAAGCATTGCAACTCGTACACGGGAACATGTGGCACGTGTAAACGGGCTACTGAACATAGATATAGTTGATACCGCCAGCCAGGCCTACACCAATGCATCCAGTTGTTGCTAAGAGAAGGAAGCCATAGCAGGTGTTAAATACATGTACTGTTATTCTCAGTCACGACATCAGCTGTTGCAGTGCCCTCGTTGCCACTCTCTTTGAGTTGGCGAGGATGACCTTGCAGAGATTCTTGTTGTTGTTGTTGTTGTTGTTGTTGTTGTTGTTGTTGTTGTTGTTGTTGTTGTTGTGTTCTATCTTATTTTGAGTCTGTTAACCTCATTCTCCTTGACTAGCAAGTTTGGTGAACGTCTTGTGCAAGAGGAGCAGTTTTCATCACAGATCGTGCAGCATGTTACACCAGACCTGTGCAGTCACTTACTGGAGCAGCAGCTTAGTAACAATCCTGGTATGTTTGCTGGTCATGCTGCTACGGCTAGTGCTGGTGCCGGAGCTGCTGTTGCTGATACACACTCTGCATCGGCGACAAACACAACAACGGCAGCGACTGATCATTGGAGGTGAGACACGGCAAGGATTGCGTAGGTTCAAAAGGGGCATTGAACTTGTACATTGTGCACCAGGGAGTCTGCAGTACATTTTGCACCAGGGAGTCTGCAGTACATGTGCACCAGGGAATCGTAGAACGCGGGTACAGTCAACTTCGCCAATAACGACATTCGGCGGGGCATCAGAAAAGTGTCCTTATTCGCGAAGTGTCCTTATAACCGAAGTCCCATTTGAATGTATGTGAACCCATATTTTGTATAGTGTGACATGCATATCAAAATCAAGCTCTTTTCTTGCTCTATGTCAATGTGTACTTTATTTTCATATTGCAGTTGAAAGGAACTAAAAATTCAATATGCAAGGGAAATCAATTGAAAAATATGCCTTTTTGAGCCATCTACAGGGCCAGAGACATGTACATGTACATGTATGATGATTACTGTACAATCATGTACAACTACATCATGTACATGTACATTGTATACATACATGTATAGGTGTGCTGGTAAATCCAACAATTTTGAAGCCAACATAAAAAAGGAAGAAAAAGCCCCCCCCCCCCCCCTTGGCTGCATTTTCTTGCATGTGTGCCTTTATATCCATCACCATAGGTTCTGGTGCATGACAGGTACATGTACATGTACTTGACTGACAGGTACTTGAAATAGCTGTCAAAAGCCCAGAAAGTCGTTATTCAAGCAGTGAATATGACCTCGGGGCACTAAAAGCATGTCGCTATACGCGAATTGTCGTTATTCAGATAGTCGTTATATCCGAAGTTAAATGTATACAGTTAGATGGGACTTTGCTCTGGGCATGGAAATTCGGTCGTTATTCGCGAATTGTCGTTATATCCGCAGTCGTTATTAGCGAAGTTGACTGTAGATGACACAGGCGACTGTAACGCTTAATCATGTGGATTTCGATCCCAGGCTGCTCGTTACAGTCGCCCTTGGAGCAGGGCTGATTTTAACGCACTCGCATGTGCATTGCTTGTCTGGGCTGCGCTTGGGGCCAGCAGGTCAAAACTGTGATCGCGGTCGCGAGTTCCATCGACCACGGATGACATGTAGAAACTCCATGTCCGGGGTCGAAACGCATGACATTCCGAATATTATGTGTGTCGACTTCTGATGCTCTATGTCTTCTAACAAATAAACTACTACCGTACTGGCAATATATGTTGCCGCGTAACGCGTAACGCAGGGGGGGGGGGGGTGCGGCGTAACGCGCGACCAGGCTAGTGCGACAAATTTTCGTTGAGTTCGTAACGCGCGTCCGGCGGGGTGCGGCGATCTTTTCATTGCAGTTTGCACTGCAAAAAAAAGGCTGAAAACTGTGAAAGCACGTGTACCGCGTGGTGAAAAGTTCAAAACTGGACGCAGCAGGAAGTCCTGACACTCGAAGGCGCATCATTCAGTGGTTGGCGATCTCAATGGTTTCTTCTTTCCCGAGGTCGTTTTGCGAAGAAGAGCGATGTGTTTATCAGTTTCCTTGTGCCAATGCAGAAGTCTCTATTCGCCTTCGGCGTGAAGAAAATCGCGATGCGGCAAAAGCAAAAAAATGATGCGGCAATAGCAAAAAAAGTGATGCGGCAATAGCAAAAAAAGGACTGCGGCAATATAGAAACCTGTGTAACGGCTCCTGTGCGACTTTGCATGTAACGCCCTGCGTGCGGCAAACATGTGCCAATGTAACGCTTCATGGCCTTACTGCGGCAACATATATTGCCAGTATGGTAGTACATGTATTCAATGAAGGCAAGAGTACATAAACCAGAGTGTGCAACTCAGGATGGTTCCTGTGGGAGCGTAATATCCGTGCAGCACATGTACACGTCATTTCTGATGGCGTGGTAAGTCACGTGTGCGGTGAAAAGTTGCGTAACCAGTCACGGTGGTGCACATCACTGAGTTTGTGCAGATTTTTCGATTTTTTGATATGGACAGCCTGGTGATTTTACTTGACAGCGGATGTACGGAGCGTACGCACTGACACGAAAACACCGAAATCCTAAAACAGGAGGTCTAAGATCATGCAAACTTGGCTGATTTTCGGGCTGCGAAACACAAAAATTTGAGCTGTGCTTGGCTAACCTTTCAGATTTGATGTGCACACGCTCTGGTTTATGTATTTCTCTTGATGGCGGTGATCACTAGTAGTGTACAGATGGTAGCGTATACATGACTGTACTACTGTACTACTGGGATCACTAGTGTAGAGTTGGTAGTGTATACATGACTACTACTGTACTACTGGGATCACTAGTGTACAGCTGGTAGTGTATACATCATCGTAACATGACTGTACTAAAGAAACCACTTTTACGGGCAGAAAACAATTCCGATATGACTCATCATATGAGCACACAAGTAATTGAAGAGAGAAAGCAAGAAAGAGAGATCTGTATGCGTGGGCCCGCGCATAGGTGCATCGATGTGTGTACAGGCTTATGAGGTTGTTGTTTCGTGTCCATGCGTGTGCACGCACCTGTGTGTTTCACTGTTTTGCTTAGTATCACTGGCGTTCAAGTTGCTCTATTGACGCTACAGCTTATGTCTCATGTCAACAAGCACAGTACTCAAATTGAGGTCAGTATCTACTTGTAGTCATGTTCGTCGTGTTCGTATGCAATCACACACTTTTCAAGTGTACGCACACACATACACACACACGCACGCGCGCATACACGCATGCGGCATATACACACCCACATACATACACACACGCATGCACGCATATACACACACACACACACACACACACACACACACACACACACACACACACACACACAAACACACGCATACACACGCACACTTTCTTTGACATTCACACTGTACACCGGTGTTAAACTGCACATGATAAAATTAATTGGTGGTTGCATTTGCAAGTGGCCTGGCGCAACTGTTCATATCATTGTTACTAACTTAATCTTGGCCTTTCTCACTTCTGCTATCTGCGGTGCAGGTTCAGTTACAGCGGGCGCTACAAGTAAGTGGTAATGAGTTGCATTGTCTACAGTATAATAATTATGGACTTTGTGTGTGGGCATGTGCTTTGTGTGCAGGCATGTGCTTTGTGTGTTGCTTTGATTGTGAGTGGCAGATTAGTTACTAACTTACTCCAATACCAATACTAGTAGACAAGAGCATCTCTGGTGTTGACCGTGCCGGTGGTGCAGAATGTGCCGTTGGTGGTGATGGTGATGGTGATAGTGATGGTGGTTATTGTGCAGAAGCTCCATTCTTGTGCGCCCAATCTGAACCATTATTTGAACAGGATGTGCGGCTACTGCCCTTCCTGGCGTCATCTCTGAAGAGTGAGAAGAAGGCGCATGTGCAGCGTGCACTGTGTATGCTACTAGCAGCATGCAAACAAGCCGATCATGACGATCTATCACGGTGAGCAGCTGTGCGGCTTTGCCATGACTGCGACACACACGCACACGCACACACGCTCGCGCGCACGCACGCAAACACACACAAACACACACAAACCTGCTAGTCTAATGCTATGGACTGTAGTGGAGATTGTTGGAGAAAGGACAGTAGTGGTAATAGCATTGTGCATGGGTACAACTGCCAACAATACATTAATACGTGCCCGGAGGGGGGATAGAATAGAATACTGTAGTTCATTACTAGGGGTGAACGAAGGCGTCAAAGGTTCGAAGAACCTTCGTTTTCTTTTGAAACAAACCTTCGTTTTCAATTCAAAGAAGGTCAACACACGATTTCTGCACACACACATGCACTAATCTTCCTTGTATACAGGAGGTACTGTACTGTAGTCGGTCCAGTCGACTAGTTTTGTGTCCACTTGGCTCCCGGTATGTGCCATTGCAAGTGCATAGTAGGCCACGGACTGCGCTTGAGCATGGCCATTCACGGCCACCATGTGCAGACGTACGTAGTCTTGGGCAGTTTGATATGCAAACTGCGCAGTGCAAAGGCTATGGGCGTGCCAATTGTGGTGACTGCATAGCAAATATGTGCACAGTCATGTACTTTGTAGGGCAAATGCACGAGTGTGCTTCAAGAGGAGCTGTGAACTGGTAAAAGAATCCTTCGACACCTTCGTTCGTTTTGATGAAGAAGGTTCCTTTAGCAAATTGAGACCTTCGTTTCACCCCTATGAATCATTACACTACCTCGCTCTATTCCTCTTACATCGTGTTATTGGCTAGGCAAGAATGCTGGCAGTACAATCATGTACAATGTACCAGCTAGCTACACTATGTGTAGTGTACACACGCTTGTTTCCACTGCATTCTCTTTTGTTCTCGCGCAATCAGATTGGCTGATGTTGTGGCTAATTTGAACTGCACTACTCGTCAACGTCATGGTAGCAGTGGTAGTGTTCATTCACATCATGCTACCACCGCTTCCACACCAGCGATGACATCATCATCCAGTGGGATGACGTCAACGGTGCCGTCATTCCCGTTTGATCGGCATTGTGTTGCTCCGGGAGCCAGGGCCAGCTTTGACCAACCCGTGATGTCGCCGCCCTCATCTCAGGTATGTTGTCTTTATCCTGTCACTCCTGTGGGTGCGGGTGGGTGTGGGTGTGTGTGTGGGTGTGTGTGGGTGTGGGTGTGTGTAGCCAACCTGTTGGAAGGCTACCATCTTGCCAAAGCATTTGGAAGTTTGGACTAGTTTCGGCTCCACAATCCAGTGTGTCGTTACTATAATAGCTTTCATGGCTGAGGTTGTTGGTTTGTCTGTTGGCTCTGGGTTCCCAGTACTCAGTAGCCGAGGCTGGTTGGTAAAGTAACTCCAATTTCACTTCAAGGTACCAGTGCATCTAGTGTCTGCGTCTATCAAAGCAGCGTGCTGTCTATACTGGTTACCCCAGCAAGTGTAGGGTGTGCATAGGTAACTGTCTTGGCCGTTTTATGCCGATGTACTCCGTGTGGTGTAGACCAGGTGTGCATTGGTGGTCGATTCACATGGCTTCGCCAGTTGTGTGGATTAGACAGTTATCTGGCGCAAGTCTTGATCTGTCTCATTCAGATCTTGTTCGCTATCGTTGCTATAAGAGAAAATCTGTGGGTGCACATCCAGTGCATTTGCAGATTTGCGTGCTTCTCTTGCGACGGGCGTATACATGGATGGATGGACATGGTACATGGTGTGTGTAGGGATTCACTGGCCAGAGAAAGTCACTTCAATCAGCTGTGTGGTGGATACCAGGCTAAAAATAGTGGCGATCAATTCATCAGCCTTGCAAGCTGTTGAATGGTGTAATCCCAGCACAAGTTGCTATGTCTAACATAGCTGTTCGCTATCATCGCTTCCGCGATGGGCAGGTCTGAGGTATGTGTGTATGTGTGTGTGTGTGTGTGTGTGTGTGTGTGTGTGTGTGTTGGGGCAGGGGGTATGTATGCGTGTGTCCATGTGCTATGTGATTTTCACTCACGAGTTGCTGCCACTTCTTTGTGTTGTTTAGAGTCAGTCTGGCGAAGTGCAAGCGTTGATAGAGCGTATGCAGAGTGGCCTGGACCTGAAGGATATCCGTGCACATGAAATCATGGAAATCTACGAACATGAATTGGCCACTCGAAGTGTAAGTGCAATATACATGCACTCGCACTCAGGTGCATCAAAACCATTTTTCTTCACATTTTGGACAAGTGAGTTTGAGATTATCCACTGTGTTTATGATTCTGAATGGACCTCATGGAATTTCGTATAGGACTTTATCGAAGTGACTCTTGTTGTTGCCATCCTGCCCGTTATGCAGACAAAAGAAACTCATCTACAAGATCTACTCGAGGCCAAGACAATGGCATTGTCACAGGCTGATCGTCTCATTGCACAATACCGATGTCGTCGTGCCCAATCCGAATCAGAGGTATGTTTATTCGACGTATTCTTTTCTAAGGATTCTCAAACTCCATTGCAGCCATTTATGTTATTTACGTTACTTGTTTCACGCTGAGGAGGGGCCATGCCTGAAAATTTGGTGAATATGGAAAGACTTTAGCGCAAAGAGACAATGTGCGAATGTTCACACTGAGTAACGTAATTAGCGAATCATCTACTAGAGACCGCTCCGCTTCCTTTAAACAGTATAATACAGTCATGTTCACGTGTGATTAGGCAGCTGTGTGTATATGTCTGCAAGTGTGATGCAATGGCAGCATTGTGTACTGGGCAACTACGACAATCATATGTTGTAGCTACTTGGTGCCAGATGGTGTGGCGTGTATTGTGCTGTTCATTTGCACCTACTCTTACAGTGCATACACGTGTGTGTGCGACGTTTTCTATGTGCTCTGTGTCCGATTGCAGTGTACAAAGCTACGCGCCTTGTTACAAGAGTGTGAGAAGCGATCTGCCAATCAGCAGTTGGAGGTGAGTACCTAGTAGCTAGACTCTGATGACTTGCTATTTCTCTACTACTGTATTGCTATGGAAACAATATAAAAAATAATTTCTCTGGCGATAGTGGAACTCGGATAACTGTGTAAATTAAATTCCGCCAGCGCTCTTGACCAACCACCCCTTTTTTGCATGAGGACGGATTTTATGTATACATTTTTTAATTTTTTTTAATTACGAACGGCCCCTTAGGGCCTGGTCAGACTGCGGCAAAATCGAAATAATCCTAGGATTATAATCCGAATCTCCATAGTAACTTGCCGCCAGAGCGGCAAAAGCGAGAGTTGACGCTCCAAAAAAAAAGCAAGAACGGACCACGCTTTTCCGCTCCAAACAGGATTTGACGCTGATACGCCATTGACGCTGATAATCACTGATTTTTTCATCTCGATATCGAGGAGCTAATTGGCCACGGACAACAACAAAACTCATAAGGATGGTTGCAAGGATTGCACTGAAGGTGTTGGCGATCCCCAAGGTGAAGGAATTTGACGTCGTTCGTGGAGATTACCACTTGACGCTCGAAATGAAGTTTGAATTTTCACTCTCCCCACATGTGTAGTGTGATCGCAATTCAAATTCTGGACGCTGTTCCTTTTTCGTCAGGCAACCAAAATTTGCCGCAGTCTGACCAGGCCCTTACAGTAGAGGTTATCACTGGCCATCTAAAATGGGGGAGAATTAATTGTGCAAGTCATGTGTACGTGTGGAGTCTGAGTATCTAGTACATGTACACAGTGGTCCAGGGGCGTCGGAACCAGTGCCGCATCAATAATCTGTGATTTTTGAGGCAATAAAATAAGGACTTTTTGTGCCCAATTCCGTAAAATGTTCCCGGGGGCATTTTAAGTTCAGCCTGTACTACTGCTGCCTGTATACTGTATAACTGGGAATTTTCGGTGGTGTAATATTTTCAGTATTTCCCAAAATCAACGGTTCGGTAGCACGAAAATTTCGGTAAACCAGTTTTCCAGATTCAAAAATGCATTTTGCACACTGTGTGACATGGCATTGTTGAATTCTACGTAGCGTTTTATTTTATGTAAAAATTTCCTGTACCGAATACCGGAAATAAAAGTCCACCGAAATTTTCCGGTTTTACAGTACATTGTCACACTGAACCTTGCAAAGCAAAATTTCGGCCGCAACAAATTTATGCCAAAAAATGCCCAGTCCGAAAATAGCCGAAAATAAATATGCGACGAATAGTTGCTGACTTACAGTAGGCAGTACCAGTGCTTATAATATTATGTAGGGCTGGGACAGTACACTAGTACTTGGAAGTGTTTGTAGATACATGTATGTGTGTGTGTGTGTGTGTGTGTGTGTGTGTGTGTGTGTGTGTGTGTGTGTGTGTGTGTGTGTGTGTGTGTGTGTGTGTGTGTGTGTGTGTGTGTGTGTGTGTGCGGGCGGGCGGGCGGGCGGGCGGGCGTACACCAAGACATGCTATGCTGTGCTGTTGTTGTTTTTTCTCTGTTTCACATGCCTTCACCGCAATGCTATTGTCTGTAGCTTCAAGACTTGCTAGCAACTCAAAACAATTTGAAAGAGGAGGTAAGAGAGAGAGAGAGAGAGAGAATGAGAGAATGAGAGAATGAGAGAATGAGGGAGAGAGTACTTTGTAAAGATGAATAAGTCTAACAAATGAGGGCTGAGACCTCTACAACAGAGGAAGAGAAGAGAGAGACAGAGACAGGGGGGAGAGAGACAGAGAAAGAGACGGACAGGCAGAGAGAGAGAGAGAGAGAGATTGAGATATTGAGATATTGATATATTGATATATTGACTAAGGCATGTCACATACATGCTTGCATGTCTTAGTAGTATCACAGGCGTTATTAGTGAAATAATCTCGTATTGGGGCTTGTGCCTATGTCCACTGGAGCAGGGTGCTGACAGTCGTGGCTGTATTATCAGAATGTAAATCACTTCAGTTGTTCAAAGAAAAAAACTAAGCACATACCGCACAGTTGTGTTGGAATTGGTTTTCTCCTCCAATCCAGTGTCCCTTTGTCCTTTCTAGTCCGGCTTAGTTCATGTAATGGCTCATCTAGTATCTTTTTTTGATTACTGATCCCTCTCTCCGCTGAGTTAAAAAGTTACCAATTGTTTTGTTTTTTTGGTTTGTGTGCAGAAAGGGTGGGTGTATGGTAGCCGAAAAAACTAAACACTTCGTTTTGAAAAGAAAAGAAACAACCACTCGGTAACCCCACGGTCCCTTTCAACCAAATATTGCTCTTGACCCATTTTTCCATGGTAAATGGAAATATTACTCTTGGCTCATTTTTCCATTGTTCCAATGAAACATCTTTTCTCGTGTGCTTTCCTACGTGTGTTCTATGAGCAGATTGGTCAGCTGAGTCAATCTAGAGTTCAACTAGAGCGGCTAACGGAAGAGCACAGTCACTTACGCAGTACCTATGATGAACAGAAGCATAAGTAAGTGTATGTTGCCTGTGTACTGCCACCGCCACTGGACCACAGCAGACTGGCAGAGGTGTGCAAGGTATGCCACCATAGCTGCCGCGGAACCTGCTATCCACACAGCGAACTCAGATACATCAGTGCTGCACTGTCAGCAAGGTTTTTCGACATACAGTCAGACCTCGCATAACCGCACGCATCCGTTTTCCAGAAAATATCCAGATAGGCGAGGGAACCGGATAATCGAACACACATACTGTATATGTGCATGGCATATGCTGTAAATCGGTAACCAACAATTTTCTACCGGATGGCGAGGGATCCGGATAAACGAGGACCGGATAAGCGAGGTCTGACTGTATCACACAATTGATCTGCTTCAGAGCAGCTTGGCATGCTTGGATACTTTATGTCTGATGTATGCTGCACTACCAGTAGGGACTTCAATCGAAAAACCAAATTCGCGAGTTTCGCATAAAACGCTAGTTTTTCTAAACCGGGAAGATGTGAGAAACAACCTGTGAAAATTTGAACCCAAAATCCCAAGGCAATCTAGAGTTATAGTCGATTGAAGATTGGAAAACGGGGGAGAAAATAGTCACAGAAGTCAATGCAAGTATGTATGCGAGCCGTGTGGTTTCCGTCCAGCACTGCACTATCTGGTGCATACATGGCGATACAGGATGTGTGCATGCATGCAGTGTGCACGCATGCCGTGCGCGCCTACTTGCACAAGTCACACGTTTTCACCGTCACTGCTTCTACAGTGTGCGCGCAGTTCACTCGATTTTTTTCGTCTACCACCAGGAAATCGCCGTGGGCTGGTTTCTGTGATCATTTTCCTTCTACCGCGATAAAGCGCAAGCCTCAATGTTCTAGAATCCTCTTGGTTTAGGCTAATTCGAGGCCGCTGAACACGAAAATCGGGTGTTCCTCGCTGGGCCGAGTACGGATCTGGTCGAAATTAGTGCTTCGAAGTGCATCCGCGCCAAGCGCGGAGGCATTATTTTTGGAAGCATGGCATGTGTGGCACCATTGGAAAGGTAATGACCTCAGCTACCTAAAAATAGCATCGACAAGGCCGAAAAGGCCGCGGGAGAAGATACTCGGGCCTCGAACTGCATCTCGAACTGCAGCCACGAGGCGCCCATTCACTTTGTACAGGCGAGCTGTGACTGCATTTTTCGCTTTTCAGTGACCGGAATTGAACTCCCTACTACCAGTGTACGCACTGTGTGACTGTGTGCATCTCTAACATGTATGATGTTGATGGTGTGTGTGTTGTGCGGGTGTATGTGTGTGTGTGTGTGTGTGTGTGTGTGTGTGTGTGTGTGTGTGTGTGTGTGTGTGTGTGTGTGTGTGTGTGTGTGTGTGTGTGTGTGTGTGTGTGTGTGTGTGTGTGTACATGTGTGTACACGTGTGTGCATGTGTGTGTGTGCATGTGTGTGTGTGTGCATGTGTGTGTTTGTTTGTACGGGTGTATGTGTCTTTCTTGTGCTTACACTCTGACTATCTAGACTAGAGGGTACAATGCGCAGTTTGGCAGCAGCACAGGAAGAGCAGTCCTCGTTGTCAGATCTACTCGACATGCAGCGGAAACACTGTGACAAGCTCAAAGCTCAGTTTGAAAGGTACACAATCACTGTTCCTAACCACATTTCATAAAGCGTAGAATACTGCTGCGCCTCTGCTAACAGACTCGCTGCATGGTGATCTAGCTTATCACGTGCTAAACGGTGGTCTTCTTCTATCCGCAGTGCTCACCAATCCATTCACTGTTCAATGGATACTTCTGCTGGTGGCCATATTTCCACACTAGTTCAATTCTCTTGTTGATGGAGTTTTCCTTGTCAGCCTTGAGGATGTGGTATTTCTCCGCTAGGCATAGGGTGCATTTCTTGGAGGTGTTGCACTATGATGTAGCATTTTATCTTCCAGGAGATGCCTACATCACAGGCTTCATTCTCGAGCTCCCAGACATATTTTCATAATTCAGTTGGCTTGACTTCTTTTCGTGACGAAAGGATGACTGATGGTTGGTTTTACATATTGGCTGTCATGCTTGCGTACGTTTTCCTGTCATTTTCGCTCGGTGTTGCTTTCGCCTTGTACACAGTACACAGTACGCAGTAGGTATTCAGTTTATGGTGTGAAGGGGGGGGGGGGGAGGGGCACTCAGTTAAACTGTTTATGGTGTGGTGTGAGGGGGGGGGGGGGGAGGGCATTTAGTTTATGGTGTGAAAGGGGGGGGGGGATTCAGTTTATGGTGTGAAGGGGGGGGGGGGCATTCAGTTTATGGTGTGAAGGGGGGGGGGGGGCATTCCTGAACCTACAAGAGCAGACACACATAGCACGGTGGACTTCTTTGTGATTGCTTACCGGATATGCACTGAACATGTGTCTGTTCTTCAGCTCCAACAATCAATTGGAGTCTCTTGAGAGGCAGCATCAACAGGTTTTGCAGCAACTTTCTGACAAGGAGATGCAATGCAATGGTATGTGCAGATAAGTTAGGATAAGCTGAGATAGCACTAGTGTTTTTCTTCTTACACATAGGTCATGCTACATGTGGTGAAGATTTGTTGCTGCTTTCATGTAGGGGTGTCATCGGGTAGTAGGGTACCCGTGCTACCCGTAATTAGAGCGGGTACTCGGGTAGCAGTGTGCTCCTGAGAACCCGATCGAGTAGTTGGAGTACAGTGTTTTAGTAACGGTGTATGTAATAAGCACGGCTATGTGCTTACTGGACACTTTCTATGTAGCGCAAGTGGACACTCACTGTACAAACTATATCAAAAAAATACCCGATAGGTACCCGTGCTACCCGGATAGAAATACCTGAATGCGTTACCCGACCAAACCCCTACCCGTTGCAGCCCTACTTTCATGCACATGTTTGGCATTTTGCTTCTTTTGTATGTATGTGTGTATGTACATATACCGTAATGTACCGCGAGAGCGCCCCAGCATCTCATCCTTTCGTGGTCCTATTGTGGGGGTCGTCTTCTGTCTGTAGGTCATACGACACGAGCCTTGTACACATATTGCACGTTGTGCAGTCAATCCGTACCTTCGAGCGGACACAAGCTCCACACCAAAACCTGCTAGGTGTGACCTTAGTACACTACGGTTCTCACACTGTACAAACTTCGTTGCACTCTGCAATACGATTTTCCTTTCCCTGGCTGTAAATCAAGGCCGCGAGACGGGGCGCTCTGGCAGTACTTTACGGTACATGTGTGTGCATATACCGTAAAGTACCGCGACAGCGCCCCGCTATCTCGTCCTTTCATGGTGGACAGGTCGTCTTGTGAAGGTGGTGTCCTGTCTGTAGATCATATGACACAAACGTTGTACATACATTGCACGTTGTGCTGTCAATCCATACCTTTGAGTGGACATGAGCTCCACACAAAAACCTGCCAAGTGTGACCTTAGTACACTATGGTCCTCACACCGTACAAACTTCGTTGCACTCTGCCATACGATTTCCTTTCCCTGGCTGTAAAATCAACGTCGGGCGCTCTATGTACTGTACACAAGTAACAGCGGGAAGAGATTTGTTTGCTTCATTGCTGTGTAATCTTTGTACTGTACACACATATGTGGTGACCTGAGTGCTCTGCGAACACTGTCGTCACAAGATGCACAGTGTTGTATAATTGCCCCGCAGTGTGCTATCTTCGTGGAGTGCTTTGAACGAATGCTTGAGCTGCTTCTCTCACAACTAATGCAACCTCGATTGTAAAGGGATTTGATGGACCTACACTGCCTCGCCTCCCCAGCTTGCGCGCACCTATTTCCCTGTTCTGGAAATGTGTTGACTCCTGGCATGATGAAGTTTCATCCATGTGTCCATCTGTGTGTGTGTGTGCGTGCGTGCGTGTGTGTGTAGAACTCCAGCACAACCTCTCGCGCACTGAGAAGTTGTTGGCTGGTCGTGAGCAAGACTGTGGCCAGTTGCAGAAAGAGCTGCACAGTTTGCGTGCCGACCTGCACCGTGCTGAAGAAGCCAAGCAACAGCTTGCCAGACAGGTATGAACATTTGCTGCTGGTCATGTGTAAGGAAAGGTTGATATGTGTGTGTGCACATGTTTTCCAGCATACCTTTTCTTTGGTGTGTTTGAACACACACACACGCACACACACACACACACGCACACACACACACGCACACACACACACACACATACGCACGCACGCACCCACGCACCCACAAGTAGGAAGCAATAGACTGGTTCTGGGACAGGGGGCATATCTTTGCCTGAGGACTGCAAAGCATGCAACGTAAATTGCAAAACAAATCCTCGTTCTGTCTTGTTTGTAAGGATGCTCTGTCCATTAGGGTGTTGATCAGTGAGTGGAAAGAGGAATAATTCTACTGTCTTCACGGGGATGTGTGTGTACATGCGTATGTAGGTGGCAGCTTTGGAGGAGGACAGTTCTCACGTGAAGCGTCGCCTAGAATCAGCTGACAAGGAGCTGGACAAACACCGGAAACTGCGAGAAATGATCCACAGTCTGAGTGGCGGCATCAATGCTTTGCAGCAGTCATGATTTTTAAATAAATGTTTGCTGCATGGCTGTATGTTCAGCAGCAGCATATTCGAATTCCATGCTGTTGTAGAGGGCTATGCAAACCTCATGTTCTTGCCGCCTCGTCATTAGAGATTCCTTGGTCTACGTACATTGCTGAGAGTCAACCCTGTTTTTGGCACCAGTCCTGGATTGGCCATGTCTGTACACGGACTGCCTTCTGCCACTATGGTTCGATCAGTTCATGATGGAATGGCAGTAGAATGGCTAACTGCATAACACTCACAACAAGAGCTCTTTCGCGAGTATTTTCTTCTCTGTGTCTTGCTCCGATTAACTGTGTAACGTTGACATTCAAGGGTGCTGCTTTTCCTATGCATCCAATTGCAACCCTGCCTCTGCTACTGCGCCTTTCCTGCCCTATGCATGCCCTGTGCATGTGTTGGTGTTCCGGCCTTGTACCTGTGTATAAGCATCATGCCGGTGATAGGGGGTAGTGACATGACCCGCCGCCTCAAGATTACCTGCTACCACAGTAGGTTCAAATCAGATTTTGCCAGCACACTGGTTTGTCGAATCACCTCGTCCATTATTTGAAGTATAACACTTGCTGAAAACTAAGGCTGCCTGACGTTGCTGAACCTCAAATCTTTCTTACTAATATCCCGCCTGTAAATGCTACCGCTTCAAGATACTTGTAATTATATTTTTACTTCATGGCATTCTAAAATGCACATCGGCACAAAATGAATAAAAGTATCTACATGTACTTTCAAGTACCATCAATCATAACGTTATTCACCAGTTTGCTGCACATGTACTTTGGTGTGGATGTTAGCCATGGAATGAAACTTTATCGTTGTATTGTGATTTGTAAAATACCGGTATATCCTGAAAGATCAATAGCAATTGGAAAGTATTCTGCATTGCATGTCTGTGCTTCTTGTACAGGCCCACCGGAACCGGCCCGGTTGGTCACCAGCGAATGTATGCCGCTGAGGAGGTCTTGTGTACTACCCACTATATCAGACATGAACTGTATGAAAGGATGGGGCATGGCCCCCTGGCTGGTACTCTGTACTGCATGTACATGTTGTTGTTGTTGTTGTTGTTGTTGTTGTTGTTGTTGTTGTTGTTGTTGTTGTTGTTGTTGTTGTTGTTGTTGTTGTTGTTGTTGTTGTTGTTGTTGTTGTTGTTGTTTGGTGTTGTTGTTTGTTTGTTGTTGTTGTTGTTGTTGTTGTTTGTTTGTTTGTTTGTTTGTTTGTTTGTTTAGAGTCGAAGAACAAACAGGCTAATTTGTCTAATTACATGGTATCGACTAAAAGGCCAATAAAGGAAAGGGAAGACAACAGAGGTCAGTACTACATGAATGATTTGATGAAGACCTTTTTTAAAGCTACTGCATTGTAGGAATGGGTTTGCTCCCCACATTGGAGCTCGCGCTCTTCCGCCGACTTAACTTGACACGTGACTGACTCACGACTGCCATCCAGAGCACACGAGAAGTCCATCGAACCTTCAACATTGCAGTGTAACCATGAAAACCGAGGTGATATTATCATATCACTGTAGCCATGGTAACTACATGTAGTTGTTGGGGCGGGACGCAGTGTCATGTACTAGTAGCAGGAAGGAGCCATGAGCCCTTACCGGGACAGTCAGTGCCCTACTGGGGATCACACACACCCGGGCCGACATGGCTCTTCCTGCTACGCAGCGTAGTGTACCCCAGGGCTTAGTTTGTAGGGGTCGGGAGTCTCACAAACAGGTTTATCTCACTACTACCGGTCCGGTACTACAACTCCCTCGTTTACCGTCTACCCATATTTGCAGAAGAGGTCAATTGGCCCATCATTTCTCGGCCGATGTCGCCTTTTACCAATGTCACCACCGTCTTAATTATTCATAATGTTGGCCGATTCCATTTTCAATATTATTGGCATGTTCTTTGGATTTGTAGGCATGCTTGGCAATTCTAATAATCATGATCCTGCAATAATTATTATCATTTTTGTGGGTGCGTGACCATGGTGACTACTACAGTCGTGGCCGAAGAAATCCGACCAGGCCTAGGCTCATGTGGCCCTCGAATCAGTTTTGGGAACATGCATGATGTAATTGAAATGGAAATGCGATATATGCGGCGCTACTTTTGACTCGCAGGTCGGATTTCTTTGGCCACGACTGTACTACATGTCTTGTACCTTACTTGAATGGTTCTTTACAATCTGCATCACAATTATTTTGTGGGTTCAGCAATACTGTAAGACCAGATATTTGAAATTCTAACGGATTTTGTCTCAAAACTGGTCAATGACTGTCATCATTATTCTACAAACAGCAAAAGGATAATATTGTACACAGTTCATCCATACATAATGGACTGGAAGATTTGCTCGTATACCGTAGGCGGGAAGATTTGCTCGTATACCGTACTCGCGTACAGGCTCGTACTGCGCACAAAAGACGACTTCCACGACTCGACTCTCGAGTACATGACTGTACAGTCCCAGTTTTGATAAAACTACTGCGTGCACACCGGCGATTTGAGGGGAACACTCGGGTAGATCTTGAAATCACTGCATTTCTTTGTGTGACTGTCAAGTGCATGCCATTGATGTATGAAGCAGTACTAGCCAGGTCATGGCTACTTTAGAAGTAGCGCAATGCCAATAGCCATTGTATTCAGTCAGCATGCGTCTCAGCTCGTCTCAGTTTTTGTGCTGGATCAGACTGATTATCTTCACTCTATCAAGGACAGGCTATCTGGTAGCAGTTAGTTTTCTTTCCTGTGTGAAAACAGTGTTGCCAGTGTAACAGGTTGATTCGATGATAGCCTACACCGTGTGCGCGATGGTTCTAGTTCTGGAAACACATTTCTACCACGCCTAACCCTAAAGTCCATTCTGGCGAACGTTAGTCGCGAAGATGCAGCTGGGCGCTTTGGTATCGTCCAGTTTGAACATCACCATCAATGGCAGCAGCTATGTAAGCAATAATTTTTCGATTGGCCCAAGCATCTCTGCAGCACCGTTTACCACGGCTAGCGATGGTGGTGGTGACAGTAAGAAGTGCCACTTGATGGATAGAAACGCTGTTATTGTGCAAACGATACTGGCTGCCTTGGCGTTTAGCACTCTGTTACGTGAGTATTACTGTAACTTAGAAGTACTAAGTACTAAAGTATAAGCTTGCGTATGGTCTATGATAACATCAATTATACTGAATGATGTGTAAAACGACATGCGACACTTGCGACAAGAAAATGCTTCTGGTGTGCTATCGCAAGCTGCATGCTGTCGCAGAAGTGATATTTTGTGGCTGAAATTCAAGTTTGCATAATTATGTCATTATGAGCCACAATCATATCAATAATATCAAGAGTACATAACCCCCCAGAGTGTGCAACGCCGATCCAGCTCTGTGTAGGGTCTTGGTCGAGCGGAATCGGATCTTCTGATGTCATGCGTACACTTCACACCAGCGCAAGGCCGGTCTCGAGGCAGGGCACCATTGTTTTTGATCCAAGAGTACCCGCGACTCCCCGGGTTCCCCTCAGATGTGTACGGTATTATGACGCAAAGATCCGATTCCGCTCGACCAAGACCCTATGCAGAGCTGGATCAGGCGTTGCACACTCTGGGGGGTTATGTACTCTTGATAATATGGAGAACAGTTTCGAAGGGGATTGGCGGTGGTGGCGAGTTTGGATCATGTGTGTATGTATGTGTGTGAGTGTGTATGTGTGTGCGTGTGTGTGTGTGTGTGTGTGTGTGTGTTCGGGTGTGTGTGTTCGGGTGCGTGAGTGCGCGCGTGTGTGTGCGTGCATGTACTACAGTGTGCACGTTTCGAATTCGCGGACATAATATGAATGAGAGTCCGTCATTCATCCTCTCTGAATTTTAGGAGACTCTCCAAAGCTCTCCAAGCTCTCCAAACTTCAGAGTGGATTGAAACTTTGGAGATTCCCGCGGTTTGGGGTCAACACATGCGAACTACTGCTAAAGGCCACGTGTTGATCATGAGTGTACGACATTCCCTTTTCGCATACACACAGTGCGTACTATGTTCGTGTCACTGAAGATCGCTGCCCCTTTGGTGCTTCACATGCAGTCAACTTTGCGTATAACGACACTCGGCAGGGCATTAGAAAAGTGTCCTTATTTGCGAAGTGTCGTTATACCCGAAGTCTCATTATATGTGTTACAGTTAGATGGGACTTTGCTCTGGGCATGGAAATTCTGTTGTTATTCGCGAATTGTCGTTATATCCGCAGTCGTTATTAGCGAAGTTGACTGTATGCAAAAGATCTCCGAATTCTTCGAGACGCGTTCCTAAATTATCCCAGTTTCTTCCGACTTCCAGGAGAACTTTCTCCGAGAAGCTAGAGAGAATAAGAATGCACCCTTAAAAGCAGCAATGCCCAATGCACTACAAATGGCAGCAATGTCCATAAGATATACTAGACCAGACTTAGTATGTGGTAATCTTACAAATAAGCAATGCCAATAGGTCCTACAACAGCCAGGGTAGAGAATGGTATAGGTGACCCCGGTGCAGCGTGGGGAGCTCGCTCACCCAACTATGCAAAGATGACGTTTTCGTACGCCGAGGTCTTTGGGGGCCCGGGTGTAGATGTTGCCTTCCGCGGGAAAATTGTACGGGCTTTGTCCCATGTGGGTAGGTTCCCCCGAGTATGGCAGCAGAGCCGCTCTCCCTACACTTTGGTTCGCGATTTTCGGCGTGCTCTTTACGTCGCACCAAGCACATGTACAACACAAGAAGATGCGCCCTCTGGTTCAACTACCGGTACAAAGTTGTCAGATCATTTGTAAAGTTTGCAGGTGACAATCGTTTTATAATGTGCTGCACCATGTAACATTGCTCTAGTGAACATGCCAGGGATAGCAATGTCGACCTGCCCAGCAAGTTGGTGTAAATTTCAGAAGGCTGCAATGGGAGCTATGCCTAATCTTCCCGCGCCGTTTGGTTTCGCAGAGCAAGCCGTACACACTGTGATACCAGCCCCTGCATAGAAAGGTTCATGACCTGTGTACAGTCATACTCACAAGTATACTAGGGCTGGCTGTTCCTGCCAAATACAGGGCAAGTTGCCCCGCAAAAAGCCTGCAGCCATATTTTATGCATAGGTGCCATTGCATAAGTGTAAAACGAACAAGGCAGTCAACAGCAATGGTAGAAATTGAGGCAATGATGAACAAAGCCGCTTTTAATACTATGCAAGCAATCTACTATGTCGGCGCGAAGCAATTATTCATACTGTGCTGTACAGTGCTGGCCGTTGCCGTGAGTGAGGCAAGCAATCGTTGATGCCCTCACGCTCACAGGGTAACTCATGACACATGTCTCAGGGGACTGGTCGCACTTCACTGTCCAGCACTGCGGTACATGTGGTGGTAGTAATACCGGATTATGACTACATGCTGCCTCCCTTTCTCCATTGGTTTGTGTGTGTGTGTGTGTGTGCGTGCGTGTGTGCGTGTGTGTGTGTGCGTGTGTGTGTGTGCGTGTGCTTCTGTTTCCATGCAATTATTTAGTGAAATGGTACCGTGAGTCAGCGCATGAGAAGCGACCGTGTGCCGTATGGTGAGTGTCCCGGGCCCTACACGCCTTGGCGGTCTGCATGTGTATTGTGTGCTTGCTGCTCTACTTGCATGGCACAGCAGCCTGCATGTGTATTGTGTACTTGCTGCTCTACTTGCATGGCACAGCAGTCTGCATGTGTATTGTGCGCTTGCTGCTCTACTTGCATGGCACAGCAGTCTGCATGTGTATTGTGCGCTTGCTGCTCTACTTGCATGGCACAGCAGTCTGCATGTGTATTGTGCACTTGCTGCTCTACTTGCATGGCACAGCAGTCTGCATGTGTATTGTGCACTTGCTGCTCTACTTGCATGGCACAGCAGTCTGCATGTGTATTGTGCACTTGCTGCTCTACTTGCATGGCACAGCAGTCTGCATGTGTATTGTGTGCTTGCTGCTCTACTTGCATGGCACAGCAGTCTGCATGTGTATTGTGTGCTTGCTGCTCTACTTGCATGGCACAGCAGTCTGCATGTGTATTGTGTAAGGTGTACTTAGTACTACTTAGTGCTCTACTTGCATAAAGATCTTCAGCACACTGCTTGTCAACTTATCATGTTTACATCTTCTGTCCTAAGCCATGCATTGTCTTGCCAATTGCCCTCAAATGTGTTTGTTAGGTTAGCGGATACGACAAAGCAAATCGTTGGTGCTGGGGTGGTGCACAGTCTGAACGTTCTCGTCTCGTCTTTCAATCAAATTGAAGATCCATGCACTTGGTGAGTTCTCACAAACACCAGCTAGGCTCTGATGTGTTCGTTTTTCTACCTCAAACGGTAGATTCTACTTTCCTCTACCGTCTCTGCCAGGCTTGAGGCTGGTAGAAGTCTGTAGGGGTACGGTATTTCTGTAGAGGTGTGACCATGAGAGCTGGTTTCCACACAACATTGTACATTGTACTGTAAAAATTGCATACCGGTATGCGGATTGAACATCGGTGTCGTACCGACATCGGTAGATCAGCCTTCAGGTGTGTACACAGGGTCATCTGTAGGGGGTTTCCAACTGAATCACAACCAACGAGTTTTAACTTTCTCGACAGCCTTTGTCACCACAGACACTTCTCCATAGGCACAGGCGATGTCTTGTGCACGACCCTGCAGGAATGTCGTGAGACCTTGACAAATACCAGACCATGCTTGGTGCCAACAAAGGCATGGATAAACGGGAATTTCCGAATAGCGGCCAACAGGCTGTTGGCTTTTCGTGTGGACTCCACGTTCCAACCTTGGCCCGTTGCGATATCCTCAAATACGACAGTGACGGCTGGCAGGAGCTCTGCGAATGACTCATACACAGCAATACGTGCTACCCACCGGGTCTTGCATAGGTTGATGAGCTTGGTGTGTGACACATATTCCAGCTTTTTGATGTTCTCTGGCCTCCAGGAGTTGCTGTCGTTTCGGTGAGTACTGGAAGACGAGGTATACCTCCTCCAACGCCCCATGCACGTTGCGCACAGCCTGAGTTCCACATGCGTTGATTACACAAAGGTCCAGGGCATGTGCACCGCAGTGCATGCAAAACGCCGATGGACACTGCTCCAGTATCCGTGCTGCTGTGCCTTGGGCACGCCCTGCCATATTCCCTGCTCCGTCGTACCCTTGTCCAGGCTGGCAAGTATCTTGCCAGCAATTGCTTCGCCAGTGGTGCCGGTGTCGCGAAGAACGAACTCAACCAGCTGTTCCCAAATGGCTCCACTGCTGTCCACGGACCGCAATACTAGTGGCGATTGCTCCTTGTTTGATGCATCTGCTGCTTCATCTGCGCAGACAGAGAAAAACTTGGATTTCTTCACGTCAGCAATGATGCGCTGCTGGATCCATTGGCAACATGCTCCAATAAGGGCATTCTGGATACGGGGTGACCTGTACTGGGCAGTCTTGTCAGCTGTCGAAAAGTGCTGCTCCAGAACTTCATCACCAGCCTCCATCTGGAACTGCAGAAGCGCCTGAACATTGCCTGGTGTTGTGAACCCTCTGGTTCTCTAAAGTATCAGGAACGAACGACCCCACACGGCACGAGGACAACTATTTATTCTCAACAGTATATTTCACTTCCATCTACTAACAACAATGAATGACGAACAACTGAATAACTAACACTAAAACCACCGGGTAGTTATAGCGTGAAAATGACAGCGTATATGAGAAAAGCATACACATACAACATACAACTACAGCGCACACAGCAAACCGCACATAGCGCCTGTAGCGTATGCCACGTCGTAAACATCAGCGGTACGGCGGAGTCGGGATACAGCTGCATTGAAACGAACACAATGTCACAAGCGAGAAGGCCTTTCACTCTCGAGAACTTGTCGTTTCACAACATTCTCCCCACCAAACGGCTTCTCACCGCCGTACAACAACTCCTAAGTCAAAACGATGGGGGCTCTGACTACACGCCCAGAACGAGCCATCCGCTGCTGTGGGGGTGGCCAAGGTAGAATATTACCAGTGCTCAACATTTCTGCCAACTGAGCAATGGTCTGCAGACTCGCGCATTTCAGATCAAGCTCTAACGTTGGCTTCACGAGAGCACATACCGGAATGACTGCGGAGCTACCCAGGATCGTGATGGCGAACTTGTCCATCCGCCGTTGGCTTGATTCCGCACCGAACGGCTTCACCTCAACAGTCTCAACACCAAGCTTGCCGATCTGGGCTGTCACACACAACACAGTCACGGGGCCACTGCCTCGTGGGGCGGACGCTGGACCAGATAACCTACATTCGATCTCCGTGTTCCACACAGTCTCGCCGCTTACTTCTTCCGTGCTAACCAGTATCGCCCTTCTCGTTTCCTTATCTTCTACGCCTTGCGCTTTTATGTCTTGCGCCTCTAACTCTTGCGCCTCTAACTCTTGCGCCTCTAACTCTTGCGCCTCTAACTCTTGCGCCTCTAACTCTTGCGCCTCTAACTCTTGCGCCTCTAACTCTTGCGCCTCTAACTCTTGCGCCTCTTGCGCCTCTTCGTCTTGCGCCTCCAACTCTTGCGCCTCCAACTCTTGCGCCTCTACGCCTTGCGCCTCTACGTCTTGCGCCTCTACGTCTTGCGCTTCTACGTCTTGCGCTTCTACGTCTTGCGCTTCTACGTCTTGCGCTTCTACGTCGTTCGGCCGAGACTCCAGCTGCTTCTGAGCGTCTCCGACCGATGTTGCCACGCTCTGTACCGACGCAGTGGGCCTTGGATCTGATCCTGCCACTGGCTTCAAGCACTCTTCTGACCGCTGCTTGTCTGTAAGCAAAGTCTTACACGCCTTCCGGCGTCCTTCCGGGCGAGGCAAGCAAATCTCGCTTTGCTTCCTCATAATATGTACTGGCGGCAATGCGCTCGGCCATCTTCTTGAGCTTTTCGTTAAACTCTGCGCGGAGCGCACACTCTTGCCGTCTAGCACTGCGCTCTTCAAACTCCTCGCTCTGTCGGAGCCTCTTCTCCACGTATTCTCTCAACCTATCGCCTTCAAATCCATACCGAATTCCGTTGGCGATGAAGCTGGCTTCAATGATCCATAGTTCCTGTGCCATGCTCGCTTCGTATCCTGGCGTGGTCGCCAAATGTTGTGAACCCTCTGGTTCTCTAAAGTGTCAGGAACGAAGGACCCCACACGGCACGAGGACAACTATTTATTCTCAACAGTATATTTCACTTCCATCTACTAACAACAATGAGTGACGAACAACTGAATAACTAACACTAAAACCACCAGGTAGTTATAGCGTGAAAATGACAGCGTATATGAGAAAAGCATACACATGCAACATACAACTACAGCGCACACAGCAAACCGCACATAGCGCCTGTAGCGTATGCCACATCGTAAACATCAGCGGTACGGCGGAGTCGGGATACAGCTGCATTGAAACGAACACAATGTCACAAGCGAGAAGGCCTTTCACTCTCGAGAACTTGTCGTTTCACAACACCTGGATTGCCAGACAGGTCACAAAGCGAACCATCCTGAATAGGTGCGCTCTCGTTCCGATACCCACGCAGTGGAATATTTTGCTTCCTGCGAAACGCGATGCATTTCAAGATGGAACCGAGAATCTTCCAATTCCATTCAATGGTTCTAGCTGCTTGCAACTGCATCTGCTGCTCTACTGACAACTGACCCTCTTCATGTGGCAAAGAAACACCGCTGTATCTTCCAGTGCATTTCGATGGTGAGTCAAGTGGCTGTGCTCTCACAGCGTTTGCTTTGCACGAGTCATGTTGGTGAGAACATCATTCGTGACAGAAGGACACCGTTCTCCAATTGGGTGTGCCGCAGACCCTACTGCCGATAGTGAACAGAACCGGCATCTGCAGGCGATTTTGGAGAATCTCAGGAGGGAGAGTACTGAAGCTCTCAGTCACTACTGCTAGTACTCGGAACTGTATTGGATTCGCTCGGACTTTGCAGAGTCACAGTTGCTGTGTCCGAGCAGGATGCACTAGGCACTTCGGCCCAGGAAAAAGACTCCACATTCCTTGCTCGTTTCCCTGATCTAGATGGTTCAGAAGAGAAGAAGACCAGCAAAGTCCCCTTTCATTTCGACATGATCCAGGCACAAACAACGACACAACGAACTGCTTCTCGCACTCTGAGTTACAGCGAAAATCTTCTCTGCCGAAATAAGAACTGAAAAGCGAGTTACATGACAGGGTATGATGTGACAGACGCATGTTGATCTTGCTTTTATTATCGCCGCCCACTATGACCGCTGGTGACTTTCACCATGTTCACATGACCGTCTCGTAGATCTACTGCATGCAATCATCCAGCATGCTGCATACAGCACCAGTCATGTGTATCAGTGCACTGTCTGTCTGAACTGAACTGCATGTGTATGACTCTACGCTCACGACGGAACAAGTACAGTCCATTTCAAAACTATAGACGCGTAGGGTTTTTGAAATATTTCAAATTTGGCTGGAACTTTTTGAGAATAGTTTTCGGAATATTGCTCAGGTCCGCTCCACAATTACTCTCATATAGTTTCTAAACGATTGGATAACAGATGCCCAATTTCGAAAAAATTATGCACAAAGTTATCACAGATTTTATGTGGTATAGATGCTGGCATAACGGTTTTTGCCTAGGTACGCGTCTATAGTTTTGAAATGGACTGTAGGTCGATCTCGTATTCCCTGTTGCGCTTCGGACTGAAGTGAGCCGTCAAAGCATCCTTCAAGTCGTTGTAACTTGTAATACTACTGCTGTCAAAGGTGAGGTAGACGTCACACACGTTCTCACCGCCACCGTGCAAGAGCTGGGCTTTCTGCCGCTCGTCTTCCGTGATGTTTGCTGCAATCAAATAATTATCGAAACGAGCCTGCCATTTATCCCAACGAGGGCCAATCGACTCAGGCGGTTCCAGATCAAACGGGTTCAATGATTTTACTGTGCTCATCGTGGCAGCTGAATCAAGAACTTCGTCGCCAAATATTATGATCACACCATGTACCAGAGCAGTTCAGGACAAGACAAAAGGGGAACTGTTGACTCCAAGATCAAAGCTAGAACGCCGAACTAGAACAACATGGAACCTCAGCAGCACAACGGAAACGCATGCGCGGCTGATACAAACTTAGAGTAGGGGAGTAGAAAGATAATGATCTATCACGTGAGGTAGCTCACTAGTAAGGATATCACAACGCTCCAGCTCTAGTAGGCGTATGTACTGCATTTACTGCATTTACATGCACATGTATGCAATGCACCGCACGCATACTGGTATGCATGCCGTACTATAGCCACTGCAGGGCACCCCGGCGGCCCTGGCAAGTCTACAGATCGATCGCGGACCCTACCAAAATATTGCACAGTGGTACATTCGGAACATTTTGGGGGGGGGGGGTTCCGGGCAACCCCCCCCCCTGCGTACCCGCCTGGCCTTTATTAACTACCAACTATAGTCTTTTCTCTCCTCTACTCTACCACTTTGAAGTATATAAAAGACCTCAGTGCAACAATGTAGTATGTTATTACGACTGGATAATGTGTCAATATCGTACTGTAAGTACGGTGCAAATTACGGGTGAAGGTTGGCACTGAAATCCCGAGTTTGAGTACTCTGATTTTCTCCGATCGAATATTCGAGTATTCTTCATCTCCTAAAAATTGCACACCAGCAGTGTCTGCTCCAGGATTGTAGGACAGCCGGGTACACGTGTATCTGGCGCAACCATCTCAACCGGGTCGGCGCCGGGTACACATGTACGCCCAATGATATAAATGCGAATGGATAAGCTGCATTTAGAAAAGAGAGGACAGGAATTAGAAAATTACGAAAGAAGAAGAAGTATCTGACACATACAAGCCATGTAGTCAGTCCTTTCAAAGTTCGAAAGTGTAAAGTACCAACCGGGTCACAGGTGACCCGGCACTATATTTTCAACGGGTCCAAGCGCCGCCCAACCGGGTGGATTACCCGGCTCAGACAGCAGACACTGCACCAGGGGCCTGAAAATCACCTGATACAACCCTGATTGAACCGAGTAGCAGTCATTTTTCTCGGGTATATTGGTTGGTGGGTCATTTAGGCTCTCTCTACTCGTGAACAAATGTTCACCACACAGTCTGCACATCAATATCTGCCGACTGCTGCTCTGTAACTGCAGATTTCTGTGGTAAATGCATGTACAATGTATGAACGAGTACTCTGATTTATTCCGAGTATGATTATTTTTGAAAAACCGAGCGAGTGGTCGAGTATTGGGTATAATTGTTTCACCCCTAGTGAAAATGCAAAAGAAAGAGCTAGTGAAGTGTATCCAGTTATACTGAAGTAGTAGTATAAGCCACCAGCAATGACTAGATCACTATGACCCAAAGCGCATGTTCAGTTATGGCGAGTGCGACTTGCCGACAAACCTGCTACCGTACCAACCGTGCGGTCCACCATCATATGTACACCATCATACACCATCACACATCATCACACATCATCACACACCGCCACACACCATCACACACCACCACACATTACGGCACTAGAGAGGTTCCGGGGTACGATTTTCCGTGCCAAAATCCGTATGGGCGCTACGGATTTTTTTCCAGGCGTGCTCCATACGATTTTTCGGCACGAGAATCCGTGTGGACTGGCTTTCATACGAACCATGCTTCGTATGGAGATTTGCGTCATCGGGTGCAGAAAGATTTTTCGCGTACAAATTTCGTACGAGAAACATCGATTTTTCGCGGGAAGTTTTTATTTCGGTACAAATTTTCAAAATAAAAAGGCATAGCGCGGGAATGTGACGTGTTTGCGATCGTAACCTAGGCAATGACGGCAAACACATAAGTTCCGTACCCCGGAACTTTTCACTGCTCGAAAACGACGTATAAAAAATCCGTAGAGCCTCCATGGATTTTGGCACGAAAAATCGTACTCCGGAACCTCCCTACTATAACTTATAAGCACTCTGAAGGGAAAAGTTATGTATGACGGAAAAGTTCCTAAGCCTGCCATCATTGAACACTTGTGATGAGGCTGATGGAGAACCGACCCCAGATCCCATGGGAAATCCTGGATCCGCCCGCGCCTCCTCCTCCCACCTCTCTAGTATGCACAGTCTCTCAATCTGATCTTGTTTACGTGCGATTTGACATTCCTGTGGATTCCTCCAGTTTACGTATTGTATCTCCTACTTTCATCGGTGTTTGCTAATACCGCTGTGCTGTGTGCGTTCTGTGCGTGTATGTGTGTGTGTGTGTGTGTGTGTGTGTGTGTGTGCGCGTGTGTGTGTGTGCGCGCGTGTGTGTACATGCGCGCATGCGTGGGTGCATGTGTTTTTGTTGTTTTCTGTTGTGCACTTGTCACGGATATTCACCTGCACCTCTGTAGGTATCTGATCAACTTTGTCTTGGACTGCACACTGGGCCTTATCGTGATTTTCATTGTTCTGGCTATTGCCAGGTACATTGGTAAAGTGCGCTTGTGGCCAAGCTTGAACTTGGGCGAGTATGGTGAGTAGCTTGGTTTGCCACCACCCACCTAAGCCTGGCTAAACGAGTACAAAGCCGCATTAGAGTGGACTGCTCCAATGCCTCACCTATTTGCCGAGTCAAGGCTACTCGTACTGCGGTACATGTACCAGCATTCAGCAACATGATGTGACTACTGGCATTATCTAGGGTGGTGATATAGAATATGTTTCCCCCTGTGCTATGTCAGTGTGTGATCATGGCATGTTCAGTCTCATCAGCTGGTATAGTACATGTATATTGTACAGTTTCCAAGGACCCGGCATATGGTGCAAGGCAATACATTGTAAGCAACATGTACCGTACAAGAGTATCACAGTACACGATGTGCCCACAGTGAGTTAAGACCTAAGCGCAGTTGTTCTAAGTGATAGTATGTGGACAACTAAGGAGTCGTGGCATGCAGGAAGATATCACGGGCAAGTGAGACACTAGACACCCTTAGCAAACAACGGTAACGCTATTTTTTACGGTACTCGTACCTTGATCACCCAAATAGCGTTGAAGCTGCAGCGTATAAACGTTATGGGGGCTGATTTATCGTTGTGACCAACGGTACGTGTTTTGGCCAAATATTGCATAGTCCATACGCATTTCACCTTGTATCGCGTATATGGTGACAAAAATGGTTGTACCGCGCGAAATCAAAGCTATTCTCGTGCCAACAGCGTACTAAAAATAGCGTGCATCTTGCTAAAGGTCGAACCCAAATCACGGTATTTTCCCCCTTACGATAATACCGTTACAACATAACGTTTTTTGCTAAGGGTGTCTACTAATAATATAAAACGGTATGGGATTTACTTCTTTGGTGCCCGTTCTAGTTTCCCTTGGGGCAGGATTGATTTATGTACCCTTGCCCGCGCCATCACCAGGATAGGTCGCGTTTGGGATCTTTAGGTTACGGTGAAGTATTTCACGGATCACGAGCCACGTCGAACAACCTAATCCCAGGTCAAAAGGTAACATTGTTCCGGGTACAGTACCATGCTCTCGTGTCGTCTCTATAGATGCACCGACTCCCTGATGACAATCAACCGAGCGCACAATATACATTCTGACTCAGTGTGCTTACACGTGTGTCTTATTCTGTTGATTGATGGTCGTTCTGCGGCATGGCATCTGCACTGCATGTTTTTGGTTTGTTTCAGGAGAGCCATTCCAGTGGCGTTACTGGCTTATTCAGTGTGGAGTGTACGTGCTGGCTATGCTCATTGAAAAAGGATGTGTGCTGGGATTTGTTCAAGCTGGTTTCTGGAGAAAGGTGAGCAATCGGTTATCAGGCTGCAATGTCTGAATTAGCAAGTGATAAAGGCACCAATGATCACGGTATGTCATGATCAGCCTGGAATCTATCAGCACTGCAATCAGTACTCAAACAGCAAAGAAAGGTGTACAGAAATGACCAGAATTTGAAACTAAACGTGTAATAAATGCTTGATTATTCAAATTTTCAAATGGAAACTTTTTAATTATTCAAATGTATTCGATCTATCAGTGCTTCAAGATTATTCGAATAGTAATTTGCAAATTCGAAGGTTCGAACCAACACTAAACCTAGTGGATAAAGGTGCTAAGATATTACGAGATGGCGAAAATAATACATTTTAGCCTGCATCTGTAGTAATGGGGTAATGGAAAGGAGTGCTATGACACCTTCGAGAATACGGACGACTTAACCCTTTAAGAGCCACAGGAAAATTTCAAAATTCTGCATTTTTTCGTGTTCCTTGGATCATAGCTTCAGTTCTACTCACTCAATCCTCACAATCTAGGGCTTCCTGGAAAGGTCTCCGCGAGAGGAAGAGAATGATTTCGATCATGATAGCCAGCACACCGTCTAGCCAGCGCTAGATCGCAGCGACAGTACGAAAAATGCCCTAAATGCGTCCCGCTCCAGATATTTCATTTTTACTCGATCGTGGAGTTCCAATTTTTTCGCTGTGTACTCTTGACAATATCAACAGTGAAACCCGTGCAAATTCGAGTAAACCAGCGTGACGAAAAGTCTCAAAATTCTCAATACTAAAGTCGCACTGCGCGCTTTTGAAATTGCCGCGATCGCGGCTCAACTTACGAGTGATTTATCTCAGGAACCGTAGCCCGCAGTGCTTCGCGGATTGTTTCTTCCGACAGGTGAGAGTTTTCTCTTGGCCCTGGGTATTTCGATCACTGGATTTGAGCGAGATTGGACTGAGTTACGATCTTTTGAAGTTTTGCATTTGAATGCGTCGTTTACGACGCATTCAAGTATGGGGCGGCTCTTAAAGGGTTAAGAAGACACATAATTATCTATTTTTCAAAGTGCATTGTTGTCAGTGATAGTATGCCAGCAACAAGCATGCTGTGATTTAGTCGGATTGTTGCACGTTTGTATTGATGTCAGTGTATAGGATACATGTATGGCAACACAGCACTCTGGAGCTCGGGATAAGTAGACGTTTCGTCGTTTACCGTGGTGTTTTCTCTCCTCTGCCTGCATTTGTTGTTCTCGTAGGTTGCTGATGTGCTCCTTGAGCCTATCCATAACACCACTGTCAGGATGGTTATCGTCATGCTCATTGTTCCGTTCGTATTTAATGTGAGTAAAGAATGGATTTCTATAATTATAGCCTACCAAGTACGCCTTTCAAGTATAGGCGTATGTACCAAACGTCAAGAGTATTTAACCCTTTGCCGGCCTAACTCAATGTATGTGAGGGGTGGTCACGCAAATACATGTACACACAACCAGCAATAACTCAAGAACCATGTGATGTAGGTATGGGTAAACCATATATTTTCAAAATCTGTGTGCCTGAACGCGTCCAGAAAATTCAAATATGACTAGGTCCAGGCAAGGATAGGGCCCATGGTAGCCCTTCAAGTTGAGAGAAAATACAATTGCGAATGAAATACACGAATATCCCAGCACGAAGGGCATACCAAGTTCGTGATGGAGCTGAAGTCGTACGATAAACAATCAGGTAAGGGCTACGTCTTTACAAGAAATGTAGGCTCTCTACAATACCGCCATTGAACACCAACACCTCGCCATCGGCGATACGCCAGCAGCAGCAATTCCCATTGCACGATATCGCAGTTTCGGTTTGTTCATCTCAGCGCTGCTCGCGTCAGATTCACTCTCGCTCAGATGAGTACTCAGGCGCGAGCTTACGCATGCCGTGATTCTCACGGCCAGGCGAATCAGCTGATCGCACCTGACGAGTCCTTGTGACAGTCGCTGTCGCCGTGTCGGCAGCAAGAAGGCTTCCTCTCTGTTTGGAGAATTTTGTTTCTTCATTCGTGGACGATATATTTTTGAACTAGCAGGACTCAACGGAGCTCTTTTTCTCAACACACTACACTGCAAAACCTCCCGGGACATCCAGCCTGGACTGGTGATGTTACTGCTCTCACTCGGAGCGCTTGTCAAACACGGCCCCAAGAGATGCACTCGCATTCTTGAAATGCGCGCATGGCGGATGGTCGTCTTTTCAAATTTCAACAAACTTCAGTCGATCGATACGGCAAAAATTTGTATGGTAAGCATGGTTGTTTTGCACATCGTCAGAAAGCCTTGGACCTCAGCTACGCGTAGAGCGCCATTTTAGCTGTCTCCTAGCAACAAGACCCCAAAAAAATGAGGGCCAAACGTACCGATACTATAGTATCGGTACGCTTATGGTAGACCGGTAAAGGGTTAAAAGGAAACAAACGATGCTCATAGAATGTATGCTCATTTTCTTTGTTGGTTTTCAGGTGCTCATACAATTAGATTCGTTTTGAAACTGTATCACATGTACCACTCCACACTGCGCTTTGACCGCCTGATTCCACCCGCACACACCACCGCCATCGTGAGGACAGTTCCCAGGGAATGTGTGAACGGAATTGTCCTCACTAGAGCGGTAGTGTACAGTAGGTAGAAATGGGTCGGTCAGGAGGGTGGTGATGTGGAAGGATGAAGTTAGCTAAATATTCTACTCTTTTTCAGTGGATTTGCTTCTATTATGTACTATTAGCCTCAAGGTGGCTGGAGCGGTACGACTTTTTAGGGGCCATTTTGGAAGTAATAGTAATTGGCAAGATGGAGATGAAATTTGAAAATGGTTTCAGTGGATTTCTGGAGGAGAGCCCGGTTTCATTTCTTTTGGTCTCATTTTTCACTTGTGCGCCAACTTTGAAAAGGTTTTATGAATGGTGCATGATACTTGAGTAAATTAAGACAGATCATAAGCCTTTCTAACTTTTGTTTAAGGGAGAAAATAAGATCAAAGGAAATTGGAGAGGACTATTTGCCAAATTTTCGCTGAAACTATTTTCATAAATCATCAGTCCATCTTGCCGATACATGTAGCTTCCTAAAATGCAGTTAACATTTTTCTCCAAGAAGTTGTATCGCCATCTTACGTTTCTCATGGTGTGGGCTTGCTTATATGCATTTCTGTCTGTACCACAGGCTTTGCAGTTCTGGGTTGTGGATAACATTCTTAAGCGAAGGCAGCGAAAAAAGAAGGCAAACGGGTCAAAGAATCGTGCAGGTGACTGCGATTCGAATCTCAAGGAATCCCTGCTCCAAGATGAAACAGAGCCAGGGACCGGGAGAGGGTCAGAAGATCTATCTGCAGCAGCAGTCTCAGCAAAAGTTATGCCAGGCATTGCCCTTCGTGTGCTGGGCAAAGGATATTCGAAGTTGAAACAGGATTCCGGTGCTACATCCGATGACACTGATCACGCATACAGCAGTGGAAGAGAGCTGGCAGTGTAGTCGAATAGTCAGCACAGGCATCATTTTTAAACTCAGAGTTTTCGGAATCTATAATAATAATTATTAGCATTGCTGGCTAGAAAGCAGGCCTTGAACCAACCCTTGTGCATCATACTATTCACAGTGAGCTGGTGGTGTCTGTGTTACGGGTACATGCATTATGACCGGCCCGGCATTTACTGATAGTGTCTAAGTGCTGTGCACCGCTGGAAGTGTAGTAATACCTGTAGTGTAGGCTGTTGATATGGCACATAGTCTTGCCGTGTTGCCCTGTCTGCCTGTGTGACCATAATTTTTTCATACCACCTACCTGCAGTCACTGTTGACCAGTGACGTTGAGCTGCATTAGTGCATTGCAAAATTTTATACTGATCCCACACAGCCAGGGGAATTCTGCGGAAACAGCCCTGGTCTGAGAGTAAGGATTATTGATTTTTTCTGGTGCTCTGTGTAGATTTTTGATGTCTTGATTTTCGCTTCTTTACGCAAGCAGCAGTGGATTCATATATAAATTAATGTGATGCCAATCTAGTGATATTAATTTTATTGCTCTGAGAGACAGTGAGAGTGAACTAATTGGATGTATTCCTGCAGCTTCTACTTCACTACTACTAGTGTAGGCTTACATCAAGAGTACATACCCCCCCCCCCAGAGTATGCAACACCTGATGGGGGGGTTATGTACTCTTGCTTACATGTAGATTTCAATAAGAAGGTTGAAGCAGCACAACCTTGGAGCCAGAAATTTCAGAAGAATGAAAATACCAAGTAGTTCGTTGGTGGTGCGTGGTTGTCCACCATTGTAGTGGTAAGATGTACTGGGGTCCGGCTGTCCACCAATGTACTGTAGTGCTGAGATGCACTGGGGTCAGTGACTGTGTGGCTGTCCACCATTGTTGTCACGACGTTGACATGATGTTCAACGTCATGAGATTATTTGCAGTACACGTCATAGTTTGTGTTCTCTACCCCGGTTTTGTTTCCGCGTTCCCACACCGAAGCTGGGCCGCGTGTTTATTATTTCTACTGACTCACTCACCTCTTGGCGACTTCCTCCATGTTTTTTCCTCCTTTTTTCTCTGCGCAAGCGCCTTGCGCTTTAGTCGTTGTCTTCTTTCAGTTCACAGCAAGAACAAGAATTATTTACCTCTTGTGCAGTGTCAGTCAAATTCAGTCAAATCAAGCTCTCCCGATCCCAAGAAACTGTCTGGCGTGTGCACAAAGTGGTGCCGAAACCCGGGACATGAACCGCACCGGAGCTCGAAACGAGCCGTGCGTACCATTCCAATCTTGAGAAAGATAGACTCGACTCAAATAATTTGTAAGCAGCTTGCCCGATTTGGGTCGTCGAGCTAACATGCCGAAGAGAGCAGTGACGACCGGCACGCAGATCATGCGCCGGGCCAAGATCGCGCAGCTGCAAGGATCCATCGACGAACTCGTCAAAGAGGCCGAACTCCTTTTATCGAAGGAAGGAGGTCAAAGGGCCGACGAGTTGTCGCCAGAACACGTGGACTCGGATCCAAAAAAGCTAAGTACACTTGTGGATTGTATTGTTGAAGAATTGTACGCATATGATGAGGCGTGTGATGCATTGGCCAGTGTTTTGGACTCGGAGACTCTGGAGGGTTCAGATGAGGCTCTGCAAACGGAGATCTGCGATGTGGTTGCGTATTCGGTACGCATCAGAGGGTCAATTGTTGAATGCAAGCGATCTCCGCAGTACAGAGCCCAGACGAACCGTCCAGAAGCTGCTACTACTAGTACTAGCTCACCAAGTAGCACCAAGAGTACGGGCAGTGCGGGTATCAAACAAGAAACTAGTATGGTTGATTTGTCCAGCATCCAACAGTCAATAGGAGATCTTGTTCGTACGCAGTCTATTACACATAGTCAACACCAGCAAGTATTACAGTCGCAAGAGGATCTAATCAAACAACACCAACTAGTCGTACAACACATGCAAGCATCATCACCTCAACCACAACCAGCTCCCACAAGTTCAGTCAAATTGCCCAAATTTGAAATACCAACATTTTCTGGTGATTTCCTGAAATGGGCTGAGTTTCACGATATGTTTGTTGCGTCTATTGATGCGAATCAAGGGTTGTCGGGTGTCCAGAAACTGTCGTACCTAAGAGATCACGTAACGGGTTTGGCTCGGGATGCCATAGCTGGCTTGCCCATATCAGATACCAACTACACAACCGCGCTTGACATTCTCCGCAAACGTTTCGGGAATGATCAGCTTCGCGTCAATGCACACTACACGGCAATCATGGACTTACCGCCTGCGTCCAACGCTACTCCATCTTTGCGTAGGTTGCACGATGCGTTGGAGGTGCACTTGAGAAGCCTCACAGCGCTTGGTGAGAATGTTAATCAGGCGGTGTTTGTGTCAATGATTACGAACAAATTGCCACGCACCACGCTAGCGGCTTTGGAATTAAAAAAGGGGCCACAATCCTGGACCGTTTCGGACTTGCGCGCTGCAGTAGCCAACTTCATAATAGCGAATGAAGCAGCAGATCGCCTCAGCCAGCCACCGAAAAAATCGCACGAATCACCATCTGCCAGTGCGTCCGGTCAATCTCTTGTTGCCTCAGCTTCAGCTACTTCAAAAGCGAAGCCCAAGAGAGTGTGTGTTTTTTGCAGTTCGGAGGCACATTTCTCTGACGAATGCAATAAGTACACTACAGTAGAAGCGAGGAAGAGCGTAGCTAAACAAAGGTGTTTCAAGTGTTTGCGATCAGGCCACTCCGTGCACGATTGCTCTAGCAAACGGCGGTGTTTCTATTGCCACAATCCTGCACACCACAGCAGCTTGTGTCCAGATAAATTCACTGCCGCATCCACTCAGAGGCAAGCTTCCACTATGAGCCCGAATGCTCAGTCCTTCAAACCCAAGCCTGCCACGAGCACGGTCGCAAACGCCGATCACCAGATCATGATGCAAACTGCTGTGGCACCGTTTCTCTCCTCCAAGTTGAAGCCGATCAATGGCCGTATTCTCTTTGATACCGGCTCCACCAAGACATACATCACGCAAGCTTATCGAGATCAGCTCGATTTGCCCACAATCGGAAATGAAACACTCTCCTTGGCTACATTTGGGAACAACAAAAGAAAAAGTACCGTGTACGCCAAGGTGAGTTTGACCATGCAGTGTAAGGATGGGTCCACTCGTGCGATTCAGGCCAGTGTACTTCCGAACATAACCGCTCCAATTGCGCGATGTCCACTTGCTTCTTCTTTTCCTCTTCTACAGTCTCTGCCACTTGCAGAACCGCTCTCGAGCAGCGCAGAGCCCATGGTCGTAGACGTCTTGATTGGTCTCGATCACTATTATGATATTATCGGCAAGGACCGCACCGAACTAAGCGGTGGTCTGGTCCTGCTCGACTCCGTTCTTGGTTTTATCTGTACCGGCAGTCTGCCTGTGCCTGCCACCACAGAGGCGCAGTCATGTCTTGCTCATCAAACAGACGCGGACCCTGAATTCGACCTCCGTAAGTTCTGGTCGACAGAGAGCTTGGGTACTTTTGACGATACGTCGTCGCAAGATCTTGTGGGCAAGCGCTTCGCCAACTCCATCTCCTTTGCCGAGGGTCGGTACGCGGTGAGTTGGCCCTGGAGGGACTCACATCCTCCTCTTCCGACAAACTACGGTCTGGCTTTCGGTCGCCTGAAGGCACAAGTGCGTCGCCTCGAAGCCCATCCGGAACTTCTTGACCAGTACGATACCGTGATTCAAGACCAGCTTGACAGGGGCATGATAGAAGATGTTCCTCGTGGTTTTACAACCAACCAGATTCACTACCTTCCACACCATTCAGTACTCAAACCTACTGCTACTACCACGAAGCTGAGGGTAGTGTATGATGCGTCCGCAAAATGTTCCGAAAAACTCGCCAGTCTCAACGACTGCTTGCACGCTGGCCCCAATCTTGTTCCAGACCTTTGCGGTATTCTTCTTCGTTTTCGTCTTTCTCCGGTAGCCATAAGTGGAGACGTAGAAAAGGCCTTTCTGCAGATTGGTCTGCACTCACATGATCGTGACGTGACCCGCTTCCTATGGCTGCACGATGCATCCAGCTCAGCTACTCCAGACAACATACGGCAACTTCGTTTCTGTCGTGTTCCGTTTGGCGTTGTCAGCAGTCCATATCTCTTGGCTGCCACTATTCAGCATCATCTTAGCGCTGCTGATACAACCGATTCCGACCTAGTGTCTCGCAATATTTACGTTGACAACCTGTTCCTTGGTGCCAACTCTGGGACGGAGGCGATTGCTATCTATGATGCCACGAAGCGCCTCTTCAGTGTCGCGTCTATGAATGTTCGCGAGTGGTCTAGTAATTCTGCAGAGTTTCTTAGCAGCATTCCAGAACCAGACCGAGCCAAGGGTACTATCCACAAGTGCCTCGGTATGCTGTGGGATACAGAACATGATACTCTACATATTGCACCTGTCAGTGCCGTATCCAAGTCGGCCACAACGAAGCGGAGTATCCTTCGACATACTGCCCAATTCTTTGACCCCCTTGGTCTCCAGTCTCCTGTTCTTGTTGGTGCGAAGATTCTGCTTCAGGATCTTTGGAAGCTGAACGTCGGCTGGGACGACGACCTTCCACAAGACATCATTTGTAGATGGTGTGATATTGCGGCTCAACTTGAACTTGCTGCATCAACGAAATGTCCACGATTCATCAGTGCACCACGTGCCAGCGACGCTCGGTTTTCTCTCCACGTCTTCAGCGACGCATCTGGGCTGGCTTACGGTGCCGTTGCTTACCTTACTACTACGTTTGACGATCAACACACGTCGAACCTTCTAATCAGCAAGTCCCGTGTTGCACCTGTTGCTTCACCTACCATTCCACGTCTGGAATTAATGGCCGCGCTTCTCGGTGTTCGTCTGATCCAATTCGTCCGTCGGGAACTTCCGCTCACTTTCTCCTCTACCTTTCTATGGTCAGACTCCACCACAGTTCTCCATTGGCTGGCCTCTTCTGACAAACTACCTGTCTTCGTCAACAACCGTATTGATGCCATTCGTGCGGTTCCCGATGTTGCCTATCGCTATGTCCGCTCTGCCGACAATCCCGCCGACTTGCCTTCACGCGGTGTCTCTGTTCCTTCCCTTCAAGCCAGCTCGCTATGGTGGCACGGTCCACACTTCCTTGCCACTGCTGACCATCACGCCGAGCCAGCACTTGATCACCATGTCAACGTTGCCGCTGGGGAGGGTCCTTCAAGCACTTCGGAGATACCTGCACCTGTATCACACCCAACAGAGTCCACCGGTCCAGACACTGAGCTTGCACACGAAATGAAAAAAAAGCCTGATGCGCATCACGAACAAAAAAAAACATGTGATGAACCACCATTTGGTATTGATTGTGCCAGGTTTTCGTCTTTCAGTGCCTTAGTGCGTGTTTCTGCTCTGTGTTTGCGGTTTCTCTCCAGGTTGAGACCACAAGGCGGCAAGTCTTTCGGGGTGGATTCTAGTTGTAACTCAGAGGTCAAGGTAGCCAAAATCATGTGGCTACACCATGCACAACAGAATCTGTCAG